AAGTGCACATCTCAAATGTCACTACCAAGGCTGTCGTCATTCCGACTCGGGCTATTTTATGTGAGCTGCAACCGGTCACAATTCAAGATCTACCACCTGGTCGTCCCGTAGACTCTGACACATTGATTGATCAGATAGAGATGGATAAGGAGGGCCTAACACGTGATCAGATTGAGGAAGGATTAGACACCATACTCAAATTCAAGGACATCTTTTCCAAGGCAGATGATGACTTGGGTCACTCAACACAAGTTCGGCATCGGATTGAGCTCTATGACCACACGCCCTTTAAGCAGAGACATCGTCGTATTCCACCAGCTATGTTTGATGAAGTTAGAAGTCATTTACAGGAGTTGCTATCTGCAGGTGTAATAAGACACTCACACAGCCCATGGGCATCCAATGTAGTCCTTGCTAAGAAGAAAAATGGAAAACTCAGGATGTGTATAGACTTCAGGCAACTGAACCGCCGAACCATCAAAGATTCCTACGCACTTCCCAGAATCGAAGAAATGCTTGACTGTTTAGGTGGTATGACCTACTTTTCTGTCCTTGACATGAAGAGCGGCTACCATCAGGTAGAGGTGGAGGAAGATCATAAGCAAAGAACCGCATTTACAGTAGGTCCTTTAGGGTTTTTCGAGTATAACCGGATGCCCTTCGGCTTATCCAATGCTCCAGCTACTTATCAACGACTGATGGAGAAGTGCTTAGAAGGTCTGCACTTGAATATATGTCTGATCTATATTGATGATTTGATCATTTTCTCCAGGACATATGAGGAGCATGTCGAGAGGCTTAAGCTTGTGTTCCAGCGGCTGCAGGAATGTGGACTTAAGCTAGCTCCCAAGAAATGCAAGTTTTTCAAGAGAAAGGTCAAATACGTCGGGTACATTGTTTCAGCTGATGGCATTGAAGCAGATCCTGAGAAGATTGACAAGATTCGTCAATGGCCTACGCCAACTACACCAGAACAAGTTCGACAATTCCTGGGGTTTGCAGGCTATTATCGAAAATTTGTCAAGGACTTTTCAAAGATTTCAAAGCCTTTATCTGAACTACTGCCAAAGACTGCTTCCAAGAAGTCAAGAGCCCAGAAGCTGACCAAACAGGAATGGACATGGGGTGTTTTGCAGGATCGAGCTTTCAATGAGTTGAGGATAAAGTTATCAACACCGCCAGTGCTTGGTTACGTTGATTTCTTGAAGCCTTTTGAACTTCATACTGATGCCAGTACCCAAGGTCTCGGTGCAGTACTGTACCAGGAACAAGAAGGTCACCTAAAGGTCATTGCTTACGCCAGTAGGAGTTTGAACCGTTCAGAGAGAAACTACTCAGCACATAAATTAGAGTTCTTGTGTCTGAAGTGGGCTATCTCTGATAAGTTCCACGACTACCTGTATGGTAATGACTTTACTGTAGTGACAGATAATAATCTGCTCACATACGTACTAACTACAGCTCGACTTGATGCTACGGGTCATCGCTGGTTGGCAGCCTTGGCAAGCTACAACTTTAGCATCAGATATAGACCAGGAAAAGAGAAGGTGGATGCAGACACTCTGTCAAGACTGCCCACTAAAGACGACAATACCGAGGTTGATCAAATCACAGCAGATTCAATTCGTGCTATCTGTGGAATGATCAATGTAAACAGCTTGGTAGAAAGTCTCTGTATGTCCACAGATGTAACAGGAGAGAAGGAAGTCAATGTTGACGAAGATCAGTGTAACATGAATGCCAGTGATTGGAGACGTGCGCAAGCTAGAGACCCTTGTCTTGCAACCATCATTGAGGGACTGGAGAACAGGATCAAGCCTGACAGAAGGTCATATATAGGGAACTCAGAGATGACAATATTGTTGAAGAACTACGACCACTTCAGAATCCAGAAGGATGTTCTCTACCGTGTTGTTCAACAGCATGGAACTGAACAGAAGCGACTTGTTCTCCCTTCACGGTGTCGAGCAGCAGCTTTACAAAGTCTTCACGAAAATATAGGACACCCAGGCAGAGACAGGACAGTTTCTCTCCTCAAGGAAAGGTTCTACTGGCCTGGTATGACCAAGGACGTTGAGATTCACATACAATCTTGTGGCAGATGCATGAAGCGCAAGTCCTCCACCTCAATTCGTGCACCTCTGGTTAGTATCACAACATCTCAGCCACTTGAACTAGTGTGCATGGATTTTTTGACATTGGAACCCTCTACAGGTGGTCAGCAATATGTTCTTGTGATAACAGATCATTTTACTCGTTATGCACAGGCATATCCATCAAAGAACACTTCAGCAAGAACCACAGCAGAGCTGTTCTTCAACAACTTTGTAGTCCATTATGGTTTGCCCAAAAGGATTCATTCGGACAAGGGAGCTAACTTTGTGGGCAAGGTGATGACTGAGCTCTGTCAGATTCTAAAGATCGACAAGTCCTCCACAACACCTTATCATCCCATGGGTAATGGAATGTGCGAGAGGTTTAATAGGACATTGTGCAATATGCTTGGAACACTTGAACCTGAAGCCAAGAAGGATTGGAAGACCCATGTTGCACCACTAGTGCATGCGTACAACTGCACACGACATGAATCTACTGGACACTCTCCTTTCTATCTCATGTTCGGTCGTCATCCCAGACTTCCTATAGATCTGGCCTTTGGACTAGACATAGAACCTGTCACCACGAGATCAATTCTCAAGTATACCAAGACCTTTCAGGAAAAGCTGCGTAATGCCTATGAGATAGCTACTAGACAAGCCAAACAGTCTCAATCCCAGCAGAAGTCCTACTACGATCAGAGTGCAAGAGCAGCTGTATTAGATGTGGGTGACCGTGTCCTTGTTAAAGTAGTAGCTTTTGACGGTCGTCACAAACTAGCTGACAAGTGGGAAGATGACATTTACATTGTCACAAGCCAACCAAACCCTTCTATACCAGTGTATGTTGTTGAAAAGGAAAACGGAGGGGGCAGGAAGAAGACTCTTCATAGGAATCTGTTACTGCCCATTGGTTCTCTTCCTAGACCAGAAACATCTATTCCTGTACCCAAACCACGGAAAAGGAGGTCTAGCCCACGTCTGCAACCTACTATGAGAGAGACAACATCAATCGATAATGATCAAAACACCACCGCAGAGAGTGAAGATGATGACTTTGTACTTGTCCCCATCTCTTCATCAGAACCGTCAGTTTCAGCTGCAGATGTAGTTGATAGGCCAGCTGAGGTAGAGGCAGATATAGATAGTACTGCTGATGATGAAGATGCAGAGGACCAGTCACAGGAAGTTGCTCTAGATTTGGAGCAGGATGTGGGTGCATCTTCAGCGGTGGATAGATCCAACAATGATACATCTGACACAGCACAGACATCACAGGAGGACGAAACATCTGAAGTTCTGAATTTACCTTCAGAACCAGGGATAGCCCAAGATGTTAGCGTACCTCAAGAGAGATTGGTCACACCACCAGTACCATGTCCCAGGACATCCAGTCGTTCCAGGACTAAACCACAGTGGATGACCAGTGGTGAATATGTGAAGTCAGCAGCTGTACCAAAACCTGATTGGAAGTCCAGAGCAGAGTACCTCACTTCATTGATGCTCAGTGGTATTCTGACGAGTGATCCTGGACAAGTTCAAGACACTCTACTTCACCTTATCTCAGGCAAATGATGAGGACATCATTTAGTCCCAGGGGGGGAAGTGTGTGGTAGATAGTAGTTCTGTATATATCAATCATGTTTTATTAATTAGCTTTTAATTTACTATGTATGTTGTCAATAATGGTATTTTGTATATTTCAGATATTGCAGTAATCAAGAATTATTTATTGTATTTCTCATTTCAGGCTGCATACTTAAGTAGTTGTTAGTCAAGTATTATCATTAAAGCCCTATTCTAATGTCATGTTTTACTTAGTGGGTCAGTCAACTGCTTGGTGGTCAATCAGAGTGTAAGCCCAGGCGTCCTCTGGATTGGCTAGTTTTAAATCTCTGTGTCCCACTTTCAAACCCCTTTGTTTTCACCCTGCACTTGGCATTACTACTTCACTGTGCACTGGACTGGAAGAAAGGATATACTTATATAAAGGTTAGTAGTTAAAAGTTATAATTGTATTTTATGCCAGTATAATTAAGCAAATCACTTAAGTTTAATAAATGTCTATATAGATCCTTAATTATATTTAAACATGTCACATTTATTAGTATTAGTGTGTGCATGGTGAGTGTATGTATACTAGATATATTTCATTTCACTATATGTGTGTCTGTGTTAATCTAGGACATTTGTGTATTCTGTAACTTGAATTGTGTATTAATAAGTTGATAATAGTTTACATGTTATGTTCATGTGTGTAGATAAACATACCTTCATGATGTATTTTATATCATGAACAGGTTTTCACGAGGGATTTAATCTATTTACAAGGGATTGTGACCACCCAAATACACCCCAGTGGGATTCACCGGGTATATATATATGTATACTTATATATTGCTTGCATTGTAACATAATATTATATTTATTGTACCATATTTATATTAAATGTGTAAATCCATTAAACTTACATATCTAAGCTTATAATTGTGAAATGTTATAAATGATATATCATGTATAGCTTATAAGTGTAGTAGATTATTAATTAATCTGCTTCAGTTTTGATGTACTAGATATAATTGTATGTTTATTATTGTATTCATTGTTCCAGGGTGTCGGTTTATCACAACAGAAAATAAATAATCAGACCTCACACCCAAGCCTGTGTCATTATGTTATCTGGGACACATATGCACATATAATGGCTACCACATTACACTAACTTCAAAGCAATATACCACATCTATTGCTGAAGCAAAAGGATAATTAACATTTTTCACTAGTTTTTATTAAGTGTATTCTGTAAACTTATGGTAATGTCTTCGTTCACATTATTAAATGTTTTTAATTACAGAAATGACAGGTGGCAATTGCTAAATGATGAAGCTGGTGTGACAGATGTACCTGTGATGAAATGATCCCCACAAATACGGCTGTAATTGCTTGGTGTTAGGTTTGCATCTTCGAATATTGCAAGTGTCCATTTCGTTCTTGTTTCAAGATCACAAGGAATCCTGTAAAATTCTCGGCTTGACCCCTTATTGAACCTGTTCTTGCACCCCGGAACACAACACGTTGTTACCATTGTCAAACGTTAGACTGACATTTTGAACAGAATAATATTTAAAAGTGATATTGATGACGTTCTCGCTGAACTAGTGCCAACCAGTAAATGCGCATGCGTTTATATCTGAGGGATGCGTCATCCGTCAGTATGGCATATTTGTCCCAAACTCCGCACATGGTCTTCGAATGCTTCTGGAAAAGGAACAGGCGTCGGATGTTGCGATATGGAGTTTAAATACCCAATACACCGCGCCAACGAGTCGCCTATCGCTAGAGACCCTAGCCCTGATAATGTTGCGAGTTTGTAAATTTCCGTGTCTATATTTAGCAACAAAATACGATACTCAAGCTTGGCACCGTCTCCAGATAACTTAAATTGACGTCCCGCAAAGAGCTCAGGAAACCAGTTATCAAGCAAACATGATTTAGGGGCATTAAATACATAAAATTGAGGCGTGCTAGCTACAATGGAACCACCAATACATTGCCTCTACAAAAAATGCAAATATACAGATAAAACAGCAGCTGATGACGATATTTCGTTTGTACCATTTCCGAAACCTTTGACTCCAAGAGTCCGCAAACGAGTAGAGAAATGGTTGTATGCATGTGGAAGAAGCGACATCCCTGTCAGTTTTGTGGAGAAACATTACGACAGATGTTACGTATGCTGTACCCATTTCATTGGCAGTGATGGTCCGACCAAGCTGTGTCCAGACCCCATATGTTTCCTAAGAGATGAACCTTCAGAGGTAAAAAAAAGAAACAAAAAGCATAAATATCAGCCTTTTTTGTCCAACGAAAGATACGACCTAAACATGCTAAGCCCAGCAAACGACATGCTAAGATAACAAGTGTCCCCACCCCCAAGGCATCCCATTTGTCATGGCATCCCATTGGCTAGCCGAGAGCCACGATGGGGTCCTACAGTCATGAGATCCAGAGAGGGTTTCCTAGGAGACCGGACGCAGACCCCACCCACACACACACACATTTTTTAAAACCCAATGTAGTATGTTGGAGGATTTTAATATTTTGGACCCATCCCCATTGAAAATGCTGGATCTGCCCTTGCCTCCAATTTAAGAATTCTTGAGTCATATCAGTGTACGCAGCTGGTACTTGTTAATTGATTGGAAATTTCACCAAGAATGCATTTATAACCATATGCCTGCTAGTCATGGGGTTAAATATTTTATTGATTTGTCACTCCTCACAAGAAAAAAAATTGAAAAATAAATTTCAGCACTAAAATGTTGACATCCATGTACCAGATAAACATTTCATGGCATCCAGTGTACTGCACCACAGCCTCCGGAATAGCAAAAGCTGGTTGGCACCCTCATTATAGTACGGGTGGAACCATTTAGGGCGAAGAGAGTAGACTAGATGAACAACTGGTAAACTGGGAAGAAATGGGCAGGCCATTGTATTTTGTCGAATCTGACACTTGACCTTGCAAAGTACTTTCTTTAAATAAAGCTTTTTTTCCAGCATTGATGTCACTTGTAGGATATTGATGAAATAATACAAAACGTTCATACTTGACATAATAACTTAAGGAAGTACCACAAGGATCCCTTTGCCCAATGTGGTACAAGAATTGGAAAGTACAAGACTAAATGGAATACTTATACAATTGCCCTAAAGACACTGTTTTAATAAAGGCCCAAATGATTGTGGAAAAGTTGATTTATACAGGCGCAGGCTAAAACGGCTCCTCAGCAGAACGACACTAATTTCATTAGGGGAACACAAGCTATAGATTAGCAATCGCTTGCCTGGTAAACTACAATTTATTCACTCATTTTTTTCATCATGTTAATTCCTTTTTTGAGGTCCTTGATGTTTTTGTTGTACATACATCAGTCACAAAACATAGTGGAAAAAATGTAAAACATTGGTGTTTTTTCTAAATGTTCAATGGCACAGTAGATTCTAAGGCATACAATTTTGCTTTACAGAGTTGTGTCCCTTAGGCGTTGTGTCTCTAATGACCATGGGTTTGAATCGCAGGTTTGCCCTGTTTATCATTCTTGGTTTGTCAGCAACTATGCTCTGGTTTCCACCAATGTGGTAAATATCAATGACCTGTATTCATGGTATCGTTCGGACATTCTTTCATATTAAACTGACATGCTTTGATGCAAGTGGAATATTCTTCAAAGCAGCATTAGACCCTTATTGCTCACTCAATAAATCTCACAGAGGAGTTACTATGCTCCAACCAATCTCATTAAAATCATATCTTAGTTCTCGCTACCACTAAACAAAGATCTGAGGACATCCCATTACGGTTCACGTCAGACCGACCAATAGAATGACCAATCAGGAGGAAGCTTTCAGGAAGGCACTAATTTCAAATTGACGACTACGCTTCGAAACATATTTTGACAAATTCTCGATTACAAATTTGAAAGCTAAACATAAGAACATTCTGGAATGGCTAATAGATGTCTAGTTTGTATGGATTCAGTCGTAAAACCCGTAACCATCGTTCGGAATACCCCGTGTTAATGTTTTCGAAATTGCATGATTAGAAATCACATTCGGACTGTCACTTTCATAATTACAGCCGACAATGCAGGACCATTAATACTACACCTCAACCTGGTCTAGACGTGAATACCCTCAGCAAGAAAATGATATCCTGCGAATTTTGCGATTTTTCCATCTTTTCACCCAATTGACTGCAGTACCTCATTCTTTCCACACGAATCAATCCCCATCCATACAGAAATGACCAATTCATTTGTGGTATTAATTGTGTATGGATTGGGGCAACAGTCTTGTCAGATATTTACGTTTATACTACTCTTGCGTTTCATTTTTTGCAGAGTATAGTTGTACTTTTAATAAGATTATATTCTAGTTAGCTTATTAACCCACATGATGATGATTGGAATATTGATCATTCTGATAACTTATTAAATAATTGACAACTTTCTTTATACAAGGATGTCCACAGTGATGAAGAAGGCCCCATCAATGAGGACCAGGCTAACCCAGTATCTGTCGGCAGGGTAATGTATATTGATTGTTAATCTTCATTGTGTATTTTGATTGAGAACATGGTACTATCAATGGGAGCTCACTTCTCACTTTCATTGTTCATTTAGCTGTTCCTGTTACCTTTAGTATATTGGTAGGGGGGCACGGGTGGTCCAGTCGTCTAAGGCGCCGCGATTAGCTGTGCAGAGTTGCGTCCCTTAGGAACGCTAGAAACCTATGATTGTGGGTTCGAATCCCGGTTCGCCCCAATTATGTTTCTAGGTTTGTCAGCACCATACCCAAGCTCGTGGGTTTCACCGAAGTGGTAAACATCTGAGACCTGCATCACTTTGGGCTTTCCTCCCACATTAAGCTGACACGCCGTGATATAACTGGAATACTGTTAAAAGCGGCATTAAACCCAACTCACTCACTCACTCACTCGTATATTGGTGCATAGATTCAGTTTGTTGAGGTTGATAAATGGGTTATCCACAAAATATTTGGTGCTGCTTACAAGTTTTTCTTTTGTGAACAGTACAGTCTGTGCCCAAACCTTTTAAGTCCTGACAACCGCCTCCGTGGTGTAGTTGTAGAGCGTCTGCTTGGAGAGCTGAAGGTCCAAGGTTCGATCCCCGGCTGCGTCATACCAAAAGACATTAAAAGATACTTGTTGTTATACTGCCTGGCACTCAGCATTAAGGGGCTAAAACAAGGACTTGCCGGCTCGGAGTCAGTATACTGTGTCTGAGTGGGGTATTCTCGTTAAACTGCGGCATGGTATCTCAGTGGGCTAGCGCTATAAATCGGCATCAGTCCAGACTAGTACAAGCAGCCACACACATAACCTAGCATGCACGTTGCTATATAAGTGCAATAATCTTGGATGCAATGTTAAACCCCATTTCACCTCACCTCACTTTAAGGTCCTGTCACGTAACATCATTTCCAGTAGATTTTTTGGGTGGTATAAAACTTTGAACGATCATCTTCAACACATGTTAATCAAGGTCATAAATGCAGAAGTGCAGATAGCATTCTTATTTATTCAGCTAGAGGCATGGGACTTATAGTTTTGAGGTTATAACAAAATGTTATGACTTCGGATTGTTACTTAACGACTTCATGTTAGACCATGGTCGCCTAGCATAGGATGTGGCCATTTGGGAACCAAAATGGTCATCAGGTAAAGAAGTGAAAAAATAAATGTCCAAATTTGATAGTCATGTTTAATGTTTTCGACATTAAGCATCAGCCTGGAGAGTGGAAGGTCAATGGTTTGATCCCCGACCACATCATACCAACAGATGTTAAAAGATGGTACTTGTTGTTATCCTGCCTGGTGGTAGGCATTTAACTTAATGGGATGAAACAAGGACTGGTCGGCTCAGAGTCAGTATACTGTTCAACACTGTGTCCAATGGCGATGTGCATGCATGTGTAGCAGCCATAAAATTTCCGAGCTCCGTGATGGAATTCGAACCACGGACCTTCTGATCCGAGGTCGGACGCCTTGTCCACATGACCAAAGAGGTTAACCTTGTCAGCAAGCTGATAAGGTGAGGATGTCATCTTTGGGATGACTCCACGTCCTGCTACACATGCATGCACATCGCTATTGGACACAGTGTTCAACTCAATTTCACCTCACCTATTCTCTGTTTTCAGGCGAGGAGAAGGTGTTGTGTCCCAGGATGCACCATGCAGGGACACAGGAAAGTTGAAGGTCACGGTGTGGTCTCCTACCATTCCTTTCCCACATTGTGCAGTGTACAAAGGAGGGTATGGGCCAATAGAATTGGTAGAGAAGAAAAGGTTGTTATCTACATAGTCCTTTTGTCGATAATTGTCCACTAAACACGCTTAGCGAAGCATCACTTGTCAGCTCACCTGGATGGATGATTTAAATGAGCTTATGCGCATTGTCCATCGTCCATGCATTGTCCATCGTCCATGCATTGTCCATCGTCCATGCATCATGAACAGCTGGGCGACATTTTGTCTTACATTTAGGTTTATGAATCCACAAACCCTGACAACAAACTGATGCTGGGAAAATGTAACTGACAACAACAAAAAATAATTTTAATACCAGTCTTTTCCTTGTGTCCCTATAAGTATGTAAGCTGGTATATAATATGTAAAAATGTACATAGTAAGGAACCCAAAGTCTGATGTCCAACAGATATCGTAACCATCATGAAGTTTACCGATATTGTTAAACAAAGATCTGAGGACATCCTGTTATGGGTGACATCAGAGCGACCAAATACGATGGAATCACTTTTAATTTATTATTTTCAGATGAACGATTCAGTGAAGGTCTGCTCGCTTCATTTCTCACCTGAAGTGTACGATCTGCGTGCCTCCCACAGGAGATGCTTGAAGAGGGGAGCTCTGCCCACACTGTTGATGCCAACACCAAAATCGCAACCCTTGAAGTCAAGCCAAGCTCTTTTGGAAAGTGAAGTCAACATTTGTAATGCAATGGCTTCAACCACTGATGAAGGCGGGGACGTACAGGTAAATGGCCAGTACAGACTTAACTGTGGCATTCAATGCTGATTTTACAGAGAGAAAAATGAAGGGCAGGGGAAGAAGTGGAAATTTAAAATTAAATAAGCCAAACTTTTTAGAACACAATAATGCTTCTGTTTGATTTTATTTGAAATTGACGGATGACAAAGTAGACACAATTTGTAGATAACAACTTCTTTAACATTTCGGTATAGGTCCCTATGTCAAGCAAAACTGACAATTACATGTAAGTGTTGTTTGACAACACCGAAACTCCGCTATAACAGTATTTTAAAGTAGTTGTTATCCAGAAATTGTGTCCACTGTGAAAATAATATTTTGATGAGTCAGAGTTTTCAGGTGATAAAGAGTTTAATTTCTGGGAAGTAGACTGATTGGTTTACATATTGTTCTGAAGTTATTTTTCAAATTTAGTAAAATAGAAGCATGCCCTTTCAAAGGTTGAAAAAGTCATATAAATGTCCTGATACCATTTGTCTTTGACAAAATCACTTTGATACTATTAACATTGATCAAGGATGGTGATTTTATATTGTTTGCAATTTTTTCTAATAGAATTCTCTTCAAATGTGTTTCATAAAATGTAAGGTACCTCCTAGACCATTTTTGGAAAATGTAAATATACATCTCAATGCCAAAAGTGATTCCACTGAAGAGGAGACCCACTGGTGATTCCGGGTTAGAATTGGTCTTCAGCAAGCATGCTTGTCATAAGAGGCGACTAACAGGATTGGGTGGTCAGGCTCGCTGACTTGGTTGATGCACACCGTCGTATCACAGTTGTGCAGATCGATGCTCATGATGTCAATCACTGGATTGTCTGGTCCATTTTCAATTATTTACAGCTGGAATATTGCTAAACAACAAACAAAAAAACAAAAAAATGTGGTTTAGAGTAGGTCCCCAGAAGGTCGCCAGTCACAGACAACCAAATGGATCGGGTTGTCAGGGCCGGGGACTTGGCTTGGATTGTTGTTCACAATTGATCACTGGATTGTCTGGTTCAGATTCCCTTATTTACTGGCCGCAGTCCTAAAGCTGGAATATTGCATGAAAAGATTTGGAAAAAATCTGTTGATGCTAAGTACGCATGTATGCATAGACTCGTTATTCCAGCCAAAATATAACTCCATAATTCCAGGCTAGTTCGGCAAGGGTAGAAACTGGATTTTTATAGCTATAACTCTAAAGGGGGGCACCACGGTACTATTCAGGGAGTGTAGAGGAGGTGCTGGCAAGCATGTCTTGCTTTAGGAAACGATTACATCATCTCAGCAAACAATTAATGTCTTGATCAGTGTTCAGTGAGTGGTGAAACCTCCACACTAACACTAGAACAATAACCAGCAATGTCCAGAGTAGCAATGAACAGGCATGCTACCAGTAGGGAAGGACATGCTTGCCCTTTGCACAAACACCTGGTGTCATCACCGATTTAATAATCCATTCATTTATTTCTCACCTCTGTTGTGCCTTATACACCCAATATAATCTGTTTTGGCAGAAAATAAACACTAATTTTACCCTGGCATTGACGTTTTATATTTAGAAGAAAATGGTTTCAGGATTTGTACTATGATATCTAGATACTGTGACTGTTGAACATCTATATGTAATTTGGAAATTACTCCAACTGGGCCATTTCAGGATGTGATATTTACACAACATAGCAAGCCTATTATCATATTTATATTGTAACTTCTTTCATTAAACTGTGGGGGCAAGGGGGCACGTTGTCTAAGGTGCCACAATTCGCTGTGCAGAGTTGCGTTCCTTGGCCATGCCAGGAACCTGTGATGTGGGTTGGAATCCCTGTTCATCCCAAATATGTTTCAAGGTTTTCAGCACCATACCCATGATTGTGGGTTCCACCATAGTGGTAAACGTCTGAGACCGGCATCACTTCAGGTTTTCCTCCCACATTAAGCTGACACATTGTGATATGACTGGAATACCGTTCAAAATGGTTAAACTCACTTGTTAAACTGTTCCAGAATGCTACGGTTTGCTGTGTGAAGGACTGTGGTTCTGTGTCTGGCAGAGACAGGTTGACCACCTTCTACCCCATCCCCCAGGATGACGACCAGCTCCAGGAGCTGTGGAGAGATGCTCTGAAACTGGGGACAGGTTTCCTTCCAGAGGATGGACACGTCTGCAGCAAGCACTTCATATCAGGTGAGGGAGACTATTACATTAGGCAACTAATTGCTTCAGCTGGTCAGGCTCGGTCACCTGGTTAGTGGAGTGTCTTTGTACCCTGACTGCATGAAATGTCAATACATCAGTGTGGGCCAAATCACTGATCATTATTTACAGAGAGTTTGTGTTTGTCTTTTCATTGTGGCATGGTATTATGGAGATAAACCAACTGTGTTTTCAATTTAGAGGTTTCAAACTTTGATTTGATACCTGTAAATATTTTAAATTTAAACCTTTACTGAATTTATTGAATCTATGTTCAAAACCTCTAAATTGAAAAAACCATGAGGTTTATCTTCAAAATTTATACTACATACTCTTTCATCAGTCGCCATGATACCATAGCTTTGGTTGCTGTGGTTGCTGGTGGCTTATAGCCCATCTTTAAATAGCACTGTTATGCTAAAATATGTCTGACAAATTTGCTTTTGAATATAACTTTGATGTATATATATGACATGCTTGCAGCAAAACATGTTCTCATCACTCTATGGCTAAAATGGGGACATGGGTGGCGATTCGTTGTGCAGAGTTGCATCCCTTGGGCATGCCAGAAAAATAATTGTGGGTTTGAATCCCGGTTCGCCCCGATTACGTTTCTAGATTTGTCAGCACCATACCAGTGCTCGTCGGTTTCACCAAAGTGGTAAACGTCTAAGACCTGTATCACTTGGGGCTATCCTCCCACATTAAGTTGACATGCTGCGATAAAACTGTAATACTGTTAAAAGCGGCGTTAAACCCATTTCACTCACTCACTCACTATGGCTGAAATAACGCTGATGTGACGTTTTTTTTTACCTCACTCACTTCTCTTTCATCAACAGTGTTGGGGAGATTTATCTCAAGTTACCTGAAGTATATTTTTTCAGGATTCAAGTCTGACTTCCCCCCGCACCCTGACTATACACCATCTATTCTCCCATCCTCATCTGTTGAGGAAGTAAAGGCGCTGAGAAATACTCTTCGAGAGTAAGTAAAAATTCCTGTGGTATTCAGACAGTGGGTACCCTTGTGCTTAAAGCATTCGCTCTTCATGACGAAGATCTGGCTTTGATTCCCCATATGGGAACAATATTTGAAGTCCATTTCTGGTGTCCTCCGCTGTGATTTTTGGAATATTTCTAAAAGCGGTGTAAAACCATATTCACTCAATCACTCCTGTTGTATTCAGAGTTATTGTGAGTAGAAGCCATGTGGCACGGTTAGCCTGGTGATCCAAGACACTATAGCTCACTGCTTAGTAGCAACCTCGTCTCAGAAATTTATTTTTTTTACATGACTAATCCAGAGGCCTAGTGTAAACTTCCTTTCTCCGGTCCTCAGAGTTTGTACCTGATTGAACAAGAAAAAAAATGTTAACTATTTTTTACATTTTCTGTCAATTTTATTCTGTTCCAATTTGAAGCAAAACTGAATCATTGAGAACGGGTTCAGAATCATAGCCCTCAAATGCTACTGGTCAACGAGGACGACTACCATTGACTTTTACTTGTCCTCAGCACAATTTAATAGTCTCAGGCTAGTTGACTAGCATCAAATTTGAATTTTGAGGTGCTTGAAGTGGCACTTCCCTGCCATGTTCAGTCAGGTATCCTAGTGGTTAAAGCGTTCGCTCGACAAGTTGAAGACCAAGGTTCAATTCCCAGCAAGGCTATAATGAATAAAGCCCATTTCTGGTATCCCCTGCAGCGATATTGCTGAAAAATTTCTAAAAGCGTTGTAAAACCTCACTCACTCACGCACGCACACACGCACGCACCCATCCACCCACCCACCCATACAATCCTGTGTCCACACATATGTTCATATATATGTTGATATAACTGTAAATAAAATACAGTGGTAAAGTAAATGGATTGCAAGTTATTGGTTGGCTGACCATGCAAGTTTGTTTTTGTATACCTAAAACAATAGGCTATGCCCACTAATGAACTATTGCTTCCTGTCTTTTAATTTGTTGATGGATTCTTTCCAGTTTCGAGAGCGGCAATGCTGTGAGAAAGATGAAGTACAACTGCAAATCTCTGCAACAACACTGGTTTGAATGTGGCTTCAACAGAGCCGATCTTAAACTGGGCATGAAAAGGGTTAAAGCTGTCAAACGTGCGCACGAACGAATAAAACGCCAAGAACATCTGATATCAAAAGCAAAGAGACAGAAAATAAGATCTGAAAATAAGAGGACAGAAGACCATGGATCGCAAGAGATTAAACAAGAACCCGATTCAGAATTCGAGCAGAGGGATGATGAATTTGTTATCGAGAATGAACGAGCGGAGGAATACGAGGAAGATTGTGATGACCTTGACCTTTCTGTCGTCAAGCAGGAACCCATGTCAGAACACAAGGTGGACATGAAAACAGAGGACAGCCAGAACTGGTTTTCCCGGTCAGTTCCAGGTTCATCATGTCGTCGGGAGGAGGAGGACATGGAGGACCCCTGTTCCAAAGATGCCACTTGTGCCTTCACTGTGGTGAGAACAGATGGGAAAGTTATGATGTCAGAGAAGGCAATCAAGACTGAACCTGAGGATGAAGAGTATGAGAAAGCAATGGCACCAGCTGCACACCAAAACAGTCAGGACTTCTGTGATGAGATGCTGACTGTTCATTTTGATGGGCAGAAGAAGTTGAGACATAAAAATCTAGGAACTGCTTCTACTAAATCTGAACGTGAAACTGTCCACGTAAAGAAGAGGAGCAATGTTTCTGAACCAAATGTGAACAGTTTGAATCAAGTTGATGATATACAGAATGATAGAAGTCAAGTATCAAGTATTCCAGTCAAGACAGTTGTGGCACTTAACCCTCAGACATTCAGATCTGGTGTCTCAACCAAAACAACTTTTGTGGTTCCAAGAGAAAATATCATCACACTTTTAATGGATAAACCTGGAAATCCATGTCAGGAACATTCTGCAGTTGGTCCGGGTAAAACAAGCACTGAATTCACTGCAGAGACATGTAATCAACAAAACTCAACTTTGAACAAGTTGCAGGAATCTGACACTGTGGTTAAGAAGCACAAAGGGAATGCCACCAATCGGGTAGATCAGAACGGATGTGATTTTGAAGGTTTGAGCATTAGTTTGGATCAGAGACAAAGATGTTCTAATTCAGAAGTTGACAAGATGTCCCATATTTCAGATAGTACTTCATCAGATATGTTGATTCAATCTCAGGATGTGGGAGAAACACAGAAGGAAGAAGGACCTTCAGACCATGAAGTACCTCCTTCAGATGCTGTGTTAAAGAAACATACAATGGACAAGGAACGAAAGGACTTCAGCTCGGCATCAGGAGGAGGTTCTGTTTCTGGGCTTCGAGCCAGTTCGGCTTGTGTAGCACCACCACACACAGAGGAAACTCCTGACACTCATGTAGGTGACACATCCACCACATCAGATCAGACATCAGCACTTCCAGAGCCCGAGGATCCAAACTCCAAATTGTGCCAGACCAAAAAATCCTTATCCAAAGAATATACTTTTGAAAAATTACTGAATAAAATGCAGATACAGGTAACGTCATCAGAAATGAAAAGCCTCCTTATGGAGAAACTGGACCCACATGGAGTGTGTCCTTCATTTCAGAGAAGCGGCAGAATGATGGCCAATACTTCTGTTCAGTCACTTACAGATAAAGTGGTTCTTCATGACCTCAATGTGCAGTGTGTAAGATTAAACAAAGAAGTCAAGCAACACAGAAAGAAACTGAAAAACCTAACCTACGATTTCCTGGACGATGGACTGAAAGTAACAAATGGAAACGTGTTGGGTCACACAGGCTGTTACACAGTTACCTCCCTTGTAGAGCTGTACGAGTATGTTTCAATATGCCTGGAGACACCTCCACTGGACGACATCTCAAACTCCCAGGAACTCATCTTGACTCTTATGAAACTAAGACTTGGTCTCCACAATTACGACCTGGCTTTTCGATTTCAGGTTGATCCCACTGCTGTTCCAAGAATATTAAACAAGTGGATATCCATCCTCTTCAACACTCTTTCCCCATTGATCAAGTGGCCTGATGCTGAACCTGAAAGAACAGAACACAGAAACCAGCGATGGAGACTCCTGAAGCTGAGGTACGACCTCCTCATGGCTTATGATGGAATTGACAGCATGAAGGACACCTGGCTGATGGAGCAGGATGTGGATGACATTATCAAGATCTGTGATGTTCTCAACAGCTTTGTTGTCCCGGACCAGCCAGAGTCTAGATATGTTCCAATCCAGCCAGAAACGGCAACCTATTTCATTGAACAGGTGAGACAGGCTGTGATTGCTGGAGACCATGGTGCAATGGAAAAATCCAAAGAAAAACAAGATTCTGGGACAAATGAAGACAATATCGGCAAGAATGAACCCAAGTGCCCCGAAAATCCAGACAAAGAAAAAGATGAAGAGTCCAAATCCATCAAAGACCCTCCACAGAGAGTGGGTGATGATATTGACGGGGAATTTGAACCAGAGGAGGCCCCTGGCAATGAAAGGCTCCATCAAGACTCAGTCAAGGGCAGTAACTATGCTCACCAGAAGGAAGTGGATATGTACAGAGAGATACAACTTGATGTTTTGGGGAAGAGGAGTGGGTGTAAGATAATAACATCACTGATCGCTGTATCTAAGAGTGGGGGAATCCTGATAGGGCCTCCGAGTGTGGAAGTGGAGGTTGAGACGCAACCCTCAGAGGAGTGGCCGACGTCTCTCGACTTTGAGAAGGTCTGTAGCGTTATCATGGATGATGAAAGTGACTGCATGGACTGAAAAATGAGAATTACTAAAAATGACTTCTACCTCAGGTTGTTTAGAATGCTGCTTTGATCTTTCTGACACAGGTCCTTTTGAAGTGCTGCTCTGAAGAGCTGTGTTCCTTAGGGACCGACCGTTTCTGGGTGTGTGTGGGGAGGAGGGTGCCTGTGATTTTGTATAGAGATCACATATTTCTTCAGTTATGGCTACAAACCAGATATTGTTTTATTTAATACTATGAGCCTGAATTAGAAAAAACACCTTGCAACAATGTAATGTTTTGGCAGCCATTTTTTTTTTAACCGACTGAAACATAATTATCTTTTTAAAAAAAATTCGGGGACAATTTATTTTTTTCAATAAAATCCCAGTCCCCCACCGACCCAGAATATCAAATTTGGTCTCTTAGTCTAGGATCCACTCAGCGTGGGTTTGAATCCCGAATTCTTCTTGATAATGATCCTGGTTTGTCAACACCATATCTATGATAAGTTTCTCTGAAGTGGAAAAGATCTGTGACCTACATCACAATTCCCACACATTAAGCTGGCATTCTGTGATATGACTGAAATACTGATCAAGGTGCTGTCACACCCAACTCACTGACTCATGGGTCCTGGTTCTCTTGCATTATCTTGTGTCTTTGAAGGAGCATGTGTAGGACCTGAGAGTATCATGTTTTCAACATGAACACACAATGTCATTTAGAAAGTGGTCAAATGAATTTGGTTCAGTTTGACGTGAGCATGATGTCTGCTCTTCAATAGACAGAACCAATATATTATGGCAGTTTCAAGAAACCGCACATTTAGCATCTTCTGGATTATTTATGTTGCAGCCGATTGTAGTACTACATATGTTTGTTAAATAAATTTGAAACAAACTTATTTCTACAGTAAACTATGGTTATGAATAACTCAAAGGGACCGCTAAATTTAGTTCTTTATAACAGTAGTTCGTTACAAGCACGTATACTGCATTCATGCACATACAGCAGATTGACGTGGAAAATGCAGTTACTAACATAGTTTACTGTACGTTTATCATCTAGTCCTTTGAAACACTGTACACACAAGGATGTACCAGTAAAATACTGTTTCTAGCAGCAGTTTCTTTTCATTTCATGCGACAGATTCTGTCTTTACAAGGTGAAATGGGGTTAAGGTCGCGTTTAAGATTATTGCTCTTGTATAGTGGGGTGCATACATATGTATGTGCGTGTGGCTGTGTGGCTGCTTGTACTAGTTCGAACTAATGCCGATTTTGATTGTGCTAGCCAACTGAGATACCATGCCGCAGTTTTACATGAATACCCCACTCAGTCAGTGTGCTGACTCCGAACCAATCTGTCCTTATTTTAGCCCGTTAATGCCGAGCGCCAGGTAGGGTAACAACATGTACAATCTTTTAATGTCTTTTGGTTTGAGGTGGCAGGGGACGGATCGCCCAACCTTTTGCTCTCTCGGCAGATGCTTCACCACTACACCACGGAGGCGGTCCTTATGATTTTCATCAAATGTTTCAAGTTGAATTATTTATATTATCCATCACAAAAATTATCATTTTCAGGACATTTAAGTATTTTAAACCAGTATGTTATTGCATTTTGGTATTTTTAAAGGGCTAGTCTTCAGGACTCGGCTGGTGCATCATTTTCCATGTTGTTGTTTTTAACACCAAACTCAGCTATATGATGGCAGTCTGTACATTTTGAAGTCTGGACGAGACAATCTATTGATTAACATCATGTGCATCATCTACGCAATTGGGATATGATGACATGCATCAACCAAATCAGCGAGTCTGTCCACCCGATCCCATTCCCCCTTTTGTCAAGTAATGCTGAAGACGCATGGGTATTTTAAGTCAGAATAATCCAATGCTTTTCCCAAGAGAATCGGTCCCAAACAACAGACCCAAGAGGTGACTTGATGGACAAGTAGTCAGACTATCAATCACTGGTTTGTCTGGTCCAGATTTAATTATCTACTGGCTGCAGTCATATAGCACGTACCTCTGGAACACAACAGTGTCTGTCCTCATAACGATATTCAGGATGACCTCATCTCCATCATCTTGTCCCTGACAGTGTGAACTTAAGGCTTTGTGAGTGAGTTAAGACTTAAGTTGGCATTGGCAATATTTCCGCCATATTCCGATGAGAACAAGTATTAATATCTACAAGCACATCATATCAACCGGTAAACAAACATATTTAAGCATTACAAGGACATTTTCAACTGTTTAAAACACATGAATGACTTTGTGAAACGTCCATAGACGTTATATAGGATGTGGGTTACCACTTGGTTCAGTAGACCCGTGAAGATCCAGGGTAAAATAGGTCTTCACCAACCCATGCTTGCTGTAAAAGGCGACTATGCTTGTTGTAAGAGGCGACTAACGGGATCGGGTGGTCAGGCTCGCTGACTTGGTTGATGCATGTCATCGATCCATATTGCGTGGATCGATGTTCATGATATAAATCACTGGATTGTCTGGTCCAGACTCGATTATTTTCAGACCGCCGTCATATAGCTGGAATACTGCTGAGTGCGGCGTTAAACAACAAACCAACCAACCAACCAACTTGGTTTAGTACCTCGAGTAAACATTCGAGTCTGGACAAGACAGTCCAGTGATTGACATAAGCATCGATCCACGCAGTTGGGATACAATGACATACAATCAACAACTCACCCGAGCCATTTAGTCGACACTTACAAGCACTGGTCGATGGGGACCAATATTCCTACACGGCATCACCACGAGTGTGGTTTAGTACCTGGAGATTGTAACGCTAAAAGGATTTCGTGAAACACCTAACTGCATTTTTGTTATAGGATTGGAAACACGGAAATCATTTAATCTGTACAATTTCTGATCCATGTGATTATCGTGGTGCCGAAAGTCAAATGAACAATGATTACAATTTCGCGATATCATGAAATAAGAACGTAATGTTGCTATATGTATTTGTGAATTTATTTTTTCAGCTATGTTATTGTTTATGGTGAAATCTCAGTGTGATTTCGGTTCAATATGGATGTTGGGGCGGTGGGGTAGCCTAGTGGTTAAAGCGTTCGCTCGTCACGCGGAAGGCCCTGGTTCGATTCCCCACATCGGTACAATGCGTTAGGACCATTCCTGGTGTCCCCCGCAGTGATATTGCTGGAATATTGCTAAAAGCGGCATAAAACCAATCTCACTCACTCACTCTACACCTATGTCTCAGGAGTCGTTACCGTCTGTAGGAGTAAGATGATACAGTATTACACTGTTAGCCATGTAAACACCGGATCAACATTTTGATTGACCTTTTTACCACAATCGTTAACTGAACACAGACACTGAAGCGCGATGTGCGTCTTGTCCTGTTTGTTTCACACGCCTACACCCAGTTTGTAAAACGGCAGATCGATGGCTTCTACTTCGATTATTATTCACTGTGTCATATTTGTTCAATCATCGATCACCCGTGAAGATCCGGATTAGAAAAGGTATTCAGCAACCCATTCTTGTAAGAGGTGACTGCTTGTCGTAAGGGGTCGTTCGGTCAGGTCCGCTGACTTGGTTTGATGCATGTCGTATCCCAATTGCGTGGATCGATGCTCATGATGTCAATCACTGGACTGTCTGGTCCAGACTTGATTATTACAGACCACCGTCATATAGCGGGAGTATTGCTGAGTGTTGCGTTAACCAAACAAACAAACAAACATCAATCATCGATGTATAGCAGAAGTCTGCTGATGCGCTGCTGAATTAACTCATCCAAACCATGAGTGAGTGAGTAAGGTTTAACGCCGCTTTTTACAGTAGTCCAGTTATAGCACGGCGTGTCAGCTTAACGTGGGAAGAATGCCCGAAGTGGTGCAGGTCTCAAACGTTTACCACTTCGGTGAAACCCACGAGCACGGATATGGTGCTGACAAACCTAGAAACATAATCGGAGCGAACCGGGATTCGAACCCACAATCATAGGTTCCTGGCGTTTCCGAGGGACGCAACTCTGCACAGCGAATTGCGGCGCCTTAGACGACTGGGCCACCCGTGCCCCCTCCAAACCATGGTATGTGTTTAAACGTATAAAATAATATAGCATCAGTATATAGTATATCAATCGATACAACGAAGAATATTGCTCGTATCTCTGTAAGATAACATCGTATATATATAATGCGGTTGCGTTGCCAATATAGGTAATTCAGTCACACACTTTCTCAGCGCGTGTGACGGTCCCCAGTTATCTCGTGGAGATGTGTGTATCTACAAAACGACCTTGACATTTATAACAGCCTGCTGACTACGCTCATTCAATCCCAGTCCCTGCCGTGGTAACATTCGACTGTCACTGCGCCGTCCAGAATGTCGTCGTTTGCTCCCACATCATCTGACTCTGGTCCTGCAGGTGCGCAATATGCCAAGTATGATGCACCTGACGCCGAGTTTTTCCCAGGTACGTTGTTGAATCTGAGTTTGTAAGTTTAACTCTACATTTACCAACAGCAGGACTGCTATTTCAGGGCTGTCAATCTTGAGCTTAAAGAAAAGTATGAAATGCATTGACATCGGTATGAATATTTATTTATGAAGTAAGGATGTGTCCTCGCCACGTGAATTAGCTTTTCATGTAGCTGAGTAGGCTGGGGACTGATCGAAGTTGAGCCAAGCTGTTATTTAAATACGGCCTGAGAAACCCGATATACGGGCGGCGACAAATGACGCCTGCAGATGTGTACAAGCTTATCTGGCATGAGAAACAAACGAGACTCTGAGTTAGAATTAATGATGTAAACTGGACGATATAATCACTTCTCGTGATAAGGCGTGTAGGGGATCCTATTCTACTCGGTGACATTCAGTGTGTCAGTGATTTCTTTATCATAATATGTGCACGTGGAAATTCCGGGCAGATCGTTATCCTAACAATAACCTATTCTTTTCGTAGGAGCCTAAAAAATGTGCCTCTTGCTGTCACGTTGCTGTATTGTCTGTGCCACAAAGCGATCTTAGCGTTAGACTCCCAATACATAGAGTGACGCTCAGATAGTTTTGTGGAACTGGTCTCAGGTTGACCAAGTGTCATCCCAACTTGGTTCGAAGCTGTCAACCATGGTTTGTCTGGTCCAGACTCGGAATACACAATAAAACACACATACAGTACCCATGACTTCACGAGACCGACTTGTATTAGGAAAATAAATAAAGTTTGCTCTTCCCCCATGTAGTGTTATATAGTGAGTGAGTGAGTGAGTTGGGTTTAACGCCGCTTTTAACAGTATTTCAGTTATATCACGGCGTGTCAGCTTAATGTGGGAGGAAAGCCCGAAGTGATGCAGGTCTCAGACGTTTACCACTTCGGTGAAACCCACGAGCACGGGTATGGTGCTGACAAACCTAGAAACATAATCTGGGCGAACCGGGATTCGAACCCACAATCATAGGTTTCTGGCGTGTCCAAGGGACGCAACTCTGCACAGCGAATCGCGGCGCCTTAGACGACTGGGCCACCCGTGCCCCCTAGTGTAATATAGTGTAGTTTTGTCCTGAACTATTATAGTTAGAGCACGACTACGCCTGCGTCTTCTGTGATCGTTTTGTTTCACCTCTCCAGTTCTTCTAGAAGTTGTTCTTCCTCCGCCATGTTTGTCGCACGGCGATGTCATGTCACGTCATTTCATGCCGACCCGTGAAGATCCGGGGTAGAATTGGTCTTCAGCAATACAACCCATGCTTGCCCTAAAAGGCGACAATGCTATGTGAGAGGCGACTCACGGAATCGGGTGGTCAGGCTCGCTGACTTGGTTGATGCATGTCATCGTATCCCAATTGCGTGGATCGATGTTCATGATGTCAATCACTGGATTGTCTGGTCCAGACTCGATTATTTACAGACCGCTATCATTAGCTGGAACAAACAAACAAAACAAACATTTCACGCCCAAGCCTTAGCTGCCCTTGCAGTTGGGTGCCCACGGCACGGGAATACACAGACACAGAAATGTACTCCACGTCTCAATGGGGCATGTACAGTCTTGGCGTTTAACTTGAGGCTGTCCCCATATCAACGTTGTCAGGGTAGAGGGTGAAGATATAGAACTGTATCAGGGCCATCCTAGCGATAACGCCAAACACTTTAATTAGTATACGGCAGAAGGGGCAGGTCACTCTGTTACTAATGGCAAGTTCAATGTCGTAACACAGCTTCACGTTACAAGGCCACGCTGGAATTATATGATATGTAGATACCCATCTTCATCAAAGACCAGGGGGCACGGGGGGCCCAGTCGTCTAAGGCGCCCCGATTCGCTGTGCAGAGTTGGCACACTTGGGCACGCCATAAACCTATGATTGTGGGTTCGAATCCCGGTTACGTTTCTAAGTTTGTCAGCACCATACCCGTGATTGTGGGTTTCACCGAAGTGGTAAACGTCTAAGACCTGCACCACTTCGGGCTTTCCTCCCACATTAAGCTGACACGCCGTGATATAACTTGAATAATGTTAAAAGCAGTGTTAGACCCAAGTCACTCACTCATATTGATGTTGATATTGTTGGTATAGTTATCAGAGTTGTAGTTCGTATTCTACGTGTAAGCCTTCGCAATGTCTTTACTGGACACCATTATTGAATTTCATGTATTTTAAGCTCGGCAGAATAGCTAATTGATACAGGCGTGTATTCGCCCTAGCAAAGATACATGGCTGTCGTCCGCGGAATACAAGCTTTATGAGTATGTGCATATGTGCAGCATGAAAACTCACAAGGTTCACAGTGATATATGGGGTGGGGGGCTGGGGGTTTGGGGGGGGGGGGGGGGGGAGGCAGTCGTCTAAGGCGCCGCGATTCGCTGTCCCTTGCGTTCCTTGGGCACGCCAGAAACCTATGATTGTACGTTCGAATCCCGGTTCGCCCCGATTATGTTTCTAGGTTTGTCAGCACCATACCCGTGATTGTGGGTTTCACCGAAGTGGTAAGCGTCTGAGACCTGAATCGCTTCGGGATTTCCTCCCACATTAAGCTGACACGCCGCGATGTGACTGGAATACTGTTAAAAGCGGCGTTAAACCCAACTCACTCACTCACTCACTTACAGTGACATGGCGTCAGATTGCACCACACGTGTCTTTTGTTTCTTGGCCTTCATTGAAAACGCGCTTCCCACCATCACCGTGTAGGGGCGGTGGGTAGCCTTGTGGTTAAATCGTTCGCTCGTCACGCCGAAGACCCGGGTTCGATTCTTCACATGGGTACAATGTGTGAAGCCCATGTCTGGTGTCCCCCGCGGTGATATTACTGGAATTTTGCTAAAGGCGGCATAAAACCACACTCGTTCACTCATCGTCATACGAATGAGCACGGAATCCATTATCTGTGTGTCCTGGTTAATGAGTGAGAGAGATCGGTTTAACGCCGCTTTTAGCAATATTAGTAATATTGAAGCAAGATCAGGGCGGTGAAATAGATTTCACACATATTGTATATACCATGCAGGGAATCAAACCCGGCCCCTCTGCGTGGCGAGCGAACACTTTTACCACTAGGCTATCTCTACCCTTTGGATAATAACTTGTATACATGTGTATACAAGAGCTACGTCGTTGATTAACACAGAGGTGCTCTTATTATTCTGGTCCTGTACTCCGATGGCATGAGACGTTGCTCATAGCAACCAGACTCGATTATTTACAGGCAGACGTCATATAAAAGAATATTACCGAGTACTGGGTTAATCAACCAGCCAACCAACCAACCAACAAACAAAGCTGCTAAATCAACCCAATCAAATTACACACAGAGACAATAGAATGGGGTGTTATTGTTAAGAGATGGAGACAGTGACGTTTAGTTTGTAATAACCGTAGTTCGTTATAAGCATACATACAGCATATATACAACAAATGGTCGGGACTAAAAAATAAGTTCGTTATATCGGTCAGTTCGTTATAAGCATGTTCGTTATAAACGTAGTTTACTGTACCCCTTTCGGGAAGCTTAAACACATTAAGACCTATTCTGCCCCAGAATCCATGTGGGATGCTACATTCGGAAATAAAGGAAATATGAACCTGTTATGCTGGATAGTACCTTAGTTTAATCTTATCACAATGACTCTCGTCAGATTACAAAAACAATACTCATTAATCTTGAATCTATCTCCCGCTGACGTGAGTTCCCAGAAGAAGACCCTTGACATTCAGGATATCTCACGATATTGAACATGTGGCTACTGATAGTCTTGGAGTGGGCTGTCACTTACGATATCAGTCATATCCCAGCATGATTGAGCACTGTCTATCCCAAGGAGCAGTTCACATGAGGACAAAGGGGGCGGGGTAGCCTGGTTAAAGCGTTGTCTCTTCACACAACATAACCGTGTTCGAATCCCAACATGGTTACAATGTATGCCCCCATTCTTGGTATCCCCCGTCATGACGTGGCGAGAATATTGCTCATTAGCTCGGAAGGACAAAACCACCTCAAAGGCCACCGTTACATTTACGAGTATCTAGAATCCTGCCAAACATTCGATCTTATGTTCGTTTGTTTATTGTCAACGTCTCACCCAGCAGTATTCCAGGTTTATAAGCGGGCTGTAAATAATCGAGTCTGGGCCAGCCATTCCAATGATTGATATCATGAGCATCGATCCACGCAACTGGGATACGATGACATGCATCAACCAAGTCAGCGAGCCTGACCACCCGATCCCGTTAGTCGCCTCTAACGACAAGCATAGTCGCTTTTTACGGCAAGCATGGGTTGGTGAAGACCTATTCTACCCCGGATCTTCACGGGTCTCGATCTTATGATGTCGCTTAGCAAGAAAATCTCGTTCCTCGGCTTGAATAAGTCTCGATCATATTTGTCTCAATCACTGTCGTATTTATTATTCCTAGAATTTTCAACCTCACATTTTTTCTTAAGGCATTGGGAATATAGAGTTCAAGCCTGATGGGGGCCCAGCTGACACCCTGGTGTATAAACAGTATAACCCCTCCGAGGTAAGTTTACCCCACATCTGGCCATGGCTTAGTCTTTTGGTTCATGTTCATGATTCCTTATGAATTTGATCGTTACAGTGACATGAAGCTATGCAGTAACTTCATAAAACATTGACGCACTCCCCTAAATGGTAATGTGTTTTATCATCCAAAACTGGCTCCCACAGGAGATATCGCTTGGGTGACATCAAGCGATATCTATATTATTGATATCGCTGCAATGAAATTGCATCACAATGCTTTGCAGACCATTGTGACGTCACTGATTACCATGACGTCAAAATCAAATGACATCTGCCACTGACATGACTGAAGCTGTTAACAGTACTTTTAACACTTGAGACAATGCATATTACTGTCTACAAACTGCAAAAGTTGGAAGGATGAAGTTGGATGATAAATAAAATCTCACCCGAGTGTCTTTTGATATCAAATATATCAACACTCGTTGATAAAAGGGGAAAAATCCTCGGCAAGCCTCGGAGTTTTTCCACTTTTATCAACTCGTGTTGATATAATTGATATCGAAAGACACTCGGGTGAGATTCTCTATTTATCATCCCAAAACTAGCTTCCATAGGAGCTATCGCTACACTGAAATTGCATCACCATGCCTTGCAGACCATTATGACGTCATCGGTTACAATGTCACAATCAAATGGCATCACTTATCTCTATGCCCTGAAGCTGGTTACACTCAAGACACTGTTTATTTCTTTTAAAACGTTATTTTTTGGAAATATATCAACATTGGACGATAAACGTGTACTACTCCTCGTCACTGGGTGAGATTGTGTATTTCCCATGTGTTGTTTCTGTAGACTGTGCAGGGGAGGACGATGGAGGAGTGGCTGAGGTTCTCCGTGTGTTTCTGGCACACCTTCAGAGGGACAGGTAATGACCTTGTTTCAGGCGGAGTCTCCTACATTCCACACAAAGCCCATCACTTCACTATTAGATCGACCGCCTCCGTGGTCTAGTGGTACAGCGTCCGCCCGGAGAGCGGAAGGTCCGAGGATTGATCCCCGGCCGCGTCATACCAAAAAACGTTAAAATATGGTACTTGTTGTTCCCTTGTCTGGCGCTCGTCTTTAAGGGGTTAAAACAAGGACTTGTCGGTTCGGAGTCAGTATACTGTGTCTGAATTAAACTGCGGCATGGTATCTCAGTGGGCTAGCACTATGAATCGGCATCAGTCCGGACTAGTACAAGCAACCACACGCAAACACGTGCATGCAAGTCGCTATAGAAGTGCAATAATCTTGGACGCGACGTTAAACCACATTTCACCTCACCTTATTATTAGATTATGTATATTTAAAGAATAACCTACGAGCTACCTGGAAGTACGGTTTATATGCCCCAAATGAATTAACGTTAAACCCTTTGCAATGAAACTATTGGCGTGAACTTACATGAAGTAAAACCCTAAAGCGGCGTTAAACCCTCAATAAATCATTGATGTCAAGGCGCTGACCCGTTTGGCTTCCCGACCTTGAACCGACCTTGGGACGACGGCAGTGACACCATCGCCAACGCCAAGAGGAGGTTGAGAGCAGGATTCGAGTTCTTCTCCAAACTTGGGGTCAAATACTGGACCTTCCACGACAGGTAAACATGAACACACTCCAGCAAATGCCTTGTGTTGAAATGTTTCCTGAATTATTATTTATGGCAGCCATAATTTCTCTTGAGATAATACCTTGCCTCTGAAGCCGCAATGGGCGATGGGTAGCTGACTGGTCAGACAGACCCGTCACGCAGTTTGGTTCCAAATATGGGTACAACGTTTAAAGCCCATTTGTGTTGTCACATATATATAGTTGGAATTTTGTTGAACTTTACAATATAACATTCTCTTAATGAAATGCAACAAGCAGCATCGATTATCTTATTACATGTTGTGTAACTGTCGATTGCAATGCCTATCGTACTAGACTTTTCAATGGCGTCCTGTTTCTTTGCATAGTATTATTTGTCTCGGTACTTGCAACCACATGACTAAACATACATTTCTCTTGTAGAATCTCTCAGCAAGTGTCGGTGGTTTGTTTGATCAAAATGAGATAAAGGTTTCACATAGATATTCCAAAAGATAAACGGAAGTTTATGATATATGTAAATAAAGAAGGCTGGTTCTTAACTATATTGCAGGCGTGTGCATAATATACATATTTAGGGGTACACGTGCATTTTACCGGACATCTATCCGCCATGTTTGTTTCTTGGTGCTAATAAAGCCGCAGGCTATTTGAAAAATCAAAAAACAATTCAGAGATATCGAAAATAGGACACGAAGAAATTACTCGAAAATAGACGTTCCATAATCGGGGCCACATTCAACAGATATGTCCCTGTGCAGTTTTCATTCACTTTGGTAACTAATAACTACATTTACTAACGAATGTATTTAATTCAAGCCCCTAAAACCCCGTCATTTTAGCAAGGCGGCCAAAAATGACGTCTGAAACATGTAGAAAATGTTACTAAGAAAGGATATTCCTAACCAAAATGGCGGAAGGTGCCTGGTAAAATGCAAAAGCCGTGATCAGCAATAGTATTGATCTAGTATTGATCTACTTTGATGTCACTGTGCTTTGTTGTTTCCATAGTAATGCCAGGCTTCCCAGCTCGCGGGTTCAGAAATTTCAGATTCGCCCCAGAAACCATCAGTGGTCTGCTAACACCATACCCATGCTCGCAGCAACACTTTTTGTTTTCTACGGCCACTGACGCCCTGATATAACTGACATACTGTTCAACTCGACATACACCAAGCCCCCTACTATCTAAGCTGATCATACACTGCCCCTCTTCCAGGGACATCGCCCCCGAGGGAGCCACTCTGGAGGAGTCCAACAAAAACCTGGACGAGATCGTCGACCTGGCCGAGCAGCTGCAGAAGAAGACTGGAGTCAAACTGTTATGGGCAACCTGCAACTTGTTTGCCCACCCCAGGTAATACGCATGGCAACCTGCAACTTGTTTGCCCACCCTAGGAAATAAGTATGGCGACCTGCAACTTGTTTGCCCACCCTAGGATATTAGCATGGCAACCTGCAACATGTTTGTCCACCCTAGGTAGTAAGCATGGCAACCTGCAACATGTTTGTCCACCCTAGGTAGTAAGCATGGCAACCTGCAACATGTTTGTCCACCCTAGGTAAAAAGTATGGCAACCTGCAACTTGTTTGCCCACCCTAGGTAATAAGCACGGCAACCTGCAACTTGTTTGCCCACCCTAGGTAATTAGCATGGCAACCTGCAACATGTTTGTCCACCCTAGGTAATAAGTATGGCAACCTGCAACTTGTTTGCCCACCCTAGGTAATAAGCATGGCAACCTGCAACATGTTTGTCCACCCTAGGTAATAAGTATGGCAACCTGCAACTTGTTTGCCCACCCTAGGTAATTAGCATGGCAACCTGCAACATGTTTGTCCACCCTAGGTAACAAGTATGGCAACCTGCAACTTGTTTGCCCACCCTAGGTAATTAGCATGGCAACCTGCAACTTGTTTGTCCACCCTAGGTAATAAGCATGGCAACCCGTAACTTGTTTGCCCACCCTAGGTAATAAGCATGACAACCTGCAACTTGTTTGCCCACCCCAGGTAATAAGTGTGGCAACCTGCAACCTGTTTGCCCACCTCAGGTAATAAGCATGGCAACCTGCAACTTGTTTGTCCACCCTAGGTAATAAGCATGGCAACCTGCAACCTGTTTGCCCACCTCAGGTAATAAGCATGGCAACCTGCAACTTGTTTGCCCACCCTAGGTAATAAGCATGACAACCTGCAACTTGTTTGCCCACCCCAGGTAATAAGTGTGGCAACCTGCAACCTGTTTGCCCGCCTCAGGTAATAAGCATGGCAACCTGCAACTTGTTTGCCCACCCTAGGTAATTAGCATGGCAACCCGTAACATGTTTGTCCACCCTAGGTAATAAGCATGGCAACGTGCAACTTGTTTGTCCACCCTAGGTAATAAGCATGGCAACCTCCAACTTGTTTGCCCACCCTAGGTAATAAGCATGGCAACCCGTAACATGTTTGTCCACCCTAGGTAATAAGCATGGCAACCTGCAACTTGTTTGCCCACCCTAGGTAATAAGCATGGCAACGTGCAACTTGTTTGCCCACCCTAGGTTATAAGCACGGCAACCTGCAACTTGTTTGCCAACCCTAGGTAATATGCATGGCAACCTGCAACTTGTTTATCCACCCTAGGTAATAAGCATGGCAACCTGCAACTTGTTTGCCCACCCTAGGAAATAAGTATGGCAACCTGCAACTTGTTTGCCCACCCTAGGTAATAAGCATGGCAACGTGCAACTTGTTTGCCCACCCTAGGTTATAAGCACGGCAACCTGCAACTTGTTTGCCCACCCTAGGTAATACGCATGGCAACCGCCAACTTGTTTATCCACCCTAGGAAATAAGTATGGCAACCTGCAACTTGTTTGCCCACCCCAGGAAATAAGTATGGCAACCTGCAACTTGTTTGTCCACCCTAGGTAATTAGTATGGCAACCTCCAACTTGTTTGCCCACCCCAGGTAATAAGCATGACAACCTGCAACTTGTTTGCCAACCCTAGGTAATAAGCATGGCAACGTGCAACTTGTTTGCCCACCCTTGGTAATATGCATGGCAACCTGCAACTTGTTTGTCCCCCCTAGGTAATAAGTGTGGCAATGTGCAACTTGTTTGCCCACCCTAGGTAATAAGCATGGCAATGTGCAACTTGTTTGCCCACCCTAGGTAATACGAATGGCAACCTGCAACTTGTTTGCCCACCCCAGGAAATAAGTATGGCAACCTGCAACTTGTTTGCCCACCCTAGGTAATAAACATGGCAACCTACAACTTTTTTACCACCCTAGGTAATAAGCACGGCAACCTGCAACTTGTTTGTCCACCCTAGGTAATAATAGTGGCAACCTGCAACTTGTTTGTTCACCCTAGAACTGAATTCGATTCACCAAGTGGATACAATGTATGAAGTTCATTTTTGGCGTCTCCGTCGTGTTAGTGGTAAAAACATAGTCCCTCGTATACAACATACACGTCAGTTATACACGTCAGTTATATACGCACAGTTATACTGACACCTGTGGACAGTAAGTTATGTATCTCTGTTTGTTTGTTGTTTAACGCCGAACTCAGCAATATTCCAACTATAGGACGGCGGTCTGTAATTAATCGAGTCTGGGCCACATAATCCAGTGATTGACATCATGAGCATCGATCCACGCAAATGGGATACGATGACATGCATCAACCAAGTCAGCGAGCCTGACCACCTGATCCCGTTAGTCGCCTCTTACGACAAGCATAGTCGACTTTAACGACAAGCATCGTCGCCTCTCACGGCAAGTATGGGTTGCTGAAGACCGATTCTACCCCGGAATCTTCACGGGTTGTTATGTATCAGCTCGTTGATGATGTCATCTGTTGTTTACACAACGCCTGTAGGCAGCACAGTTACGGGACAGTGTTATTTACATGTAGGTTGTTTTTTCATATCAAACACCACCCGGCATGAGTAGTTAAACGTCATCACGTGAGCGTCTCCTATCTTAGCTAACGGGGGCACGGCTGGCCATGTCATCTGAGGCGCCGCAATTCGCCGTGCAGAGTTGCGTCCCTTGGGCTCGCCAGAAAACTATGATTTTGGGTTCAAATACCGGTTCGCCCCGATTATGTTTCTAGGTTTGTCAGCATCGTGGTAAACGTCTGAGACCTGCATCACTTCGGGCTTTCCCACACTAAGCTGACACACCGCGATATGACTGGAATACTGTTAAAAGCGGCGTTAAATGCAACTCACTCACTCACTCACTTTTGGCTGACAGTTGTGTTTTACAAACGACACCTCGAAAAAATATCTCACCATATTTGGTTAATGGACAGTACCTCGCGAAAGACAGGCGCGGCGGGGTAGCCATATGGATAATGCGTTCGCCCGTCACGCCGAAGCCCCGGGTTCGATTCCCCTCTTGGATACAATGTGTGAATGTTATTCCCGGTGTCCCCGTGATATGGTTGTAATATTGCTAAAAACGGCGTAAAGCCATACTCACTCACTCATGAAAGATAGATCAGTTTCTTTACACGGCTAAATCGGTCGTTACTAAATAGATCAACGGTGACAACCAGCTGAGCACACACCCCTGGTACATCCATGCACACTGAACGTACATTTCTGTCGCCAGGTACATGAACGGCGCCAGCACCAACCCAGATGCCCACGTGTTCGCATTCGCGGCAGCCCAGGTGAAGAAAGGCTTGGAGGTCGCAAAGAGACTCGGGGCTGAGAACTTCGGTAAGTATGCAGTGATTCTTCCATGTGTTGAAGAAGTAATATGGAATTAGATTCGTGCCCTCATACGGGTAGAGAAAGGTCTTCAGCAACCCATGCTTGCCGTAAAAGGCGACCATACTTGTTAGAGGCGACTAACAAGATCGGGTGGTCAGGCTCGCTGACTTGTTTGATGCATGTCATCGTGTCCTAATTGCATGGATCGATGCTCATGATGTCAATCACTGGATTGTCTTGTCCAGATTATTTACAGCCCACCGCCATATAGCTGGAATATTGCTGAGTGCGGCGTTAAACAACAAACAAACATTCGATACACTTTGCCCCTTTCGCCAAGCAGCTCTCATTCCATGTGTTGCAACTCTATACGTCAATGGCTTAGGATGCACGCTGTACGAAGTTGATCTTTGTGTAATCCCTTTGCTTCTGTCTCAGTGTTCTGGGGAGGACGAGAGGGTTACCATAGCATCCTCAACACCAATGTCAAGGCCGAGGTCACTCACATGGCAAAGTTCTTCAGAATGGCTTCAGGTACGATATACGTCATATTTTCATAATTAATCAGAATAATGGTTCAACCATGAATCGCCAATGAGATGGGTTAGCTGTCATCTCATTGTAACTCCATAGAGGAATCTGGGTTTATAACAGGTTCCCACCAACCTATGCCTGTCAACGAGACAGAATGCATCCGTGGGACGGCTCCGTGACTGGATTGTGTGTCATCGTACACGACGGCGCGGGACCTCTCTCATAATATCAATCACTGGTTTGTCTGGTCCAGACTCGATTATTTACAGGCCGCCGTCATATTGCTGAGTGCGGCGATGAAAAACATATTGTTTATCTCCAATTTTTATGTAATGACTCAACTGTCCATTCAGATTCTATGCAGGGCGGTCGGGTAGCCTAGTGGTTAAAGCGTTCGCTCGTCACGCCGAAGAACCGGGTTCGATTCCCGACATGGGTACAATGTGTGAAGCCCATTTCTGGTGTCCCCCGCCGTGAATACTGGAATATTGCTAAAAGCGGCGTAAAACCATACTCACTCACTCACTCAGATTCTATGGGCACACCCACACCCACACCCACACACCATCACTTACTTGCCCGTGCATTTTGCAGATTACAAGAAGAAGATCGGCTTCACCGGGACATTTCTGATTGAGCCCAAGCCCAAAGAACCTACCAAGCATCAGTATGACTATGGTACGTTTTCCATGGAAACCTGTTGATAATTTATGTGAATTTATAATTTATTAGTTCCCACATCATCAATACGCCATGTATTGCATACGCTATGTTAGTGGTAGCCCTGTCAATATTTTGTGAACTTGATGTTTCTGCAAAAGTTTATGGAGAAATGTCTAAAATTGTAACATTGTAAAATTGTAACAAATGCGATTCTATAAGCAACCCTTTTCAATGTTAACCCAGTCATGTATGATTAACATCAGGCAATATAATTTTGCGTGGCAGTTCTAAAATGCATGTACATGTTCTTCAATGAGACGGTTTAATCATCAAAAAATTACTTTCACGGCAGATACTGCTATGGTGTGGTCAAACAATCTCTCCTCGGAGAATATGGCGAAGTGAAATTGAATCACAATGCTTTGCAGAGCATCGGTTTCCATGACGTCAAAAACAAATGACATCACTAATCTCTCTGCTAATGACCTTTTACAAACTGAATTTTGTATGATAAATAGAATATCACCCTCGTGTCTTTATTATGATATATATATGAACACTCGGCAAGCCTCGGACATTTGAACTTTTATAGAGGCGATGCAATTCGCTGTGAAGAGTTGCGTCTCTTGGGCACGCCAGAAACCTATGATTGTGGTTTCGAATTCCGCTTCGCCCCGATTATGTTTCTAGGTTTGTCAGCACCATACCCGTGCTCGTGGGTCTCACAGAAGTGGTTAACGTCTGAGACCTGCACTGCACCACTTCGGGCTTTCCTCCCACATCAAGCTGACACGCCGTGATATGACTGGAATACTGTGGCGTTAAACCCAGCGGCTTTAAACACAGCTCACTCACTCACTCACTCACTGTTAATGTTTGATAGCAAAAGACACTCTGGTGAGATTCTCTCTATATTCAACGACTTACCACGTGTGTACTCTGTGTTTGCAGACGCCATGACAGTCATTGGCTTCCTAAAGAGCTTTGATCTGGACAAGGAGTTCAAGGTGGGTTGCTAGATACACTACCAGTCCACCAATCATCAGAAAATCTGTTATTTGTTTGTAAACGATGCTAGAAAATCAGTGACTTGATAACTTGAAAATACCAGAAAGTAGGATATTACAATTCAGTTTCATACCATTCCATATAGACGTGATATACCATTTATACTGAAACACTTTGAAAACGCATCGTGGATTCTGACTCTTGGTAAGTAACAAGTGACTGGAAGCTTATGTCCAGATATGACATCGTGAATAAGGATTCGAACAAAGACAACATCATTGCATTGTTACCTTGCATTCAGGCGTCACTACCACATACCAGTTTCTTTGTTTTCTGTCAGTTCCAGATTTTTTCCCCCAAAATTCCTCTATGCGGTTCCATGCGTGTGTCTGCATAGTGTAGGTATTTGGGGACAAGGAGTGTGTGAGACTATATTTTTGTTCAGTCAACGCCTCAAGGCATACTCCATGTTTTCTCTTTTCGAGAACACCTGGTGTCATCACAGATTTTCAGTGACCAATTCATATAATTTTCATCAGCATTTTCTCTCTTACATACTATGGAGTCTGTTTCGGCAGATATTCGCGATTGATGACACTCTGGCGTTTTCGCTGTAGCATCTGTCACAGTTGTGAAGCTATCCATGTCTGTTTCAGCTGAACATCGAGCCCAACCACACGACTCTAGCCGGCCATTCCTACGAACACGATTGTGTCGTCTCCTCGGCGTACGTATCTTTTGTTGCTTCTGTTCGGGGGATTGGGGGTACCATTGCTCTGTCTAATGAGGGGTCGCGGGTGGCCCAGTCGTCTAAGGCGCCGCGATTCGTGCATGAGTTGCGTCCCTTAGACACGCCAGAAACCTATGATTGTGGGTTCGAATCCAGGTTCGCCCCCGATTTCTAGGTTTGTCAGCACCATACCCGTTCTCGTGGGTTTCACCGAAGTGGTAAACGTCCGAGACCTGCATCACTTCGGGCTTTCCTCCCACATTAAGTGAGTGAGTGAGTTGGGTTTAACGCCGCTTTTAACATTATTCGAGTTATATCGCGGCGTGTCAGCTTTATGTGGGAGGAAAGCCCGAAGTGATGCCGGTCTCGGACGTTTACCACCCACGAGCACGGGTATGGTGCTGACAAACCTAGAAACATAATCGGGGCGAACCGGGATTCCAACTCCCACATTAAGCTGACACACCGTGATATAACTGGAATAATGTTAAAACGAACTCACTCACTCACTCTATCTATCTAATGATGTCTGTCATGACTTGCTACGTAGTAAATCTCCTTAAATTAAGTTGCGCATGTTATTGTTTGACAATCACATATCTCGTAATACCCTTTTCGCCGTCGACTTTGTTAAATGTCCACGGTAGAGCTCAGTCGGGTCGCCATTTTGTATTTTTCCTCTGATGACACTTGAACGTAATCACAACGAAACAAAACTTGTAGATCTTCCTCGTGATATTTTCAGTATCTGAAATTGAGTCTCGACATGTTGAAAAGTTCCAGAGTGTAATGAATCACCTTTACTGCAATTGTGAACTCGGATCAATTAGACGCAACCTTTGAAGCACGTTCTCCGTTCCAAGCTTGGCCAAAGGTTAACTATATATATTTAGTATTAGTGCCAATATCTAGCCTTCATGTACATGTGGGGGCACGGGTGGCCCAGTCGTCTAAGGCGCCGCGATTCGCTGTCCCTTGCGTCCCTTGGGCACGCCAGAAACCTATGATTGTGGGTTCGAATCCCGGTTCGCCCCAATTATGTTTCTAGGTTTGTCAGCACCATACCCGTGCTCGTCGGTTTCACCGAAGTGGTAAACGTCTGAGACCTGCATCACCTCGGGCTTTCCTCCCACATTAAGCTGACACGCCGCGATATAACTGGAATACTGTTAAAAGCGGCGTTAAACACAACCCACTCACTCATGTGCATGTAGCTCCATGATCAGTCATTTAGTGATCGGGTATTGGGCGTATTACTGAATAACCTACTATGATCATGTCCAGTCTTCCCGCTGGCTATAGTGTGTATGTCTGTTGTGACAGGATGGGTATGCTTGGCTCCATCGACTCCAACACAGGCTCCCCCGATCTGGGCTGGGACACAGACCAGTTCCCAATGGACGCCAAGAATACTGCTCTAGTGATGAAGGTAAGTTCAACCAGCGCTACTAGTGAATTGGCACATACGAGTAGGTGATGATTATGGTGGATATCTATAAAAACATCGTAGAGAACGTTATCGGCGTCTCTTTCAGAGATGTTCTAAGGCGTCCGGCTTGCACACAAACATTTACTTTTTATGTAAATTGTGCGAGTGGTGGTTTCAACCGGTAGGGCACGCCATGCTTACCCTTTTCGCGAACACCTGGTGTCATCACTGATTTTCAGTACAGTAAACTACGATTATAACGAACTCAAAGGGACCACTAATTTTAGTTCGTTATAACCGTAGTTCGTTATAAGCATATAAACAGCATATATACAACAAATGGTCCGGACTAAAAAGTAAGTTCGTTTTATCGGTCAGTTCGTTATAAGCGTGTTCGTTATAACCGTAGTTTACTGTAATCCATTCATATTATTTCATCATTATTTTGCCTTTTACTCCCAATCATCGATCGTTGATGATCTAGACTGGTTATTATCTGGCATTGACTTTTTACAGTTAGATACGAGTACCACATTTAGCAATGTGTTTTTATCTCTGGGTTAGACAAAAAACTTTGGAAAAAGAGCGCTGGCAACAGGCATTAACATATGGGTTTGCCCGAAACCTTTTGTGTCATAAACCCTTAGCGTCCGGTTTACATATAAACCTTAGCAATTGGCTTTAATATTTGGGCTAGGCATAGATATGCTGTGGACCTCTGGTGTAGGGCATTAAAATAAACAAAACTTGTTCAATTGACTTTTACAAAGGGGGTAGACATGAAGTGTTGGCATCAGATTACGTCACAGAGCCTGGGCAGTAGGCTTTTACAAAGGGGTTAGACTTTGGCCTAAGGTTTAGATGTAGACTTTAGCTTTGGTTTAGACATAAACCTTTGGAAATAAGAGGTTACATCGGGGTTAGACTGGAGCGGTAACCCAAGGCGCGGCAATTCTTTGTGTAGGGCTGTGTCCCTTAACGCGCCAGGAACCTATGATTGTGGATTCGAATTCGGTTCGCCCACATTATAATTTTAGGTATGTCAGCACAACATCTGTGATCGTGGGTTTCACCGAAGTGGTAAACGTCTGAGATCTGCATCACTCCGGGCTTCCCCCACATTAAGCTGACACACCGCGATATGACTGGAATATTGTTAAAAGCGGCGTTAAATCCAACTCACTCACTTTTGGCTGACAGTTGTGTTTTACAAACGACATCTCGAAAAAATATCTCCCTCATAAAGCTTTGGCATCTGGTTATGTCATTTAGTTTTAGCAGTAGGCTTTTACATTTTAGTAAGACATACATATTTTGCGTGAAGCTTGGACAGAAATCTCTGGTGTAGGGCCTGGTTAACAGGCCTTTACATCAGGGTTAGATTTTAAGCATTTGCGTCAATCTTGAAAATTAAACGAAACCCTCTAGCGTCAGACTTAGACGCAAGGCTTTGAAATAGAAATCACTGAATCGCTATTCTGCTTGCTGCTTCTCTGAAATATTGACCTTCTGCACTGTCCTATGCACAGCATTAGATCCCATGTTAAAGTTACTGCTCTTTTTAGGTGGTGTTGGATCAGGGAGGCATCCAGCCGGGTGGACTCAATTTTGACTGCAAGGTCCGCCGTGAATCTACAGAACTCCGTGACATGTTCACTGCCCACATTGGTAGGATATTAGTCACGGAATAACTTCTGAGTAATGTCCACTGTTGTCCGGTTGCTGACTAATTACATTGCACTGTTTAAATTTCTGGAGTCGTCATGGTAATCAAACAGCTCAGTTATAATCACGATTATGACTCTGGTGTTATGGCCTCTTTACATGTAGTTCATGTATGACTGCATTAGACTTGGCTTCAGGGGTGGTGGAGTAGCCTAGTGGTTCAAGCGTTCGCTCGTCACCGGCCCGGGTTGATTCCCAACATGGGTACAATGTATGAAGCACATTTCTGGTGTCGCCCACCATGATATTGCTAGAAATGGCGTAACCACCATACTCACTAGTCTTGGCTTTAAGTTTTGGCCACAGGCCCGCTGATTTGGCACATCCGGTAGTCAGGCTCGGTGCTATGGTACATCTGGTGGTCAGGCCGCTGATTTGGCACATCCGGTAGTCAGGCTCGGTGCTATGGTACATCTGGTAGTCAGGCCTGCTGATTTGGCACATCCGGTAGTCAGGCTTGGTGATATGGTACATCTGGTGGTCAGGCCCGTTGACTTGGCACATCCGGTAGTCAGGCTTGGTGATATGGTACATCTGGTAGTCAGGCCCGCTGACTTGGCACATCCGGTAGTCAGGCGCGGTGATATGGTACATCTGGTAGTCAGGCCCGCTGACTTGGCACATCCGGTAGTCAGGCGCGGTGCTATGGTACATCCGGTAGTCAGGCGCGGTGCTATGGTACATCCGGTAGTCAGGCTTGGTGATATGGTACATCTGGTGGTCAGGCCCGTTGACTTGGCACATCCGGTAGTCAGGCGCGGTGCTATGGTACATCCCGTAGTCAGGCGCGGTGCTATGGTACATCCGGTAGTCAGGCTTGGTGATATGGTACATCTGGTGGTCAGGCCCGTTGACTTGGCACATCCGGTAGTCAGGCGCGGTGATATGGTACATCTGGTAGTCAGGCCCGCTGACTTGGCACATCCGGTAGTCAGGCGCGGTGATATGGTACATCTGGTAGTCAGGCCCGCTGACTTGGCACATCCGGTAGTCAGGCGCGGTGCTATGGTACATCTGGTGGTCAGGCCCGCTGATTTGGCACATCCGGTAGTCAGGCTTGGTGCTATGGTACATCTGGTAGTCAGGCCCGCTGACTTGGCACATCCGGTAGTCAGGGGCGGTGCTATGGTACATCTGGTAGTCAGGCCCGCTGACTTGGCACATCCGGTTGTCAGGCGCGGTGCTATGGTACATCTGGTGGTCAGGCCCGCTGATTTGGCACATCCGGTAGTCAGGCGCGGTGCTATGGTACATCTGGTAGTCAGGCCCGCTGACTTGGCACATCCGGTAGTCAGGCGCGGTGCTATGGTACATCTGGTGGTCAGGCCCGCTGATTTGGCACATCCGGTAGTCAGGCGCGGTGCTATGGTACATCTGGTGGTCAGGCCCGCTGATTTGGCACATCCGGTAGTCAGGCTTGGTGATATGGTTTATCTGGTAGCCAGGCTCGGTGCTATGGTACATCTGGTAGTCAGGCCCACTGACTTGGCACATCCGGTAGTCAGGCTTGGCGATATGGTATATCTGGTAGTCAGGCCCGCTGATTTGGCACATCCGGTAGTCAGGCTTAGTGATATGGTACATCTGGTGGTTTGGCCTGTTGACTTGTAAAATAGCTGTAATACTGCTATATCTTTAATTGGCATTTTAGAAGCTGACATGGATTTTACTTCTTATTACTTGCTCGGTCAAGGTACAGCCGCAATTAAAGGATAAAGTGGTTGAAGTCCGTAAGTCAACTGTCTCCATGTCATATGGCTGACAGTGGCTTCTTTATGCAACAACCATCTACTGCAATGCAATACCTTCTTCCAGGTGCAATGGACACCTTTGCCCGAGGCCTGAAGATTGCTGCCCGAATTGCCAGCAATGGTACCATCCCTAAAGCTGTTCAGGTAAGGCCAACCTTACGGGAATCTCCACATTGGGCAGAACGTATGCACCTGAGCATCAATGTGGAATTTACAGCCACAACATACTTAACACCTCTTTACACCCACACTGCATTAACCAAAAGTATACCTTATTGCTTCAGGGAGTTAATCTTGTGTGCCTTTTTAGAACCTCGCCTGGTAATTGTGTAGAAAATATGGTCAATTAAATCTGATGCAACATGCCATTGTGGCCTTGACTGTAATGAAGCTTTTCATGGAAACGTTTTTTTGCACATCAATGGGATCTGGTTATCATTTATTCAAGTAAAAAAAACTCTCTAAATTTCCCGCTCTTTATGAACATGACTGAACAAGTGTGAAACATATTAGCACATTTTCAAACATTTTCAAACATTATTCTTGGTTTCAGGAAAGATACAGTAGCTATAGTGACGGAATCGGTGCCAAGATCGAAAGTGGAGAAACTAGCTTTGAGGAACTAGAGGTACTTATTAGCTGTCTGTTTTCAGCCTTTAACATAAAACATTCGGACTAATGTATATTTGCAGTAGTAATAATGATCTGTCATTTGTCGTGATGTGTGAGAATGTTTGAAATTTGTACGTCAGATGTTACAGGAACATGTCTTGAAAAGGAAATACAGTTTGTCTTTCGCATTCTTCTTCTACCTTCTTTGATTCAACTCAAAACCATATCGTAACTTGTACTTCACACTAGTATCTAAACACATAAAAAAGTTAAGAGTTTGTGCCTTTCTGGAGATATTAATTGAAATATCTTTCAGTTAGTCTAACTTCTACAAAATGGTTGTTCTGTGTTTTTTTACTTTTAAAAATCCAAAATATTTTCTCTGGTGTCACTTGCTTGAATTTTATTTTCCTTACAGAAATACATCCTGGAGAAGGGTGAACCTCAGCGTATATCTGGCCAACAAGAACATTACGAAAGCATGCTGAATTACTTCATGTAGACATGACGTCCTGGCACTTGTCATCTTGCAAGAACAAACATACAGCCAAAGGCATGGATGCGAAACCTTCAACAGGGGTAGATTTTGTTGATGACAAAAGCAATCTACGGGCCAGATATGTTGAAACTAAATGGTACTCCATAAACCTCACAAGTACACTGGCACATTATGTGAATTTCAGAGACGTGAGAGAATGATAATAAATGTGTAAAAAAAAATAATCTTACGTTTCCACAAATTGACTGGATTTAATGATATTGTGCAAGTATGCAACTGGTGACTCAGAGAAATGACTTCAAATAATAGACGTCCTTTACCATGGACTGCCGCTGGCCAAGCAGCAGTGTCAACTGTTATAAGGTCCTTCAGAAGGGTTCCCATGGAGCTCGTGCATTGTCTATTGACCATTTAAAAATGGTATCATGAACCAGATGTTTTTGCAAAATGTACTCAAATGAACCTCTATTGAACAAACACAGATTTGTAATAATAGACTTTATTCCCTTTCATTCGTCAGTGTAAGAATAAAATACAATATACAAAGTCTGTTTCTCCGTTTGTATTCTTTCTGAGAGAATGCCAGTGAAACAGACACAAAAGACAATATACAGTTTCATATAGACACATTCCATCAAATTGATAAATGATACGGCCATACAAACAAACATTTCAAAATCAGTGATCAGCTCTTGCATGATAAATTGTATCTACCTGTACATATAACATGGGATGTTACACAGCTAAGTGGCAATGCAACCACATCATCCATGACTATACTACACAGACAAAACAAAAATGAGTTCTATTCATCTCAATATGATGGCTTCATGTCTGTGCTTAAGAGTGAGTGAGTTGGGTTTAACACCGCTTTTAACAGTATTCGAGTTATATCGCGGCGTGTAGGCTTAATGTGGGAGGAAAGCCCAAAGTGATGCAGGTTTAAGACGTTTACCACTTCGGTGAAACCCACGAGCACGGGTATGGTGCTGACAAACCTAGAAACATAATCGGGGCGAACCGGGATTCGAACCCACAATCATAGGTTTCTGGCGTGCCCAAGCGACGCAACTCTGCACAGCGAATCGCGGCGCCTTAGACGACTGGACCACCCGTGCCCCCCTGTGCTTAAGAATATTGCGCCATGACAATACAAATGTGACAACTACATTATCTGATCAAGTGTGACACTCATGTTATACATTCGAAGAGGACACCGCACTGTATATCCTCTTTAGAGCATAGGCAAATACTTCGTTCAATGGGTGGTCACTATTTACATGGTGAAAAAGTACTGTCAAGTACATGTATGCGGTTTATAGAGGCGTGAAGCTTCTACATTACAGCATGACAGGCCTTAAACTACAACACTTAACTGCACTTACAGTACAGTTTATATGAAATCATGCACTCTGCTTCTGTGATTGGCGGAATTGGTACAATCTGCAAGGGTACAGTTCATGGAACTTGAATATTTGCCTGTGCTCTAAGACAGATAGAGAACTTGTGCCAGTACTTTATCGGGATATGACGAACTGTACGTTTATATCAAAATAAAGTACTGGCACTCATCCTCTATCTATTACATAAAAGACAGTTGGATACCTTATCCAAAATGGACGGCTTTGGTTGTGCTCATTTAGGAAATGTTATCCACCGACTGGAGGAGATTCAGTACCCAGGATCTACATGTTGAGGTGAATAGATTCATAATATCCCAACAACAATCAACTATACACATGTCTACACTTACTTAACAGCTGTACAATTGCACCTGCATGTCATAATTAAGGCTGTGTTGAGTTAGCACATTGAAACTGACTATCGCACTCAGTTCAAGAGCTGGAAGAACACTTTGGATTTGTCAATACACAGGTGTTGTTTGTTGAGGTAATGTGACTGCCATTATACAATTTCAAGTGAAAGCCACTAATAATTTAGCATGACATACTGTGACACTGACAAATTTTGATTTCATTAAACTCAAGAATCAACCCAACAAATCATCTTGTTATTTTCTCTCACCAAAAGAACACATTCCAAGGAGAACATTCTTACAAGGTTGTTGTTGTTGTTTGTTGTTTAACGCTGCACTTAGCAATATCCCAGCTAAATGATGACGCTCTGTAAATAATCAAGTCTGGAGCAGACAATCCAGTGATTAATGTCATAAGCATTGATCCAGACAATTTGGATATGATGACATGCATCAACCAAGTCAGCGAGCCTGACTACCCGATCCTGTTAGTCCTCTTACGACAAGAATAGTCATTCTTACAAGGTCTTACTATGAATCCATGAACATGACACTGACTGGATTGTCATGGTGATTGTCAAAGCTTGATGGTGTCAAGGTATTTCATGTCAAACTATAACCGATAAACAAAGCATACACACAACAAGGCAGTACTAACTATACTTCCACCAACACCAACACTTTGTACATGTTATAGAATGTTACCTTCTATCAAATACATCTACCAGTACATATGATACATTTTCACATCCAAAGGCTGTCTTCAATTGTTCTTGTACTGAACCAGCATTCATGAACCTCGAAATGACTTTCCATGCAATCAAGAAGATAATCTTGCAAACCAATTCTCTTAAAATACAAATACAACATACTTCCAAGTGTGCCATTTACCACTATCTAATCTGCAAGGGTTCTTATGAATATGGAAAGGGTTTTGTCGCTTTTATTTCAACACTTCTGGGGGAGGGCCAGGACTGACTGAGTTGGGTTTAACGCCGCTTTTAACATTATTCCAGTTATATCACGGCGTGTCAGCTTAATGTGGGAGGAAAGCCCGAAGTGATGCAGGTCTAAGACGTTTACAACTTCGGTGAAACCCACGAGCACGGGTATGGTGCTGACAAACCTAGAAACATAATCGGGGCGAACCGGGATTCGAACCCACAATCATAGGTTTCTGGCGTGCCCAAGGGACGCAACTCTGCACAGCGAATCGCGGCGCCTTAGACGACTGGGCCACCCGTGCCCCCTGGGAGGGCCAGGAACATATTGAACATGTATAAACATCTGGGCCCACTTGCAAGAGCAATCACAAAATAAAGACTCTTTTACCCCCCATACTTTAACACTGACAAACAATTATCACTGTTCAAAAATCGCTTTGTGGGCAATGACAATCTTATTTCATCCAAAACTATTGCCAGTTACTCACCATACAAATAAGTGTCACTAAAACAAGAAATGTCTGTTTTATTAAGTCCTGTTCTGCTGTTCCTAATCATTCATTGGTTAAAGTTATATGATAACTGACTACCATACTGAACTTTGGACATCTTATGTATGAATACATATGCCACATCTGTTAATACCATGAGCACACTGGGACAATCTTCATATGATGATGAAGTGTTGGAAAAAGAAAGCAGAGAAAGCAATACATTGTGAGATCTTCTAAGGGCCTCTCTTCAATATAATCTAACACAAACATGTTGTTTGAGTGAGTGAGTGAGTGAGTTTGGTTTTACGCCGCTTTTAGCAATATTCCAGTAATATCACCGCGGGGGACACCAGAAATGGGCTTGACACATTGTACCCATGTCGGGAATCGAACCCGGGTCTTCGGCGTGACGAGCGAACGCTTTAACCACTAGGCTACCCGACTGCCCCACATGTTGTTTGATGTGGGATAACATTGTGTATAACCCCGGTAATGATCCATTATACATTCTGGAGGCCATTTGTTTAACAAGCAATACAAGTCCACAATCAAATTATATGTTCCTTGGAAATGCTTGGATGTTAATAAATGCAAAGAAAATAGGTTACAAGTAAACAGTGTCTGTGAGAACACCAAAACCTGATAGTAGAAATTAGCAACAGGTCATGATAGGGCCAGAAAATACTTCCATATCACTATAGACAAGCAAGTGCTTATCTTGTGAAGATAGTTGACTTGAGTTTATGATGTATTTTACTGACACTACATGGAAGTTAAAGGTGGATTTTACTAACAATAAATGCAATAGTCCTTACAAACAATGATTAAGAGTAAGTGCTAAACAAGGCCAAAATGGGGTTTAATTATATCATTCATGTGAAATTGCACTGACATATCTTGAGATTCAATACCATACATTTCTAGGAGTAGACGCAATACCTCTCAAAAGTGTGATGGGCAGAAAACTGTCCTGCATTGGAAACTGGTGTAGACAAACTGGAAAAAAGTTATACCTTAGGTGAGGTGAGGTGAAATTGGACTTAACGTCGCGTCCAAGATTATTGCACTTATATTGCGACATGCATGCACGTGTGTGTGTGTTGCTGCTTGTACTAGTCCAGACTGATAGCGGTTTATAGTGCTAGCTCACTGAGATAGCATGCCGCAGTTTAACATGCATACCCCACTCAGACACAGTATACTGAATCCGAGCCCACCAGTCCTTGTTTTGGCCCTTTAATGCCGAGCGCCAGACAGGGTAGCAACAAGTACCATCTTTTAACGTCTTTAGGTATGACGCAGCCAGGGATCCATGCTCTACCACTAGACCACGGAGGTGGTTAGTTATACCTTAGACTTCATAATTAACGGGCATGATTTGGACAGATGATATTACTGGTAATGTTTGGAATGTTCCTTAGTAATCATATAGGGTCCAGACCCAACACTTCCAACTAATCATAGTGCTGAAAGGCACAGATGTCTTGACAGTTGAATCAGTAACCTTACTTTATGGAGTGAGTGAGTGAGTGAGTGAGTGAGTGAGTGAGTGAGTGAGTGAGTGAGTGAGTGAGTGAGTGAGTGAGTGAGTGAGTGAGTGAGTGAGTGAGTGAGTGAGTGAGTTGGGTTTTATGCAGCTTTTAAGCAATATTCCAGCAATATCACGGCAGGGGACACCAGAAAAGGTTTCACACACTGTATGCATGTGGTTACATTATGGATCATTACCTTGGATTTCAACCCATTTCTTTGTGTTCCAGCGATGTTTCTCGTACATGTTGTATGTATGGTGCTGGTATACTGCAATCTCGTGGTGTAGGTGTGAGCAAGAACATCTCCCATAGGGGACCATTCCAAGCCCAATCTTATCTGTCAATGTCCAGTACCAGTATATAGAAGAATGAAACACTAGGAACCATCACTTTCCAGTACCTGCCCGCTACACCACATTAAATTTCTTCATAAATGGACAGAAATCAGGAAAACCATGGACTTTCCCATCCACTAAAATACTGCAGAGTATGTGAGAAAAATAGCGTTCAGACACTATGAAAACATTTCAAATAGGAGATTGCACAGAATAATTACCGGTGAACATTAACATTGGGGATAACAATAGCCATGTTCAATATTGAAAACAAGGCATTTTACCGGTGTCTAACTCAGAGAGCAAACATAATCATGATAATAGGAACGTCATTTGAGACAGGTGCATGTAGTAATCACTGGGATTCGGTTCTGTTCTGAAGATTTCACCATTTGCACTATAAAAAAAATGGGTAAAATTATTGTTGTAATTAACATAATATACATGATCAACACATGCTCAGTAAATCGGTTCATAACGTTGACTCCTTTATCTTTAACAGTTTGGATATAATGCTCTTGGTCTCAACAAAACAGGTCGTGTTGTAATTTGAATCAGTGACAGAAATACATACAACTTTTTAGAATGAGAATGCCAGAATCGCATATATGTTACATAAATGAGTGAGTGAGTGAGTGAGTTGGGTTTAACGCCGCTTTTAACAGTATTCCAGTTATATCACGGCGTGTCAGCTTAATGTGGGAGGAAAGCCCGAAGTGATGCAGGTCTCAGACGTTTACCACTTTGGTGAAACCCACGAGCACGGGTATGGTGCTGACAAACCTAGAAACATAGTCGGGGCGAACCGGGATTCGAACCCACGATCATAGGTTTCTGGCGTGCCCAAGGGACGCAACTCTGCACAGCAAATCGCGTCGCCTTAGACGACTGGGCCACCCGTGCCCCCGTTTCATAAATGACTTGGCACTTACTAGCTGGCATATTGCAATAATGTACATGAATATTTGGGAAATGACATGAGATGGCAACAATACAGTGATTTATGTAAACTGAGGTGCATGTGATTTATGTGAAACGACATGTGACTTTTGAACTTTTAATAATATTTGAGGCAGTCTTACTTTGTGAATCGTCAATCACAGATAGAAATCTAAAACAGGGCGAGATATACAGGGTAGGTTAGTCAGACTGAGAATTAAATGAATAATATACGTATCATTAAGTCAATCATGCATTTCATTTCAGAGGTCAGTTTTATGTATAGAAGAGAATATTTTTGCACAGTGGCACATGGAATATTGAAAAACCTTTGATCCCTTCAAAACATCCTGAGTGAAAAATGCCATAATGCAAAAAGTATTCCACATGAATGTTAACAAATGATAGTGAACAATCATCTATATGTTACTATATGCCTACAAACAAGAACGAGAGTATTTATTGTCTTTTCTTCAGAAGATATTTTCTATGAATGTTTATATTGGCATTATCAACATGATATACAATATAACACAAAGACAATTGCTTAAGTGTATCAAACACTCCATGGCTTAATTTCATACACAATTAACCAACAAGTAATACAAAGGTCATAATTTTACAAACTATGATCAAGAGTTATTACACTGAAGAAAAATGAAACACCCTATTCTGCAATAAATGACTGTGATGAATTTATTGAAGCAATGTGCCTTAAATCTTTAAAACTGAAAGACAGTTAGAGTGAGTATTGCCTTCACTCACATGTGCAATTCTTCAGCTACTTGCAGAAACAAATTTGATAGAGCAAGATTGTTTTACTCTTTTAGTAAAATCCTTGACATGAAACTGATTACAGGTTCATATCTGATATGTGACAGGGGAAAAGAACCAATCACTTTACTTCATACGACAATAAACTATCCTTCATATACCAGCATATTTACAGTTTTTGTACTGTTTCAGATACATATCTTGCACCCATACAAAACACACAACATCCTTCGCATACCCACTTCAATTACAACAGCATTTGCGTTCACTCCACATGCACAAAAGTACATATTAAAATGCAGCAACAGATAACAATAAGCACATAAAATAAACGTCATCGTAATGGAAGTGACTGATAATGTAGAGCATTAATGCCATTGTGAGAAACACTGGCACACACATATAACTGCAGCCTCACATTCTTCCACAGTACGATCCTACTCAGTCAATGAAATCTTTTCCATGAATGAGATATACATGTATATTCTCAAAGCCACTAGTAGACTGAAGTTTATTGCCAAGTTTCAGTTAAATTCTGGCAGTTGTTAGGAATGACAGAAACATGATAGCAGTATGTAAGTCTTAAGAGTTGGAAAATAAATAAATGTGAAAACAAATTGCTTTCGATCACATAAATTCAATTAGTTACACTTAAAACAAAGCTGAAAGATTAAGGAAATTGAGCAACGATTAACAGTATATAGGAACTGGCTTAGCAAGTATTGATAGCATGGATACATTCTCCATAAACCACCAACAAAGCAAAATGTTTATTCCAATATGAAATTCTGAGAACAAGCAGCAGTAGCATTGCTGTTAGCAATTAATGGAAACACTGGAAGATTAAGTGATAAAATATCAGCATGATTAGAGTAAACATGACAAAAATATTAACATAATTTTAGTTTAGAAAAAAGGCTAACTTTAGATATAATCAGTCTAAACACAATTCAAAAATTCAAAAACAAATTCTTTAAAATGTGTAAAAAAATATTAAATTCAACAATTTACAAATCGTGACTGCACACATTATAAGGCAGGTAAGATTCCTACTATCTGAAATTTGAAGGTGTTAATAACAAGTGCTTTAACACTTTTACTCGACTGCAACTTGTAAAAGGTTGTCTACGGACAGATCTCCATTCCTACTTTTCAACAATGTATGTTCAAGGCAGTATAACAAACTGACTTTTCAGCCATACTCCCATCCAACATAAACTAGCACTAACCACAAGCACATCATCATAAGTTGCCATGGTTACACATCTTTGCAACAGAAACCATGATGTCTTTCATGACTATTCAGTGGAAGGTGATAGATATGGTTTGATTAACTTCTCAGGGGGAGACAAATAAGGACTCTGTTGTTGTCTTCTGATGAGGAAACTACTTGTTACTCTGACTGGCTTGTGTTCTTGAGGCTAATTCACCAACTGATCCAATTTCGTCAACCAATTGGTCAGTTGTATTGTTCTGTGCTAAACATAAAATCTGTACCAAAGTAACGGTCCCCAAAGTTTCCTGCAAACAAGAAAACAATGATATATACACAGCTGCAATTTTGGATCAGAAAAATACTGAAGAGTCATATGAAATTGTGGGTAAAAAAAAGTTGTCATGTGTATCACAGCCTGTGCCAAATAAACTTCTGAGTCTATTGGACACAGTATTCTCTAGGTATTCTTTTCAGTTCATTCATGGACTATTATTAATCGTCTGTCTGTAAAGTCTGCTCAAATCAATACAGGTTTAGTGGGACAATACGGTTTTTGCATGTGATTGCATTCCTTACATTGAAATGACAACAAGGCGATAGACTGCTGTCATCACACTCCATATCAGCATGGATCTTATAAATGTGACATTGTTAGTTTATTCTTGATCTCCTTGACAGGTTATATGGAAACATAGTTTTGGAAGTAAAAAAATAATGACATTATTGTTTGGGTGTTTTCATAATGGCTTTGTCATAGGTCAAGGTCAGACATGTAGGCCCGAGGCAGGCTGTATTGGCAAGAGGCAGGCTGTATTGGGCCGAGGCGGGCTGTATTGGCCCGAGGCAGGCTGTATTGGCCCGAGGCAGGCTGTATTAGCCCAAGGCAGGCTGTATTGGCCCGAGGCGGACTGTATTGGCCCGAGGCAGACTGTATTAGCCCAAGGCAGGCTGTATTAGCCCGAGGCAGGCTGTATTAGCCTGAGGCAGACTGTATTGGCCCGAAGCAGGCTGTATTAGCCCGAGGCAGGCTGTATTGGCCCCGAGGCAGACTGTATTAGCCCGAGGCAGGCTGTATTAGCCGGAGGCAGGCTGTATTAGCCCGAGGCAGACTGTATTGGCCCGAGGGAGGCTGTATTGGCCCGAGGCAGACTGTATTAGCAGGAGGCAGGCTGTATTAGCCCGAGGCAGACTGTATTGGCCCGAGGCAGACTGTATTAGCCCGAGGCAGACTGTATTAGCCCGAGGCAGGCTGTATTAGCCCGAGGCAGGCTGTATTAGCCCGAGGCAGGCTGTATTAGCCCAAGGCAGACTGTATTGGCCCGAGGCAGACTGTATTAGCCCGAGGCAGACTGTATTAGCCCGAGGCAGGCTGTATTAGCCGGAGACAGGCTGTATTAGCCCGAGGCAGACTGTATTGGCCCGAGGCAGGCTGTATTAGCCCGAGGCAGGCTGTATTAGCCGGGGGCAGGCTGTATTTGCCCGAGGCAGACTGTATTGGCCCGAGGCAGGCTGTATTAGCCCAAGGCAGACTGTATTGGCCCGAAGCAGGCTGTATTAGCCCGAGGCAGATTGTATTGGCCCGAGGCAGACTGTATTAGCCCGAGGCAGACTGTATTAGCCCGAGGCAGGCTGTATTAGCCGGAGGCAGGCTGTATTAGCCCGAGGCAGACTGTATTGGCCCGAGGCAGGCTGTATTAGCCCGAGGCAGGCTGTATTAGCCCGAGGCAGACTGTATTGGCCCGAGGCAGGCTGTATTAGCCTGAGGCAGGCTGCATTGGCCCGAGGCAGACTGTATTAGCCCGAGGCAGGCTGTATTAGCCGGAGGCAGGCTGTATTAGCCCGAGGCAGACTGTATTGGCCCGAGGCAGGCTGTATTAGCCCGAGGCAGGCTGTATTAGCCGGGGGCAGGCTGTATTTGCCCGAGGCAGACTGTATTGGCCCGAGGCAGGCTGTATTAGCCCAAGGCAGACTGTATTGGCCCGAAGCAGGCTGTATTAGCCCGAGGCAGATTGTATTGGCCCGAGGCAGACTGTATTAGCCCGAGGCAGACTGTATTAGCCCGAGGCAGGCTGTATTAGCCGGAGGCAGGCTGTATTAGCCCGAGGCAGACTGTATTGGCCCGAGGCAGGCTGTATTAGCCCGAGGCAGGCTGTATTAGCCCGAGGCAGACTGTATTGGCCCGAGGCAGGCTGTATTAGCCTGAGGCAGGCTGCATTGGCCCGAGCAGGGGTGGAAATTTAAAAAAAAACTTCACTTGCCGTCGGACAAGTTTAAAGACAATTTTCACTTGCCCTGATTTCATTTCACTTGCCCGAATAATTTCAAAATAAAACTTCAAATCATCAATATGTGTTTAAGCATCGAGTCCCCAGACACTGTAGGCCGGTTTTCCGGCCAAGCCGTAGTCAGGTCAAAATAGTATATATTTTTATGGACCTACCTGTAATATCATTCATTTATTAAATCTATCACATTTCACAATGTCTGAACTACGTATTCCATTTCAATTTATCATTTTTTATCGATAAATTAAAAAATCATTTACTATTTCCCGCGATGTTATTGAAAATAAAATTCTCTGACACACATTTCGACAACGGGTCCACATCGAACGTGTCAAAGAGCAAAATAAAGATGTTTTAAACAAATCTTTAAATATATTATACAAAGTAATAAATAAAATCAACAAAAATATATCTGAAAGTAATCAAACTTACATCTAAGTTATTATTTCCATCTTTTCGTGCGATCACGTGTAATGTAAGTCAAATGACATCGCGTTCGTCGCCTTGAATTCTTGGCTCTGACACGATGTTTAATGCAAAAATATATGCATGAAAAATCTTTGTCACAGCTCGTAACCTAGCACGATACATTCACGAAGTTCCATATTTTTAATATATATCGTGATTTCCTGCTTAAAATGTTCAGAATAACATGATTTAACAAAAATCTTTCGCCAACTTCTGAAATTTATCAAACACGAGCTTGGTATCACAGCTGTAATTTGATCGGCTGCCTGAGGTCACGTGCTCAAAATTGAGGCAGGCTGTATTGGCCCGAGCAAGCTGTATTAGCCCGAGGCAGGCTGTATTAGCCCGAGGCAGGCTGTATGAGCCCGAGGCAGGCTGTATTAGCCCGAGGCAGGCTGTATTGGCCCGAGGCAGGCTGTATTAGCCCGAGGCAGGCTGTATTAGCCGGAGGCAGGCTGTATTAGCCCGAGGCAGGCTGTATTGGCCCGAGGCAGGCTGTATTGGCCTGAGGCAGGCTGTATTAGCCCCGAGGCATACCAGAGCATCACCAAGGCTTTGGACTAGCATGACTAGTGCCTGATGTCGTAGACTTGCTTCATATTATTACTTTCTGTAATGCCAGTATGGAAAAGCTACATAGGATAACTCCTGTAACCATGGCAATTTGTCTCCTTTAATCACTGACTGAAAACATGTTTGTGGCCCAGTTTGGACTTGGAACTCACCAATGCCTGGCAAAATATGAAACTTTTCATTCACTTCCTTGTCCACAGCTGTAGTCACAATCTTTACTTTTGGGAATGCATAGGCAACGGAATGCACACCTGTAAACAACACATATTATTTACATGTAGGTACTGTGTTTTGCTTGTTATTGCATTACGCTGCAGCTAGAAATATTTGAGGTATATATAACGACAGCTTATATTAGTGTCTTGACCAGAAAATCCAGTGATTGACATAATAATCATTGGCCCACACTATCGGAGTGTGATGAGATACAATCAACCAAGTTACTGAGCCTGGGACTGAAGGCACCAGCCTCTTCATAGCAGCACAAAGAGGCATGTATGTGTGTCTATAGCTGATATTATTTATATCACAAAAGACAAAAAGGAGGTTGAAAGTCTGCCAGTAGTACCAGCCACCAGAATATCATTCACATTTGGCAGTGTGGCTCAGGCTACTTTCTATCCTTGCTAAAGTGATAGTCCTGTCCAATAGAGTCTCCACTAATCATAGACACACTCATTGAAAGTAATAGAATGGAGATTTCTTGATGTTAGGATTTATTGCTGATGTTTAGAAAATGTTACATGAACTTTGTTTGCACATGTACATTGAAGCCTCATTTTCCTGAACACAAAAAACACTCATATTGTTTTGTGCTTCAACTTTCATCAACACAATGTCCAATAAACCTTAAGATGTCAAAATAAATATTACAATGTTTAAAAACTTTGCCCAAATGAGGTTTCATTGTATCATGTGTATTACTTATTTGTATTTAAATTGTCACTAAACTTAACATCAACAACAACACACAGCAAGAATAACAATGTGTGAATTTGTACAGTTCCAAATCCATCTCTAAGCACCCTTAAAGTGCCATCATTGTTACCCAATTGATTGGTGTGCACTCAGTTGTCATTGTCAACTCCATGGGGAGTATAATGATATCCTCACCTGACTGGGCCATGAGAAGGGAGCAGAGAGTGATGTTGTCTTCTTTCACATCATGGTCAAGTAATACCCGAATAGCCATCATGGCTGCTGCACCTGTAGCAACTGTAGCGTCCATCAACATGATGTAATGGTTCTTGATGTCCTTGGGCAGTCGCAGGTAATGTAACTGGAACAAGAAAAAAAATGAGCGTGGCTCACTAATACCCCCGACGCGCCTAGTGTTGTCAGTAGTTTCAAATTAAATAGCGAGGATAGGGTTAGGGTTTGAAAATTCATAAAAAAATGGAAAATTAATAAAAACAATTTTTTTCATTTGACTGCACCCCTTCATATGACACAGATTATATGTACCGTATATGACCGTGGATAAGCCGGCCCCGTAGATAAGCCGAGGTGTTAATTTGGAAATTGAAATACGAAAGAAAATGATATGACCCGCAGATAAGCCGAATCAGGAATTGAAAGACAAAAAACACTGCAAAGTCGGACTGCAAGACATGTGCCGGTACTCGCAGATATTCAAAAATATAAGATGAAAAATGTTGTAATTATATTGAAAAAGTCATTATTATTTCTAATAAAGATTTAACAACCCAGTCATCCACTTTCATAATGTGGGAAGCTGTTTCTCGTGGTTTTTTTTAATCTCATAATGATCGTTATATGTTGCCATCAACAACCAAGCGCCATTTTGTGAATCGGTGTATATAGAATTATGAACCCGTGAGAAAATATATCAGCTGGCGCGAAGACTCGCAGTTTGAATTCAGCATCGTAAGGCATGGCGTTTTCTTTTAAAACTCATGATGAAAATGTCAGTCAGTAAAAATATACCAACTTTTATAACCCCCTTTACACCACTATTGTATGTTAATCCAATTGAATTAAATAAACTTTCATACTATGAACACATTGAATGACCATCACTTACTCACAGGCTTCTCCAGTTTATTAAACTAATCTCTCGAAAACAAAGGAATTAAGCCCATACTCCCAACACGATCGCTAAGCACCCACAACTTGAAAATGTTTGTGTAAACAACATGACAATACCAATCGGCCCGTTATTATCAATGCTCATTTCCTTGTGTACCGTGTTGCTTTAAACAACAGGAAGCAATCACAGTGGTCACCGTTTGTGACGTCACAGGAAACAGCTGATCACATGTTTTTGCAAATGGCGAACGGAATAACTCGCCGATTCAGTTGTTTATTTGCCTCTTTCAATAAAGGTAGACACTTGTTCACTATCAATTTATGAACTTTGCAAAACGTACGTAATAGCTATTGGCGACTTTATCTGGGGATTATATATTATAGCTGTGAATTACATATATTGTTACATGTAAAGATTGTGGAGTTTACGAAGAACGATAAACTTTGAACATTCAATTGAAAACTTATTATCGGAAGTAGTAACATGCATAACATTTTTTTAATAATGACAACATTGGTGTATAATAATAACTTTATTGATAATTTATAACAATAATGGCTCTAGTCGTGGCAACTTCCAAACTTTCGGGAAGTTGTAATCTATCGGACCGTCATTCAGGCGATGTTTCTGACAGATCACGATCTGAAAAATACTATCATGAAAGTGTATCCCGTGGATAAGCCGACCCCTTTCTACAGAATCTTTTTTCTGGTCCTCAAAATTCGGCTTATACGCGGTCATATATGGTACTAAGTTTGAGATGAATCCACTGAATTGTTTAAGAGAAATCGCGTGGACAAAGTTTTCAGACGGATGTTAGGGTTTGAAAAAATCATTAAAAAATGGAAAATACATAAAAACAATTTTTTTCTTTTGACTGCACCCCTCCATATGACACAGATTATATGTATTAAGTTTAAGATGAATCCACTGAATAGTTTAAGAGAAATCGCGCGGACAAAGTTGCCGGACGAACGGACGCCCCACAATTGGTTTCCTGTAAGAGCGGAAGGACGGACGGACGGAACCTTGGTATAATAACAGAGACAAAACAGGCAACAATATCAGAAAGTGTATACACACTATACTGACTCTGACTTGACCAGGCCAAAGCAGGGTAACAACAAGTACATGTACCAACTTTTAATGTCTTTTGGTGTGACAAGGCCAGGGGATGTGAGTGAGTTGGGTTTAACGTCGCTTTTAACAGTATTCCAGTTATATCACGGCATGTCAGCTTAATGTGGGAGGAAAGCCCAAAGTGATGCAGGTCACAGACCTTTACCACTTCGGTGAAACCCACGAGCACGGGTATGGTGCTGACAAACCTAGAAACATGATCGGGGCGAACCGAGGCCAGGGGATTGAACCAAACATATTAATGCAAAAATTATTAAAAACGTTTTCTATGTTTAATGACACACTCAGCAATATTCCAGACACATGTCAGAGATCTGTAAATAATCGAGTCAGGACCAGACAAATCAGTGGTTCATGATGTGAGTAATGCCCCTGCTGTCGGGGTATGGTGATGTATAACTAGCAGGACAAAAGCTGCTTACCTCTGGTTCCCCTGTGTCCATGTTGGTCTGAATGAGTATCTTCCCAATGTTGACTTCCTTGCACACTTCACACAGGGCTAGCTCCATTGTTTCTCCTGCTCGCAGGATGGACACGCCAGACACCTGCCGGTCATATGAACAACTAAATAGACAATCTCAATGGTAATTAACATTTAAAACTCTCAGGGCAGCAGAGAAATTTAAAAAGTTTTACAGATGAGTGTTGATATATTTGATATCAATAGACACGAGTGTGATATTCTTTTTATCATCCAACATCATTCTTCCAACGTTTTCAGGTTGTAAACAGTCATAAGCAGCGTCTTGTGTGTAAAAAGTATAGCTGACCAGCTTCAGTGGCAGAGATATTAGTTACCGGTATATCATTTCATTGTGATGTCACGGTATCCGATGACATCACAATGTTCTGCAAAGCATTGTGATGCAATTTCATTGTATCAATATCAATATACATTCTAGGAGATATTACTCGATCTCTGGATAAAAAATATTCATCAAATATTCGTTCATCCAAAACAGCAAACTGTCCTTTGCATGAGTAGTGTCAATGTTATTGCATGCATGTCATTATGAGACTTCAAGCTTCACAAATGTAGATCTGCTAACTGAACTTAAGAAATGATGGCTTTACATAATCCATAATCCTGAACAAAAAAAACGTTTGAATTACACTAGTCCTGTTTCAACCTCTCCTTTCTGATGACAACATACCTGTATTCAATGTGATCAACATGCTAGAACCAAAAACAATTGCTATTAAATAGAGATGCTCAATCATCAGCTTACCTTGACAGCACTCTGCCTCTTCCCTTCATACACTCCTCCGTGAGTTGTGTCAACTTTCACAGACTACAATTACAAAACAAAGATCACACTTAATATTAATATTGATATCAAACAAAAAAACAGTGTTATCACTATCCCCCGTCATATGGCACATTAGAAGTTTGTTTCTTCATATAGTAGTGAACAAAAACTACAAAAAAAGAACCCAATAAAGCCTTAAGAAGAGTTAGGCACTTGGGCCGCTTTTTGTCATAAAAAGAATAAGAAGATTAAATGTGAAATTAATGCACACAAAAGGCCCTTTCTCTGGAAAAATAACTCAGTCTTGATAAGTATTTCTTAGATAAGCTAACTTCAGTCATTCTGAGAAAACTTGCCCCCATTGCACAAACACTGTGCAACAAGTTGAAGCATGGAGCAAGGGCAAAAATTTGTAAAAATTAATTGACGGGATCAAGTTTTGAACTCAGTCTTGACAAGTATCTCTTACATAAGCATGCAATTTTCATACATTTAACATTGTTTAATTTCAGTAGTTGCTGAGAAAACATTTCACTCAGAATGCACTAACTTGACTAAGTTGAAAAGCATGGAGCAAGGGCCATAACTCTGTAAAATATGAATGTGAGACAGGAAATTTTGAACTCATTTGAGGTTGTGACCAGTAACATCAGTGTGCAAAATTTCATTCCTCTAACTTGAATAGTTTTTGAGAAAATGTGTCCCCATTGAGAAGCAGACGTACAGACTGAAGGACAGACTGAAGACGAACTCTGTTCCAATATCCCCAGCCCCACTTCATGGCGTGGTATAACTAGTGAACTGTAGGTCATAATTACCAGTGCATCATCATCATAAAATCAATCATGGTCTATCTTGTACTAAATAGAAAATCTGACATTCTTTCCCATCATGAAAATTGGAAGTGCTTAACTCAAAGAAAACTTACCTTGAAAGGTAACATGGACATGGCAAACTCAAACAGCAGTCTCATTAGCCTCTTGGAATAAAAAATAAACTCATCACGGGGTGTCTCTTTGTTCCTGAAATAAGCACAAGACCACAAATCATAATCAAAAGGTACTAAAAATGGTCTATCGAGAACAAGATAACTGCAAAAGATCAGCATGTATTTTGTAACTCCATTTCAAGCCAACTGTACATACTCAGCAACATTCCAGATATATGACGGTGGTCTGTAAATAATTGAATCGAGATCAGACATACAGTGATTGATATCATGAGCACCAATCTACTCTACTACGATGACATGCATGAACCAAGTCAGCGAGTCTGACAACCCAATCCTGTTAGTCGCCTTTTATGGCAAGCATGGGTTGATGAATAATTCTCACCCTGATCTTCATGGGTTCAACTGTATGTACAGATATCAGATGCAGAGATAACATTTACATCAAGATGATTCATAATTCCATCAGTTGTCCATGTACATTACTGAGAACATCTGTGAACATGATACTAACCATGTTGACTGCAAATGGTCGGTCTACCTTATAAATGTGTGAAGACCATGGACTTGTGGAGTCTTATCAAGAACACACAGAGAACTGGGCATTGGTAGTCCATTTGTGGCAGATGATGCCAGTTTTGATCGCAGTTTGAAGCCTCTCTGACAACAGAAAATAGCATGCTCATTGCAACAACTCAAAATCATCACAACCATACTTTATTGATACACTGTTGAAGAAACAACTACCATCTTAATATACATCAGCAATACCATGAATACTTCCCAGGTCTTATACACACTACGTTCCTCCATCAGTCATGAATAGGACAGCTTTGCGATGTATCATGTTGTAGTGATGTGTTTATTTGTAGTCAGCTAAAGCTGTTTATAACTCACAGAATTCCAATGACCCCTACTCCATGTGTGAACTTTGTGTAAACCCAACAAATGCCTGATAGAGAAGCAATGAGTAGAGCAGATGGCACCATGTTATATGAGTGAGTGAGTGGTTTTATACCACTTTTAGCCACATTCCAGCAATATCACAGCAGGGAGACACAAAAAATGGGATTCACACATTGTACCCATGTGGGGATTGAACCTGGGTCTTTGGTGTGACAAGGAAACGCTTTAACAACTAGGCTACCCCACCACCCCCAATGTTGCAGGAGAAACATGGATGTTTATGTGATATAATGAGCAGTAATTGGTGGGAGCACTTGCTGGTTTCCCTCGCACTGGAAACAGACCTAGTATTGATTCACTGGTTAAAATCATTAAGTACATTGCACATCAGTCACATGTATACGATGGTGCAGAAGGAATGTAGTGTATGCAAACCTGTGAAGTACTGACAATGCTTAATTCAATAATTGTAGAATTTTCCTATTCGGAATATTCTATAAGTAATACGTTACCACTGTTATACCGAGGCTGTTGTCCCCAACAACTGCTCTTATAGCGAAATCTACCACAGAGATCTCAATTACCTCATGCAGCATGTGCGTAGCAACCCAGCTGCCATGTGACACCCTTCACTCGTCTCTTACGAGAGCAAGAGCTCGGGGGACGGACGGGCGGGCAGCAGCCCAGTGGTAAAGTATTACTTATAGAATATTCCGAATAGGAAAATTCTACAAATTACATTAAGTAATACGTTACCACTGTTATACCGAGGCTGACTACCACAGTAGGCGGTGGGGAGCACCTACAACCCGAATCCTGACTGCTCGTGTTCCTTCCAACCAGCGGAAGTATACAACAAGGCAGAAGCACTCGATGTGCATGCTCCCAGCTTGGCGTTACCATATAGGGATACCAAAGCACTGTCAAGGCATACCGTAAGGCTCAATTGTCTTTGCCAAACGATTGGTGACTCCAAACGGCCTCACTGGATAGGTATTTCATCGCCGCAGCGGATGAGAACACAGTACCCGTGTGAGCTGAATCTTAGATCAGGTTAAACAGTCGAAAAGAGGGAAATTAATTTCATTCGGACCGTATATCCTAAGAACAAGCCTACTTAAGCGTATGTAAGAGGCGTGTGACCTCAATTCAATATTTGAAAGCATGCATTACAACGTTGCAATACACGACAGACAATTAAGTACATAATTGTCAATTCAAAATAAAGAAACACACAGAAAGCCGCACTCACCTGTGGATGAGCGCGCTGGCTTGTGGGACCCCCACTCCCGTACCCACGGCTGTGGGAAAGTTGGAGTAGACCCAGATTGACCACCGTGCCTGAAGCCTGAGGAGTTCGGAATTGCGCCGGGCACACCCCTTAGATGACCGCTTGTGCCGCGATCAGCGGCCCAAGACGGTGCACACCCTCCAAGTCTTCATCAGAGACCTTTCTGAGGTAATGATTGGCAAAGACCGAGTCAGAACGCCAGTAACAACCCCGCAATATTCTGTGAACAGATATATTGGAGTGTAGGGCAAATGTTAATCTCGTGCGGGTTTGACCCCGCAACCGGTAACCCCTGAGACCGGTACGCCAGATTGATGACAGAACAAAGCCATAACGCAATCGAGTTGCGAGTTATGTCAGCAGTCCGATTAGGGTTACACGATATGAACAGACGGTCTACGTTCAGTCGAAGCCTTAAGATACTTAAGTGCCCTAACCGGACACAGCTGCATGTAAGATTTCTTTGAGGGATCTTACAGTGAATTCTCTCTCTGTTTGGCCAAATTTCTGATTCTTAGCGACTCGGCCCATGAGCAGGCCCAGGCGGACCACTCATTCGTCACCCCTATCGAATCGTACTTTGGTGACATCGAGTGCGTGTATTTCCCACACTCGTGCCACCGTTGCAAAGGAGAGGAGAAATGCTGTTTTCCAAGTCACATGCCGGAACGAAGCACTCCAAGGGTTCATACGAAGCCTCCGTAAGCGATTTCAACACTAAGGAGAGATCCCAGGCCGGTGCCCAAAGGCGGCCCTTTTTAAGATCGTGCTGTTTGAAACCCTTGATAATACCCCGAATCACCGGCTCTTTTGAGAGACTGGTACCCATAGCAACGTCCCGTACCGTAGCAACTGCCCTGCGTTTGGATGAAGCTGACGGGGTGTGGGTGGATCAGGAGATCCGGTCTCACAGGCAGTGGAAGTGGCGACTGCGTGGCCTGGGCTAGCAAGTCGGGGTACCACGATCTGTTTGGCCACATGGGCGCGATCAGTAACAGCGAACTCCTCGGAGCTGGCTTAGAATGAGTGGTATTAACGCCGTCGGCGGGTAAGCATAAGCGTCCATGCCCGTCCAGTCTAACGCGAGAGCATCATGATCAATGGCCCTCGGGTCCCGGACTGGTGATACAAACAACGGGAGTTGATTGTTGAACCGTGTTGCGAACAGGTTGACCATCGGACGACCCAAACGTTCGCACAGCCACTGAAACACTACTGGGTTGAGCATCCACTCTGTGGGGCTCGGATCCCGAGGCCTCAATAGAGCGTCGGCCAGTACGTTCCGCACACCTGGGATGTGACGGGTGCGTACCTGGCACGGGATACTGTCCACCAGGGCGTAAAACTCGAATGTGAGATCGAGTAGCGAGTGACTGTGGGTTCCCCCCAGTTTGTTCACATAGGACACTAACGTCGTGTTGTCGGTCGCCAGCATGATCCTGGCGTCAACGAGACGATGCTTCCAGTGATTGACTGCGTTTATCACTGCCTTGAACTCGAGGCAATTGATGTGAAGACCTAGTTCGTCTACGCACCACAGCCCCGAGCTCACCTCCCCCTCTAGATGGGCGCCCCAGCCCACTAGAGAGGCGTCTGTATACAGGTTCAACATGGCCCGGAAGGGCCGCATAGAGACTCCTGATAAGACATTGCAAGGGACCGTCCACCACTCCAGATGCGGTCGGAGCCGATCTGGGAGGGCGACGGACGCACTGTTCTCCTCCTGTGCTAACAACTGGATTAGAAACCGTTGCAGCGGGCGGAGTTGGAGACGACCCCGATCAGTGCAGTCCTGGGCTGACACAAGTAGCCCTAACAGCTGTTCCCAAAAGTGAACAGTCTGTGGCACCGCTAAGACTTTGGCAATCATCGCCTGAATCTTGTGCCACCGGTCTGGGGGTACAAAGAGGCGATGGGTCACCGTGTCGAACCGACCTCCGATGAACTTCAAGTTCTGTGAGGGGGTTAACTCGCTTTTGGGGAGATTGACAATCCACCCCAATTGCTCCAAGAGCCGACGTGCGAAATCGAGATGGCGAGACAGCACGTCTGTCATCCGATTTGCTACTAGCGAGTCGTCCAGGTACGCGAAGTACCGGACACCCCTCCTGTGGAGGAATCCCACTATGGTGGTGGTTAACCGGGTGAACAGACGAAAGACCGAATGGGAGTACAACCCACTCATAGTGCCTGCCTTGAAAGACAAACCTGAGATACTTGTGATGGTCCGAGTGAATCAACACAAGGTACGCTTGCCGCCTCAAGAAATAGCACGTGCCGGAAAGAAAGGCCGAAGCCCCAGCAACGTACTCAAGGGTTGCATTCAAACCGATTAAACAGTTATAAATGTGCTGGTCTCGGTCAGTGGGGGAACCTTCGATCAGACTGGCCGCCGCCGCTAAGTAGGTGTCACCATGGGACATAGCGAGCATGGAGTGCCGAGAGAGGGTGTCCATTTGCTGTTAAGTCGCTTGAGTGACTGTAGCAGCAGGTGGGGCACGGACATCCAACCTCTCCACATGGGCCTCCGCGGTGGGACCTGCCTCAGGGAAGGCCAGGTCATGCACCAGGAACGAACCCTTTCTCCACGATGGAGGAGGTAACGGGAGTCCCCGACCGGAGGCCGCCGCGAAGGCTTTCTCCAAAGACGGCTTGTCGGCGGACTCGTCGAAAACCTCGGAGGAACCCACAGAGCCGTGGATTCCCCGGGGTACCGGCTGGGGCCGTGGCATGTCCTTAAAGAGGTCATACACCATGGCCACACGGTCCTTAGTGGAGTATCGGCTCGGGGGAAGGACCAGTGACTACGGTAGCCGCTGCCGTACCCGTGGACCCTGCGTCCGAACCCGCAGCCATCGAAGGGGCCGGGGACGGAACAACCAGGGCCTTATCCTGATATAAGGCCGCCAGTTGAGACAACAAAGCCGCGACAGAATCCCCGGACAGCCCAAGGGCCGCCAAGGGATCCGCCGCCAAGGAGGTAGTGCCCGCATTGGGCGCCCGACCGGATGAACCGGCCACCTCAGGGGTGATAGCAGAGCGCACGTAGCGCCTGTATCGCACAAATTCCTCCGGCCCCAGACCCTAGCACTGGGTGCACCGGGTGTCCTCGCAAGGGACCCTGCACCGCGGGCAACGGTCGTAAGGATCCTGGGAAGACAAAAAACTTCTGACAGGTGCCGCAGCGCCTGTTAACAGGAGTAGCCGGGGTACTGGACAAAAGATCCATCTCCATGTCAGACATTGTTCTTTGAACAAAAAACAAACATGGTTACAACACAGACACCAAACATATTCAGAAACGTAGATTTTCCGTAGAAAAACAAACGATAATAGTGAATACATAAAATACATATAAGATATACATATATATATATTAATAGGTGATGCAAAACAACCCCACGATATACCACTAAAGGCGGACGGAAGACATAAAGTGCCTACGCCACACCCCGTAAGTAGCGAAAAAAAAGGCGGGAAAATTTTCTAAGCGCCGTATAACGAGCGCCCCGTAATTTACAGTTTACTTAGGACTAAGAAACAGTAATAAATATCACCAAGGATAGGCAGGAGGCTGAAAACCGTAGAACGCAGTAGAGCAGTCGATTTACATGTCTTGCTATGGCAAGCGAAGAGACAAGAGTGAAGGGTGTCACATGGCAGCTAGGTGGCTACGCACGTGCTGCATGAGGTAATTGAGATCTCTGTGGAAGATTTCGCTATAAGAACAGTTGTTGGGGACAACAGCCTCGGTATAACAGTGGTAACGTATTACTTAATGTAATTATGCGTGTTATGGCAACACCATTTATGCTTATCATACTCTAAATGATAGAATATATTGACAAAGGATGTTGAATCCAAAGGGTCAAAGATACTAGAGAGAGTGAGTTGGGTTTAATGCCGCTTTTAACAGTATTCCAGTTATATCACAGTGTGACAGTTTAATGTGGAAGGGAAGCCCGAAGGGATGCAGGTCTCAGACATTTATCACTTCGGTAGAACCCACTAGCATGTGTATGGTGCCAACAAACCTAGAAACATAATTGGGGCGAACCGGGATTCGAACCCACAATCATAGGTTTCTGGCGTGCAACTCTGCACAGCGAATCACGGTGCCTTAGATGACTGGGCTAGTATCAGAGAGTATCAATAAACAGTCAGGGGATTCCTAGTCATTCAAACTGTTGCACTCATATTGACAATACTTACATTTAGCAGCTGGGTGTGTATGTGCAAGACAATAAGATTGATAGCAACATCATTTTCACCACCTGTGAAAAGATCAATGTTATTAGTATCACTGCTGGTATACATCTTATTCTGATGTATTGTTTCATAGGCATTGCTTAGAAGTTGATGGATGACAAAATAGACATAAAGTATGGATAACAACTTCTTTAATACTGTAAAGGCAACATTTCAGTATAGATCCTTATACCATTTCAAGCAAGACAGTCTTGCTTGACAACAGTATAAGGATCTATACTGAAATGTCGCCTTTACAGTATTAAAGAAGTTGTTATCCATAAATTGTGTCTACTTTGATATTCCAATTTGTTTATACATATTTCACTAAATGATGTATTGAGATCTAGTTGATGTTATAAACCTTCAATAAAAAGTTCTGTCATGTCAATATGGAAGGAACCTACATTAACAATATCACTGTTCACTTTGATCTCACCCTGCTGTCTGTCAAAATGTTAGTGAAGCAAGGGGAAACAGGGTTTAACATTGTGTTCCAGATTATTACGCTCATATAGCGATGTGCACGCACGTGTGTGTGGCTGCTTGTGACTAAAGCTGTTTTTGTGGTGCTATCCCACTGAGGTACCATGCCACAGTTAATATGGATTGCCCACGCAGACACATTATACAGACTGAGCCGACCAGTCCTTGCTTTATCCCCTTAAGAATGAGCAGGAAAATAACAAATACCATATTTTAAAGTCTTTTGGCATGATGCGGCCAGAGGATCAAACAGCATATTAGTGAGCAAGTGCTTTCATTTGTGCAATGTAATCCTGAGAAGTATTACCAGAAAACCATAACAAAAAGAAAATAAATCTTGTTACTATGTTGTCCAAATAAGCAATATACCTCTTGGAACTATGATGTCAGCACAACTCATTGTAGGTTCAATGTAGTGCTCAAATGCTGGTTTGACAAACTTGTTATACTGGTGTAACACCCCTTCCAAGCCACGACCACGATTACTGATGTCTCGTTTGAGTCGCCTAGCGAGACGGATATCCGAATCTGTGTCTACAAAGACCTTCATGTCCATCATCTGAAGCAGGAACACAACCAAGTTTAAGATACGAATAACTACAAAGAATCACAAAACATCATGTCTCACTTCCGCACTGTCCTGTCAGCTCTCGAATCTTTCATCTTTGTTCCTGTTGATATAATTAGATTCATACTTGTCTTGTCATGTGCAACAAGCGTATAGTCAACGAAGTCATGGTCCCAAACCAGGTAACTGACCCAACATTTCTCTTAGCCCATGTCAAAATAGCTGCAATGGAAATTCTAAAATAAACATTTCTAAAACTCCTTAATATCAAATGGCACCAGTTCAGTATGTGCTTCATATATAGCCATGCAATGTTTGGCAAGGAAATACTTAACAGTTCATTTGTTATACTCCATAAGTGAACCCACCCTTAAAACTTGCTGCCATGGAAACGTAAAAAATAAATATTGCTAAAATTCCTAAATAGCAAAAGGCACTAGTTCAGCATGAGTCTGATAGACATGCAAAGTTTTGTTAGAAAGTATTGAATGGGTTTTGAGTTATGCTCCAGAAATGAACTCTACCCTTATAGAACCTAGTCCAACTTGTTGCCATGGAAACATAAAAAATAAAAATTTATAAAATTCCTAAATAGCAAAAGGCACCAGTTCAGCATGAGTCTGATAGACATGCAAAGTTTCGTAGAGAAGTATCTTATAGTTTCTGAGTTATGCCCCGGAAATGATTTCGAGTTGTATCCCTTGTAATGAAAAAGAGATATCCGACCAGATCACTGTTCTTATTTCGTATAGCTTCACAAAGATGGCGACTACCATAGGCAACAACCTGGTCAATCAGATAAACAAAAATGAAAACATTCACAATTTCATCCCTGACACAAAAACATAGGCAATCGTTCAGGTGAGGTGGTAGTCTAATCATATTTAGCACAGGAATGAATGTTGGCTTCATGTGGCAAGGGTTGAAACAAGACTTTGGTCAAAAGGCTAGTGGATGCTCTTGCCATGGGAAGATGGTTATTGAGCAGAAATAAAGAACATTACCTTAACAAGCTCTTTGCTGACAAAAGCCATGATGCCTTCAAAAATCACCACATTAGCACCATAAATTGTTTTCTGAAAAGAATCAAATTTAACAATAGATGCTGACAATGACATTAAATGTAAAAACATTCTTTCAGGATCTAAATCTATTGGCAACGGTAGACACTAACATTTTAGTCCACTTGTCCTCATAATGAGTGAGTGAGTGAGTGAGTATGGTTTTACGCCGCTTTTAGCAATATTCCAGCAATATCACGGCGGGGGACACCAGAAATGGGCTTCACACATTGTACCCATGTCGGGAATCGAAGCCGGGTCTTCGGCGTGACGAGCGAACGCTTTAACCACTAGGCTACCCGACCGCCCCTGTCCTCATAATGATAACATATAGCAAAACCCATAAAAATGGCACATTTCTACCAGTCCTTATGATACCTTAACTATTGGGCAGTTTGGAAAGGACTACAGGACAAGTGCCAGTTTCTAACACTGTATTGGTACTTCAATCAATGGAATCTAAGTGAGTAGTAGGCATATGATTAAACAATTGTCAAAAGGACTGAAGATCCTAGTTGCGCATACAATGCAGATAGAAGAAGGTTACATAGGAACTGCTGTCATAGTCCAACAGTTGTGTCTTCAAACATACAATTACTAACCATGTGTGTCTCCCGACTGTGAGTATTGAAGTTATAGATTGGAACTTCAACAATTTTCCCATCCTTCAGTCTCCGCAAGGTTTCAATAAGCAGTTCAAAGTCAAAGGCATCAGGGTGATCAAAATTGTACTCATTCACTGCAGCTTTCTCATGTTGATCTTTGTTTAGCACCTACAACATCAAACTCTAACTGTCCATTTGTTTTGTAGTCATGTGATGGTAATGAAACTGTACTACGGTATCATACTATACCATGTATAGTGATTGTATGCTTCTACACACCAAAAAAAACCCACAATATTAAAAAATATATCACTCAACAAACATATTTAAAGAGATTTGTTTTCATTGTGTTCTATAAAATGTGTGAAGCCTTATATTTTCCTTTGATGATGATTTATTTAAAATCAAGATTCTAAATCTGATGTATACGTACGTTAATCTTGGAAGCAACATGACTATGAACTAACACAGAACACTCACAAAGTTGATGCTGTTTACCTTGTAGAATGAGTCCATGGAGAGTAAACTAACCCAGGGAACATCTAGGGCCTCGATGATCTTCCTGGCAACTGTAGTTTTACCAGAGGCACTACCACCACAAATACCTGACGTGAGAAGTAACCAGTTCATAAACAGATAATAATAACAGACGAGGAAGTTCAACATTGTGTCTATGATTCAGGAGTAGAGTGGTTAGAAGCTTTCCATATGGTATACTTTTGTGTAATGTTGAACTAATAGGTACGTTTGAAGTACATGCACAATTTTCAAATATAGCTTGAACATCACATGGATCTGTAGATATTTGTAGAATCTTAAAACACCCATGATTTTGACAGATGTAAATCACATTGCTTCTGTCAATTACTACATATATTAATTCTAATTCTCACCTATTACAAAAGGCTCTTTGAGTTGACCCTGAAAGTTGTACCATGGCGGTCTTCCTGATGTGTAAAGCGTGCGACCAGCAGTATGCACTACTCTGTTACTGGACTTGCTACTGCTACTTGGTGCTCTACTCTTCTTCTTCCCTGGGGTAAGTTTGGAGGGACTTTTAGGTACTTTTGTTGGTGATCGAGGTGCAGGCACATCTTTGTCATCTTCCGGGCTATCTGGACGAAATGCATCCTCACCGCTACCACTGAAGAACAACATGAGTTATCATGATTAGGCTGTCATTAACCATGTTAACAGTTTGTTATCCAAATTTCATTTGGTTAAATCACCAAACAATGGTAAACATGAAGAACAGCCTCACTTTCATTAAGTTATTGCTATGAAGAAACATCAATATTACTGTAAACATGGTATTGTCCGACCTGGTAAGCAACAATGGGCCAACATGTGGTATTCACTGATTTTAGTTACTAGTCATGATGAAAACCTACTAGTCCAATGGATACTGTAACCATTTAAGCATTACCATGATAACAGAAGTATGAATTTTGTTTGCCAGTGATTCTGGGATTAAAGCCAGTTTCTTTTGCTGTTTAGTAAGTACAACTATGCAAGTAATTCTCAATTTCATATGCTCCATTTGCCATTCCAGCAATGCCCTTTCTACAAGAAGAATATACCTTTTTCATTTGATTATATAAACTTCACATCCAAGTTCTTTTTGTGATATGCCTATATCAGGTACCAGTAATCTCATGTATACATTCATCTAATCTTACATGCTCATTAGACAATGTAAGATAGACCCTGTTAGATTCAAGAAGCCATAATTCTCTGTGTGGAGATATGTCCCTAAATTGAGCCAGGATCCACCCATCATGGGTTTCAAATGCCAGAAAAGCATGATCATGATGATTATGAATCTTGGTCTGTCATCACATACCAATGTGTGGTGGTTTCACAACAGTTGTAAACACAAGACCATTGGAGAAAAAATACCTGCATTACTTTGGATTTTACTCTCATATTAGGGACATGCTGTGATATATCCTCGAGTGTCCGTATTCACGAGACTAAGCATTAGGCAACCAATATCTCATGAAAGTCACCAAAGTGAAACCAGTTATATAAATGATCAAGCACTGTAGTCATCAATTGTCATCATGGTCATGACCAAAACATGTTAACCTTCCCTAATCTGCCCTTGTGTTTTCTAAGTTTGTGACGTCATTGATTATTGTATTTTCCTCCCAACTGTCTTTACTTCCAAAGTAGTCTTATTAAGTGAATGCCTTCTCGTGATACTAGAGATAATAGGTCAGTTTGTATCCATTGTGTCATTTCATAAGCTGTTAGTTATCATGGTTATCCATCCCTCAAGTCATTTCATAACCAGGTTGGTTAGGATGACTTTTTTACAAGGACAGGAATTTCTGTTAGCACCTGACAATAAATTTTGACCTAGCTAGATAATATGTAGACATTGTAGAATATATTGACCTCGCTAGATAATATGTAGACACAGTAGAATAAAGCAAGAGTTTCACATAAAAGTAACATCAAGGATAAGCAAAAATAGGAACAGTATCTATGATGCCTTTGTGGAAGTGGACAGTTATTGTAACATATTGTAAAATTGAACTTGGCGACAATCTCAATAAATTCATGTTTATGTGCAAAATTGTCAATCATAATTATTTATGATGCTTTATAAGTAATCCATGTATCGATACATCTAGTGACTAGTGAGAATGAAAAACCCTACTATCTCTACCCGCTGACAAAACTACAAATGGAATAGGACTGGGCAATTTCCACAAGTAATGATATTCATTTTTTTCATAGGTACACCATGTGTCATTCTAAATACACGTCACAAACTCGACTTGGAAAGACTTCCGCCTGTATCCCCCATTCAAAAGTATGCATTGCCACTCAATCCTTTTAATTATATATATATTTTTAGGGGGGATACAGGCGGAAGTCTTACCATGCTTACCCTCGACGAAATATGCAAAATTGAACTGAGCAGTGACATGATCAAGTCATTTGTTACTTTTCACTCTCATAGGTGTGAATAACCCAATTCATCAGATAAACTAGGAAAGCTTATATGTATTGTTTATCAGAATTCTGCAGAAGATCAACAAAAAGAAAAATTACACACAACCACAGGACCATCGGCCTCGTCTACGATTATTATTATTTAGCGAGTGTTTATTATTATTTTAGGTCCGGTGGCACAACACATGCGCTACAGAAAACATACTGACTGTTCATTAGTATTTATTTAATGAAAGGAACCGTCACTCTCACTGGGTGCCGAGAGGGTGAGGACCATTTGAAATTGAATCAGACACTGATGCAATTATGTCATTATTATCTTTTCAACACAACTTCTTATACAACTAGGAAGTTACTGTTACACTACGAGTCGAAGGCGCTAACAAAGCATATTATCATATGTGTCGGGCAAAGTGCCAAAACACATCTCAGCATGGCCATCACGTGGCATCTGATTTAGCGTTATTCCAATAATCGTAACGTTTATGACAGGTAATACTTGGCAGAAAAACGAACAAACTATCTATGTTTCCAAAACAGTATAAGTGGATACGAAAAATCAAACCTGTCAGATGCTGAACTTGCAGAACTTGGAGGATCAAATTTAAAAGCTGCGTCCGACATTGCTTTTTGTTTTGTCATTCAGGACAATCTTCATAACAGACGCACGATTGGGTGATATAAATTCATACACATTACCGAAATCTGTAGAACAGTTATTTGGGCAAGAAAATAATTAAACCTTTCTTTTATATTCAGACATATTACTAAACTAGACCAATGGATTTTATTGTGCATGTTGAAATAAAGGGGCTCTCGTTATTTCTTGACTGTCATTGGTCCATTTCTGTCAGAAGACAACTCGCACTATGCTGTGTACTCACGCCTGCTTGAATGGCGTGACACAGCTAACAATCTGCTTAAATAAATCACACGTTCACTTAGATTTACAGTCAGTCATATACCGTCAGTACTACGTGAAACACGTTTCTGGGATATGCCTAGTGTCAAAAACTGTCGTAGTGCCATAGTGATCTAGTGAACAGAGTAGGTCTAAAAACTGTTGACAGTTTTACTGTTACACAGTTGGATGCACGGTGACATCTGGTGTATTTTGCATAGACCGTTTGTACAGTTGTATATATATGTAGTGAACATCGAAGAAAAACATAATTGTCAGCCAGCATAGAGTAGAACAACAATGTTGAACCAGCTGTTGAGATTTGGGAGTGATTTCACTCGCGATATTGGACTGTCACCTGTGTCAGTGTACGCAGTCACCTTCTTTGTGGTGGTACTGTCAGCTGTATTCTTCTACAGAAAAAGATCCAAGGTAAGCTAACCTATTTGTTTGTTTGTTGTTTAACGCCACACTCTTAAATATTCTAGCTATATAGCCGCGGTCCGTAAATAATCGAGTCTGGACCAGACAATCCAGTGATTGATCCAGTGAGCATCGATCTACGCAATGTTGATTCAATGACGTGCATCACCAAAGTCAGTGACCCTGACCACCCGATCCTGTCAGTTGCCGCTGACCACAAGATAGCCTAATGAATAGCAAGATGTAAAAAAAAGTGTGTCAAGGCTTGAAGCTATCAACTATGGCAAGCCGTTTTCACATTTATTGCAGAATTACAGATATCTTCAATTGTTTTAAAGATATCGGTATTTTATTTAAAGATATCAATCATGTTTTAAAGATATCACAAAAAATTGAAGATATCTTAAATTCATTTCTGATATCCATAATACAATTACTGATATCTTAAAATGTTTTGGTGATATCAACAAATTATTTTGTGATATCTCTTAATGTATTTAAGATATCATTAAACAATTACCATCCTACAGTACATACATATATTAGAAATAAATTCAAGATACCTTAAATTCAATTCAAGATATCTTGAAATAAGTTATACATATCCACAAATGCATTACAGATATCTTTAATTCAATTCAAGATATCTTTAATTCAATTCAAGATATCTTTAATTCAATTCAAGATATCATTAATTCTGACCGTTACTGATATCAAACATCCAATTAAAGATATCATTAATACTTTTGATGATATCTTTATATCAATTATTGATATCAGTTATCTAATTTAAGTAACATTATTAATGTAACATCTTTAATAATGGCAACAATTGAAATTATCAATTATTAATTACTGATATCTGTATTTAGTTTCAAGATATCAGGAATTGAATTAACGACATAACAAAACATGACATTTTGATATCTTTAAATCATATTTTGATATCATAATAAAATTTAAGATATCAGCAATTCTTTTCAAGATATCTTCAATTCATTTCAAGATATCTTTCAAACAATTGAAGATATCTTAAATTTTATTTTATTTGATTGCAGATATCTACAATTATCTGCATTTAAGATATCTTCAATTCCATTCAAGATATCTTCAATTCATTTCGAGATATCTTTAAAACAATTGAAGATATCTGTAATTCCGTAATAAATGTGAAAACGGCTTGCCATAATCAACAGCTAGCCAGGGGCCTACACTGTAGGCTACAGTACTACTGCAGACTCCTCTGTCTTTCTCATCGGCAAGGTTGTTATAGGATTTACCAACCTTGCTCAGTCTATGCAGTTGAGAACTTTTGATTACATTAATTTAATTATGACAAAACATTCTCAGAGCTTCAGATTGACGTGTATATAGGTAATCTGACCCGTGTATGACACTTGTGAAATGAGTCACTATAGGTATCAGATATATTGGACTTGGGTCATATACCGAACAGAATTAGTCATTTTTGTTGAGAGGTAAATGAGCCTGCCTTCTTACAGATCTGAATCAATTTAATCACAATTGGGTACCATTGTAAACACATGAATTAATGTGATGTAGATCTAAAGAGAGGAATGTTTATATAAATGCCCACTAGCTCAGCTGACTCGTTAACATGTTTCAATCTCAGAAAATTTCCAAGTTTGATGTTATTATTAGATCTATTGGAAATTTATTTTATTATTTTAGAAAAAGTTCATTTGTTATTCACCATACATTAAATGATTATCATGGCTAAAGTAAAATAGTTATTAAACTCACATGCCTACCAGCTTCCACTTATAAAAAAGCATAAAATTTAAAAAAAATAAAAACCTTGTGCCTACTACTAGCCTGCGGGCTAATGAAGCTTCATTTCGAACAAATGGGTAATCGTCGTTGACGCTTATTGAACCTTGCTGTGACATGGGGAGAGGGACATGAGCAATGTCAGGTACACATGCTTCAGGGATGGGCGTTAAGTAACGCGACTACAACACTGACTCTCAATACTGATAACACAGGCCAGAGTAGAATTTGCAATAAGAATGACCTTTTCTCTTATCATAACAGGTTAAACATGATAAAGGTGCAAGGTCATACAAATAGTAAATTTTTCATGTTTTCAATGACCTTTGTTTTGTACACACTTAGTAGCTTATATTTTCAGGCCACCTTAGGTACTGTTTTCATCTTAAATGTATGTTAAATTTAACAAGAATTCACCCATCTTATTTTTCTGATATATGCACCAAGGAAAATGTGGGAGAAAGCAATTTGTCCTAACAACATTTCAGTAGACTTGGACCAGTGTCAAGAGTTATAGCCCTTGCTCCATGCCTTTAAACTTTGTGCTTAGTGTGTGCAATGGGGACAGGTTTTCTCAGAAACTACCTATGTTACATGAATGAAACTTTGCATGCTTATCTGAGAGATACTTGTCAAGACTGAGTTCGAAAATTGGCCCCTGTCAATTATTTGTTTTTAGAGTTACGCCCGTGCTCCATGTTATATTGCTTGGTGCATAGTGTCTGCATTGGGGACAAGTTTTCTCAGAAACTACTGAAGTTAGCTTATCTAAAAGATACTTATCAAGACTGAGGGTTTTTTTCCAGAGAAGGGGCCCTTTTGTGTGTATTAATTTCACTTTTAATCATTTTTTCTGATGACATGAAGCAGCCCAAATGCCTTTCTCTTCTTAAGGCTTTATAGGACTCTTTTTATTAGCATGACAACACTGTTTTCTTGATTTTTAGGATGAAAAAGGTAGCTTAGTGTCAGTCAGTGTTTTTTTTAACTATATATGGTGTTGTAGTTGACAAGGAAGGTTGGTGTAGCGTGTTTACCTAACTGATTGAGACTGGCTGGCATGTGTCTGGACCACTCAGTGTTATGTCAGCAAACTGACGACATGTGGCAGGTTAATGAACATTCCTGATTGGACTATTGACAATGGGTAATAAAGAAACAGGATGTGAGGGATTGTTATTTAATCATGTTCGGGCTGGTTTGACAAAGTGAATAAAAGAAATATGTCTTACATTTTTTGTTGGTCCGCAAAAATAGCTGTGTCATGAAACAATTGTGAGTGTGTGTTGCTTGCAGTTTTCACAGTATTTTCCTTTCAGCAAAACTTTCCACATTTACAATACATTTTTTCTCTCAAATATTTGTCAAAATTGTTCAAATTAAATCCAACCTGGCATTTCAGTGTTTGAAATTGGGGTCCTGGGGTAATTGAGTACTTCTCTACTGGTAAACTACAGCAGAGTTTGAAATTAACAAACGTCTCCTAATCTAAGACTGTAGAAAATCATGAAGGACTATTGATTTTTCCATGTGGACTGCCACTTTTTCTGTAGCAGATCATTTTGTGGACTAGTGAAAAAAATAATAAATTTCTAACTCTGATTTGCATGATCAGGGTTTTCCGCGAAGCACAAATGTGCATCCAGTACACACACATGTAGAGAATGGATGCAGGAAAAACATATACTGCGTCCCAAGAGATGCACAATAATAACAGAGCTGCAGATAAGCAGCATATTTGCGTAAAATACCCCCCAAAATATTCAAAACCCAATTACTTTCAATTAACTTGCGTACTGAAACGCATGCATTAAATGAAAAACTCAAATGTATAAAAGCAGCACACATAAATACCCAATGAAGCTTTTTTAGCATGTGTACAAAGGAGCTAGTTTCCGAAATACAATTACGAAATAATTTACTTTCCAAGTCAAGCCAATAAATTTAGAACAGTTATATACACCTAAAACATTATTTCATTTTTTTCAAATCTTAAAGGGGCACTGATCTTACGCAATTCCCCGGGACTGGTTGTTGCCTTTGTTATTGTTTTTTCCCAGTGAGTACCCGGATGTATAGCAGAAATCTGGACTAGTTCGCGACCTCTGCTGCGCCATTCGTAAGCGCATTAGTCGCTTTTATGGGTAGTAATAAGGGCGTATGGTCACATTGATGAACAAAATGAAATACAGTTTTCGAGATAATAAGGAAATGTAGGTATCTTTGTGGGTAGCATCGGTAATGGTGACGAAGTTTTGATAAGTCACTTGCTTGGTAATTTTGCGATTTTCGTTTACACTATTTTGACTTGCAACACAAAGTACCTTCTTCACCTGAGCATTACTTTTTTTATAGTGTGTATTTTTTTTTACTGTCAAATGTGTAACAAATTTATTAAACGTCTAAATATTCAGTTAATTTTAGTGACTGAAAAACATTTCAATCTGTATTATTATGATAACAAATTCCAAACATTTTGATGTTTAATGTCATCACCAAGAGATTGAAAATGTTACGTTGAGAAAAGTACATTTCTATGTTGTTTGGTTCTAATCCTACATAATAATCTGTTGTGATGTTTGTTGGCCCTTTTGATCGTCTCAATCAATCTGGAGAGATTTTTTTAGTCAAAATGACTGAAATATTTACACATTTTATAAATTGCCTGAGAGAATCACATTTTACAAATTGACGGTAATATATACACGCTTACAAAGGAAAAGACCTGTGAAAACAACGTCTATCGCGCATTGAAGAATTTCCCAACCAAGACGAGGGGAAACAAGAACGAATCGGTTCAAATGAAGGAAAACAAAATGCAAATATCATAATTACAACCTACCAAATTTATGTGTATAAATTTTAGGCAGCTTCCTTGTTCGAGGAATGTATCCGTGAATATCCACACAAAGGAACAATATCCCACTCGTCTGCAGATGTACAAAGAAACTTATTCGATGTCACGTGTCTCAGTAACAATCAAATATTTTAAAAGATATATGTCGTTTCGGGATATTATAACCCGTGTTCGTTTCTCAACTGATCACTTGGATTGTTTCAGGTGTTTTACATAGGTGTCAAGTCTCAATGGTCGGCTGAGAAAGCCCACGTGACAACTATTTTCATAACGTTCACGGTTCCTAAAAAATCCATTGAGTGATAGATAACAATGATCAATCAATCAACGTATTATAAGTTAACCCTCAACAAAGTATGTTGTTTTTACATCGGCACTTCACGCCATGGTATGAGTGTATTCCCTTTGTTTTAGTAAACCTAGACATGTAAACACTCACTCTTGACATATCCACTGTGCAAGATAACAGTGATTAATCAATCAACGTATTTTCTGTTAATCCTTTGATGACTAGGAATGTTCCGTTGATTTACAAAAAAATAAATCAACTGATCATTCATCTCTTGCTGGGCTGCCACGTGCATATTACATAACACACATTTCACCTCACTTCAAACCTGGATTTAGATTGAATAATTACCCCAGACACAATAAATGCCAAATGGGAACCTTTGTCAGGTAATCTAACTGGTGCTACCTTTAATTGTACCTGTAATAAATTCATTAACTGAGCATCAAGTGAATGACGACAAATACACAAGTGAAGGGTTATACAAGAAAACGTGGATGTCAACAAGGGAGTAGTAATCGTATTATCGACGCAAGCCGAAATCCGAAAATGCTTTCACTGCATGGATACTTTTTTTAGTATAAAACTATAACCATCTGGGGTATTTCCAAATGACGACATCCGATGAGCTCCGCTGTTCTTTTTGTCTGCTTGTTTAGGCTGAAGAAATTAATTAACATGCGCCCTTTGTCGAAATCTGTATAGATCACAGTTAACCAATCAGTGTTTATGCAAAAATGCGTAAAACAAATATTGCCTCCAGCCTCCAAGTTTATTTAGCTGTCCTTGCAGACGGTAGCCCAGTTTCTGGTCACGCTCAGTTGCGTTGCGTATCATCCGGGTACTCACGGGGGAAAAAACAATAACAAAGGCAACAACCAGTCCGGGGAATTGCGTTAGATCAGTGCCCCTTTAAAATGTTCCCATAGAGTGATGAAAAGATGAGTGAAAATTTATTGGTTACCCAATGAACAATATAAATATAATATATAAATATAATAACTCAATTAAAATAGAAACCCTAGAGTAAAAACTCAATTGCTCAATAATAATTGCATCAAGGGCAGTTTAGTTCATCTGTTCATCAGTTCAGTTCTGTTAGTTCATCCATCAATCATGACCACTGTCCACATGATCATTGATTCATTCCAGGCTCTAAAGTAATTATCGAAACATACAGTACACTACACCATTTCATTACTCTACAGGACCCTCATATTGCCTGCATGGGCCCTAAAATTAATTATTGAGATATTTCTTTATGGCTCTGTGGCTCTGTTTATTTGTTGCCTATATTATATATACCCCCCCCCAAAAAAAAAATCAAACTACGATAATGATACTCATGCAACACTCCAGGTAAGCTGAGGGACTGGTCATTTATTAATGGATGGGAGCCATTGAGATGGGGGTATCATGAAAAAAGGATCAAAATTTATCACAACTATTAGGGGGGAAGGGCATGAAAGAATAACATAGTTCTATCTTTATCAAATAACTTTTTATATAAACTTGAAAAATTTATGTGGGTGGGGGTTGTCATGAAAAGAAGTTACATATATTTGGGGTTGGCCATGGAAAAATGTTAAATAAAATGGGGGGATGTCGGCAAAATATGATACAGTCCTTAGACCTACCCCTCAGCTCTCTCCTCTCCTCCCCACCCCTCTCCACACACCTCTATAATAAATTAGCAGTCTTTAAAATAAAACAAATGAAAAGAAAATTGATTTATGTTTTTTTTCATGTTAGATATTTATCATTTCAGATATCTATTGTTGGAAAACCCAGCCATGAATTTGAGTCCACCCCAAAAGACCAAGAGGTCATTGTTATTGGTTCTGGAGTCTTGGGATCAGTGCTGGCAACTGTGCTGGCCAGGGATGGACGCAAGGTCACGGTCATAGAACGAGATATGAAGGAGCCAGACAGGATAGTTGGGGAATTATTACAACCTGGGGGATTTGGAGCTCTCAAGAAACTTGGGTTAGGCGGTAAGTAAAACAGTATGGCACTCCAGAAATACGAACGTAACGAACATCAAGAAAGCAGCTATTGAGCTTAATCGTGTTCACATCACCAGAGGGGTAGCCTGAAGGCCCGAGTTTGATTTCCCACATTGGTGCAATGTGTGAAACCCCCCAAACCCCCACCCCCCTGATATTGCGGGAATAATGCTAAAAAAGCATATAACAAGACACTCATACAAACACACACTCAAGTCTCCAAAATAGTCTACTTGAAAAACAAGAGTTTTTATCCATTAACAATTATGACACTAGTATTCTCGATAGCGGAGGGGGGTCTTGAAGGTTGCTACTATGGTGTTTTAATTGAGAACCCCCCACATGCCCTAACGCTATCAATTTTGGCATAAGGGTTATTATAAGGATCCATTGACTAATGACTTTCATGCTCAATTTTGAAAACACTGCTTTTAATTACTTTGTGTATTCTGGAAGAACAACAGCTGGTTAACACTCACAAGGAAAATCATAAACATGCAGCTGTGATAAAATCACCAATATTTACTGACCTGAACATTGCTGAGAGATGTGTTAAGCAAAGGGTTGATTGCTTTAGACGAGTGGTTAGTTTCTACCTGCTGTGCATCCCTCAACCTAGTCACATACCAACGTTCAGTATTGCTAAGTGATAACATCCTCTGCTGCCCCTGTCGTACTTGTCACCCTGACTTCACACTGCACACCATGAGGACGAGTCACAACAGCACTGGCGTCATGCTGTTTGTGTATACAGGAGTGAGAGATTTCAATAAACAATTTGCTTCCTGACAGCTCCCAGTGTTCAAAATTAGCTTTTCAACAAACTTCATATGAACATGATGAAATCATCTTGTCCTTGTTAATTGTGTTTTCTTTTTAATGGATAAAATCAATGTGTTTATTTCTGTATAATGGGCCTCATGGTAGGGCTGGGACGAGTCAAAATTTACTACCCGGGTACCCACCGCTCTATTACCCGCCCCTACCCGGGTACCCGCTGTAGGCCTCAAGAGATAGGTACAAAATGTCCGCTTGGAAATATAATAGTTTGACTGTAGCCCTGGACAAAATGTATTGAGATACACGTATAAAATGATCTGGTCATGCATACACTGACGTTGACTGAAGTTTTATCTGTATTCAAACATGTACCAGTCTGGGTTCATAGTCAGAAAGAAATGCGAACATGAGTGACTTGTAATGTAACCATATAGTTTAAGATCATTTTTGTCATTCAACAATATTACATGACCAACCACGGGTCCGGGTAGTTCTGTGGGTACCCGGATCCTTCTCAGTACCCACCAGACCCGAGTACCCGAGTTACCCGTCCCAGTCCTACCTCATGGCCTACAGTACCAAAGATCCATTCATATTTTATAGAAGAAATATGAAATTTCATCCATTACAACATGGATGCATGCATGGAACAAAATGTCATACAATGATTTGTTTGTTCAGTTTCAAACTATAAAGAAATAAAATTTCTCTTAAGGAACAGAGCAATTCTTTTTTGTACATGTACATCACTAATTGCCATTAACAATTTAAACTTATCCTCTGAAGAAAATTTATGAAAATATGATGGAATAAATTGTTGGCGACTATTTCTGTATGCCGGGCATAACAATATAAAATGATGCTCATCTTCTTTAACAGCCAAATCACATTTTTCACATAAACTTAATAATAATACATTTGAGGAATTAAAATCACTTGGGGATCGTAATTTTTTTATAATGGATAAAATGAATTTACTGGAGCGCAAGTTCATGACCCTTCCTCACCCTCCCCATGTTAAAATGCCAGTCGACCTGTGAAGATCCAGGGTAGAATAGGTCTTCCGCAACCCATTCTTGCCACAAAAGGTTCCATGCTTGTCGTAAGAGATGACTAATGGGATGGGGTGGTCAGGCTCACTGACCTGGTTGATGAATATCATGGTATTCCTATTGCATGGATCGATACTCATGATGTCAATCACTGGATTGTCTGGTCCAGACTCGATTATTTACAGACCGCTGTCATATAGCTGGAATATTGCTGAGTGCGGTGTTAAACACCAAACAAGCTAGCAAGATTAAAGTGCTAGTCACAAGGGGCAACCTTATGTATCTGGTGGTCAGGCTCAGTGACTTAGTTGACAGTGTGGCCTCGTAACCCAATATCAATCACTGGATTGTCTGATCCATACTCGATTATTTACATTATCATCATGTAGCTGCAATATGGCTGAGTGTTGCGTTAAAAAACAACAAATGAACAAACAAACATAACCCTTTAGTGACCTTAGTTCTTATCCAATCAACCATAAAGGTTATAATTAATTGGCAACACAAATCATTGGACATGACTGCTATGGTTTTGAATGCTCCAGGATATATGTCATCACAGATTGGAATATGATACACTTGATAACTGGATATGAGAAATATTATGCATGATTACATTATTAATAATTTTAATGTGATATGTTTTTGCAGATTGTGTTGAAGGATTTGATGCTCATGAAGTTAAAGGCTATGTGATTCATGACCTGGACACCAAGGCTGAAGTTCAGATCCCGTACCCCAGCAGTGATGATAATGCTATTATATCAGGCAGGGCATTTCATCACGGGAAGTTTGTAATGGCATTGAGAAGAAAGGCCCAGAATGAAAAAAAGTATGTGTGACATGCATTTCCTCTGTCTCCTATTTTTTTGTATTTCATTTTACTAAAATAAAGATAATCATTAATACCCTCACTGCAGCATGCTGCACTGGGCAGATCTCACATGTTTCTTTGCCTCTTCCCCTGACTGGTAATTACTGATGAACAAAAACACTGGTACTGTTATCTTATAACTACTATCAATCATTTATAAGCAGCAAGAAAAGAGGCATCTGCTCACAAGTAAAACCAGTTGTTGATTAAATTGTTTATTGAGCTATTTGTTTTTCAGTGTATCATATATAGAAGGAACAGCTACGAAACTGATTGATGACCGTGGCTTCATTGTTGGTGTTCAGTACAAGAAAAAAGACTCGGATAAGTTACAGGTATATTTTGAATACATGTTGATAAATTCAATTCAATTCACAAATAAAGCATTGGCGTATACCAGTATTTTTGTTTAACCTCCCAAACTGACTTCCACAGGATATCGCTTGGATGAATTCGAGTTATGTCTCCTTGCAGATATCACTACAGTGAAATTGCATCACAATCCTATGTAGAACATTGTGATGTCATTGGTTACCACCATGTCACAATCAAATGACATCACTAATCTCTCTGCCTCTGAAGCTGTAGCTGTACTTTTTACACTTGAAGTCACTGGTTATTAATGTTAACAAACTGAAAAAGTTGGAAGTATGATTTTGGATGATACTTGAGTGCCTTTTGATATCTAATGTACCAACACTTTTTGGTTATTTAAAACACTGAGGTGTTTTCAACTCTTTTGATTCTTGTTGATATGTTTGATATCAAAAGACACTCGGGTGAGATTCTCTGTGTATTATCTTTGCTGACAAGAGTAATGAATGCTTTGCTGACAGGAGTAATGAATGCTTTGCAGACAGGAGTAGTGAATGCTTTGCTGACAGGAGTAATAAATGCTTTGCTGACAGGAGTAGTGAATGCTTTGCTGACAGGAGTAGTGTATGCTTTGCTGACAGGAGTAGTGAATGCTTTGCTGACAGGAGTAGTGAATGCTTTGCTGACAGGAGTAATGAATGCTTTGCAGACAGGAGTAATGAATGCTTTGCTGACAGGAGTAGTGAATGCTTTGCTGACAGGAGTAGTGAATGCTTTGCTGACAGGAGTAGTGAATGCTTTGCTGACAGGAGTAGTGAATGCTTTGCAGACAGGAGTAATGAATGCTTTGCTGACAGGAGTAATGAATGCTTTGCTGACAGGAGTAATGAATGCTTTGCAGACAGGAGTAATGAATGCTTTGCTGACAGGAGTAATGAATGCTTTGCAGACAGGAGTAATGAATGCTTTGCTGACAGGAGTAATGAATGCTTTGCTGACAGGAGTAGTGAATGCTTTGCTGACAGGAGTAATAAATGCTTTGCTGACAGGAGTAATGAATGCTTTGCTGACAGGAGTAATGAATGCTTTGCTGACAGGAGTAATGAATGCTTTGCAGACAGGAGTAATGAATGCTTTGCTGACAGGAGTAGTGAATGCTTTGCTGACAGGAGTAATGAATGCTTTGCAGACAGGAGTGACAAATGCTTTGCTGACAGGAGTAATGAATGCTTTGCAGACAGGAGTAATGAATGCTTTGCAGACAGGAGTAGTGAATGCTTTGCTGACAGGAGTAATGAATGCTTTGCTGACAGGAGTAACAAATGCTTTGCTGACAGGAGTAACAAATGCTTTGCTGACAGGAGTAATGAATGCTTTGCTGACAGGAGTAACAAATGCTTTGCTGACAGGAGTAATGAATGCTTTGCTGACAGGAGTAATGACTGCTTTGCTGACAGGAGTAATGAATGCTTTGCTGACAGTAGTGAATGCTTTGCTGACAGGAGTAGTGAATGCTTTGCAGACAGGAGTAGTGAATGCTTTGCTGACAGGAGTAATAAATGCTTTGCTGACAGGAGTAATGCATGCTTTGCTGACAGGAGTAGTGAATGCTTTGCTGACAGGAGTAATGAATGCTTTGCAGACAGGAGTGACAAATGCTTTGCTGACAGGAGTAATGAATGCTTTGCAGACAGGAGTAATGAATGCTTTGCAGACAGGAGTAGTGAATGCTTTGCTGACAGGAGTAATGAATGCTTTGCTGACAGGAGTAACAAATGCTTTGCTGACAGGAGTAACAAATGCTTTGCTGACAGGAGTAATGAATGCTTTGCTGACAGGAGTAATGACTGCTTTGCTGACAGGAGTAATGAATGCTTTGCTGACAGGAGTAGTGAATGCTTTGCTGACAGGAGTAGTGAATGCTTTGCAGACAGGAGTAGTGAATGCTTTGCTGACAGGAGTAATAAATGCTTTGCTGACAGGAGTAGTGCATGCTTTGCTGACAGGAGTAATAAATGCTTTGCAGACAGGAGTAATGCATGCTTTGCTGACAGGAGTAATAAATGCTTTGCTGACAGGAGTAGTGAATGCTTTGCTGACAGGAGTAGTGAATGCTTTGCTGACAGGAGTAGTGAATGCTTTGCTGACAGGAGTAGTGTATGCTTTGCTGACAGGAGTAGTGAATGAGATGTACGTTTTGATTGTTGTAGCTCACAAATATTATGATCATCATATTAGAGCTGGGATGTGTAACTCGGGTACTCGGGTTGGATGGGTACCGAGTAGGACCTGGGTACCCACAGGACTACCTTCAGTCAACTTCAGTGTATGCATGACCAAATCATTTTATATGTGAACCTAAATATATTTTGCCAGGGCTATGGTCAAACTTTTCCTAATCGGACAGTTTGTACCAATCTCTTGAGACCTTGAGCAGGTACCCTAGTAAGGTCGGGTAGTAGTGAGGTGGGCACCGGGGTAGTAAATTTGGACATCATATCTACTCCATACTATTACTTGGTCTTTGAATGTTTGACAGAAGTTGCTGGAATTGTAGCAAAATCTTCTTTCAGTTTAAAAGTTGATTCAAGAATTTTTAGAAATAATAACTTTGTTTAGCTTGTTTTCGTTCAACAATGTTTGTTAACTTTTCAGGAAATACATGCACCTCTGACGATAGTTGTTGATGGGTGCTTCTCCAAGTTCCGCAAACAACTAGTTACCGAAACTGTCAAAGTGTATTCTCACTTTGTGGGAACCGTAATGAATGACTGTCCTCAGGCCAAAGCTAACCATGCAGAACTTGTTCTGGCTGACCCTAGTCCAGTATTGGTGTACCAGATCTCATCAAATCACACCCGGGTGCTAGTTGACATTCGTGGAGGCATGCCCAAGAACCTCAAGGAATACATGCTGGAACACATCGCACCTCAATTACCTGGTAATGAGCCATTCACATGTGCATGATATTGGTCTTGTTTGTTGTCTAAAATGTATACAATTCCCATCCATACAGCACCGAAATGGTTGTATGTAGAAACAAGTATAAGCTGACTGACAGGAGAGGAAATGATTAACTATTTCCTTGCTTTGTCAATGAGGTAATTATCAGGGCATTTTTACCTGGTGGCTGATGCAGGATGTTTGACATAATGAAGATGTCTTCTTTCATTTGGTTTGTAAACATCATGCAGGGAGCTGATTCTTATATACCGGGTAATATTAATTAAATATTACCTTGTGTGTTCATAAAGGGACAGCGCAGGATACAGCTGCTGCTAAAATCATCTTCCCAAGGCAAGGGAGTTAGCTAACTGTAAAAGCCCAGTTTCCACCCTTGCTGAATGAGGCTGGAATTTCTTAGCTTGATCGTAGTGCCACCAGTGATTATTATGAGTTATGTCCCTTCTATGTCCCTCCTATTGACCAATCAGATTCCCCCTCTGGATTGATAATCAAGATCTTTATTGTAATAACATGGGTCTTACTTCTCTAAGTGCATCAAATGATGTGAGCACTTTGATTAAAAACATGAAAAGATTTGGAGTTCACGCTAAATTGATGGTTCACATGCTTTGCAAATCCTGCAATCGACCGAAATCTGCAAGGCAGTTTACGAACTGGATGTTGATTTCGATTTTGATTGGACTATGATTTGACATGTTAGTCTAGCCAAAATATAACTCCATAATTCCACTCAGTTAACTCCCTAGCCTTGGGAAGATGTATCTGGACCACTGAACTAAACTGTCTGTCCAACTAAGTTCAGATTCGACAGATTTCACAGTATCATGCATTTACTGAATTAAATACATTGGTTGTCATGTCATTTCTAGAGCATCTGCAAGGGCCCTTCGAAGACAGTGTCATTAATGGCCAAGTGAAAAGTATGCCCAACAGTTACCTTCCTCCAGCACCGATGGAGAGGCCTGGTGTGTTTGTGCTGGGCGACGCCCTCAACATGCGGCACCCCCTGACTGGAGGGGGCATGAGTGTCGCCCTGAGTGATGCCATCCTATGGAGGGACCTGATGAAGTCCCTCCCCTCCCTCGCTGACTATGAAGCTGTTATCAAGGCCACAAGGCTCTTCCATTTGAGGAGGAAAGGAAATCATTCCTTTGTCGTAAATGTGCTTGCACAAGCTCTGTATGAACTCTTTGCAGCTAAAGACAGTAGGTTCTTGTTTATTATGTGTTTAAACCTAAGTATAACCAACATAATTATCACTGCAAATGCTGTTACATATGTTATGGTTTAGATAGGCAAATCCTTCTTTTGAGGTTGTGCCAGATTTTGTTTGAACATGCTGAAGTGTTTCATTACAGTATGGAAAATTATTTTGCGTATTAGTTTCTCAACAAGGATCCTTGTTGTTTGATAGGAATTTACACCTCACCATTTCTTTCAGATTCCAATATTTGTCTGGATTTCTTCTATGATTCTGTCTGAATTGAAATCAAGAATGTCAACATGTCCTCTTTTGTCCTTTGTCCTACTCATTTGACACAAAGAGATATTTCTTGTCCAGCAATGTTAGATGCCTCAATCATATGTTTCATTTTATTTTTACCTACCTCAGATGTGTTAAGTCTACATGATTTTCTAATAGGACTTACTCCTCAATTCATAGTTTAAGCAAAGAATGTTTTAGCCATGATAAAGTATGAACTCCAACATCCTTACTTACCATGCTTACAGTCTGTCTAAAATATTTGAGGGTCAGTGGCATAACCTAGTGGTTAAAGCATTCGCTTGTCATGCTGAAGACCTGGAGTTGATTCCCCTCAATGCAATGTGTGAAGCCTGTATCTGGTGTTCCCTACCGTGATATTGCTGGAATATTGCTAATAGTAGTGTAAAAACCATACTCACTCACTCACTCACTCACTCACTCACTCACATTCGACTCTACTTTCCCATATAATCCATCAGCAATATATTTGGTAAATTGTGCTTGTAACAAATGGGCATCTAACAAAGCTCCTAGACTACCACTGATTCAGGATATGAAGCATTGACTTCACTTGCAGCATACTGTATTTAACACATTATTAAATGATTGGGAAACTACAATCTATATGTCCTGTTTCAGCACTACAATCTATATGTCCTGTTTCAGCACATCTCCAGAGTCTTAAGAGAGCATGCTTCAAGTATTTCAAAATTGGAGGACAGTGTGTGGATGGACCCGTAGGACTGTTGTCAGTGTAAGTAGATCAACTTCTGATACATTCCATTAAACATCCATTACCTGAGAATAAATTACTTGATTCTTTGGCCTGATTAAATGCAATTAAAAAAACTGTATTTCATGTTAAATGTGATTAATCAAGTGTTAACTATTTAGTCAATATCACTTTGTCCTTTTTCAGGCTAACACCGAACCCATTCCTGCTTGTCGGACATTTCTTTGCTGTGGCACTATTTGCCATATTTGTTGTGTTTAAGACAGAACCATGGTGGGCGCTCCACAGAGTAGCCTTCAGATCAACCATGATATTCTACAAGGCATGTGGAGTTATCTTTCCTTTAATATACAGGGAAATGAAGTGTCTGTTTTGATGCAACACACCGTCTTCATCTCACGGATTGATATGACATGAAAGAAAAGTGCTGTGACTGAATGTAAAAGTTCAATAAATAATAAAAACAATTAAGAAGGGTCTTTAAAAGAAAGCAAATGTGTATTTTCAAATCATTATGTTCTGCCAATCCTCATATGTAGGCTACAAGTTTTCTACATGAGAGGGGCTGTCAGGTAGCCTAGTGGTAAAGCGTTCGCTCGTCTTGCTGAAGATCCGGGTTTGATTACCGACATGGGTACAATGTGTGAAGCCCATTTCTGGTGTCCCCCGCCGTGATGTTGCTGGAATATTGTTACAAGCAGCGTAAAACCATAATCACTCACTCACTCATTCACTCTATGTGAGAGATTTATTTTGGTTAATCGTCCCACCTAATTTGGTACTTTATTTCCCTGCAAAGGGGATATATATCGTATAACATTCTGTAACACTGTAAAAGTGCTGAGAACTTTCATTTGTTTGCATTTAATAAACTTGATATTTGTATGTAGTTTCCCTTTATAAAAACCCATTCACCTTTGTTAATGGGGATCTTTCCTTAAATATGTAACCCTCAACCTCCAAATTCCCCTTCTGCCCCTCTAAGTTCAAGGGAGGATGAGATCTAATATTATCTGTCACAGATAGTTACCGGTATCTATAAAAGCTGTGATCATTCGTATCATTACATTATCAAGTTTTTGCTGTAGCTTGGATTCTGAATAGCTTGTGGAAAACATTCAGTATTTACTTTAATTTACAAACATGTTTATTTCATACTCATCATCGGTCTCATGACTGAACATATCAGACTATATTGTCTTGTAATAATTATACCATCATAATGATGGCATGCTATGGATTCTGAGACAGAAATTCAGTGGCTATTCTGAACGTGAATTTTAGACAAGTAAAACCGTCACAAAGATAGGTCAGTATTCCAAATCATAGTGAAATTACACATCGACCATAACATGGTTTGAGTTCAGAAATCATCAGATTCTCATCTCTCATGAATTCTCCAGAATGGAATCATCCAAAATGGGAACATGGTCCTCAGTTCTAAAGAAAAACACAAATTAATTACCATGATTGTAATTCAGAGGACGTTACATCAGAGACCATATAATAGATATTATATGGTCTCTGGTTACATGCAGTCTTTCTCAGTGAAAATACCCATCTACCGGTACACTCCTTGTGTTTGGTTTGGTTTATGCCCCGTCTTCCTCCACCTAACCACTTCCCACCTTGTACACACCATGTCCCCATGAGGAGCAGGGATAGAGCTGATCTTCAGCAAACCATGCATGTCATAAGAGGCATCTATCGGGTTTGGGTGGTCAGGCTTGTTGCCTTGGGATATGCATATCAGCGAATCCTTCGCAGTGAGAGGGGCAGGTGGTTGGGGGAGGAGAAGAGTGTCTACCATCAAACTATATTCCTTGTTGACATATCTTTATAAATACACATACACATATGTATTTTTTTATGTCAGTATTTACCCAACTGTCCAAATGTGTGATGTTGATTATTAGAAATCATATGTTTAGGAATTATAATGTATATTAACGTAATTTTGCTAGAGACAAATGGCAAAAGGACATTTTCATGAGTTTATGGACATTCTTCTATGATTATCTCTATCAAATTAGAAGTCTATATTTGGACATTTTGGATGGCAATAAGTCAATGTCCAAGAAAATGAACCGATCTAAAAACTCTAATATTATGAAAATTGTATTATGGAAATTAATGTATGATTTTCCTAAATATGTGACTGCGGATGTTGGATGGAAAAAGGTATCACATAATTTATGTATGTTGGAGACTGATATATTGTGTGAGAATGTTTACATAATTTATGTATGTTGCAGACTGATATATTGTGTGAGAATGTTTTACATAATTTATGTATGTTGCAGACTGATATATTGTGTGAGAATGTTTTACATAATGTATGTTGCAGACTGATATATTGTGTGAGAATGTTTTACATAATGTATGGTCCATGCAGAGTGATATCGATATGATTTTGTAAATAATTGTGTGATCTTTATGCATGGAGAATGCTGTCAAAATAAAACATTATTTTTCAATATGTATTTGAGTTTTTCTTATGCACTCAACATTTTGGTAAATAGTTGGGGTATTATCATGAACTGTTGATCGTCATTCTTTATGGGACTGTGACCCTTAACATATTTAATGTCTTTGTGTTACCTACATTTGGTTGCAACCCACTTCATGTCCAGCTAATTTCAAAACATTTCTAACCAAAATCATACCAAAAGACGTTAAAAGATGGTACTTATTGTAAGCCCGCCTGGCGCTCAGCATTAAGGGGATAAAACAAGGACTGGTCAGATCGGACAGACGTTTAAAGCAAGAGTCGTATGATGATCTTTGAAATATTCGTAAAATGAGCATGATGTTATCTGATGATTCATGATTTGCAAAGACGTTTAAAGCAAGAGTCGTATAATGATCTTTGAAATATTCGTAAATTGAGCATGATGTCATCTGATGATTCATAGGCTTTGCAAAGACGTTTAAAGCAAGAGTCGTATGATGATCTTTGAAATATTCGTAAAATGAGCATGCTTCACTGAATAGGAAAACGATAATGATAATGATACTCATGATGCTGATGATGATGGGGAATATGATAAAGAGTGATATTGACGATGAATACCTTAATAATATGACCACAAAACACTGATTATGATAATTATGAAACGATGCTATTACTAGTTTTGATGACAAGCGTCACGAAACTGCAGATGCGAAATATGAGAACGATGCTGAAGATTTTAATGTTGATGAGTTTGTTTGCGATACTGATGATGAATAGGACAATTATTGTGACGGTAAGGTGAGGTGAAATAGGGTTTAACGTCGCGTTCAAAATTATTGTACATAACGTACATCCGCGCGTGTGTGGCTTCTTGTACTAGACCAGACTAATATATATAATGCTGGGTTCATAGTGCTGCCCCACTGAGATACAATGCCACAGTTTAATGAATACCCAACTCAGACACAGTAAACTGAATCCGAGCCGACCAGTCCTTGTACTAACCCCTTAACGCCGAGCGCCAGGCACAAGAAGAATCACTTTTGGTATGATGCGGCCGGGAATCGAGCCACCGCATTGTTGCACCGACCTTTCACTCTCGAAAAGATGTCCACTGAACCTCGGATATGATTGATTGTGACAGTGGGTAACATGTTTAGGATGGAGAAGAGTACCATTCGAATGGTGTATAACCATAAAACCATATTTTATGGTCTTTGATATAACGGGTCTGTGACCATGGCAACGATGCTGATCTTGGCGATGATAACGTTGAAATATGTAAGTCGTAAAGAGTGTGTTTAACGTCGGTATGGATATATAGTATAACCGTTATTTCACGTTTCGTCAGCGTAATGTTACAGAGGGCATAGATAGTGAAAACTACGAGCATGGGTATGGTCCAGATTTAAAAAAATAACATTACCTTTTGCATACATGCAGAGATTCCTATCATTATTTTCCGAAAAGAGAGATTTCTGGACAAAATGAACCCGGTATTGACGGTGTCCGGACAAACGGAGTTCCACAGTACGATGCTTGATCTTGACCCCGGCAGATCCTTTAAAGCCAAGCGGAAGACACTCGTATCCCTCTCTAAATGTATGCCACTTTGAATATCGAAAGGGCGTCTTTCAGCGAGCACTGTCCACACAGCAACGGTGTGTTATATATGCTTATTACATACTTCAGGGTGTTGTTTCCATGTCTGTAGCGAACTGCTACATTTCTAATAGGAACTGATAACAAAGGAGAAACAGTGAGGTCTCAATACTCCCATTCCCTGGCAATATGCCGAATGTGGTTTAAGTTTAGTGCAAGTTGATATGAATAAGGAACACTCGTGGTGACCGTCCACCTGTTGACAGACAGACAGATAATATATTTTAGTCTCACCTCGTTACTTATATTATACACTGGGAATAAACTCTTTAAAAATATCTCAGTATAAAAGCATGTAGAGTAACGAGCCACACCCTACAGAGTCACGGGAGACTATATAACTTTTTTTTTAATGTATACATTTTCACATATATTACACACAATATAAAAGACTGGGCTAGGCTATTCACAAAAGAGAATAATTTATAGTACTACATGGTGTAAAGCATCCGATCTGGTTGTTAAAATATCCGTGCATGTCTTGGCAGTTGTAAAAATCAATTCTTGGCTGGACAGCATAAAACCTACTTTCTGTAAATCACTAAAACTATCAAAATCAGAACATATGTAACGACATTTGGGAATAAGATTAGGTCTAAGACCTTCATAGTGTGGACAATATAACAAAACATGCCTTTCATCTTCTATTTCATCAGTACACAAGGGACAGGTTCTCTCTGACAAGAGGTGTATTGATATAGCGTCCGGTCTCAATACTTAGCGGTGCTGCGTGTATGCTGCAGTAGACAATTGATGCCTTATTGTAATAAGCAGAATTAGCAGCCTTGCTATACAAACGAGAGCCGTCATGGATTTTAATATCTGAAAAGGCACCGAATACACTTGTAGACTATTTGAAGGAAACATACAATATATTTGAATATAATTATCATTTAACATTAATTTCAATTTTTATGTTGTTGAAATCGTAGATCCAAGCAATGTTTCCATTAAATTGTTTTACTCTTATCCTTTTCGCGAACACCTGTTGTCATCACTGAATTTCGGTAATACATATAATTTTCAACGCCATTCTGCATTTTACCCCCAAAGGAATCTAAAAGACGTTTAATATTTACGCTTATGATCATTTCAAGCCAGAATAGGCTTCCAGTACATCATGCTTGTCATAAGACTCAAATAAAATGGGGATCGGGTGTTCTGCTCCATGACCTGGCTGATTGCTTGTAATCAATCCCTGATGGCATCGTTCGTTGCCCATGCTTTCAACTGATTTGCCTGGTCCAGATTTAGTTATTTACAGGTCGCCTTGATAAAGCTGGACTATTGTTTACTGCGGCGTCATAACCTCAGTTAATAGAGGTTGTAGTTGGACCTGCATGTTATAACAAGTTGGGGATATGCTAAATGGAATGAATGTGCATCAGCGAAAATTCAGATCAGCATTGTTATTTCCAACGTATTAAGTTCTACCCCACCCCCACCCCCCACCCCCCACACCCCACACACACAAACTCACTCACACTCACTCACACACACACACACACACACTCACACATACATACAAATATTGTATATCATAAGCCAGGTGTATTAAGTTCTACACCCACAACCACACACCCACGCATGCGCGCACGCACGCACATACATACATACATACATACATACATACATACATACATACATACATACATACATACATACATACATTGTATATCATAAGTTAGGTGTATGACCTCAATGACCGCCGTAAGAAACGCCACCTCTCCACCTCTTTGACAGGGTGTTATTGGTGTCGAGTATTTGGAAATACAACCGTACTGAGAACAAACTGCCCCTCTATTAAATGTTCCAGATAAAAAAAGAAAACAATTTCGTTGATCCCTGTGAACAAATTTGACAATTAAATCTCAAAACACACACGCTAGAAATATGACGTCTAGCCTCAAAGGAGTTTGCAAACATTGAGCCTCAAAGAAGGTATCCGACAAAATAAATTTGATAAGGATTTAGCTAAAAACGTAGTATTTTCACACCCCTTCTACCAGTGGCCGCGTTTGGTCGTCCTTAAACGATCTTTGGCAGCTGTATCATAATTCGGAATTTTGATTCTTTTAGATAGTGAATTGTCTCCCTGGCCCGTCTCAGCCTCGAGCGTCCCACCAACAGCCTCTCCCCTCCCGTCTCAATGGAGAGGCTCTGGCTGACAGGTTGACTTAGGTGTAAAGAGTGTGTGTGTTTCATTTCGGCTGCTGCCGCCATTCTACGTTTGCAGCGTTCGTGGCTCGAGTTGGTGGATTCTCACCAACAAACAAACAAAAAACGGCCTTTGTTTTTCTTGAGGTCAGAAATGTCTTTGTCCTCACGACAACCAAACAACCATCCCTTCGCCTGGTTAACCTTTGTAGACACTAACAATAGTCCGAAACCTAAACATGCCTCAAATGATCATCCAAACGGAAAAGTCGTCGGCTCTCCAAAATCCTGTGATATGAATGTCAAAGGAGTTGCTTCATGCGAATCCCGATTCAGAAGTGAGGCAGGTGATGAAGGTGAAATAAGTGTTTATTCACAGCTGTTAAATTAACAGCAATTGGAGACGTATTTGGGAGTGTATTGTTCAGTGTCAATACGAACACGTGTCGGTGCTAACTGTCATCTCAAATATTTGATCGAATTGTCAAGTTAAAGGACCAATCAAGGCGCCGTGTCGTGTGCAATCTAAGCTCGGTGTCAGTGACGACAAACTCCCCATCCACATGATACAATGAACCAACGGTACATGGGACAATCATAAACGCTGATACCGTTGGATTGTAATGCACTAGATCTTTCTTGCACGACTAAAATGGTAAGCAAGTTTATTATTTCTTTTCTTTATAAAGTCTTCATTAACTACTTTTGTACATGCATTTATGGTTAACGGTTTTACGAAAACGAACCGTTCTGTCCTCTATCTGCAGAGCATTGAAACATGCATGTAACATGGTCATAACCCACCCAGATCTGTATGTTGCAATGGCGTGTCGCGTTGAGATGGTCTGGAAATGAATCATATTTGTATCAAAACACTCGTTCATTTTCCTATGTCAATTTCAGATACAGACTAATTTACATACGTGTAGATAGACACCTGGAAAAACGCTAAACACCACTTCTATATTTTCATATATCCCGAACTCCCATAAATCAGAAATGTCTACATATGCCATTGATCTCATTTTGATATGTCTAAGTTTGTTTATTTGTTTATTTGTTTGTTGTGTAACGCGTAACTCAGCAAAATTTAAGCTATGCGACGGCGGTCTGTAAATAAAAGGATCTGGACCAGACAATCCAGTGACTGACATCATAAGCATCGATCCACGCAATTGGATACGATGACTTGCATCAACCAAGTCAGCGAGCCTGACAACCCGATCCCGTTAGTCGCCTCTTACGACAAGCATCGTCGCCTTTTACGGCACGCATGGGTTACTGAAGACCTATTCTTACCCGGATCTTTCACGGGTCGATATATGTCTAAGATACCACCTAAATCTTTTAGAAAGGGTGGTACACCGTATGTTCCTCTAGATAGTCGCATGTGCTTGGTCTTACCATGTGACGCAAAGAAGCAGGTGAGCCAATTAAAAGTTCAGTCAAATACCTAATGCTGTTGGACCTCCTCCGTGGTGTAGTGGATTGAGCGTCTGCTCGGGGAGCGGAATGTCGGTGGTTCGATCCCTGGCTGCGTAATACTGAAAGACGATAGAAGGTGGTACTTGTTGTTACCCTGCCTGACGCTAGACATTAAGGGGATTAAACAAGGAGTGGGCAACTCGGAGCGAGGCATCCATGTTAAAACTGCGACATGGTGTCTCAGTGGACTAGCACAATAAAACCGTCATATGTCAGGACGAGTACAATCACACGCACGCACGCACGCACGCACGATCACACTCTCACACACGCTATATAATATGTTGAATGTTCTTAGCACGACGTTAAATCCTATTTCACCCCACCATGCAACTGCTGCAAGATATTCATTCGAAAACATATTCCGATGCCTGTTTTTCAATACGGGTATGCCACTAATATGGGTATATCAACAGACCCAAATGTGTTTCCTCAGAATACATAGGTATACCAACAGACCCAAATGTGTTTCCTCAGAATACCTTGGTATATCAACAGACACAAATGTGTTTCCTCAGAATACCTGGGTATATCAACAGACACAAATGTGTTTCCTCAGAATACATGTGGATATCTACAGACATAAATGTGTTTCCTCAGAATACATGGGTATATCAACAGACACAAATGTGTTTCCTCAGAATACCTGGGTATATCAACAGACACAAATGTGTTTCCTCAGAATACCTGGGTATATCAACAGACACAAATGTGTTTCCTCAGAATACATGTGGATATCTACAGACACAAATGTGTTTCCTCAGAATACCTGGGTATATCAACAGACACAAATGTGTTTCCTCAGAATACATGGGTATATCAACAGACACAAATGTGTTTCCTCAGAATACATGGGTATATCAACAGACACAAATGTGTTTCCTCAGAATACATGGGTATATCAACAGACACATATTGTTTCCTCAGAATACATAGGTATATCAACAGACACATATGTTTTTCCTCAGAATACATAGGTATATCAACAGACACAAATGTGTTTCCTCAGAATACATGGGTATATCTACAGACATAAATGTGTTTCCTCAGAATAAATATGACAACACAGGATGCTATTATGGAGCTTAACGTTTCCCCCGGTGTAATATACTTCAACATAAACATCATGTCGTCTTTAGAAACCCTGAGAATGCATATAAGGACTACGGCTATTAAAAGAACAAGTTCATGTAAAGTTCTGGAGTCAAACAAGTCCTGAATATGTGACACAGTGAGCTGTTCATACGCACAATGGGCTTACTATTTAAAAAACAAATTTATCATTTGTTTTGTATTTGACGAGTGAGGGTTACAAAATAAAACTGACACTGGGTTATATGTTTTAAGTATTTGAGTAGAGTATTTTTATCTCAATTCAAATATTAAAATCTGCATCAACACAGTGCACATACGGCGCCTTAATACACTGGTAACAATCTCCCTTTGTGAATGTGCAATGCATGCATCTTTGAAATGCTAAAGGAGTTTTTTTCGCAATAAAATACCCCAACACAAAAGTAAATGCGATTGTATGAATTTATCAATATAGGAAGTAAAAGTATTATGATAACTTGGACGATACATGGTACATTGATAAATGATTGATTTTGTACAATTAAACCTTAATACGGTTACTGTTGGAATCGTCTGAACAAAATCAAAGGGACATTACTAAGTATCCATGATTCAATTATCCGGACATTTGTCAATCCGAACCATTACAAGGGGAACGGAACCGTCCGGATCAACGGGGTTTCCCTGTATACCAAAACACCTTTCGTTTGATGCCCCGTTAATACGTATAGGGGTCAAGGAAAAAATCCCAACGACAATTGGTGTCAAATCGGGGGAGGAATATCAGTGTCATTATTTTCATGGAAAAAGGGGATTAATAAAGCAATCATTTGTAGAATGATGAATTGTAAGTGATTGTTGGCACGTTCTTCCATGTAAAATACACCATCTATTTCGTTTAACCTTGGAGATCAAGATGCCTTACCACAGTCAGTCGAAAACCAAAAATCAATAAGGTAAAATCTTTGTTTTGTACAATGAAGTCGAGAGAGATTTAATGTGTTAGACTTAGGGTAGCAAGATAATTTCTCCGTGCAATCTCCGCTTAGAGGGAATTTACAGCGGGATTAGTCACGTGTGATTTTTAAGTAGAATAAATGTCACGTGACTTGTGACACAAATGATGTAACCTTCCCTGGATTTAAGTAAAGCCCGTGTTTTGAAATAGGTCCATTCGTCTTATGCGAATACGCAGGCTATTAATCAATTTAACTGCAAAATTCGTGCCAAAACTCCTTCACCAAACCTATTGCCTTTGCCAAATTTGCCCCCGATCACAATGCCCCCCGCTCATGCTTCTATTAAGCCAAATGCCATCATCCTTTGGCACTTTCTTGCAGAATTTTTGGGTCAATGCTCAGAAATGCGCTGTAGTCGATAAAAAATTGTGACAGGGCTTAGATTTAACAGAGGGGTATTGTTTAAAAAAGGGTTCCAATATTTTCAGTGTGCGTGGTGGTGTTACGACATTTGGATTGAAAAGTTACGTGACAAACAAGTGACGAAACGTGCCCCTCGAACTACTTTTTCTGTCAGAATTTTATAGTACACCTTTGGTTTGTCCCTTATGGATAATCTGAGGTGAATGGGGTTTAACGTCACGTCCAAGATTATTGCACTTATATAGCGATGTGCATGCACATGTGTGTGTGTGTGGCTGCTTGTACTAGTCCGGACTGATACCGATTTATAGTGCAAGATAGCACGCCGCAGTTTCACAAGAATACCCCACTCAGACACAGGAAACTGACCAGTCCTTGTTTTAGCCCCTAATGCCGAGCGCCAGACAGGGTAACAACAAGTACCATCTTTTAACGTCTTTTGGTATGACTCGGCCGGGGATCGAACCCCGAACCCAGCTAACAATTTCACGTTGTTGTAACGTTGGGATATTACGTCCATACAACGTTATTCTGTGGACTCCCATTTATGTAGTCACAACGTTGTGGCCTAACGTTATAATACGTCATATTTACGTATTTACAACGTTATGTGCACGTTATTGTTACGTTGTGGTAACGTTATTATACTACGTTCATACAACGTTATTTTGTGGACTCCCATTTATGTTGCCACAACGTTGTGGCCTAACGTTGTGATACGTCATATTATGGGCACGTTATAGTTATGTTGTGCCAACGTTGTATTTTACGTTGTGGTAACGTTTTATTTGGACGCAGTGGTAACGTTGTATTTTTCGTTGTGATAATGTTGTATATAACGTTTAAGTGGTAATGTTGTAATATTACGTCCAGTAGTGACCAGAATTACGTTGCATGGACGTAATATTATAACATTACCAACAAAACGTTACAAACAACCTTATCACTTGACAACCATGGACGTTGTGACCAACGTTTTGCAGTACATCTTTTTCACGTCGTAACAACGTTGCGTGAGTGAGTGTGTATGGTTTTACGCCATTTAAGCAACATTCCAGCAATATAACGGCGGGGGAAACCAGAAATAGGTACACACACGTGAGGAATCGAACCAGGGTCTTCATCACGAAGGCTGAACCACAAGGCTACCCCATCGCCCACGTTGTTGGACGGTTGTCATATTTTTTCCAAGTGTTGACCAGCACATGAGAAACAAACAAATTACGTTGCCCGGTGATGTTATAATACCGTTGTGACAACGTTGTATCACGACGTTATCAATCCACAACCTTACCACAACGTTGTGTGGTAGCTGGGAACCTTCCGCTCTCCGGGCGGACGCTCTATACCACTAGACCACGGAGGCGGTCCTAATTGGGATGACTATCGAGGATATGTTTGTTACTGTCGAAATAATATTGACATAGTTAAAAATCCATTGTGGGGGATTACAATAAAGGTACCACATTTGCAATATCACTGTGTAAGCCTTATACTTTCACTGGATAAACCAGAGATTACTGTCTCGGTGTTTGTGACCAGATCTAGACATGTGCCAAGCAGTGATTCTATTTCAAACCCACACTATACCTCAAAGAATAAATAGTTAAATAAAAACAAAAGAAACATCTTTGCGCACGTTTATTCACAAACAATGCCACACGTAAGCAATCGTCAATATAACGCCGACCACGAGGAAAAATGGCCGCTCATTACGGAGAACACGACCAAACTATTTGTACAATTCATAGAGAATCTCACCCGAGTGTCTTTTGATGCGAAATATATCAACACGAGTTGATAAAAGTGGAAATACTCCAAGGCTTGCCGAGGAGTTTTTCCACTTTTATCGTCGAGTGTTGATATATTTGATATCAAATTACATTAGGGTGAGATCATTCTTCCAACTTTTTCCGTTTGTAGACAGTAGCTTCAGTAGCAGAGTGATTAGTGGTGTCATTTGATTGTGACGTCATGGTAACAATGACGTCACAATAGTCTGCAAAACATCGTGATGCAATTTCATATATATCTGCAATATAGATATCTCACCCAAGCGATATCTCCTGTGGGAGCCAGTTTTGGAAGATAAACACCCTTAATGCAATACCGACTGGAACAAGATATTGAGATTTAAAAAAGGTAATTTCACTCATCGGTGGAGGTGAACACAGGCACACTCAACACGACGAGCCATATTACCATACCATGAACCAGTCCCTAGGTGTGGCCTCCTGGGTCATAGGCACGTGGTCTCGGTAACATGACAAAATCAAGCCCAAACAACAATATACCTTCAACATCTGCTCTACAATTAGCAACAGAATATAGCTAGCGTACGATTGACTGACACCATAATAACCATACATTTGCCTGTTGATCCCTGTCCTACTGTGTGTGTGACCCCCGCACCTATTGCTTCATGCGTACCCCCACCGCCCTACAATGTAACTCAATGTACACTCCCCGCTTGCATTATAAAGTGAAACACGTCCACCAAGCCCTAGATTGCTCAGGATGTTGTTGTTGGTGATTTCAAAAAGTCAAACGTTTATTTATTTATTTATTTATTTATTTATTTATTTATTTATTTATTTATTTATTTATTTATTTATTTATTTATTTATTTATTTATTTATTCATTTATTTATTTATTTATGTACTAGTATTTGTTTACCTCACTATCATTTGTGAATTGATACACGTGCAGTTCTTCAAACAGTGTACATTTTTGGTAAAAAGTAAACAAATAACGGTATTTTTGCATGGACAGTATTGCGGCATCTGGAATTTTATCGGAAAAAATAAATTGTGTTTCAGACTATTGAAAAAAAAGCCAGTAATTGTCTGCCACAAAAATTACATTATTGCAATGTGTTTTTCTTTTACAATATTCAGGTGCATAGTTAGATGAAAAATATCTATTCTTGATACAAAATCCCGATCAATCGTTATACTCCTTCTGTCTAGACCCTCATTATGCAACTGTTTTTTACCCGAGACGGTTAGAATATGTCTTCAGCTGCCCATGCTTGTCGGAAGAGGCGACTAACGGGATCGAGTGGTCAGGCACGCTGACTTTGTTGATGCATGTTATCGTATCCCAATTGCGTGGATCAATGCTCATGATGTCACTCCCTGAATCCAAGCTAAAAAGATGCTATTGGGCATTTTACAAACGTTTGAACATTTTAGCGAGTGTGCTTATAAATCTTTTTTCAAAATCTTTGACACAAAAATAGCTCCTATTCTTTCCTATGGTTCAGAAATATGGGGTTTTGCAGAGGCTAAAGAAATTGAATCCGTACATTTATACGCATGCAAAAGATTTCTTGGTGTTAAACATAGTACGTCTAACGTAATGGTTTATGGTGAATGTGGTCGCATGCCCTTGTATATATTTCACTACTTAAAAATCATAAGATACTGGTTAAAATTACTAAAAATGCCAGTAAGTAGATTGCCAAAAAAATGTTATAATATGATGCTATTGTATGAAAAGAATGGAGATCAAAATTGGGCATACAATGTTAAATGTCTACTGTATAAATGTGGGTATGGTTACATCTGGGAAAACCAATGTTTCTTAGAGAATCATGCCATGTTCATATCGAAAATAAGGCAGACGCTTTTTGACATGTACTTTCAAACATGGAGATCTACTGTAGATGTTTCTAGCAAATGCGAATATGATAGATATTTTAAAATGCAAATATGCGCAGAAAAATATTTTACTGATGTAAATATAAGAAAATGCAGAATATCATTAACACAATTTAGATGCAGCTCACACAGGTTAATGGTTGAAGTTGGCAGGCACAACAAAATACCCAAATGTTTAAGATTATGTAAACAATGTTCTCTAAATGTTGTCGAAGATGAATTTCATTTTCTACTTGTATGTTGTAAATATGATAATTTAAAGAAAAAATATATTGAACAGAAATACTATGTACATCCAAATAAATACAAGTTTATCTCTTTAATTTCACATGTGAGCAAAACGGCTATACAAAATCTCTCTCTCTCTTTATATATCATGCCATATTATTAAGAAATGAATCCTTGTAACATTCCTAACCGCTTCCACATTGTCATGTATTCTGTACTATGGGCCTGTGGCCTTACAGTTATATATGAATAAACTGATTGATTGATTGTCTGGTCCAGACTCGATTATGTACAGACCGCCGTCATATAGCTGGAATATTGCTGAGTGCGGCATTAAACAACAAAGAAACAAAGAAACTGGTTTTACTTTTCTGTTCCTTTCGTTGGACCCAAATAAAATAGCATAGATGTGGTCCAGTTTCTAACACTTATTTCCTGTCTAGGCGTTCACGTTGCGTGTTTAGAAATCAGTGCCATGTCGAAAACCCAGGAAATGTCTGTGTAACTTTGGTCGTCATTAATTATAGATTGGGTATTGATTGAAATTTGCTTTAGCAGACAAACAAATTAGTCTTTGGGCGTCTTGAATTAAAACATATGCAGTCTCAGGGTTGATTTGAAGTGGGTGCACGATACACATGAATATTGCATGTCCGTATACAAGCGTAAATATAGGAATAGGAATACAGGAATACTTATACAGACGCCTGCATGCATACATACATATAACTGGATATAGCGATGCATACTACCGGTGAAGGTCCGGGGTAGAATAGGTCTTCAGCAACCCATGCTTGCCGTAAAAGGCGACTATGCTTGTCGCAAGAGGCGACTAACGGGTTCGGCGTCAGGCTCGCCGACTTGGTTGTTGTCATCGTATCCTAATTGCGTGGATCGATGCACATGACATCAATCAGTGGATTGTCTGGTTCAGACTCGATTATTTACAGCGCTGGAATATTGCTGAGTGCGGCGTTTAACAACTGTACAAACAAACAAAGCGATGCATACAAGAATCGCATATAAATACACCAATCTATGCTTTCTTAATGTATTCATGTGGCACTTGAATCATTAGACAATAAGAATGCATGAAGTTGGGGGCGCTGGAGTCGTCATACCGAAAGCCCGAGTTCGATGGGAAATATCCCTGTATATAGGTACAATGTGTTAAATAATTGCATTTGGAATTAAACTGTCTGGGATGGTCAATATGATCTAGTCTCCTTTTTCTGTTGTCTAAATATTGTTTTCCGTAGACAACTTCAAATCCCTTCTCTTCCCAGAGTGTTTGTTGGAATGGTCTTCTCTATTTGCAACAGAATCCCGCACATGTATGTTCAGCTCATGTGTACGCAAAAGCTGAACATGGCCGACCCAGATGGGCTCTTCCCTCATCAGTTAGTCACACAAAGGTCACGATATCCAAATAACTATAAAAAGAATCAATGTTTGTTATATTTCTAACTTTTTTTCTGTCCACCAACTTACCCATTGTCCGTCAGACCCTGTATCAATACACCAGTTCCACCTAACAATGCTGTTTGCTTCTTTTCTCAGAGTCGGCCCAGTGGCCTGGTCAGTTCCGTGGTGTCCAGCGTCTTACTGTGGACATTCCTGGCATGTCCTCCGGCATCCTGCTACCCAGGGGGGGCTCCCGTCATGGCCTGTGGGGACATGTTCCCCTCCGGACACGGCACTGAGGCTCAGGTCTCCCCCTCCCCCTACAGGATCACAGTACCAAAGAAGAAATATGACCCCAATACAACCATAAAAAGTAAGATGCTCATCAGTGCAGGTGACCTTGCAAATTTAATTATTCCAATTATTTGTTCAGATTGATTGCCATCTTTATCGCTTGCGTAAATATTTCTACCACCGAAGACCACACGTAGAGTTTACACGGACGTAATATTACACTAGCTATGTGAACGCCCCTAGTTCAGTAATTCCGAGTTACGCCAGTTTTACACGCACGTAAGACTTACGACTGCTTTGTGAAACGGTACCCTGGAGTACTAAGTACAAAATAAGCTACATATGAAACAAATACTATCTAAATCCAAATATAATCATCAAAAGTAATATGTTCATGAAAGCATTCAGTAGTACAAGTACTAAAACGTTCCAAAAGATGATACATGAATTGTCATTAAAGTTCAGGTTAAGTTAAAGTTAAGGCTATTTTAAAACCGAAATGTGATCCAAATACAATTGTTTAAAGTACGATGTTTATGCAAACATTCAGTACTGCAACTACGTAAATTTTGTCTTTGCAATGTGTTATAAGGGTAACGCTATTTTTCAGGGCATTATCATTTGCAGAAGCCCGAGGTCTTCCATTAACTGCCCGACGAAGGAGGGCAGTTGAAAAGACCGAGGGCTTCTGCAAATGATAATGCCCTGAAAAATAGCGTTACCTTTATTATAGCTAAAATTGATGGAATTTGTTATCAAATAAAAAGGAACAACAATATCGGTTTTGAAACATTTACTGCAATCAACACGAATGTCACTGACCCACTTTACAAATATTGAAACGTCAAAGAACAAACCAGATAACGTCACTATTGAACGTTACGTCACCTATCCCTATCCTATGACGTCACCTAACAACGGGCGTGATAATGGCCCGTCGTCAAGTAATATGAGGGCATTATCAAGTTACAGTGGCCCGCTCATTTCTGATAACATGCGGGCGTTTTTATGATAATTCTATCCATTTTAGCTATAATAGAAGGGTAACGCTATTTTTCAGGGCATTATCATTTGCAGAAGCCCGAGGTTTTCTATTAACTGCCCGACGAAGGAGGGCAGTTGAAAAGACCGAGGGCTTCTGCAAATGATAATGCCCTGAAAAAGAGCGTTACCGTTATTATAGCTAAAATGGATGGAATTTGTTATCAAATAAAAAGAAACAACAACATCGGTTTTGAAACACTTACTGCAATCAACACGAATCTCACTGACCACATTTTACAAATATGGAAACGTCATAGAACAAACCAGATGACGTCACTATAATTCGGGACGTCATTTTCTCTACCCTATGACGTCACCTAACAACGGGCTTGATAATGGCCCGTCGTCAAGCAATATGAGGGCATTATCAAGTTACAGTGGCCCGCTCATTTCTGATAACGTGCGGGCGGTTTAATGATAATTCTATCCATTTTAGCTATAATTTTAAATAACACATTGCAAAGAAGCAACAAGATGAAGTAAAAAGATGTTTATGCAAATATTCAGTCAGTCAAACAAGTAATCTGCCTTTCTAAAACATAGTAGTTGAAAAGCGAAATATGATCTTTATTACTACTGAATGTTTGCAGTAAGACAAGAAGGAAAACATAATCCTAACATGAACTGTCCATCTGTATGCACGAACAACACGGTGGTATTGGTCATATTAACCTACATGGTTTTTTTCTACCCTGCACAGTCAGCCTGATCGCAACAGTCGGGTATTTCCGTGGTGTCTTCGTGCAGGCTCGGCGAGTGGGATGTCGCGTCAACGTCACTGAGGTCATCGGCTCCTTCACCATCAACGACAATGAATTGGAAGCACAACACTGTTTTGGCAAAATACACGTGAGCCTCCTATCCTATTGTCAGTTAGAGTGAGTGAGTGAGCTGGGTTAAACTCGCTTTGAACATATATTCCAGCTATAATGTGGGAGCATTTACTGAAGTAATGTAGGTCTCAGACGTTTACCACTTTGGTGAAACCCAGGAGCGTGGGTATGGTGCTCATAAACCTAGAAACATTATCAGGGCGAACCGGGATTCGAACCCATGATCATAGGTTTCTGACGTGCTCAAGGGATGGAACTCTGCACTGCGAATTTCGGCGCCTTAGAGGACTTGGCCAGTTGTCTCCCTTGTCAGTTCGAGATAACGGAGATTATGAGAATTCCTCTGTTTAGACGGATCATCGAGATGACGTTTTATATTTGTAAAGAGATGAACTGACCCAGTGTCATGTTCATTTCGAATCATTTGGAATTATATTAAAGGATTCCTGAAAGAGGGGTGTCAGATTAGCTTTCTCACGGTAGATATCGATATCCCACTCACTGATGGAATGTCAGTGAAGACAGGGTTAATTTATGGATTTCAACTGCTTTTTTCCTTCGATACAGGTGCTAGTACCTTAGTCAAGTTTCATATAAATATTTAACGTCAAGGCCAGAGAATAACCAGTCCCGACCCTCAAACGAACCATATTCCACAGGACGTAACAGGCAATATAGCGGGGAAATTATGTGAAGGGGTCACTGACAGGTGAGGTGAAATGGGATTTAATGTCGCGTCCAAGATTATTGCACTTATATAGCGACGTGCATGTACGTGTGTGTGTTTGTGTGCCTCTTTGTACTAGTCCGGACTGATGCCGATTTATAGTGCTAGCTCACTGAGATACCATGCCGCAGTTTAACATGAATACCCCACTCAGACACAGTATACTGAATCCGAGCCGACCAGTCCTTGTTTTAGCCCCTTAATGCCGAGCGCCAGACAGGGTAACAACAAGTACCATCTTTTAACGTCTTTTGGTATGACGCGGCCGGGGATCGAACCCCGGACCTTCCGCTTTCCGGGCGGACGCTCTACCACTAGACCACGGAGGCGGTCGTCACTGACAGTCAGTGATGACGCTAGGTGTACGCGAGAAGGGTGAGCATGTCCTGTCCCACCGGCACCAACCACCCACGAAATTTGCACAAAAATAAATGTGTTTGTTGCCTGATACCTAGTCCTGCACCATGGCTGTGGATTATATTTATTTTATAAAAAAACACAATCTAGAAACGTATACAAAAGCAAGTCTAGACAGCTCTAGGTAGCTCTGTTCCACATGAAAATCAGCACAGGGAAAATTATTTAATTTATTTTAGAGTCAAGAAGGGTATTGTGTAATATAAGATTTCATAGACTAAATGTTAGTCTACCTAATGCCACTCAGTACAACTCTTGCCATGCGACGGCGGCATGTAACTAGAAGCGACAAACCCCTAGCAACAAGAAATAGCTGCTATAGGCAGAGTCGATTGTAAGTTTCCAATTCTATCACGAGCATGGGTTGTTTATGAAACACTAACAAACAGAGATGATGATACTACGTGCATGCGAAAAGGTTAGTATATCCTGTCCCGCCGGGGGGCGGTCGGGTAGCCTAGTGGTTAAAGCGTTCGATCGTCACGCCGAAGACCCGGGTTCGATTCCCGACATGGGTACAATGTGTGAAGCCCATTTATGGTGCCCCCCGCCGTGATATTGCTGGAATATTGCTAAAAGCGGCGTAAAACCATACTCACTCACTCACTCACTGTCCCGCCGGTAGCATCCATCACAAACACATGCAGAGTTGCAATTTGGAATTGTCCTCCACATGCAATGTCCACGGTGTAACTTGTTCTGGAAGCTTTACCCAGGCCTTGAATGTTGTAACCTTGAAGACATCTTTGAGCAGGAGTCGTATGATGCTCTTTGAACGTATGGCAGAAAGAGCATGGGCGAATGTATCTCAAAAGATGTGAAATGTAGACAACAAAGGCTGGAGCTGCTGGAATATTGCTCAACATAAAGGAAAGATGTATTGTAAAGTTGAAATCACCCTTCTTGTAATACAAACTTGTGGAGAGTGTTTTGTCACTCTAAATCTTTATGCATAGATATAGATGTAAAACAGATGCGGCAGTCTCACTGGTCTCCTTTATTTCTGGACCCGTGAAGATCCGGGGTAGAGAAGGTCTTCAGCAACCCATGCTTGCCGTAAAAGGTGACTATGCTTGTCATAAAAGGCGACTAACGGGATCGGATGGTCAGGCTCGCTGACTTGGTTGATGCATGTCATCGATCCCAATTACGTGGATCGATGCTCATGATGTTAATCACTGGATTGTCTGGTCCAGACTCGATTATTTACAGACCGCCGTCATATAGCTGGAATATTGCTGAGTGCGGCGTTAAACTACAAACCAAACCAATAAAACTTCATTTCTGGTTCAGGTGGGTAAATGAGTGGAATTGGCCATTTGATGGCTATTGAACAATATCAGATCATCATTGTACCTGAAGCTCAAGCTATACTTCTTGGACAAATTACCATGTTATGACTTTGCTGATCCGAGCACAGTTTGGCTGTAAGCAAATCAGACAGTCCAGCCATGGACCAGAAATCCAGTCACTCTATTTCACATTCACTGACCCTCTTGAAACCAAAAGCGATATGTCAATTTTGGATTACGTCTGCTGTGCACAAGCGCAGAGACTCTACTGTTTACAAGTAAAGAAAAAGTAAAGATTCCTTCGAAGGCAGACAATCTGGTACTGCCTCAATACGAAATATTGAGCACCAATGTGCAATTGCGGCAAGTTCTGGGCGGACATCTTAACAGTGTTTTTTACAAGAAGATGTATTGTTTTTCCTGTCTGCACTTTCCTCGTTATTGTGAAATCTCAGTGTTGTGTGCAAGAAAAAGAGACATTTTTGAAATGACTGGTATGAATGGACACATTGGTTAGTGAAAAATATTCCCTGTTTCATTATAAATTCATTGTACCCTTTAAAAGTCCTTTCTACGTTGTTACTTTTGCTGAGAACACGTCAACGACACATTGGCGCGAGTATATTTGATTGAGTGTCAGATGTTTTGGCATTACGTGGATCTGTTGCAATAAAAACAGCTTAATGGGTATATCTATGTTGACGCGGGTACAACACATTGGTAAGATAAGTCAAGAATAAACATTTAACACACAAGCTGTTATGTATTCAGAGAGATTTGTTCGTTTGTTTGTTGTTTAACATTCCAGCTATATGGCGGCGGTCTGTAACTAATCGAGTCTGAACCAGACAATCCAGTGATTGACATTACGAGCATCGATCAACACAATTAGAATACGATGACATGTATATTCCCAACTATACCACGGTGATACAATGTTGCAAACAGCATAGTACATAAGTTACATATAAGTGGTACATCATGTTACATAAGTTTCATTACACATAAATAGTACATTATGTTGCACGAGTTTCATTACAAATGAATAGTACATGATGTTGCGCGAGTTTAAATACACATAAATAGTATAATGTGTTGCGCGAGTTTCATTACACATCAATAGTACATAATGTTGCACGAATTTCATTACAAATGAATAGTACATGATGTTGCGCGAGTTTCATTACACATAAATAGTACATTATGTTGCACGAGTTTCATTACAAATGAATAGTACATGATGTTGCGCGAGTTTCATTACACATAAATAGTACATTATGTTGCGCGAGTTTCATTACACATACGTAAATACATTGCTTGACTTTCATTTCATGTTACTATAGTTTCATCTTTCATCATATGTGAAATGTTACATTGTGTTGCATAAGTTTCTTTTCTTATGAAATCGTACAAAATTATGCTTATCCAATAATGTATTTTATTACATATGACAAAGGATGCGATGATGTGAGTTATCGGAGGATATCTTACCCACAGCTTTGTTACTTATAACAGGGCCGACGTCATATAGTTGGAATATTGCTGAGTGCGGCGTTAAACAACAAACAGACAAACAAAACAAACACAACTTATATCAGGGGGCATCAGGAAGCATATCTCCATCGCATATGAGGGGCGGTGGGGTAGGATAGTGATTAAAGCGTTCTCTCGTCACGCCGAAGACCCGGTTTCGATTTCCTACATGGGTACAAGGTGTGAAGCCCATTTCCGGTGTCCCCCACCGAGATAATGTTGGACTGTTGGTAAACGCGGCGTAAAACCATACTCACTCAGTCCTACTAAATATGATAAAGTACACAATCATAATATGTTACATACTGTCATTTTGTCATAAACAATATATACTGAACAGAAGTAAAAACATGCACCGAAGCTACGTCAATATGCAAGAATGCAGGTTCTATTTCCCCGCATGGGTACAATATTTGAAGCCTGTTTCTGGTGTCCCCAGTAGTGATGTTGCTGGCATTATGCTAAAGGCGACGTAAAAGCACACTCGCTCAGTACAATTGCAAAGTTGCACTCCATGATAATTTATCACTTAGTGTCCAGTTTCCTTAGTTTGGTCGTTCGCTATATATGTGACATAAAGTTTACAATCAATCTCATTAAAATCAGACGCCACCACTAAACAAAGATCTAAGGACATCCCATCAGATTGAGCTTACATCTTGACATCGACTCTCTCTGCAATGTTGTGTTGTTTCATAAGTAAAGACCATATGATAATGGTATATTTTGTTCGTTATATGTGATATCTGGTATGCCAGATGATACAATGTTGCATTTACGCCATTGCAGTCCGCGGTGACACACAAGATGCCGTCAAAGAAAACACGGAAGGATATTTACTGGACGCCGCCTGTCACACCGGCTGGTCACGTGGTCATTCGGTGAGTAAGGATACCTCTATATAAATGTAATGATAAAACTCTGTTTACCTGATTGGGGGATACATGTCTAGAAGGAAACCTACAAATATCCTCTCCTGTCCCCATATGTTCCTATCGCTTCACTATCATACTAGCCACCAGACACTGTCATACTAACTAGTTATAATCCACTGTCATACTAACTAGTCATAATCCACTGTTATACTAACTAGTTATCATTTACTGTCATACTAACTAGTTACCATTCACCGTCATACTAACTAGTTATCATTCACTTTCATACTAACTAGTTATCATTTACTGTCATACTAACTAGTTATCATTTACTGTCATACTAACTAGTTATAATCCACTGTTATGCTAACTAGTGATCATTCACTGTCATACTAACTAGTTACCATCCATTGTCATACTAACTAGTTACCATTCACTGTCATACTAACTAGTTATCATTCACTGTCATACTAACTAGTTATAATTCACTGTCATACTAACTAGTTATAATCCACTGTCATACTTTCTAGTTATAATCCACTGTCATACTAACTAGTTATAATCCACTGTTATACTAACTAGTTACCACTCACTGTCATACTAACTAGTTATAATCCACTGTTATACTAACTAGTTATCATTCACTGCCATACTAACTAGTTACCACTCACTGTCACTCACTCACTCATACAAACTATGCAGTAACGTGATTCTCTCCCTTTACGACAGCGCCACCTTTGTGATGGAGAAGGAGATGTTCTGGATCGGCGTGGAGTCAGACATCTTGGTCGACCTCCAGGAGATGGACACACCCAAATGTATAGCGTCCACGGTGCGGCCAATCCCAGCCTATACGACCACAACACCAACCACGCCATTCGTCAACTACGCCGACGATAATGTTCTCGGGAAGTACTCGTCTGGAGCTGTCGGTGTACACACCAATGTAGCCATTCTTGGACTCATACTCTTGGTGCAGGCCCTTTCACGACTTACACACTCTCCGTAGACTACAGAAGACCCATGGACTATTATTATCAATCAAGAAGTCGTGTTTAAGAGATATGTATACGGTTTAAAGGCAGGTTTGAATGAGGCAGGGAGTGTCCAGTTGACTTAGCGTTTCCATAACAACAGACAAGTGTATGATTACAATGAAACCCAGAGTACATAGTACGTTTATTTTGACAATGTTACGTTAGTTTAATCATAAAATGTATTATCAATCCAGGGTACCGTTGTACAGAGCGATCTTATTTCAAAGGTGATCGTAACTCCCATACATTAACATGGACGTACGGACAGTCGTTGCGCTAAGGTGATCGTAACTCCCATACCTTAACATGGACGTACGGACAGTCGTTGCGCTAAGGTGATCGTAACTCCCTTACCTTAACATGGACGTACGGACAGTCGTTGCGCTAAGGTGATCGTAACTCCCATACCTTAACATGGACGTACGGACAGTCGTTGCGCTAAGGTGATCGTAGCTCCCATACCTTAACATGGACGTACGGACAGTCGTTGTGCTAAAGTTGTTTTGTACAAAGGCACCCTGGGACACTTGCAGGTATGTGGACTCGGAAACTGTCCTCTATCTTGAGTATTGCATTGTATTTGCGTCAAAATAATAAACTGTCTCTATTCAGATAGGATAACAATTGTCAGCTTCTTTACACTGACTACAGTCATAAAACGTGGCTTAGAAGAAGGACATGTGTTATTTTCAACTGACCGGATCAAAACCATTTAAATTTTGACCATAATTATGAATGTTTCTGTAACATATATTTTTGCACTTGTGTTCATCCCCATTTACAAATGACTAGTTATGATTATATTCATCTTGTTGTGAATGTTGTACTTCGAAGTCAGCAGTACCACATCTATGCCACAGCTATGCCACGGCTATACCACATCTGTATCACATCTTTGCCACAGCTATACCACGGCTATACCACATCTGTATCACATCTATGCCACAGCTATATCACAGCTATACCACATCTGTATCATGACGAAATGTACATAATTGAATCTAAATAAACAAATTGTTCCAACAAAATAATTTTGCCATCCTAATTTACAAAAAAAAGAGAATAAAATTGTACGCTGGAAATGGTGAATGGCATGTACATATTTTGTTCGGTTCCTCTTCCAGAGAAAAACAATCGTATGTCTTGAAGCAGTGATCACTCAGCTAAGTTAGACACAGCAGATCATGTACACCCTTCTTTCCTTCTATAGAGATTATTATATGGCAAGTTTCATATCATACCCCATATCAACCTGAGACCCCATATCAGCCCGAGGGCCGAAGGTCAGGGGGTCAATATGGGGGACGAATGCCAGGGGGCTCATATGGGGGTCGAGGGTTGATATGGGGTATGATATGAAAACTGCCATATACTAACCTTTTATCATCTACCATAACATCAAATTGTAAAATGAATCTGTTTGTAAGTGAATGCAATACATTTTCACCTTGTTTGGATGACATCGTCGACGGAAACCTAGCCGAGCAGACGACGCACTAAGGGACGTAACTCCAATTTCTTGCCACCCGGGCTGATATCAATCGCCCATTGAAAATGCCCTGAATGAGATGAAATACGGGTCTGGTTATTACTCCCCCTCTGATATGCCCGTCTTAATGTTAGCGGTGTTGACTATCCCACAACGGGATTGTGACCGTCACAGTTAGCGGTGTTGACTATCCCACAACGGGATTGTGACCGTCACTGCTAGCGGTGTTGACTATCCCACAACGGGATTGTGACCGTCACTGCTAGCGGTGTTGACTATCCCACAACGGGATTGTGACCGTCACTGTTAGCGGTGTTGACTATCCCACAACGGGATTGTGACGTCACTGTTAGCGGTGTTGACTATCTCACAGCGGGATTGTGACGTCACTGTTAGCGGTGTTGACTATCCAACAACGGGATTGTGACCGTCACTGTTAGCGGTGTTGACTATCCCACAACGGGATTGTGACGTCACTGTTAGCGGTGTTGACTATCTCACAACGGGATTGTGACGTCACTGTTAGCGGTGTTGACTATCCCACAACGGGATTGTGACCGTCACTGTTAGCGGTGTTGACTACCCTCTAGTGTACAGTGCATGTAGTCTATCTCGTAACAGGGTTATGACCGTTACTGAAAGGAGTGTCGACTAACTTCAGTGTAATAGGGTTCCCTCCTACTTTAAAGAGAGACTATGTGCAGGCAGGTTTATAAGCACATAGGGAACCAAACACTTGTCTTTGTCGTGATGAGCAAACGGCTTAAAATACTCGACTACCCCGTCCCCGATTAAGTGGCTTCGACAGTATATAAAATATTTCGCAACATCATTCGTTGTTTTGCTAGTTTCACTATGAAAGTGAATATACATTTGCTGTGGCATGATAGAGTGATTATCAATGGTACGTCACCACACTATTAAAAACCACATGATGGCACATACTCATTAAATGTCTAAAACATGCTGGATATCGTTTTATGTAAGCCTTCAGTTAACCGTAGTTGTTTAATGTAAGGTTCCTACATTCAAGGCCTCAGTAAAGCTTTCAAAACGCTGTATGGTAGACATGCGGACATTTCCAAGTTTGACGCATCAGTGACACAAATTGTGTCCGATGCAATTCCTTATTTTACCGTGTTTTTTTAGGTGAACAATTGACTTGCCTTTGCATGTGTCTTAGGTGGGTGTCACCGGTTGAGCAGGACACGCTCACCTTTTGGCGAACACCAGGTGTTATTTCTATTTCATAGTGATTCAAAAACACATGCTCATTGTATAGTCGGAATCGTACAATCGACTTATGAATATGGAAAGGGTTTTGTCGCTTGTGTTTACAAACGTGTACCTCTGACTGACAATAGGGAGCGTGGCCATATAAAGTATTTAGACTCTAAGACAGATAACTACTATAAAGCACACTGGTTTAGTATTGTAAAATAAGTACAAACGTGTTAAAGGTGGGTAGTGGTGAGGTGAAATGGGGTTTAAGCTTCGCGCCCAAGATGTTTGCACTTATATAGCGACGTGCATGCACGTGTGTGTGTGTGTGTGTGTGTGTGTGTGTGTGCTTGTACTAGTCCGGACTAATGCCGATTTTATATTGATACCATGCCACAGTTTAACATGAATACCTCACTCAGACACAGTATACTGATACCGAGCGTCAGGCAGGGTAACAACAAGTACCGGGGGATCGAACCCTGACCCTTCCGCTCTATCACCAGACCACGGAGGCGGTCACACACGTGTTATAATGACATGTTTTATAACTGATGACCTCTCGGTTACCTAGACACCAACGCTGTCGATGGACTCGACATAATGACGCTACCCTGTTGACATTGATGACATGTGTCGGCCCATTCCATTGGTCTCCAACAGCGTCAGCTATAAAATCGATGGTAGATTGTTAAAATGGGGTGAGAACATATGTACTGTGAATCTACAAAGTAACATATTGCCAAATAAGTATATCATCAATTCACTATTAATACTTATGTATCAAGCGATACAATTCAAATATGGTCAGCGATTGTGTTGCCGCCAGCGTGACGTGTGAGTCTCTGTTATAAAACATTGACCAAGAAAACGTAGCGTACACTTCAGTACGTTTGAAATTGATTTACATTAAGTTATCGTCACCCATATATTAATTGTTATGAATGCCCTATGCCCACAGTTCGTGAATTATGCATATGGACCAAGAATAGCATGCACATATAGCTTTAAAGAGCGCGTACAGGAAAGCATACATATATATAACCCTGACAGCAGCAGCCTGTCGCCGTCGGCACTTTCCGGTTAGCGGTTTTAACTCTGGTTTATATGTCCGTGATCCAGCTTTATCACATACGGGTTACACAGCTATTACCAATATTCCATAAACCAAGAATGGGGCTCACACATTGTGCCCGTGTAAGGAATCGAACCTGTTTGTTTTTTACTTGAGCTAACGCTTCGACCACAAAACTACATTTGTCAAAGCACCATCAAGTACCGCAAATGTCATATATATAAAACCAAACTTGTCAAAACGATGCACATGTAGGAAATGGTACCGTCCGGATTAACGGGGTTTCACTGTACTTTCATTAAAATAATCATTTTTGAATAAAATAGAAAAATCTGAAATTCCTTAAATTCCGTATTCCTCAAAATAAATCACTATATGGCTGATAAAATGTCGATGTGACCTTAATTTTCAAATCGCCCTCTCATTCAAAATAATACAAAACTCAATTAAAAATATACATAAAATCTATGTTTATTGTATTCATCACGGTATAAACTTATATTTACAGATAATTCCGTTATGCTGATGCTATATTTTCATAACAATATCTACCACAACAGCATATGATAAGGCCAAGGGATATGAAGCTATATTTTCATAACAATATCTACCACATATAAGATAAGGCGAAGAGTTCACTACGCGGTTTGCTGCAGGGGATATAAAGGTCATCTCAGGATAAATGCACTTAAAGGTCACACACGCACGCGCGCGCGCACACACACACACACACACACACACACACACACACTCTCTCTCTCTTTGGCAAGCGCTTGGGTTTTGGAAATAGACCTGGGCTGCATGACTTCGACCGTTTTCGAGAACCCGGTTTTCTAAAAGAAATGCTTATGTTGAGGTTCTCTCACTGACCGACTCCACGCTACTTACATAAACGATACATCACATCATTCTTGGTTATCTTAACTTGCCTCGACGAATGGACGCTTCTAAAACTACCATCATTCACAAATGTAAATCGAACGGTTTAATTTAAATTTGGAATGACATTTTATGAATGAAATTGATCTATTGTAATGCTCGTCTGTATACAACACAACATTCGTGCAGATGGGCCCGCATATGCTAGAAACTGAAAAGTTCGCCACTGACCACCAAAGACTGACGGGCTTGTCAGTGACTGAATGAGTAGATCCCGGCCAGTAACCGCCAGTGTCACATTAAGCTACATTTACTGTATTTTGTTCCATGTCAAGAAGTTAATTAATTGTTTCCTGGCACAGAAGATTTCTAAAAAACGTCTTCAGCCATGCATAGTCAATCTGTATCATAGACCGATGCAATAAGTCTGTGGTTTCACGCCGCTTTAAGCAATATTCCAGCAATGACACGGCGGGGGACACCAGAAATGGGCGTCACACATTTTACCCATGTAGGCAATCGAACCCGGCTCTTGGACGTGATGAGCTAACGCATTAACTACTAGGCTACCCAATCGCCCCCCCTTTATGGTGAGAGAGAACAGGCGGTGATTGAAATGCCAGACAATAATATACATGTGGCCATAGTAAGATTCAAATAGACTTATTCACATACATGCAAACATTCATGAACGCGTGACTAGCCGTTAATATTTAGATAGTAAGCAGGATAAAGCTAATATCATCAATCACTCACAGCACAACTGAAAAGTCACAATGTCATAGTTGATATGATACCGGTTTGAATATATTCCAATCAGCATAAAGTGTCTCTGTTGGTTGCCCTCAAAGAGAAAGTCGCGATAGAAGTGGTAAAAGGTCTTAAAGGGAAACTAAAAAGGGTGCCCATGGCCAAGACGTTGTGATAAGTGAGTGAGTTTGGTCCAGTTAGATCATGGCGTGTCAGCTTAATGTGGAAGAAAAACCCGAAGTGTCTACCACTTTGGTGAAACCAACGAGCACGAGTATGGTGCTGACAAACCTGGAAACATAATGGGGACGATCCGGGACTCGAACCCTCGACCACAGGTGTATGGCGTGCCAAAGGGACGCAACTCTGCACAGCGATTTGCAAGCCTCAGACTACTGGGCCTCGAGTGAAATTCAGACATCGACAGTGTGTAAGAAGAGTCATCATCAACGACTAGAATGACACTGCAAGTTTGTCAGCTTTGGTCTGCAGTAACGGACCACTACCTGGAATGTTTAGTTAATCTATCTATCGGGTGCACTTTTAATTCTTTTGAGTCGTATTGTTAATTTGGACGCATCAGCAGCGGAGTTATCAACGTCTTCACTTGCCACTGCGACATCGGTCGTCATCGTCGTCGTAGTCGTCATCGGAGTTGTCGTCAATGCCCAACCTATCCCTCCTCTCTTTCAGCTCCGCTTCAGCTCTGCAATTCAACCCGATAGGAACAGTGCGAAACGTTATAATATTTTATTCTCAGGCACTCGGTGTCATATTTTAACACAATTTTAAAGAAAAGAAAACGATTTTCCCAGTTGTTATACAATACAGGGAGGCAACATTCCAATATTATTACTTTATTATTTATAGATATTTGCATTAAAGGTTAACTAACTATGTTTGTTTTGTTTTTTGTTGTTTAAAGCCGCTCTCAGCAATATCCTAGCTATATGACGGCGGTTTTTAAATAATCGTGTCTGGACCAGACAATCCAGTGATTGACATTATGAGCATCGATCCACGCAAATGGGACAAGCTGACATGCATCAACCAAGTCAGCGAGCCTGACCACCCGATCCCATTAGTCGCCTCTTACGAAAAGCATAGTCGCCTTTTACGGCAAGCATGGGTTGGTGAAGACCTATTCTACCCCGGATCTTCACGGGTAGGTACTAACTATGACTTACATTTCATGACAAACGTATCAATATGAGCTTTAACACCGTTTGCCACGAAAATGATGCGATGGTTGTATCAAGTAACTGGCACCAACACAATCTTCAGAAAAAAATTCGCTCAGCAATGATCAGTTGTGAGTGAGTGATTCATATTTGCGACGCAGTCAGCAATGTTCCAGCTATGTGAGGGCAGATGGTCGAGTCTGGACAGACATACCAGTGACTGATATCATGAGCACCGATCAACACCGTCACCCATGGCAACCATCTAAGCACCAATAGTCGGCTCTCACGACAGGCAGGGTATACTAGGGAGCTATACCTCATAGAAACTCCAATGTGGTTACGCTGAGGGTGATATTATACGGTTACCGAATATGCAGCTTTGATAATGTCAGGTTTTACTTATGCACCACGACCCTACTAAATGATGTAGCACCTACTGTTTCAAGTATTTAATGCAGTCTTTGTGGTTGTATATCGTCGCTATCCGCAGGGGTGTGTCGCCGTACTTGTCTTTTCGGTCTATTGGAATGTTTGCGTTGTGAAGAGCGCGCAACGATGTCAGTTTACCAGTCTCTGCTGCACAGTGAGCGGGAGTCCAGCCTGTTTCTGTGCGTGAAGAAGCCTTGGCCCCGTGCTCCAGAAGAAGGCGGATCCCCTCCCCAAATCCTATACAGAGCAGTGGTAGGTAGACAGTAAGAAATTAAGGAAGACATTTGAAGGGAGTTTCATTTTGACACATAAGCTGAAGGGACGAAGAAACCCATGTTTTTGTGGCTAAAAATGAAACATACAAAAAATGGTTATTCGATGGTGATGTATGTGATAACGGTATCATAGTTGTATTTTGGACATTAAGTTCGCAGTACTTCGGCGAAATGTTATCAGCCTAGTAACGTTCATCTGCCCAAGGCAAGCGTGTCCGCTAGTCTATATCAAAGCCTATGTTTTTTAGTCGAAGCAGTTGACTTTGATAATAAGGGTAGTGGACGCTCTTGGCTCTGGAGTACCGTTTTGATGTTGATAGTTTATATCTATATAGTCAGATCGAATTTTCAAGTGTATAATTTCTTTTGTCCTGCTGTTTATATTGCTATCCATCCAGTATTTATACCATTTAAAGGGGGCGAGCCTGGGGTCAATTGGCAGACCCAGCCAAGTTGATTAAAGTCATCACAAATACCTGTATTTGTCTGCTACGTCAAATGCTATTATGAATATCAATCCCAGCAGTTGGGACTGTCCAAAATTACACGAAGACAATGTACAAGTTGCACATATTACAACACAAAGATCTAGAGCATAGTCCCCTTAAATACCAATACTGATGGTCAACAACAACTGATTTATGAATATAAAAACTTCAATTTAATCATACGAATAACCATTAGTCGATAATGATTAATGCTACCAATAATTCGATTTTAGGAAAGAGTAAGTTCAATAGTTTATGTCAATAAAAGGGTGTTCGATATCAATACTACTGAGATCATATTACTTCTCGGGATAATCAATGATAAAACATGAAAACAATGATGTGGCCAAATGTTTCTTGGAATCAACTGATTTGTGTACCTTTAGTGCTCGCCCAGTGCATGGCAGTCATGTTGTGCCAGTCTTCATCTTTCAAGTTGACGTCAAACTTGCCGCTGCGCAGGTACTCCTCGAGCGTGTCGTAGTCGCTCACTGCCGCAGCCTCGTGCAGCTCCAGGCCCGCCATCTTGTCTACATCCGGGACATCTGTGTACGGAAAGTTCGGGAATGAGAGAGTGAGGTTGTGGCTCATTATTTTAAACAAAACATGACATAACGAGCATATTTATCCGTGTCGTCGAGGTTAGAAGATACCCCACAATGATCCACTTGTAAAAGAGAGATCACACACATAAGACTGTTGTATTTTCGGATCAAAGGTTTTCGGACATCATACGTTTTCGGACGACCATGTTTATCGCGAGTGAGGTTGTGGCTCATTATTTTAAACAAAACATGACATAACGAGCATATTTATCCGTGTCGTCGAGGTTAGAAGATACCCAACAATGATCCACTTGTAAAAGAGAATTCACACACATAAGACTGTTGTATTTTCGAATCAAAGGTTTTCGGACATCATACGTTTTCGGACGACCATGTTTATCGCGATTACTCGCGCTATAACAAGGGATGTGGCGTCACACAGACATTGTAAATACTCAGATGATAACCTGTTTTTAAGATAAATTCGTAGTTTATAAGTGAGCGAGATATTGTTCTCGTTATTAGAGAGAAAACTATGAATGTTCCTTAAGCGTCCGAAAACCCATAACACGGGGACATATGTATGTTAAAGATAGGGAAGTTTAGATAGTCTTAACGCGAAGAATAGTTTGTGCCCATGGACCCAGACTATTCTAGACCAGAGTTTCGCCAGTCCAAGTTCTGACCTCGTTCACTGTATCCGACTTGGGTCTTCCAATCTCCATTTACCCTCGATGTTTACTGAAGACTAAGTTAAACCGGTATGTCTACGGAGAGAATGAGGCTGGTGACGAAGAACGATGTTTCCATGACTTCCCGGAATGCCACGAATGGTCACGAACGGAGACGAATGACTATATAACGGGACATGCATTGATCTCAGCTGAGTTGCCTGCATGCGATCAATAACAGTGTATATATCGATTTATTTCTGGAATCGCCCTCAACTCGGATAACCAGTTCCCTGACTGAGCATCGATCTCCCATACCAGCTGATCTACCGTCCCGCTTTCTAAGGGGAGACAACTCGGGGTATGACAATGGAAGGAACACGAAATAGGAATTGTCCGTTTTATGCTTACTTAGAATTCGTAGATACATATGTTTTCAATCATACTTTGTGTTGCAAAATCAAACTGAAGTTTAGAATGTAGGAATAGCCACCTCCATTTGCACTTACAAATAGTATTGTCTTCTAGTCTCTATTTCATCAAAAGTGACAATACAGTGTTCTATTATTTTCGCACGGCATAAGAAGAAAAGCAAAACTCTTTGAATCTGTCATGATTTTATTGAGTGTAGTGTGGAACCATATGGAATGCAGCATTAAATAGAAAATATTCTCATTATTACCAAATTCTCGTTTAAATGTCCTCTGCAGCTGCTATATCAAGCCTTGGGATCGATTGTCTACATGAGTTCAGTTTGTGAAGCTCATTCTCGACGAGAGTGGGTAAAATAACGTTGTCGTGCCACATTCAACAATACCGTAGCAATGTTAATAAAGCGATAAAATCATGTCCATGATCAAAGGAAATCTCTGCTAAAAACAAGACAACCAACCGTACGATTCCGGCGTTATCATTATAGGTAGTGTTTATGAAGCACTATCTAGTGGCGACCATACCCACGGTGGCACACGTCACAAACACATGCAAAGGCAATTCAATTGTTCACCTGAAAAGACACACACACGGAAATATATGATTCAAGTCGAAATAGGGAATTGCATCAGATAACATTTTTGTCACTGATGCGCCAAATTTGGAAATATCCTCCATACGTCTACCATAAAACTTCTTGAAGGCTTAACTAAGGTCTTGCATGTTGTAACCCTGATCAAACAAGTTTGGACCTTTGCACGACGACCTGTAAATTTAGGGAAGGAGGACCGGTGGATAATATTGACGGCATGAGCATCAAACCACACCGGCGGGATAATATGACACACAAACAGACTGGCAACACATACATGTAGCAGACCCGTGAAGATCCGGGGTAGAATAGGTCTTCAGCAACCCATGCTTGCAGTAAGAGGCGAATATGCTTGTCGTTAGAGGCGACTAACGGGATCGGGTGGTCAGGCTCGCTGACTTGGTTGATGCATGTCATCGTACCCCAATAGCGCGGATCGATGTTCATGATGTCAATCAGTGGATTGTCTCGTCCAGATTCGATAATTTACAGACCGTCGTCATATAGCTTGAATATTGCTGAGTCCGGCTTTTTAAACAACAAACAAACACAATACATGTAGCAACTTCCCAATCCCCACGGCTGTCACGATAAGCATTGAGTACTGAGTCCCTGTAATGACCGCGTTCACTCACTCCGATATCTACACCATTAGATATTGCTAGTTATATATCAATCCCAACTGGTCTATGTGTGATCAAAGGGGAAATACTCGTCATGATATTTATGACTTCAGCTAGTCCCCATAAGTCCTTCAGTGGTAGTGAAGTGCATCAGTCAGCAAATCACCTCTATCACGTCACACACGCCACGATGTTGACATCTCTAGAAACAAGTCTCAAGTGTTTAAAGAAGAAATGTAGACCTTTTCAGACACCTGTTGAAAACCGAACCACAAGCCGACAAAAAACAACAACTGCATATAGACATATTTACCACTAGGCATGTTCATACATCAATATATCAAAATAGAGGCGGTACGATAAGGTCCTCTGCTGCCCACTGGAAATGTCAAATGCGGAAAAGCTGCGGAAAACTTTGAAATGTTGGCGTGAAACTTAAATAACATGTTCAAATGGCTGACAGTTAGCCTTTTTGCCTTTCTTACGTGAAATTTTCAGCTTCTGACATAGTCAAATACACAAATATGCTAAAACCAGTGAAAATGACAGATCTTTTAGAACTTCAAGCGAAAATATACGCATGAACAAGTCTGTGATCCAAGATGAATTGTTTTACCATATGTTAGTGATGGTTTTTTTAATATAAAATAATATATTACATCTGAAAATCTGCTCGGATCGAAGACTGGCTCATGTTCAAAAAGAAAGAAACCGCTTCAAGAAAACCTCTAAAATCATACTTTTTTAGAAAAAGTTATCCTTATATCGATGCATTTAGTGTCATCAAACATGCAATTGTTGACATAAACAACGTTTAGTTCTCATTCATATGAACACATCTGATAATTTTCATAACAATTTCTAAAAGGAAGCATGGCCCTTATCCAACCCATGTCAGTATCTACGCATGAGGATGCTTATCCGTTAGTCATGGCGGTGCTCATGTATTCGGGTACACATCATTATCATTACTATACGGGTATAAAAGTACACGGGGCGGTCGGGTACTCTAGTGGTTAAAGCGTTCGCTCGTCACGCCGAAGACCCGGGTTCGAATCCCGACATGGGTACAATGTGTGAAGCCCATTTCTGGTGTCCCCCGTCGTGATATTGCTGGAATATTGCTAAAAGCGGCGTAAAACCAAACTCACTCACTCACACTCACTATAAAAGTACAAGAGAAGGTTTTATGAAAATATTTTATTTTACTGACTATCGAATATTGTTGTTAATCATTGTTATCCCACTCGACCCTGATTAATCTGCCGAGTACTAAGGAAAAGCAGTAGCAGCAATAGTATATAGTATTGTGAAGCCTATTGGGTTCCTCTTTAAAACATCACATCGTCTAAAAATACTGACAAATACAGTGAACAGTCGACGACAATGGATCAACTCTAATCTCCAGAGGGGCGATGGGGTAGCCTAGTCGTTAACGTGTTAGCTCGTCACGCCGAAGACCCGGGTTCGATTCCCGCCGTGATATTGCTGGAATCGGGATCGGGTGGTCAGGCTCGCTGACTTGATTGATACATGTCATCGATCCCAATTGCGTGGATCGATGCTCATGATGTCGCTCACTGGATTGTCTGGTCCAGAGTCGATTATTTTACAGACCGCCGTCATATAGCTTGAATATTGCTGAGTGCGGCGTTAAACAACAAACAAACAAACAAAAAACAATAAAATAAATCGTGAATGAGGATGATTTTACACCGCCTTTGGCAATATTCCTGCAATATCACGGCTGGGGAGAAATATTTGTTTGTTTGTTGTGTAACGCCTCACTCAGCAATATTCCAGCTTTACGACGGCGGTCTGTAAATAATCGAATCTGGACCAGACGATCCAGTGATTGACATCATGAGCGTCGATCTACGCTATTAGGATACGATGACATGCATGAACCAAGTCAGCGAGCCTGACCACGCGATCCCGTGGGTCGCCTATTACGACCATGTATTGCTGTAGACCAATTCTATTCTAACCCGGAATCTTCACGGGACTGAGTTTCATACATTGTATCCATGTGGGGAATCGAACCCGGGCCTTCAGCATTAAGAGCGAATGCTTTACCCACAAGGCTACAATATCACCCCTGGAGCCCACATGGTAAAAATAAAATTTAAAAAACTACACTGTCTGAAAGTATGACGTCAATAGTAGAATAGGAAGGTACACATACCTACAGATATATACTCTCTTGGATACACATTCAGCGTACAGGTTTTAAATATCCCTACAAAAATATACCTCTTGCATCTTTTCTTGTGGTAAATACGGTACGCACTCGGGTAGGCGAAGCGAGGCGTATTCCCCAAACACGTTCATAATTGTGTTGGTTCTATGTCAAATGGACCGCGAAAGTATTGACTACATAGCAGTCACGACCACGTGCACTATGTGGAAACAGCGAGTCGAGGCAGGTCGTCAAACATGCACACATGTACATACAGTCTTACAGAAATACATGGATCCAAATACGGCTGTCGGGGTTTCAGGTGAATAAACTGCATATCTTACCTGGGCAGGTGTGGAAACGCTGTGGTAGTTCAGCTGCCGGCGTGGATTGTCGCCACTCGAACACTTTACCTTTCCCCTGTTACAGCTGTAAATCAGATACTGCCAACATCATCGTCCCGTCAAGTGTCTATATACTAAACCTAAAGTGGGCCCCCTAATGGCGAAATGACTTGATCAAGTCCTCAACATTTCACATCGCTTCCCTCGCAACCAGCATAGACTCAAACCGGTACCAGAGCGTCAATTACTGTTGAATCCGGTTTCGGTGTGGGTATACCGGTTTCAGATTGATTATCATTGTAAGATAAGAAATGGTTACCGACAGTGGAAGCCAAACCGGTTTGTCCAGTCGCGCCTGTCAACAAAGTCGCTACTTGAGTTTGAAGCGATCGATTTAGTTCGATAGCTCTGACGGACGATCTTTGACCTCCAAGCCACTATACTTAATACCCTGGTTCACATGAGAGTCAGGCGGGACTGTGCTTTGATAAGAGATTACAGGGTGTTTATTAGGCAGGAAGTTACCAGTAGAATATTTACCAGGTAAATATGGCTCTATGCAGTTGTCACGTAAACGGGTTAGAAGTTAAATTGATTAATACTCTGCGTATTCGCCGAAAACGAATTTCAAAACACAGGCTTTACTTCAATCCAAGAAGGGTTACATCATTTGTGTCCCAAACCACGTGACATTTTGGAACCAATTTGTGAGACATGTTGGTGCCATTTCAATTTCGACACTGTACCAAGTTGTAAGACAAGTATGTGTGTGTAGCGAATTGGAATGTTAAATACTGCACCCACATAACGACTCGGAATGTTAAATACTGCAACCACATAACGACTCGGAATGTTCAATACTGCGACCATGCATTATAGCGACTCGGAATGTTAAATACTGCAACCACATAACGACTCGGAATATTAAATACTGCACCCACATAATGATTTGGAATGTTAAATACTGCAACCACATAACGACTCAGAATGTAAAATATTGCAACCATGCACCATAACGACTCGGAATGTTAAATACTGCAACCATGCACCATAACGACTCGGAATGTTAAATACTGCAACCATGCACATAACGACTCGGAATGTTAAATAGTGCAACCACATAACGACTCGGAATGTTAAATACTGCAACCATGCACATAACGACTCGGAATGTTAAATACTGCACCCACGTAACGATTTGGAATGTTAAATACTACAACCACACAACGATTTTGAATGATAAATACTGCCATCGCGGAACGACCACATATATCTCCACATGCGTGGAACCACAAGCACTGTTGACAACATGATTACGCTGTATTGTATGATAAGAAAAAATCAATCTAAATCTGGCCGAAGGTGTTTTACTGCTTCTTTAGTGATTTATCAAAAGCGTTTGATTCTGTCAAGCATCCTCATCTGTGGCATCGTGTCATGAAAAACGGACTCCACGGAACCGTTTCTACGCAACATGTATTCAAAGTTACAGCTGTGTTTATGAACAGAGAATGGTCAAACTGATGTCTTCGAAGTTTGCATGGGTGAAGCCCATTTCCCGGTGTCCTCGCCGTGATATTGCTGTAATATTGCTGAAAGCGGCGTAAAACCAGACTCACTCACTCACTCACCTATATGTACAGCTTTGAAAACCTTCAACGGCGTGGTTCTGATAAAAATCGGATTCATCCTTTGTGTATACTTAACCTTCAATTGAGTCTTTTGTAAATTTTACATCTTCTAAATTAACTTTACAATTGTACAGATATCAAAATACATATTTAAAGCAACGAAGCTAAAAAAGTCACTTCATGAATATTAATACCATGTGTTTGGGTTACGTATGTGAATGTTTATGTACTGATATGTGGTGTGGCCTTGAAAACTGAAAAAAACCATATCACATATCATAACCACAATTTCGTATCTATCTAGGTAAGCATAGTTATCTATGATAGCATGTAAACAACAGCGAATCAGGTCATTAAGTTAGACCTATGCCAGTTATTTCACTGAAATATCGGAAATAATTATCGGATGTAGATGCGATAAATTCTTCATAAGGCCAATTTTGATAAAATAATCTGATATTTAAATAAAGCCGTGAGAATGGTGTATGCTACCACGCACAAGAAACTGCTGTAGTCTTTAGTAAACGCACATTTGTTTGACTCGCGAGTGTGCATGGAAGGAAACGAAAGTCAGAGAACGCGGCGTTGTCATTTTCTGAGCATGCATGGGAGTTAAAAGTGAATGACTTTGCAAAATACATGGACCTTTTGGACTTACTCAATATGTTCACTTTAATAATCCATTTCAGTATTGATAAAAGCATAATTCAAACTTATCTTCTCTCGTTTAGAGACCGACCATTTGATATTCTGGTGCGGGCCTGGGATTTTAGAGAAAAAAATATGCTGTCCAAGAAAAAGCTTAAAAAAACCCATTTCACTTCAGGCTGTCTAAAAAAATAATTGTCAGCTAAAAAAAATACATTGTAGCAAGATTTTTTCTTAAATATTAAGGCTTATAGTTTTATTTTTATTTTTAAATATCTGGTTTTGCAGCTGTAGCTAAAACACATCTAGTCGGATATTGTTTATTGTTTACGATATCCGAGTCCCCTCCAGAATATCCAACGGTCAGTCCATTACATGCACTCAATTTAACGATGCGAAATAAGCTACATAGTGAAAATATGCGACAACATTTTCGCTCGAGAATATAGATCTATCCAAAGAATTTCGCTAAATATAATGAAATATTTCAGATATTGACTTGACACCTGGTGGTGATTGATAGCCTAGTGGACCATAGCATTGATAGGTAAAACACTAATTACGAACGTTACTTAATTGGACGTTTTAATGTCTCTGTTGTCACCGTTCACCTCAATGTTGATGAAACAGCTGCGAAAAGGCGTTCCGAATGTACACTTAGAAAGGGAGGATCGATTCTCCAACGTTAGTACGCGAAACGATGAATTTCAACAGTGGCTTTGAGCTCCATGCATATAGAACATTCCAGCACTGCCCCGAGCTCACGGCCTATCACGTGACTCATCTCGCCTAAATGATTGGTTCCTCGGATTGTTGTGAACACTAAACACGCACATGTCGGGCGATGTGACCTATGTCCTAACATTGTGCAACATCTGTCAGATAGATATATGTCACGAACACGAACCTTGATCACTTAGACTATGCCCAAGATGGACGTACGCAGGTGATAAAGGTGGTGAATACACTGGTGAAGGAGATATCTGTACATTTTATTTGTGTTGCATTTTATGGCAGAGGGAGGTATACGAGAAAACTATCACAATGGCAATCTTTCACAAGAGAACTTTCAGGAACAAAGTGACGAGGTACGAACTTTCAGTGTCTTTTCTCTATTTTGAAGAAAACAATATTTTCATTAGGTAGTGTTATGATAAATATTTGATATCAGGTTCCATGACTGTCTCCAATGTGTCTTTCCACCTTGATATTGCGGGAATATTGCTAAAAGCGGCGTAAAACCATACTCACTCACTCCCCAATGTGTTTTTCGTATTTCAATATGTGTAGCAGGTCAAGGCTTGTACTATTTAAAGAACATTACATATTATCTTATCTTCCAACTTTTTTTGCAACTCTTGGCGTTTTCTTTGTTGAATTTGGTTATAAAATGTCAAAATGGGCGGCGGCAAATACCAATATCTGTACAAGTATCACTTGTTCCCATGTTGTATTTTCATGATTTTCATGATGAGCGACACGCTACATGAGTGAAATAACCTTCAACGGAACTGTAAACCCCATTTCACCTTCACCTGTCATTAGCTGCATATGTAACCTGTAATTGTGACTCAAAGATACCGCAACAATTGCTAGGTCCTTGCCCTGCAGTCCATATACGATGGCGCTGGTATAGAGAGGATAGAGATCCTAAGTACACCCACAGACGGAGATGGGGAATTCTTCGTCCTTCAAGTAAGTTCCATCGTATTTCGTTTTAAACTTTTATTGTTTTATTTCGTTTATTAGCTTTCGTAAACTCAATACTTAGAGTATAGGGGTTATCAATCATATAACTGTGGCGACTACCAGGACTGCACGTTTTTAAGCCCTGGGCTTAATAACTGATTTTGCCTATTGTAATGAGACTACATTTTATCCAAATTTAAGCCCAGGGCTTAATAGTGTCACACTGACTATCCAGAATATCACCTGCATTCAAGACCCAGTCTGCATTGTAAATGTGGAAACCTCAGCGCCGAGTGAGTGAGTATGGTTTCACGCCGTGTTTAGCAATATTCCAGCAATATCACGGCGGAGACACCAGAAATGAGCCTCACACATTGTACCCATGTCGGGAATCGAACCCGACTTCGGCGTGACGAGCGAAAGCTTTAACCACTAGGCTACCCGACCGCCCCTAGCAGCGCTGAAGTGGTGCAAGCTGACCATATAGAATGGTGAATATCCGTTATGGAAGATCAAATAATTTTTAGATTTAATTTAAGCCCATAGGCTTAAAGGCGTTTTATCTTAGCATTTTTAAGCCCATGTGTAAATAACGAGGGGGCTTTACACCGTGAAGTCGCGGTAAATCAGATGGGGTGGTCAGACTCGAATAGTTACAAGTCACCGTGATGTAGTTGGAATATTGCTGACTGTGGCGTAAAACAGCATACACTCACTCACTCTCACTCGCTAGTGCATATTGAATCCCTTAGATGTAGATGTAGCTATATTTGGAAGGCGGATCTCAGTAGTTTCCTTCTGCCTGTATCACCTGGTGTGTAGTGGGCAACAGATGACACGTGACTGGTCATCCAGTATTGGCATCAACCGTACTATGATATTGCTCAAGTGTCCTTTGAAGACGGAGGTACGGGTGGTCTATTGGTCTAAGGTACCTAAGCAGTACCAGGATCAGTTCGTCGTGGGTTCAAATCCCATTTTCGACTCCATAATGGCCCTTCCTCTGTTAGCCCCATATATGTCTCCTGGGTTTCCCAGGAGGGGTAGAGCAGGGGTCTAACGCATCGCAAATAATTGCGCCCCTTAAACGTGCCAGGATCCGCTCGTCGGCGGTTATAATCCCAGATTCGACCAGAATACCATCCTTGGTCTCGTCACCATACCTTTGTGCTTTCTTCTCACAATGACCTGACTCGCCCACGAGCTGAAGACATGTATCGACTAGACGACTACTGACATTTTATTTCATTTCGTCTCTAACTGAGCTTAGTTTTCATATCCCTGGCTATTTGAATTGTTTATTTGTTGTTCAACGCCAGACTCAGCAATATTCCAGTTATATGACGGATGCCTGTAAATAATCGTCCCATGCTGTCGGCGTATGATGACCCGCAATCATCCGAGTCAATTGAGTGATCATCATAGTCTGCAGGGGACCATTCTCTTCCGAAATCCCTACAGGAGTACCAGTTTTTCCACAATTCTTATTTAGTTTCTATGGCAACAATTTAGAAAAGACGAAAGGCTTGGATACAGCGTGTATTTTGCCTTGTGATTTCAGTTTGATCGAGGTGGGCGTTACCTTTGTTAAACCATATTCATATTACCATTTTCTAGCTCTCTGTTCCTGTGCACACAGACGGGCTGGCGGTGACAGTGAACATAGTTGTCACAGACAATGATGTGAGACAAAATCCAGCCGGGGAAATAACTCTCCAATTTGTTGGAAAGGATGTCCAGCTCGAGAGGACCGGTATGTATAATTTTGTTTGTTTGTTGTTTAACGCCGCGCTCAGCAATATTCCAGCTATATGACGACGGTCTGTAAATAATCGAGTCTGGACCAGACAATCAAGTGATTAACATCATAAGCATCGATCCACGCACCTGGGATACGATGACATGCATGAACCAAGTCAGCGAACCTGACCACCCGTTACCGTTAGTCTCCTCTTGTACCATTCTATGATACGCAGTGTACCTTTGGCGTACCATCATCCTGTGTTCGTTGGGTCGAATCCCAGAATGTCGTAGGCGTTTACTACTTTGGTTAAACCCGCGAGAACGTGTATGGTGCTGACAAACAAATGATCAACATCTTGGTGAATCCATGATTCGAAACAACAATCATTGGATCCTGGTATTACCAAGGGGAGAAAATATGCACTGTGAATGTCCATGTCCCTCTTGATAAAACATCTCGACTTAAATAGGAGATAAACCTATTCTGTTTTACATATGAGGTAGTTAGTCGGCTTTAAATGCCATTTGGCTGTGTTTTATCAACGATGAACCACCTCCAAATTTATAAACAGAATAGGTTTATCAGGGGACCCTTTTTCTTGCGCCCGTATTTCAGTGCAGTGATGCGGTAAGTAGTGGTAATCTCTCATTTACCGCTTCAAATGTAGTAAAAATAACCAATCTAAGTAGATTATCTTTCAATGTCATGGTACAATAATTAGCAACACTCACTTCCATCGACCAGCAGCAGTAGCAGCAACGTTATCATCACCCACTGTATTTCCCCCCCACCAGGAGATGGTGTCTGGACTGCATCCTTCAACGTGAAGTACTTACCTCCCCTTAGTCTGCAAGTGGTACTTCCTGCTACCTACCCTTCCCAGAGTTCCCCGGTGTTCACTCTGTCATGTGTGTGGCTGACAGCCAATCAGCTTGCAGCTCTGTGTGGCCAGCTGGATGTGTTGTGGCAGGAGACTGAGAATCTCCCTGTCATCTTCACCTGGGTTGACTGGCTGGAGAATAACATCTTCAGGTACGCTTGCCCATCAATACCATTACTTTGAGATGTAACTTACACCTGTTTTCAACTAAACGACAAAAACGTGCGGGTGATATATAGGCATGGTTATTGGTGTGTATTATTGTGCGAACTGACCTACACTTTGTCGAGCCTATGAGTCATTTACTATATAAGAGTGTATGTTTTTGTCATGGGAGACATTCCATCATTCTACATTTGCAACATGCGTCACCACTCGCCCCTTTCCGTAACCTGCAAGAAGACTCGTCCCCCCTATCGACGAATGTTATGTGCGAAAATACGACAAACCAATCAAAATGCGCGTATGACTTCAAGTTCTTTGGCCAAAGAATCCCTCAGGAATATGTTTTTTTTATTTTACGTATGTCTTGCATCTAAAAATATACCAAAGATACAGTTATATGTGTTCAATCATACTGTATAATACCGCATGTCCCGATGAACTTTACATTATATGATATATAGGGAAATATACGTGAATCATTTCGCAACGAGTTGACAATTCTTTTAGCTATGCCCCTTTGCGCTTAGACGGAACCCGGTCGCAAAAAGGCCACGAGAGGGGCACGAGTCGCTTTTCGGCTTGTCCCGGAATAACACGAGTTGGTCACAAATGACATTTGCACCACTCGAGTCCACTCGGCTCATTCCGCAACCTACATAATACCCCAGCAGCTGTGGAGTAGGGTGAGTGAGTATGGTTTTTTACGCCGCTTTTATCAATATTCCAGCAATATCATGGCGGGGGACATCAGAAATGGGCTTCACACATTGTACCCGTGTGGGGAATCGAACCCGGGTCTTCAGCGTGATGAACGAACGCTTTAACAACTAGGCTACCCTACCGCCCCTATGGATTTGGAATATTGCATGAAATCAAACATAACACATAACAGCAGGTCCCTCCGCCGCACATAGTTCCTATAACCTGACGGCCAGTTTCGAAGACAGGCGATAACATGCTTACAGACATTCACTTTGTGTGTCGATTTGAAGTCAAAAGCAAACGGAACCAGTTGTACTTGGTTCACAACTGTCACCATGTGATTGTCACGTGCATGAAATTAGTTCCAATATAGATTCCTGCCAGTGCTGGTCGAGGTCCTAATCTCCCTCCTTGGCATACGACTTCTAGGGGGGAGGGGGATGAATTTGATACAAACACAGATTCTTCATATGTAACGTTTTATTTATATGAAAATCACTAGATTGTTTCAATTTATTGCTGCAGTTTTCTGGAGCTTGGCAATACATTAGAGGTACCTTTAGGCAAGGTCGACAGTGATGAAAGTCGCATTGAGGTGAACACAGATTTACATCAGGTCGTAAACACAATGATGCAGTAAGTAAGATTACAGTACTACAATGTTTTTAAGGTAATTATCCCGAATGACTTAACCCTTTCACTTATACATGTGTCTTCCTTCATATATAGTTATACTTTGCTACAGGCCCACACGAAGATATTTGATCACATATGACGTTCATTAAAATGCAGCCGCCTCCGTGGTCTACTGGTAGAACGTCCGCCCGGAGAGCGGAAGGTCCGGGGCTCGATCCCCGACCGCGTCATACCAAAAGACGTTAAAAGATGGTACTTGTTGTTACCCTGTCTGGCGCTCGGCATTAAGGGGCTAAAACAAGGACTGGTCGGCTCGGAGTCAGTATAATGTGTTTGAGTGGGGTATTCATGTTAAACTGCAGCATGGTATCTCAGTGGGCTAGCACAATAAATCGGCATCAGTCCGGTCTAGTACAAGCAGACACACACACACACGTGCATGCACGTCGCTATATAAGTGCAATAATCTTGGACGCGACATTAAACCCATTTCACCTCACCTCACCTCATTAAAGTGCAGATCATCCTTCCAAATGTACAGAGTTAAAGAGACTGTTTGTTTAAATAAGTTGTGTAGGCCTGCTTATGACGTCATGATATCCATACAGAACGGCCTACTCACTCGTATGGGCTTTTACAAGACACTACCTGGCCAGTCAGATGGGTATGTTCTTGAAAGAGTTATGATACAATCCTTGACAGGCAAGAAGACAAGATGTCGAGGAGGTAGGAATCCGTCTCGACCCATATATGACCTAAAGAGCGATATGGAAAAATCCATGGTCAGTATTCTATGTGTCAGGGCCGTGTACAACAATACTGACCATGGATTCAGCCATACAGGTCTTCAGGTCACATGTGGGATGGGTCAGATTCCCACTTCTTGACCCTTGTGTAATGGTAAAATAATTCCACCTTCATGGACAATGAATGCCTGATATTATTTGTAAAGAAAGAAAAGCAATGACTCATTTTGTTAAAAGCTACCGAATATATAAGTATCTTTGGCATTATCAGGTACAACCGAACTCTGGACAACGCCGAGTTTCGCCGAAGTAATCACGAATGCCATGTGTGTTTTGAGGAGTTTCCTGGTAGCGAGTTCTACAGACTGGACGACTGTCTGCACCATACATGCCGAGGGTGCATGGAGGCCTATTGTCAACATCACGTGTCTTTAGGCACTGTAGAGGAGCTCAGGTCAGTTGGAGTGAGTGAGGGAGGGAGCGAGCGCGCGAACGAGCACCACATCCGGCAATATTAATATCATGGCCTCATTAAAATAATCTTTGAGCCACGCCGTCGAGATACAGTTACACACACTCAACTCTTTGACACATCGACCCGGCGCCATCACACCCTCCCACAAGACATCCCCCCATACTTCCATAGCCAATTGTCAATATACAGGAGTATTTCAATAAAACGAAGGCATTTTTTGCCCTTTTCATGCGGACCCGCGCTTGACAGCAATGTTTAAGGAGAAATGATTCACGGCGTCAACCAATCACACATTGTGACCATCCAATCCTCAGTCTCGCGACAGGCCTTGGATGCTGGGGAACTATCTTCTCGGGACGCCCACTTGAACTGCCTTATTCAATTTCTTGCAGATGTCCTGCCACCAACTGTGACGTCAGTGTTCCCCCCGACGTTGTTCATAGCGTTCTACCGGCGGAGGAGGTCGACAGGTGGGAGCGATTGCTTCTACAGGTAAGCACGGTATATAGTACTCGACCTTTCATGAGGATATTTCCATCGTTCGATCATAGGGGAAACTGTTTATACAAAACTTGAATGGTATTGGCCCAGAAGGGCGGAGTATATATTATGATAGACTTTCAGGACAAAAGACTATGGTGTCCGTCGTCCTAAGGTAGCAAAATTGGGGACTTGAACCCGGTCCTTTATTGACGATCTAACGAATTAAACACCCGTCTACCCATTTGTCTTCTGGCAGGTTTAGAAAACAAGCGATTTGAAATAATGACGTAGATAACCAGCTATACTTTCCCCTATCATCATACATAGGTGTCGGCATCCTTGAAAACACCTTATCAGTTTTCCAGGAAGTGCGGTGAAACTGACGTTTAGATATGTTTGTAAATTTCGCACGAGTAATTGATGAAATGTTCCTGTACGCACCTAAAGTTTGCTTCTTTCTATTCTTAGAAAACTTTGGAAAGGATGAGTGATGTGGAATGGTGCCCTCGCTGCAACAACCCCGTGATTCGGGAAGAGGAGGACCACTTGAATCTAGGTCACTGCACCACCTGTTTCTTCTCCTTCTGTACTCTGTGCAGGGACCCCTGGCATCAGGTGAGTGGGTGTGGCTGTGTGTGGGTGTGGCCTCAGGTGAGTGGGTGTGGCTGTGACTGGATGTGGCATCAGGTGAGTGGGTGTGTGGGTGTGGGTGTGGCATCAGGTGAGTGGGTGTGGCTGTGAGTGGATGTGACATCAGGTGAGTGGGTGTGGCTGTGTGTGGGTGTGGCATCAGGTGAGTGGGTGTGGCATCAGATGAGTGGGTGTGGCTGTGGCATCGGGTGAGTGGGTGTGGCTGTGTGTGGGTGTGGCATCAGGTGAGGGGGTGTGGCTGTGACTGGGTGTGACATCAGGTGAGTGGGTGTGGGTGTGTGTGGGTGTGGCTGTGACTGGGTGTGACATCAGGTGAGTGGGTGTGGCTATGTGTGGGTGTGGCCTCAGGTGAGTGGGTGTGGCTGTGACTGGATGTGACATCAGGTGAGTGGGTGTGGCTGTGTGTGGGTGTGGCATCAGGTGAGTGGGTGTGGCTGTGACTGGGTGTGGCAACAGGTGAGTTGGTGTGACTGTGTGTGGGTGTGGCATCAGGTGAGAGGGTGTTGCTGTGTGTGGGTGTGGCAAAAGGTGAATGGGCACCATCCTTTACACTCACCAAATGGGGGATTAAGAGCTCAACGTTTTGCATGTTATAAATTTAAAACAGACAGGTTTATGTACCAAACAGACACGATATCATTTCATCATTTTATTTCAGTACGTGTAAGCCGCATGCCTCAGTGTACATACACATGGCAATGTACAAACGAGCGTGCACTACATACTTGTAAGAAGAACATATAGACATTACATATAGTACATATTGATAATTGTATTTCAGATTGCTTTATAAACTAAGGATATAAGATCTTTTCACATTTGCATCGTGAAAAAATGCTGTTACTAATTATATTTGGACTTGGATTTGGAGATGATAGCAGTCGAACTTCTGTACGATATACATGCTTTGTTTCATTTTACATCTATCTTTCATTGGAACTGATATGCAGTTGAAACTTTCCTGCTTTTAGGCTTGAAACTGAGTGACAGTTATAGCGTTAGTTTAGTTGTTTTTTCCAATTTGAATAAAAACGAAACTTCTCCTATTGAAATCTAGTTTTTTAAATCATACTACGAACAAAAATATATTTGTTTAAAGTAGTACCTTGCAACAATGTAATTGTTTGTGTTAGACAAACATTTCAAGCGACTACTGCAATATTATACACTCCGACGTTATATGGTGGCAATATTATGCATCCTGACGTTATATGGTTGTAGTATTATACATCCTGACATTATATGGTGGCAATATTATACATCCTGACATTATATGGTGGCAATATTATACATCCTGACATTTAATGGTGGCATTAGTATACATCCTGGCGTTATATGGTGGCAATATCATAGATCCTGACGTTATAAGGTGGCAATATTCTACACCCTTACATTGTTGTAGTATCATATGTCCAGACGTTATATGGTAGTAGTGTTAGAGAGTTATGTCATGATCATTCCCGGTTATGATATTGCAGATTGCCATGCAGTATGTATTGCTGTAGTCCGGAGAGCACCGCAGCTCTTATATTCTCATATGTCATAGACATGCCATGTGGAGGTGTATATCTTATTTTATCCTTCGTAAGTATCCATAGGGATTACAACGCGGACTGCTAATAGTTTTCTTGTCATGCAATGGATAAGTGGTTACTTTTTTTCACATCTATATAAAATACTAAAATCTTGTTGAACTTGCAACACCACCTGCATTTTGAAGAACACCGGGTGGCGATGGCATTGGTAGCCAGGTCATGGAAGAGACAGTGTATTATTTGTGGGACATTATGTCGACTTCTGCCTCAAGATATTAAATTGTTTTCCCAATTTGTTTAGATCTCGTGTTAACTGGACATAACTGTCATTACACGTTGTCAACTGAGTAAATAATATCATGTGGTAATAAAACAATACAATACTGGTTCAATGTTTCAGGGTGAGGTCTGCACGACGGTGGAACAGAAACTAGAGACTGTGAACCGGAAGGGGCAATTGTCGTCTGCTAGCGAGAGGCGCCATTTTGAGGAGAAGCGACGGAAGCTGGAGGAGGAGATTAGAACCAAGACGAGCCTTCACAAAAAGACCAGGCTATGTCCACGATGCAGTGCCAAGATCGAAAAGGCAGGAGGGTGAGGTGCCATTCTATTTTCATAGAATAGATTCATGGAATCCTTCTTCATAGTTCACTCATGAAATTATGTGTATGTATTTGGGTGCAAGTTATTCAGGAAGAAATAAGTATACAGGTTTTTAAGATGTCTTATGATTTGCCTCAAGTCGGAGATCAGAGAAGTGTGTTGTAAATCTTGGCAGGCATTTACAAGGATCAATCCACAGCCCTTCAGTTTTGTAAAATGGATTGGAGTATGCTGCAATCTTACCGGTTGAAAAACGATGTTAAATTGGATTGAATCACGGAAATATTTTGAACTTTCACTGTGTAAGAATACTTTTCTCAAATTTTAAAAAACCCCGTGCCATTTGGACTGGCGAAATGACTACCACGTTGATTAAAAATTAACTTTAAAAATGTAAACGTATTGATTTTAATCAACACATATGCAAAGGGGCCCCGGGGGTAGCCTATCGTGGTTAAGGTGTTCGCCCAGGTTCGATTCCCCACATGCGTAGACATACAATGTGTGAAGTCCACTTTTGTTGTCCCCTGCCGTGGTACTCCGACATTGCTAAAAGCGGCGTACAACCATACTCATTCACATATGCAAAGAATCACTGTAACAGGTGTATAGTTTCGTATGGGGAGAATGACAGTTATCACATGTATTCTTCAGTAAGTGACCGGGATAGATGATCTCCGGACCTCCTTGTTTCAGATGCAACAGAATGAAGTGTAGATGCGGCACCAGCTTCTGCTGGCTATGCGGCCTTGTGATCAACAGCTATCGTCACTACATGGCGGGCAACTCGCGCTGTAGTCTCATGGACATGACGGAGTTAACTCCCCTCGTGGGAACCATCACTCCTCAGGTATGCTACTTGGGTGTGGGAGCAACCAGTTGATTTTCAGGGCAGCTTCCCGAGGCAAGGTCTTCAACTGACTTCAGAAGTCCAGTTTCCACTCTTGTCGAACTAGGCTGGAATGACCAATGGCTTTTCGAGTTATGTCCCTTCAAAGTCGAGTGATGTGCTTCAAACACAATGGCGGCGCCCAGTCAAGACAACCTGATCGATAATTAAGAGATTGTAATAAAACGGCATGAAATCACGTGAAGACCTTGATTAAAAACATAAAAAGAGATGCACAATATCTGTCGACGCCCAGTTGACGGTACACATGCTAAACAAACCCTGCAGTCGACCGAAATCTGCACGTTAAAATCCATGTTTACGAACCGGGTGTCGATTTCGTTACGCGGTTTTGATTGGACAATGCGTCGACTCGTTAGTCCAGCCAAAATGTAACTCCGGAATTCCAGCCTAGTTCGGGAAGTGGGACAAATGAGCTTACACTCGACATTAATTTTGTCTCCATAATGAGATTCAAGTTATATAAGTTCCTCTGTTTTCAGAAAATGATAAAAATGACTTTTGCTGCAGATTAAGATGCAGTGTTAAAATGTATCAACCTGTTCCATATTGTAGTGAGTGAGTGAGTATGGTTTTACGCCGCTTTTAGCAATATTCCAGCAATATCACGGCGGGGGACACCAGAAATGGGCTTCACACATTGTACCCATGTCGGGAATCAAACCCGGGTCTTCGGCGTGACGAGCTAACGCTTAAACCACTAGGCTACCCGACCGCCCTCCATATTGTAAGTCTTCGGTATGTATGCAGACATTTGTGAAGTGGTTATCTTTGTTGACATTGTAAACTGTTGACTACAGGTCCAGGTGAGCTTCAGTGCCGTGGATCTATGTTTTGCAATGTAATTTGTACTGTATTTCCCCTAATAAGCTCTCTGGAGCACATTATTCAAACAAGCACCCAAATGCGGCGGGTAATGGAGGCCCGTCGGCAATTAGAGACCGGGCATGTAATACTTTAACTACGATGTTGCATAAACTACAGTCACTAATAAATTGACATATTGTGTTTTGGTACAGAATTACTGTAATTTATATCTTATTTTTAGTGTTTTATGCATCGTATCCGTCGCTGATTGGAGGTTGGCGGCTTTTAGAGGTTAAATGGTATATAGAAAAATATGGTTACCAAATCAGTTGGCCTTTCTCTTGTTCCAGAACGTGGACTATGTACAGACTCTGATTGGTGCAAAGATTAGGGAAACAGTCTCATGTCCAAATTGTCGCTACAAGAACGTCAAAGTTGATCGCAACAACCACGTACGATGTCGGTGTTGTAACACAAACTTCTGTTACGTGTGCGGAATGAAGATTGTCGGGGTCATCACTACTCATTTCACTCAAACCAGTTGCCCCCAACACTCCTGAGTGAGTGAGTGAGTGAGTGATTGAGCGAGTTGGGTTTAACGTCGGCGTGTCAGCTTGGTGTGGAAGGACACTCCTAGAGCTTATAATGCACACTTTATTTACAAATGTAATATCTTTGACAATAAAGATTTTTATTTTTAAGCAGCGTTGTATAGATTACCCTCCGCAGTTTCTCAATGCATTAGCGTCATCGTGCTCGGTAACTATGAACAACCTACGTGTGTTCGTTGTTTAATCTCGCAGTTAGCAATGTCCCAGCTAAATGACAGCCGCGTGTGGATAATTGAGTCTTGGTCAGGCAAACTAGCAGTCCCACAAAGCTTTGTTTAGGCGACATTCAAATAACCAAGTCTGACACACAATCCATGTCGCCTCTTACCACAAGAAACAGAGTGAAAAGGACTTACTTACTGTCCGTGCGGGGCTAATATGCTGTCTATTTCAAGTAATGGAACCATGTCAAAAACTGAAATGGTACAAACTTGTCTCAATTAGGTACAATGTCAAACACTGAAATGACACAAACTTGTCTCACAATTTGGTACAATGTCAAACACTGAAATGACACAAACTTGTCTCACAATTTGGTACTATGTCAAATACTAAAATAACACAAACTTGTCTCAATTTGGCACTATGTCGAACACTGAAACGACACAAACTTGTCTCACAATTTGGAACTATGTCAAATACTAAAATAATACAAACTTGTCTCAATTTGGCACTATGTCGAACACTGAAATGACATAAACTTGTCTCACACGTTGGTACCATGTCAAACACTGAAATGACATAAACTTGTCTCACAAAAAAAAACAAGTTTGTTTGTTATTTTCATTTTTGTGTGTTTGTTCTTTAACGCCGCACTCAGCAATGTTTCAGCTACATAACGGCGGTCTGTAAATAATCGAGTCTGATCCAACAATCTAGTGACTGACATTATGCGAATCGTCCTACACAACTGGGATACGATGACATGCATCAACCAAGTCAGAGAGCCTGACCACCGGATCCCGTTACAGGCGCCTCTTCAATTCTTATTAAATAAAAGTATTACATGAAACTAGTGTATATATCTGCATATAATTAGCATGGAATTGGAATATTAATTCATTTAAATAGCGGGGTGTGGATGATTATAACATTATTTTAAAAAAACAGTGTTCTAAGGGAAATGGTCGGGTATACATGAAAGTAGATGAGTACACAAGTAACTCGGGCCAGCAGGTGTATTAGATTGTATAGTGACAATACTGAGGTTTGGAATAGGTAATGCCTAGTCACGTACGTTTCGAAACCCCGGAATCATCAACGGAAGTCCTGAATAGGGAAATGTCATCAAGGTTTACTTAATAATTGGTGGTGCCCGTGAAGATCGGGTAGAATAGGTCTTCAGCAACTCATGCTTGCCGTAAAAGGCGACTATGCTTGTCGTAAGAGGCGACTAACGGGATCGGGTGGTCAGGCTCGCTGACTTGGTTGATGCATGTCATCGATCCCAGTTGCGTGGATCGATGCTCATGATGTCAATCACTGGATTGTCTGGTCCAGACTCGATTATTGTACAGACCGCCGTCATATAGCTGGAATATTGCTGAGTGCGGCGTTAAACAACAAACAAACAAACAAATAAGTGGGGAAAGTGCTTTCGGTGGGGGAACTAGAAACTAATCGGAGGAATTTGGACTTATTGAAGCCTTGCAGCCGAAGTCTCTTAACTAACAGAGTGGCTTGGACCAGCAACACAAGAAGTGAATAGAAGCTGTAAGCGAAGAACATCCTTTTGTGATTGATGGGGGAACTACGGTAAAGTTCAAAGAGCCCTCGGATACGGAGACTGTAGCCGCAAAGATCGTCAAAGAACGAGGGTATACCGTAGTTCAGGTAAAAAATACGACCCTTCGTCCAGATGTCGGCTCCGTCTAAGCCAGAGTTCAAGAGTGTCAAGATACCGTAAAATAGCATCAAAATAATTTGGAACTCTCTAACCCGGAGTGTTCACGGGAAAACAAGTTAGCATCATGTCTCGGATGAGGACGTTCACCTGATGTGACCTTGGGCGGAAGTGTCATCAGATCTTGTCGCAGAGAGGTTTATGAGAGTATATGGTCTGATTTTAATTAGATTGTCTAACAACTTGGTACCACATCAAAAACTGAAACGAAACAAACTTGTCTGACAATTGATGACAAAATCTCACCTTGCATTAAACCTTGATTATTTGTAAAATGTTACGTCTACATACATTACTTTAATTACAGTTAATACATTTCCACCTTTAACAATGTACTCAACAACTTATAGCGATTTATCAAATCAACTGTTTTTTGTAAACCGATGAAGGCACAATTTTCTTTGAAGATTTCATCAATAACTGAATGTACTGTAAAAATGGCATCTACTGTACTAACATTTGGCTAAAATCCAAATTGAGCATCCGTGATAATATCATTGTCTGAATAGTGAATACTAAGATAAAAGTCGTTGTTGAATAACTAAAGTGATTTTTTTTACCAACACAGCCAACAATGCTGAGTCCACGATACTTATTTAGGTCTGTGTCAATGCCTTTAAAAAACCCTAGAACTACAACAGCTGACGACCATTCCTTAGGAAAATAGCCTGTATTTAATGAACAATTAAATATGTCAACACGAGTTCTATAAAAGTTTAAATCTACCATGAACTTTTATGATATATTTTTGGTATCGAAACACATGTACTAACCATTGTCTTGAGCGTGAAAACTCTTGGTATATATATATATATAGCTAACCTGGTTCAGCGGCAAAGATTATAGTTTTGTGACTTTTCATTTATACCAGTCATGTTTATTCTGTATCTGGCAAATGCCAAAATACATGGTACAAATGACAAAAAGCAACAACGCACACACTGAAACTGGCTCATGCATGTATATTTTCAAAACTTCATGAACATAAATGTATGTTTTCTGAAGTTTGAGAAAAGTGATATTTTCATTGCAGTGAAGTTAGTGAACATGACACTTGATATTTAACTGCAGTGAAAATAACACTTTGACGGAACTATTGTCATACAAGAGTTACCTCCCGTCAAATTGTCTCCCTTCATCTAGTGTCTCGCCCGTACAGAAACTGTTGACGTCCTTTTTACGTTGCAAGGCAAAATAATGACAGATGGTCATTTATGGGGTTGATATAGCTTCATGTCGTTTGTTATTCTCTTGAAAATGTTACAAACTGTAAATTTATCATTCAACTCGTCAATCGAGACTGTTCTTTTCATAAAGCGGCATTTTACGAAAGGGGAGTTCAAAGGGTTTAAGAAATAATGGGTAATAAAGAAATTATTACACTCGCATGTGTGTCACACTGGTTTTACGAAACTCGTGTAAGAAATCAAGTATTAGGTACACTCTCTCTCGCTCGGGAAATACAGGAAATCTGCCACTCGTTTCGTAACACCGTCATTCTCAGTTAAATGGTGCAAAAGCAGTCGTTCAGAAATGACACAGATTTATTTCTAAATTGTGGTGTATTTTAAGATAAATTTCTGCTCATTATTTAGTTAAGTATACCAGAAACTTAATTCGAAACAAAATAACACATAATACATGTGCAAATAATTCACAGATGAAATTTCCTAGCTTGGGGTGCCATTTTTTCAATTGTCGGTGAATAACATTTCCATCAGGAAAATATTAAACTAAAATATGTGTGACAATGTCAGAAATACTAACTATCATTCTGAAAACTTCAGTATAATCCTCTTATTTCAATGCCCAAAATCCTGCATTGTGAGCAAGAATTTAACTGTCAAAAAAACTAAAATATTTTGTCGGCAGATGTGAAATTTACGTTATGCTGACTTTCATGATGCTTAGCTCTTGAAATTGTTTCTATCATATTTTGCAACCAAACAGGTTTATTCAAAGCTGGAAGAAACATACAAAAAGCATATACCTTGTAAAATACAACAAAAGGTATAGTTGGTAAGAAATTGTTCGTTAATGAGGAATTTTCAAAGCGATTCTTTTAAGGATTTAATTATACGTGACAGCTAGTAAAAGGTAATTTGAATTTGAATTAGTTTCAGCCGATGGTCATGAACAGGGCTTCTATATGTTTCGTAACAGAACAGCGCCAAAACGCAGCTTTTATATCTGGATATTGAACCATTGAAGTTCATATGTAATTTAAGTTTAGTAATTTACGTTTGAGAGACATTTGAAAAAAACACGTTTTGTAGTAAATGTAAAACCCAAAGACTTTAAACACACGTGTTGGTACCACTGGCCATTGCATCACGCCTTCTGATGTCCTCGGAAACATCTAGAGGTTTACGAACTATGTGACGTAAATTTCTCGTGATGGAATCTTCATTTACTGCTATTTAACTTTATACAATCTGACAAATCTTTCTTTTATTTTGTGCTTAGAAGTGTCATCAATTTAAATAGCCCGCCAGGTTAAATTAAAATGTCAAATTCAATGACAGATCATTTATTGTTGAGAATTCTTCAAACAAACGACCGCCAGGAGCCGTATTTTAAAATATATTTGAGATTAATTGTGAATTGTTTTTGTAAAATTAATCACTGGGTCAAAATACACTCAAATACAATTGTTTTAGGAAGTAATTTCAAATGCAAACTAACAGTTTTCAGAGTGACGTAAATTACAACGTAAATTACTCATACAGTATGGAATAGATTAGTGTCAATAAGTTAAACTGAACCAATGCAACAGTAATCGTTTGAAGGTGTTTTATATTCCACTACTTTAAATTAGACTGTTTATTGCAGACAATATGGCAAAATTGTTTAGATTTGAAATTTACGTCAGGGTACTGTTTGAACGACTGTCTAAATGCGAGAACCAAGTGTATTTTCATATTACTACCTTGTTTGACTTCCCAGTGACATTTATCAAAATATTTTTATGTATAAAGACTTGCCTTCACGGGATCCGTAATGAGGCTTATATGTTGTCCTAAGGTTTAATTTCTTGCATATGCAAATAAAGGAGAAAAACTATTAGTATAAAGTAGACATCTTCAAAAGTTATTGTGCGTGAAATATCTAGTTTTCTTTCAGTATTTAAAATATGCTGCATTGTCCATCAAAGGATCTTTAGGAATTGCGGTAGAATCTGTAATGTTTAACCAGGTTTTGTTATATAAATTACACTGTAATATCAGAGTAGGTCACTTTGTATTACTTAGGTCACGACACTATTTGTACTTCAGTGCTGAAATTTTGGTTATAGTATTGTTGAAGTTTCTACTTTATGAAAAAAAACACGTTTTCATGAAAAATCACAACTTATTTTTTCTATAATTTGCTCAGCTAATTGTTCGAATGACTGAAAATCAGTATGACCCACATACTCCTATAATAATCTCTATCGCTTTTGAGGGTGTATTATTACCCTTTTGGTGAGGTACATGTTTTTTTATAGTACGATTTTAACACGAGTTGGGTTTTACATACAACCATCACAACACACCTTCACCGAACTGTCAAACGAGAAAGCTGCTTGCACGCCGTTGTGCAAGACCTGGTTCGATGTTGCTTAAGATAGCATTGTCTAATATAATAAGATAATCAGAACCGCCATCTATTATGATACACTTTTACGAAACTATTTAGAGTAGTGATAGAGCATCTGATCGACAAATCAACAGTTGCTTCCGTGTTGAAAGCGATGGCCGAGGGGGGTGCCACGCCCACGTTTAAGGAGGAGTGTTTCAACAGCAATTTGGAGGAACAGAATGACGAGGTTTGTTAACGTGAAGATTTAATATGATCTGTCAAAGGTCTCTACGAAAACTAGGAATTACAATGACACATGCATGTGTAAACAAGTGATAAAGGGAGGTAACTCGTCGACGCTTGCCAACCGTGCAGTTTGCAAATAATTAGTAATTTTATATCAAATAGCACCGTCATGTCATGAGTATATGGCGGAAAGACTTCCGCCCGTATGCCCCTCCAAAAGTTGTATATGTATGCATTGCCGCTCAATTCATTTAGTTATATAGTTATTTAGTGCCTATATATATAGAGAATCCACTTGTATCATGGAGATCTTGACAGATACAACTGTTGATGTTTGTACTCATACCTTAGACAGATATATTTTTATATCCCGTATCATTGATCTAACTAAATGTTGAGGCCATTACATTTCCGAGTCCCGTGATGGGATTCGAACCACGGACCTTCTGATCCGAGGTCAGACGCCTTGTCCACATGACCAAAGGGGTTAACCCCGTCAGCAAGCTGACAAGGTAAGGATGTCATCTGTGGGATGACTCCACGTCCTGCTACATAAACATGATCATATTCGCCTTAAGGCGGTTAGAAATTTGACAGATGTGTATTTGGGGGAGAGACTGTTAAAACTGTATGCTAAAGGTGACATTTGTTTTCAGTGATCTAGTGAATACTGTTAGTCTGAATGTCCATGAAACTAAAACCTTATCGGTAAGAGTTACTGGGCAATATATAATATTGTAGTGTCTCTCTGTGCTCCTGTTTTCTGTCAAACAACTCGGTAGTATACACAAGGTGTGTGTCAGAGTGGGGTATCCATGTTAAACTGCAGCATGGTATCTCAGTGGGATAGTATTATAAAACTGGCATTAGTCCGGACTAGTATAAGCAGCCAATCACACACACACACATGTGTGCATGCATGTCGCTATATAAGTCAAAAAGTCTTGAATGTGACATTAAAACCTATTAAAACCTATTTTACCTCCCCTCACCTTAAATTATTGAATCTGGACCAGGGAAACCAGTGGTTGACAGCATGAGCATCAACCTATGTCACAGGGGCACGACGCAATCAGGTCACACAATTTAGCCACGAGCTGGAGGTATAATACCTAATGAGGGATGCATAAAACCCCATGTATCCCTCGTGATCCTGGTACAATGAATTTATCTTTTGGACATGTTTTAATGTGACATTGTAAAAGAATTAACACAAATTCAAAAATGATAGAAAACAGCTGTTTGATTGAGCTGAGGTTAGCTTGTGCTATGTCATGTGACTTCCACTGACTGGAAAAAGCGTGAATCTTTTAACTTTGAAGCGGGGTATAAGGGATATATTCTGCCTCTTAGAACCCATGTGCAGCCTGTATTGCTCGTAGTGGGGTAGAAGAGATTTATTCCCCCGCTGAGAAATTTATTACCCTCCAAGGTGGGTTACACAGTATTTTATCAAGATCAGGTGGACCAGTCAGATCTGGTCATTCTGACATGGAGGTATGATAATGTGTGTTTGTATGTCGTGAATAATACTTACCTTATTATATACACAGGTGCTTGCTCTCCAGTCTATCTATGAAGGAGGAGAATTTGAAAGACTTAAAGTTTTAAGTTCACCATCCGAAGAGAAAGAAGGTTTCTACACCCTGCATGTGAGGCATATCTACATAATCAGCAAGAAATATCTTAGGGACCTACCATTTGATATTCTGGGGTGGTGGGCTGGGATTTTGTATCAAGACTAGATATTATTTCAGCTACAAATACAAAACAAGAGCATGAATTTTTTCCTGACTACCTGAAGTATAATTATTTTTATCAAGAATTTTCAGGGACAATTTATTTTTCCATATATTACAAAATATAAAATATATATGTCATTATTAAAAAGACTCATTAATGTGTTTTTATGATTGTATAAATATTTATTCATTGGGATGCTACGAAAGGCCCTGTGTTTTAATGCATCTTCTTCCTCCAGATTTATAGGGCGGTCGGGTAGCCTAGTGGTTAAAGCGTTCGCTCGTCACGCCGACGACCCGGGTTCGATTCCCGACATGGGTACAATGTGTGAAGCCCTTTTCCGGTGTCCCCCGCCGTGATATTGCTGGAATATTGCTAAAAGCGGCGTAAAACCATACTCACTCACTCACTCACTCCAGATTTATAGAATTATGAAATCATATGACAACTGAGTCAACATTTGTAACTCCTACAATGCTTATTGTTCCAGGTTTCGATTCCCATCGCGACAGATGGCCAGAAACTTAAAGTAGACATTCTCATGCCTGTCAAGCTCAAGGAAACAGCAAGTTCGGGACAAGCTTCTCCTCCTGAAGTGGGAAAATGTGTTAATTTCATGCGCTCAGATTCCGGTAAACAGAATTAATCAATCTCCCGGTTAATGGTAAAAAAATAGCTTTTTAACAATTTTGTTTATCTGAGTTTTTTGGCAATGGAAAAAAACATTCCCCAAACAACATTCGTGACCAAGCACTGTGCACTAGTTTCAGGCTTAGGTATCAGTTGAGATTGATCCATAAGAATAATATGAGAAAAACGTATCTGTCCTTACATACAAGATCACTTTACAGTATTTCACAGGACACACTTTGGGAAGTAAATGATTGAACTGACTTTCTGATTGTTGGCTTGAATAGAATCATTCATAATGCTGGATGAGTTGTGTCTCAAATAGTACATGCCATGCTGTTTGAAAACAATCTTACCAAAAATATAGAATAAACAAAGCATATTTTCATCAGCGTCTCAAAAAAGAACACGTACCTCAAATAGTGTAGTGCTAAACCAGAAGATTGTGTCTCATGAAGGCCAGGGGTTCGTTCCACAAAGCAATCTTAGCGTGAAGGTGATTGTAACTCCCATACCTTAACATTGACTTATGACAGTCATAGCGATAAGGTTGTTTTGTACAATGGTGCAGGAGGACAAAAGTTTGAGATTATGTATTTATGCGTTTATTTTAGTTTCCCTATGGGAATGAACAAGAAAAAAGGTCAGAAAGCTGTTTAATCATGTTATTATTACGTTGATGTTATTTGATGATTAATGACGATGAAATCCCTCTGACTGCAGGTCAGAGATGGGCTGGATCCTTCAACGTGAAGTACTTACCTCCCCTTAGTCTGCAAGTGGTACTTCCTGCTACCTACCCTTCCCAGAGTTCCCCTGTGTTCACTCTGTCATGTGTGTGGCTGACAGCCAATCAGCTTGCAGCTCTGTGTGGCCAGCTGGATGTGTTGTGGCAGGAGACTGAGAATCTCCCTGTCATCTTCACCTGGGTTGACTGGCTGGAGAATAACATCTTCAGGTACTATTTTGTCTCCCTTGGGGAGTTTGTTGCAAACTAGGTCCCAGTCATTGTCCCGAGGCAAGCGTGTCCACTAGCCTATATCAAAGCCTAGGTTCTACCCTTGCCACATCAAGGCCACTTTTCATGGCTTGACCCTGGTGCCACCTCGCGTAGAGTTGTTCCCCTTGTAATGAAAATTTGCTTCACAAAGATGGCGACTACCATAGGCAACGACCAAGTCGATCAAACAACAAAAACATTCATCCCCGACACAAAAACATAGGCAATTGTTCGGATGGGGTTTAATAGATGAAAAAGACATATTCCAGTAGTAATCACTTTCATACGGAGGTAAACCAGTTGTAGATGTTGATTTTATGAAATTGTCTCTGATTGGAATATCGATATGTGCGATAGTCCAATCGTATTTAGCACAGTGATGTGGCAAGGGTGGAAACAAGACTTTGATAAAAAGGCCAGTGGATGCTCTTGCCCCTGAAAGATGGGTTCCAGTACACTGATGAAGATTGGGTGGTTGCAATGTGGGACCTGGCTGATGTAGTGTGTTGTCGTGACCTGATATGGACTGCAGATTTGTAAAGCCCTGACTCAATGATTTACAGCATATGATTCATAATTTTTCTGTCAGTGCCTTTTCCCTGCTTGTGGAATCTCATTCAATCCACATGGAAGAGCCAGTGTTATAACTGGTGGGTGAAACCTGCCTGCTTTACTTCCTCCAACATTAAGCTGACATGCCATGATATAAATTGAATGCTGTTCAAAGTGGCATTAAACCCAACTCACTCACCCATTATAACAAGTGGAAGCGATGTCTACAACAGTTTTTTCAAAACATGCCACTATCTGCAGAACATGTCAGCTTTAATGATGAAGTAATGGAATACCCAGTAATTGTATGGTCAGCAGATTGATCTGAACAGGGAGTGACTGACAGGTCACGCTTATCTGCATGCCTTAGAAATGCTCATATTATCAGTCTAAATAAACTGACCGACGGCAGGTAATTGCTTACAAACATTTGCAGCCATCTGGGTATCCATGACACTGTGCTGCTGATGCCTGTGGGAGAGGAGGAGGATCAACAGGACCACAGAGCACTGCCTGATTGTACAGACCTGGGACAGGCAGTGTCCACATTGTTACAGTGAGTATAACACAGAGCACTGCCTGATTGTACAGACCTGGGACAGGCAGTGTCCACATTGTTACAGTGAGTATAACAGTGTCCAGATTGTTACAGGGAGTATAACCCAGAGCACTGCCTATTTTTACAGACCTGGGACAGGCAGTGTCCACATTATTACAGTGAGTATAACAGTGTCCACATTGTTACAGTGAGTATAACACAGAGCACTGCCTGATTGTACAGACCTGGGACAGGCAGTGTCCACATTGTTACAGTGAGTATAACAGTGTCCACATTGTTACAGTGAGTATAACACAGAGCACTGCCTGATTGTACAGACCTGGGACAGGCAGTGTCCACATTGTTACAGTGAGTATAACAGTGTCCACATTGTTACAGTGAGTATAACACAGAGCACTGCCTGATTGTACAGACCTGGGACAGGCAGTGTCCACATTGTTACAGTGAGTATAACAGTGTCAACATTGTTACAGTGAGTATAACACAGAGCACTGCCTGATTGTACAGACCTGGGACAGGCAGTGTCCACATTGTTACAGTGAGTATAACAGTGTCCACATTGTTACAGTGAGTATAACACAGAGCACTGCCTGATTGTACAGACCTGGGACAGGCAGTGTCCACATTGTTACAGTGAGTATAACAGTGTCCACATTGTTACAGTGAGTATAACACAGAGCACTGCCTGATTGTACAGACCTGGGACAGGCAGTGTCCACATTGTTACAGTGAGTATAACAGTGTCCACATTGTTACAGTGAGTATAACACAGAGCACTGCCTGATTGTACAGACCTGGGACAGGCAGTGTCCACATTGTTACAGTGAGTATAACAGTGTCCACATTGTTACAGTGAGTATAACACAGAACACTGCCTGATTGTACAGACCTGGGACAGGCAGTGTCCACATTGTTACAGTGAGTATAACAGTGTCCACATTGTTACAGTGAGTATAACACAGAGCACTGCCTGATTGTACAGACCTGGGACAGGCAGTGTCCACATTGTTACAGTGAGTATAACAGTGTCCACATTGTTACAGTGAGTATAACACAGAGCACTGCCTGATTGTACAGACCTGGGACAGGCAGTGTCCACATTGTTACAGTGAGTATAACAGTGTCCACATTGTTACAGTGAGTATAACACAGAGCACTGCCTGATTGTACAGACCTGGGACAGGCAGTGTCCACATTGTTACAGTGAGTATAACAGTGTCCACATTGTTACAGTGAGTATAACACAGAACACTGCCTGATTGTACAGACCTGGGACAGGCAGTGTCCACATTGTTACAGTGAGTACAACAGTGTCCACATTGTTCCAGTGAGTATAACACAGAGCACTGCCTGATTGTACAGACCTGGGACAGGCAGTGTCCACATTGTTACAGTGAGTATAACAGTGTCCACATTGTTACAGTGAGTATAACCCAGAGCACTGCCTGTTTTTACAGACCTGGGACAGGCAGTGTCCACATTATTACAGTGAGTATAACAGTGTCCAGATTGTTACAGTGAGTATAACACACAGCACTGCCTGTTTGTACAGACCTGGGACAGGCAGTGTCCACATTGTTACGGTGACTATAACAGACAGTGTCCACATTGTTACAGTGACTATAATAGACAATGTCCACATCGTTACAGTGACTATAACAGACAATGTCCACATTGTTACAGTGAATCTTTTGAACAGAACTCCTGCTGTTTTGCTGTGTTGTAGTGAGACTAGTGGTAGTTCAAAACAAATTAGGCCTTGTATACCCAGTCTGAACTAAAGGGTTTTACCAAAGTGGTAAAAGTCACAGACCTGCATCACCTCGGTGTCTCCTTCCACATCAAGCTGACATACTGGGATAATCCTGAAATCCACTGACTCACACATGAACCCGTGGGTTTCACCGAAGTGGTAAACGTCTGAGACCTGCATCACTTCAGGCTTTCCTCCAACATTAAGTTGACATGCCGTGATATTACTGGAATACTGTTAAAAGCGAAGTCTCACTCACTCACTCACTCACTCACTCACTCACTCACTCACTCACTCACTCACTCACTCACTCTCACTCACTCACTCACTCTCACTCTCACTCACTCACTCACTCACTCACTCACTCACTCACTCACTCACTCACTCACTCACTCACTCACTCACTCACTCACATATGACCCATTATTACCTAAGGTATATATTGTATATTTTCAGATTCAGTCAAGTTCAGACAGACGTAGAGTTTTACCGTTCCAACCACGAGTGCCATGTTTGTTATGAAGAACTACCGGGTAATCAGTTCTACCGAATGAAGGACTGTGAGCATCACTACTGCCGCGAGTGCATCACAGCCTACTGTGAACATCACGTTACCATGGGAACCGTAGAGAATCTCAGGTCAGAGCAGACATGACATAAACGAGGTTCATGGCTCCCTCTTTCCATTGTATGTCCCCAGCAACCTATGCTGGTCGTAAGAGGCAACCAAATGGACTGGGTGGTCAGGTTTGGTGACTTAGTTAAATGTGTGTCACCGTACCACAACAGCATGACACCCATGGGGATTCTTTGTAGGAATATAGGTCCCCATCCACCTATTGTGATCGTAAAAGGCGAATAAATACATCTGGCAGTCAAGCTTGGTGACTTGGTGGATGTCGTGTCATTATACTCCGATGACGTGGATCTTTGTTGACAATATAGATCACTGGATTGTCTGGTCTGGACTCTATTAACAGGATGCTGTCATATAGCTGGAATATTGCTGAGTGCAGCGTCAAACAAACAAACAAACAAACAAACAAACATTGCATGTTGTCGCTCACATATCAATAATGATCTAGCTAAAGATGGCAATGCACATTGAACCTATACTGTACGCCTTTCCATGAATAAAGTAATGTTGAGCAGGAAATTGATACGTACATAATTAAATTATGAAATCAGTAAATGACCACACAAGATCAATAAATAATTTGCAAATTATATTAAAACACACACTGTTAGATTTACGATCACAAAAGGCATTACAATGGGCCAAGTAAGAGTCTGTTCACTCACAAATGTCCAGAATTTGTCTCTGTCGATCGACTTAGAAGAGGCGTGTGCTGTTCTCGAATCCCAAATAGTGTTGGAATCTGTATCCCATCTACAATTACTGTCCATCCCGAAGTCCTGGTGAGTGGGCGTCCTGTTTGTCAACAACCCCAGTACTCAACAACTAGGGGCCATAACTCAAATTGACTTGCTGACGATGATGCCACTTAAATCTGGCCATGCCAGCATTTGACATTTTATTGGTTTGTCAGTCATTTCCTGTCAGTGACAGTCACTACAGATGAGCTCTCTACAGAACAGTCTCTACTGCCACATAACACTAACACCAGGGCCCCATTCCACAAAATGATCTTTAGTGTAACTCCCATACTTTAACATTGGCTAAAGACAATCGCACCACTAAGATCACTTTGTGGAACAGACCCGTGAAGATCCGGTGTAGAATAGGTCTTCAGCAACCCATGCTTGCTGTAAAAAGCGACTACCTGGTATGCTTTGTGAAGAGGCGACTAATGGGATTGGATGGTCAGGCTCGCTGACTTGGTTGATGCATGTCAATTGCGTGGATCGATGCTCGTGATATCAATCACTGGATTGTCTGGTCCAGACTTGATTATTTACAGACCGCCATCATATAGCTGGAATATTGCTGAGTGTAGCGTTAAACAAACAAACAAACAAAACTTTGTGGAACAGGGTGCAGGTACTCCCACACACCGCCAGGTAGTTCCCTGTGCGAGGGCAGTCATTATCAGGCCCACTTCTCTAATTACAGGTGTCCTGACACAGACTGTGATGCTTTTGTTCCTCCCAACATTGTACAGAGTGTCCTACCTGCTGACGAGTTTGACAGGTGGGAGAGACTGATGCTGCAGGTACGTCCGATCAAACTACACCTATCATATCATCAATTCCATCATATGGTATTCAGGTTGCTTCTTTGCTGCAACTGGCTGTGAAATTGCTGATAAGGCAAAAGCATTTGTCACCCACTGGTGTAATCTAAAGCATTTTTTAATCACTGCGCAAATTGTCGTGTTTGGAATGTTCTTATGGTATAATGTATGTCAGTCTATCCCGATATACATAAATTGCAGTGATTCCATGGTGTTTGATTGGTTAACCAAGAAAACTATTTTGCATTAATATTTCAATACATCCCAAAAAATTAGGCCATGTCCACTAATGGACATCTGTTTCCTGATTGGCTGATAATTATACCCCCGTTTACGAAGTAAATCGTGGGTATAAAGCGTTTCGTCTGTCCGTCCTTCTGTCCCTCCTTCCGTCCGAGCTTTTGTACGGCCCATAACTTTTTAACCATGCACCCTAGCTTCACCAAACTTGCTACACACATTAACCACAATGAGTACTTGTGCCTTTTGCTAGTTTGAAGATTCTGAATTTTTTTATTTTTTTCCGTTTCCATGGACACATTAAGAAACATCAAGAATGTATGTTGTGCTAAGCATTGATTATCCCACACTAGATTGAAATATATTTGCAAAAACATGTGTTCATTTCAAACATAATGCATCCTCATGTGGTTACAAAGGAAAGGGCAGTTCCTCTGACTTAGAGCAACAGGTATAGTTCATTAATTAACAAACTATTTACTATTTGTTGTTGACCAGCGATAAGGGGGGTATGTGAGCTTTGCTCACTTCTGTCTTGTTATTTCACTGCACTGAACGATGGCACTGATTTCGTACTGTTGTCTAATAGTATGTGTGTTAGTGAATAAATAAGAAGTCTGTGAAGTTATCATCATTGACATATTTATTCAGATTTACACTGTATGCACACGGTTTGTTTTACGTTTATTCCTCTGTAAACGTAAAACATATTGAAGTCAATTCTTAACTGAAGTGTTGAAGCTGAGAATTAGATTTAAAGTCAAATCATCGAAGATGTTAGGCTGAGAAAAATAATAGTCTTGGTTCTCAGGCGCCGCCCGCATCATCATATAGTCCGCCTCACATTTCGTTTTTATTTCCATTTTAAAATTTAAAAAAAATATCCTAATACTTGAAAACAATCCAATCCAATATAGCACGCAGTTACTTCCCTTTACATGTGCACTGCTTTACTGCACATCTTGTGTTATGGTCATGGCGGCAATATGAGTTTGTATTCATCTTTATGTAGGGAGGTTCTTTCCCAGGTTGATGGTACACAAATGTTTATTTGGTTACATACTAGTTTGAGTTAGCAAAAAACAAAACAACAATGAAGGCCCGCCCGCCTGCACTATATTTTCAAAAGTCTTTGCCTGAGAACCAATTCTTTTATTTTTTTAAGCCTTATATGTCAGACAAAAAGGGAATTAATTCTCATGTTGATATTAGGGGATTTCCAAGTTGAAATTGATACGTACATTACTAAAATGTGAATGAATCAATGGTCACACAAGATCAATGAATGATCAATGAATAACATAAAAACAGTTTTAGGTTTACAATCAATACAGGCAATACAGTGGTTCAAATAAGTAGCAGTGACAGTAAGTAAGAGGCCCTGTAATTATTGTAACGGCACTCACGAACATCAAGGATTTTGTCACTGTTGAAATCTAGATTAGTGTTGAAAGCTGGCGGTATTTTCAACTGGGCCTCGAGTTGCCCTCTTCTCACTTTTCAGGAAACTGTTTTTCAACGACAATCAGGTTGAGATAACTCTAATCACTCACTGTTAAATAATGCTATGACAGCATTCGATAGTTTACTAGCGTTTTAGTTATCTGCTGCCTCTGACAGTTACAATGAACACATCTACAGCAGTCTCTACTGCATAATAACAGTGTCACACATTGCTAGTGATCAAGGCGAATGGCAGTAGTGTCGAACAGAAACAGAGGAAATTTACGTAAATTATTTTGTTATCTCTACTGCATAATAACAGTGTCACACATTGCTAGTGATCAAGGCGAATGGCAGTAGTGTCGAACAGAAACAGAGGAAATTACGTAAATTATTTTGTTATCTCTACTGCATAATAACTATGTCACACATTGCTAATGATCAAGGCGAATGGCAGTAGTGTCGAACAGAAACAGAGGAAATTTACGTAAATTATTTTGTTATCTCTACTGCATAATAACAGTGTCACACATTGCTAATGATCAAGGCGAATGGCAGTAGTGTCGAACAGAAACAGAGGAAATTTACGTAAATTATTTTGTTATCTCTACTGCATAATAACAGTGTCACACATTGCTAATGATCAAGGCGAATGGCAGTAGTGTCGAACAGAAACAGAGGAAATTTAGGTAAATTATTTTGTTATCTCTACTGCATAATAACAGTGTCACACATTGCTAATGATCAAGGCGAATGGCAGTAGTGTCGAACAGAAACAGAGGAAATTTACGTAAATTATTTTGTTATCTCTACTGCATAATAACTATGTCACACATTGCTAATGATCAAGGCGAATGGCAGTAGTGTCGAACAGAAACAGAGGAAATTTAGGTAAATTATTTTGTTATCTCTACTGCATAATAACTATGTCACACATTGCTAGTGATCAAGGCGAATGGGAGTAGTGTCGAACAGAAACGGAGGAAATTTAGGTAAATTATTTTGTTATCTCTACTGCATAATAACTATGTCACACATTGCTAGTGATCAAGGCGAATGGGAGTAGTGTCGAACAGAAACAGAGGAAATTTAGGTAAATTATTTTGTTATCTCTACTGCATAATAACTATGTCACACATTGCTAATGATCAAGGCGAATGGCAGTAGTGTCGAACAGAAACAGAGGAAATTTACGTAAATTATTTTGTTATCTCTACTGCATAATAACTATGTCACACATTGCTAGTGATCAAGGCGAATGGGAGTAGTGTCGAACAGAAACGGAGGAAATTTACGTAAATTATTTTGTTATCTCTACTGCATAATAACTATGTCACACATTGCTAGTGATCAAGGCGAATGGGAGTAGTGTCGAACAGAAACAGAGGAAATTTAGGTAAATTATTTTGTTATCTCTACTGCATAATAACTATGTCACACATTGCTAATGATCAAGGCGAATGGGAGTAGTGTCGAACAGAAACAGAGGAAATTTAGGTAAATTATTTTGTTATCTCTACTGCATAATAACTATGTCACACATTGCTATCGACCAAGGCGAATGGGAGTAGTGTCGAACAGAAACAGGAAATTTAGGTAAATTATTTTGTTATCTCTACTGCATAATAACTACGTCACACATTGCTAGTGATCAAGGCGAATGGGAGTAGTGTCGAACAGAAACAGAGGAAATTTAGGTAAATTATTTTGTTATCTCTACTGCATAATAACAATGTCACACATTGCTAATGATCAAGGCGAATGGGAGTAGTGTCGAACAGAAACAGAGGAAATTACGTAAATTATTTTGTTATTTTGTATTACCGTATATTTTTTTGCAAATACTAACCAGGACTTTTCACAAAGCACTTGATCAAAAAGCCTGGCCTTGCATTATTTGTTTCTCACTTGTGCATTGGAGAAGACTGTATCTTTCCCAAGCTAAAAAGAGAATGACCTGTTCCAATATGATTGTGATCTGGTGGTAACCATTTAAACAAGTAACAGCTCTCCTTTAGAAATGACTCAAACATTCTGGGTTTCGTATCTATGCCAGATTTGTAAAATAAAAATAATGGGTATGCTTATTGATTAAAAGATAATCATCATAATAATTTCGGTTTGTGGGTTGGAATCCTGATTCAATTTCGAGGTTTGTCAGCTCTGTACCCATGTACTCATATTTTATTGTAAACAGTTATTTTTTCAGGAGTGTTGAGGTCACTACCTAAATAAAGTTTAGTTCTCAGCATCTGAATAACTTTAAAATTGTTACTAAAGATGCTATTTACACATGAAGTAACACATACCTTACGAGAATGGACGATGGTATCGGGTGTGCTAGTCTTGTCCAAATATCATCATCTTCAAGCACAGTATGAGTTGACTGTCAACGTTATATTTTCAGAAAACTTTGGAAAGGATGAGTGATGTGGAATGGTGCCCTCGCTGCAACAACCCCGTGATTCGGGAAGAGGAGGACCACTTGAATCTAGGTCACTGCACCACCTGTTTCTTCTCCTTCTGTACTCTGTGCAGGGACCCCTGGCATCAGGTGAGTGGGTGTGGCTGTGTGTGGGTGTGGCATCAGGTGAGAGGGTGTGGCTGTGTGTGGGTGTGGCATCAGGTGAGTGGGTGTGGCTGTGTGTGGGTGTGGCATCAGGTGAGTGGGTGTGGCTGTGTGTGGCTGTGGCCTCAGGTGAGTGGGTGTGGCTGTGTGTGGGTGTGGCATCAGGTGAGTGGGTGTGGCTGTGACTGGATGTGGCATCAGGTGAGTGGGTGTGGCTGTGTGTGGGTGTGGCATCAGGTGAGTGGGTGTGGCTGTGACTGGGTGTGGCATCAGGTGAGTGGGTGTGGCTGTGTGTGTGTGTGGCATCAGGTGAGTGGGTGTGGCTGTGTGTGGGTGTGGCATCAGGTGAGTGGGTGTGGCTGTGTGTTGGTGTGGCATCAGGTGAGTGGGTGTGGCTGTGTGTGGGTGTGGCATCAGGTGAGTTGGTGTGACTGTGTGTTGGTGTGGCATCAGGTGAGTGTGGCTGTGTGTGGCATCAGGTGAGTGTGGCTGTGTGTGGCATCAGGTGAGTGGGTGTGGCTGTGTGTGTGTGTGGCATCAGGTGAGTGGGTGTGGCTGTGTGTGGGTGTGGCATCAGGTGAGTGGGTGTGGCTGTGTGTGGGTGTGGCATCAGGTGAATGGGTGTGGCTGTGTGTTGGTGTGGCATCAGGTGAGTGTGGCTGTGTGTGGCATCAGGTGAGTGTGGCTGTGTGTGGCATCAGGTGAGTGGGTGTGGCTGTGTGTGTGTGTGGCATCAGGTGAGTGGGTGTGGCTGTGTGTGTGTGTGGCATCAGGTGAGTGGGTGTGGCTGTGTGTTGGTGTGGCATCAGGTGAGTGTGGCTGTGTGTGGCATCAGGTGAGTGTGGCTGTGTGTTGCATCAGGTGAGTGGGTGTGGCTGTGTGTGTGTGTGGCATCAGGTGAGTGGGTGTGGCTGTGTGTGGGTGTGGCATCAGGTGAGTGTGGCTGTGTGTGGCATCAGGTGAGTGTGTGTGGCTGTGTGTGTGTGTGGCATCAGGTGAGTGTGGCTGTGTGTGGGTGTGGCATCAGGTGAGTGGGTGTGGCTGTGTGTGTGTGTGGCATCAGGTGAGTGTGGCTGTGTGTGGCATCAGATGAGTTGGTGTGGCTGTGACTGGGTGTTGCTGTGTGTGTGTGTGTGTGGCATCAGGTGAGTGGATGTGGCTGTGTGTGGGTGTGGCATCAGGTGAGTGGGTGTGGCTGTGTGTGTGTGTGGCATCAGGTGAGTGTGGCTGTGTGTGGCATCAGATGAGTTGGTGTGGCTGTGACTGGGTGTTGCTGTGTGTGTGTGTGTGGCATCAGGTGAGTGGGTGTGGCTGTGTGTGGGTGTGGCATCAGGTGAGTGGGTGAGAGTAACTGTGGGTGTGACTTGTGTGTGGGTGTAGCATCAGGTGAGTTGGTGTCCCTGTGTGTGGGTGTGGTATCAGGTGTGGATAGGTGTGGGTGTGGCATCATGTGATTGGGTGTGGGTGTGGCATCAAGTGTGGGTGTGGCATCACGTGAATGGGTGTGGGTAGGTGTGGGTGTGACATCAGGTGAGTGGTTGTGGGTAGGTGTGGGCACGTGTGAGTGTGACTGTGTGTAGGCGTGGCATCAGGTGAGAGGGTGTGGGTGTCACTGTGTGTGGGTGTGGGTGTCACTGTGTGTGGGTGTGGTATCAGGTTAGGATAGGTGTGGGTGTGGTATCACGTGAGTGGGTGTGGGCGTGTGGTGAGTGGGTGTGGCTGAGTCTGTGTGTGGCATCAGGTGAGTGGGTGTGACTGTGTGGGGGTAGGTGTGGGTGTGGCATCAGGTGAGTGGGTGTGGGTTGGTGTGGTTGTGTGGTAAGTTGGTGTGGCTGTGTGTGGATGTGGTATTAGGTGAGTGGGTGTGACTGTGTGTGGGTAGGTGTGGGTGTGGCATCAGGTGAGTGGGTGTGGGTTGGTGTGGTTGTGTGGTAAGTTGGTGTGGCTGTGTGTGGATGTGGTATTAGGTGAGTGGGTGTGACTGTGTGTGGGAGTGGCATCAGGTGAGTGGGTGTGACTGTGTGTGGGTAGGTGTGGGTGTGGCATCAGGTGAGTGGGTGTGGGTTGGTGTGGTTGTGTGGTAAGTTGGTGTGGCTGTGTGTGGATGTGGTATTAGGTGAGTGGGTGTGACTGTGTGTGGGAGTGGCATCAGGTGAGTGGGTGTGACTGTGTGTGGGTGTGGATAGGTATGGGTCTGGCATCAGGTGAGTGGGTGTGGCATCAGGTGAGTAGGTGTGACTGTGTCTTGGTGTGGCATCAGGTGGGTGGATGTGACTGTGTGGGCGTGTGGGTGGATGTGGTATCAGGTGACTGGGTGTGGGTAGGTGTGGGTCTGGCATCAGGTGAGTTGGTGTGACTGTGGCATCAGGTGTATGAATGTGGCTGTGTATGGGTGTGGCATCAGGTGAGTGGGTGTCACTACTATGGCATGGGTGGGTGTAGCATCAGGTGTGTGTATGTGTGTGGCATCAGGTGAGTTGGTGTGACTGAGCATGGATGAGTGAAGCATCAGATGAGTGGCTGTGAGTGGGCATGGGTGGGTGTAGCATCAGGGAGACAGTTAATGTGTGAGAGAGTGTTTGTCATAATTCCATTCAACAGCTGACATTTCTGACCATACTGGGTAAGAGATAACCTAAGGTATAGAATGTGGAATGGTTTTCAGGAATCAACATTTCAATGTGAATCTATCATGTTGATTATTCTAGGGGGAACCCTGTCAAACTGCAGAGGACAAGCTTAATGCAGCAGAGAAAAAGGCCCCGAACGCTAGTGAAGCTGATCGCAAGAGGCTGGAGGCAATCAAAAAGAAGCTGGCCGAAGAAATGAAGACGAAATTAGAGATGAGCAAAAAATCAAGACAATGTCCAGTATGCAAGGTGCCCATTGAGAAGATAGCTGGGTGAGAACATTTATTGTTAATCCAAATTTGTAACTTAAGACACGTTAGGGACAATTAATTGTTGGTAGATGTACAAACTTTGTTAGCCCTGAAATAGTCCAGATTGATGACTTCCTGGATAAGTGCATCTTCCCCAGGCAAGAGTTAACTGACTTTAAAAGTCCAGTTTCCACCCTTGCCGAAATAGGCTGGAATTACTGGGCTCGATCGTAGCGCCACCAGTGGCTATTACCAGTTATGTCCCTTCTAAGCCTCTCCTACGGACCAATCAGATACCACCTCGCATATCACTTGCGTTTGCTTCACACAAAATGGTGGCGCCCAGTCAGGACAATCTGATCGATAATCAGTATCTATATTGTGATAAAACGCGTCTTACATCGCGAAATGCATCAAATCACGTGAGCACCTTGATTAAAAACATGAGAAGATTTGGAGTTGGTGGTGCACATGCTTTGAAAATCCTGCAATCGATCGAAATCTGCACGAAGTTTACTAGCCGGATTTCAATTTCGGTGCGCGATTTTGATTAGACTATGCATAGACCCATTAGTTCAGCCAAAATGTAACTCCATAATACCAGCCTAGTTTGGCAAGGGTGGAAACTGGACTTTTATAGTCAGTTAACTCTCTTGCCGCGTGAAGATGGGATTAGTGCATCATGGGTATGGAGTTATGTCCCTTGGATTATTAATAGACTTTTTGACAAAATAGTCATTTGGAAGAGTGTTGTGGACTAACAGGACTCACACACGTAACTCGATTGCCTTCATGCAGTTTTACATCACAACCCACACCACCACACCAGTTCTATACAGGAGCTGAATTTGTATGCTTTTGATATCCTAAGTCTATGCAAAATTTAATTAAAAATGCTATGTAGAGGTGACCTCCACCACGGTCCAGTAGATAGAGCGTCTGCCAGGAGACCAGACGGTTGGTGGTTTGATCCCTGTCCGTGTCATACCAAACAACTTATAGAAATAGTACTTGTTTCTACCCTGCCTGGCACTCAGCATTAAGGGGATATATCAAGGACTGGTCGGCTCGGAGTCGGTAAACTGTATCTGAGTTTGGTCTCCCTTTTAAACTGCGGCATGGGCTAGCACTATAAAACTGGCATTAGTCCTGACAAGTACAAGCAGCCACACACATACACATGCATGCATGTCTGAATGCTTGTTTGTATTGTTAATTCAAGTGGTTTCCTATCCTACAATGATGAATCTTTCCCTGTTGAAGATGTAACAAGATGACGTGTCGCTGTGGGAAGTCATTCTGCTGGTTGTGTGGGAAATTAATAGCAGGATACGACCACTTCTACAGTGGCAGGTGTGGACTGTCTGACACACAGATGATGCCCCTAGCGCCAGCGAGGGAACTACCAGATGTGAGTTCCACAGGTTCTAGCTTCTTGATTGTCTGCGTGCCCCTATCCCATGACATGGATGTTGTTTCCCATAAAGATCCGGGGAAGAATAGGTCTTCAGCAACCCATGCTGGCTGTAAAAGGCGACTATGCTTGTCGTAAGAGGTGACTATGCCTGTCGTAGGAGGGGACTAACGGGATCGGGTTGTCCGGCTCGCTGACTTGGTTGATGCGTGTCATCGTATTCCAATTGCGTGGATCTATGCTCATGGTGTCAATCACTCGACTGTCCGGTCCAGACTCAATTATTTATAGACCGCTGTTATATACCTGGAATATTGCTGAGTGTGGCATTAAACAACAAACAAACAAACAACATGGATGTTGTCTCTGCTCCTGTATACTCTAAACCTCAAAATTGCAAAAGGGTTAACAGTAACCTATCCAGGGCTTACCTTGGTTAAAACAGGGATGTTTATTACCCCCCGTTAAGAAGGGTTAGAATTGTTTTTCAGAAACCCATTCTTTAGAGGCGACTAATGGGATCAGGTTGTCAGGCCTGCTGACTTGGTTTATGCATGTCATTGTATCCCCCTTGAGTAAATTGCTGCTCACTGGATTGTCTGTCCAGACTAATTACTGACCACCATCATGAGCCTGGAGGGGGCACGGCTGTTCAGAGTTGTGTCCCTTGGGTATGTCAGAAACTATGATCGAGGGTTCAAATCCTGGTTCGCCCTGATTATATTTTTAGGTTTGTCAGCACCATAGCTTATTGGTTTCACCATCTGAGACCAGCATCACTTTGGGCTTTTCTCCCACATTGAGCTGATGCCTAGATATAACTGGAATACTGTTCAAAGCGGTGTTAAACCTAACTCACTCACTCACTCATACATACAGCTGGTATTTGGCTGAGTGCATTATTAAACAACAAACAAAATAAAGGAATAATGCAGCAAATGGATTGCCTGCTTTGTACTAGATTACCTTATTGTCAGGCTATAGCAACGATGACTCTTGTGTGTAATTCCTTCCATTTATTTGTCATGAAAAGTGAGTGAGACTTGAACTGTCTATTTTCGTATTCTATAGACCTCAACAAAAAGTTACATCTTAATTTTTTTGTGAAAGACATTAAAACATACAAATATCACGAAAGGTTGAAACATTTTATTCACACGTAAATAAGTAACTTTTATAGAAATAAATACAGGATACAGATTAAGAAGCATTGTTGAAATGTTATATTTTATCAGCGAGTCCCAATAACTAACGCAGAAGATACTGTTGACAGCATGTTTTGTTAAGTGTGTTTTTTCACAATTTCAACTGTTGACTACACACCCAGGTGAGCTACAATGGCACTATGTTTGAAAGGGGTACTGAACTCTATACACTAAATATATATATATATATATGTTTATTGCCATGGTTATGATTAACATGAATAATTAGTTTGATGTATCATGAATAAAGAAATAATATCCCTATCCAAAAGTTAAGTAATATATCTATATTTATGAGCAAAAACTTGAAACGAAATGTTATTTTCTTATACTTCCAGGCTGTCTTGCTGATAGAGGCAACATTGCAAGTAGATCCAGATGCCCGGAAACGTGTCTGCGCTTGTCCAACTTGTGGTCAAAGGAATTTGAAAAACAACAGAAATAATCACATCAAATGTTGGGGTTGTAAATCAAATTTCTGCTTTCTGTGCAGGAAAAGAATTGTGGGGTCAGTAACCTCCCACTTTACCTCCAGTGTGTGTGAGCAACACTCCTAGCAGAACGTCCTCCCCCAGCTGGGCTGTGAGAGTGAGTGGCAGCTTAATGTGGGAGGCAAGTCCAAAGTGATGAAGGTCATGGACATTCACCATCTTAATGAAACCCGCGAGCACAGGTATTGGGATAAATAGAATCGTAAGGAATCTTCGATGAAACCCACGAGCACAGGAATGGTGATAAACAGAATCATAATGAATCGTTTGATGAAACCCACGAGCACAGGTATGGATAAACAGAATCGTAATGAATCTTTTGATGAAACCCACGAGCGCAGGAATGGTGATAAACAGAATCGTAATGAATCTTTTGATGAAACCCACGAGCACAGGTATGGATAAACAGAATCGTAATGAATCTTTTGATGAAACCGACGAGCATAGGAATGCTGATAAACAGAATCGTAATGAATCTTTTGATGAAACCCACGAGCACAGGAATGGTGCTGACAGACTAACCGAACAGAGTTTATTCAGCCTATCCTGGTCTCATTGAGGGATACTACTCTGCACAGCGAATGCCACTGGGATTTGAGAGTGGGTTATGAAAATACAATGTTGCTGAAAACAGGAACATTTTCAAAACTATCAATGATAGGCAGAAACGTGTACTATTATCAGTATGCTGTCTTTTATTATTAGAAAGTATTCAAAACCATGTGGACAAACATAGGATCTTCATTGTGCCGGACAGTTTCCTCAGGAGGACACTGAAGTGTATGAATCATGTAACCTGTTACTAATAAATGTTTTACACAGAAATGGGTTGTTTGGAAACTTTTATTGCACTTATTCTACTGTATATTCCTGATATATTGATTCCTCATAACTGTGATAATTAAACATTGATGACTTGTACATGTTGATAAGGGGTGATAGGGTAGCCTAGTGGTTAAAGTGTTCCCTCATCACAACAAAAACCCTGGTTCGATTCCCCACATGGGTACAATGTGTGAAGCCCATTTCTGGTGACCCGGTCATGATTTTGCTTGAACATAGCTGAAAGTGACGTTAAACATCACTCACTCACTCACAGTTGATCACTAAGAGACTTCTAAGATTGGCCAAAGAAAATAAACAAATGTTGCTCCATCGTTGGATGAAAATTATACTGTATGTAATTAATTAATGTTTGAACATCCTGGAGGTTATTGTCACATGATTTGGATTGGTTTGTTGTTTTACGCCGCGCTCAGCAATATTCCAGCTATATGACGGCGGTCTGTAAATAAACGAGTCTGGACCAGACAATCCAGTGATTGACATCAAGAGCATCGATCTACGGAATTGGGATGCAATAACATTCATCAACCAATTCAGTGAGCCTGACCACCCGATCCTTTTAGCCGCCTCTTATGACAGCATAGTCGCCTTTTACAGCAAGCATGGGTTGCTGAAGATCTATTCTACCCCGGGTCAAATATCCTTATGCCTATACCATGTATACAAGGAGTACAGGTAGCCAGGTTGTATAAAGTGTTGCAATTTCCTTTGCAGAGTTGCTTCCGTAACAATGTGAACCACGCCAGAATCCCAGATTCGCTTTGATAATGATTCTGATTCTTTGATTATGACATGTATCAACCAAGTCAGCGAGCCTGACCGCCCGATCCCGTTGGTCGCCTTTCACGACAAGCATAGGTCACATGAGGTTTACTGCACCTTCTTGAGAGATACGTCTCATTACTAAGTCTCAAATAAACGTGTTTCTCACTGGGTTCCATGTCAAATCTGGTCATGATTTGTTTATGCAAATTCATCGAGCATTTACGACAGCCGCCAACCTTGTATGACTATATCATTGTTCTTGACAATCTTGTCAAATACTGCTCTCCCTAAAGGCAAACACTACTCATCCATGTGGTTCAACATTCAGAACAGGAACAGATGTTGTGATGCTTAGTGAATACTTAACACTGATTATTTACATTCAGAAGAGATTTGTGGTGACCCTCGCCATGACATAGCAGGAATATTGATGAAAGTGGCGTAAAACCATAGTCACTCTCTATCGTGTCACTAATTGCTACATTAACATACATAATAATGTTTGAGTTAATTTTGAGAGCTTAGAATTAAACATGCTGGTATTAGCTGGAGCTTAGTAACTCTTTAAGCATGAAACATGTAATATGTAACACGTTGTCACATTCTTGTTCGACATACTGAACAGTTTGTTATGCACGTCTTCATATGTATCTACTTGTGATATTTATAAATACATTGTTGTGATATCATTATCATGAATACAATCACTGGACTATCTGGCCCAGGTTCGATTATTTACAGGCCGCTGTGCTATGGCTAGAATATTGATGAGATGTTTATTACTTGAAATAGTTTGTTGGCAATTGTGGAAATAATGAATAGTTTGTTTTGTGAAATTGGATACATTGTTTGATGGTGCTCAGTAAATATATAGTTCGTTGGATACAGCTGGGAAAACAATAGATTCTTCTCAAAAATAATTCCCACCCACCCCTACACGGATGCTCCCTAAATGAAACACTGCTGATTTGCTCTTGCCATCCATATTTAACTGAACTGATATGATATCTAATTGTATACATGTAGATAATTTATAAAAAATAAATTGCCAGTGATTTCGTGACATTTCGTTGTCTAACCAAGCATTTTAATTTGTTTATGTTTAAAAAAATAAAAAAATAATGAGGCCCCACCAACTAACAGAGTGTTTCCTGATTGGCTAATAATAGAATTGGCAGGGCTTGTGTCATCACAGTTCATTTTCCTGATGCAGGTGTGGTCTGAGTGTGTCAGTTGTGTGTATTGCCGCTTTAAACTGTATTCCAGTTACTGGTACATGTATATCATGGCGTATCAGCTTAATGTAGTAGGAAAACCTGCAGTGATGCACGTCCCAGACAGTTACCACATTGGTGAAACCTACAAGCACTGGTATGGTGCATAATCGGGAAAAAAAGGGATTTGAACCAATTATCATAGGTTTCTGGCATGCCCAAGGGATGCAACTCTGCACAGCAAATTTAGGCGCCTTAAATGACTAGGCCACCCATTCCTCCACGTGTGGTCAGAAAGCAAGACTATTTTTCCTGTTAGCAGAAGGAAAATAAACAATAATACCCAAAAAGATTTACAGTTTTATTTACAGTTGATGTATTAAAATCAATGAAAGTTCATTTGTTCAAAGGTTTAGCTGTGTTGGCCATTTGAAGTTTAGTTAGACCATCAGCATACTGAAACTGGTCACTGTTCTCGTACTCGCTCATATCAAGAGCAACTACACAGCTCTCTTTCACAACCCGCTCTTCATCCTGTAGGTACTTCTTTAAGATATCCATACACTCCTCCGTTGCTATGGCACCCAAAGCCTCAGCACACTCATGTCTCACCATGGGGTTCTCATCAGTATCCTCCAAGTTCTCAACCAGTTGTTGAGTGCATGCAGCATTCTGCATTTGTCCCAGAACATAGGCAATCTCATGGCGAAAAAGTGCACTCTTGCACTTCAAACCTGCAATAATATGTGTATCATAAAAAAAGTACAAAATGTGTTTTCCTTTCCTAGACATGTTACAAGTACCATTACATGAAACAGAAAACAAAAACATGTTATTTATTGAAAATGCACATTTTCAGGATCACCATGATTTTTATTGTGTTTAGGTTAGTGGAAATGAAATGATCATTAAACTAAGGGTGGTGGCGTAGCCTAGTGATTAATGCGTTTGCTTGTCACTCCAAAAGCTTGTGTTCGATTCCCCAGAAGGGCACAATGTGTGAAGCCCGTGTCTGATGTTCCCCGCCTTGATATTGCTGGAATATTGCTAAAAGCGGTTTCACATCATACTCACTCATAAAACTAAAACCTAAAGGGTGATCATGATGAACTGACAACACAGTGAACTATGTTTAACATGAACACGCTTATAACAAACTAAAACAAGAGTTTGACACTAACGTGGCTATATCCCCCGCCCCTGTTGCAGGATTTATGACATAATTAAATCTAAACAAACCCTAACCTTTTTTAACCGAGGTGGAACTTGTCATGGAAATTGTAAAAAAAAGAGAGAGTTTGGAACCTAAGTTCATCTTGTCGCCATGAAAACGTAAAAAAATAAGAATTTCTAAAATTTCTAAATAGCAAAAGGCACCAGTTCAGCATGTACCTGACAAACCTGCAAAGTTACATGAAAAAATATTGAACGGTTTCTGAGTTATGCTCCGGAAACGAAATGTGACAGACAGACGTAAGGACAGAGTCCGTTTCTATATCCCCCGCCAACTTTGTTGGGCGGGGGATATTTAGTGGTCCCTTTGTGTTTGTAGACTGTAGTCTACTGCAGTCAATCACAAGATGATGTGATGCCAATTTGTCTGTCCTCTCTTCAATTTTCTAAAGAAAATATTTGAATCTATTCAGAGATAAATCTGAGATATCAAAAAACTAATTTAGAACAAAAGTCCTCCCTAAAAAGTACAAATCTCTATAAATATCTACCTTCAGCGAGTGCAAGCACAGATTGGTTACTTCCATCATTGCGGAGTGAGAACATAGCTCGGTATCTGTCAAACAGAGGCCTGGTCTCGTCCAGCAAGACTGTCCGTAAACTGGGGACATCGCTGTCAGGGTTGGGAGGTGCTGGGTCGACAGATGCATAGGGGTTGTTGGAGAGCTTCTCTCTGTCTGTGCTGAGGAGCCACTCAATCCTCTGAACTGCCAGCTGACACGTTTCAGCAACCTGGGGGATATCATGTTTGTATGCATGTTTGTTTGTTTAACACTGCACTCAGCAATATTCAAGCTATAGGATGGTGATCTGTAAATAATCGAGTCTGGACCAGACAATGCAGTGACATCATGAGCATCGATCCACGCAATTGGGATACGAGTGAGTGAGTGAGTGAGTGAGTGAGTGAGTATGGTTTTACGCCTCTTTTAGCAATATTCCAGCAATATCACGGCGGGGGACACCAGAAATGGGCTTCACACATTGTACCCATGTCGGGAATCAACCCGGGTCTTCGGCGTGACGAGCAAAAATTGGGATACGATGACAATCAGACATGCATCAACCAAGTCAGCGAGCCTGACCACCCAATCCCATTAGTTGCCTCTTACGACAAGCATAGTCGCCTTTAATGGCAAGCATGGGTTGGTGAAGACCTATTTTACCCTGGATCTTCAAGGGTCGGGGGATATCATGATTAAGCAGGGATTTATCTAGGATTCCAAGCTAAGTACCCTTGAGAAGTAACTTGAAAAAAACCCTGGTATTTTGTTAAAAAATTGGATCTGTTTTCTCAAGTCCTTACTTTCTTAAATTCAAAGGTATTTTGATATTGCCTTCAAAGCAATAATGTAAATCTACATGATCTAAGCAGTAAAGTTTCTCTATTGGTCTTCTTATCAATGAAATATATGTCACCTCTGCAAAGCCATAATGTTACTTATAACATTAACAACATCAATTGGGAAATCATTAAATCCAATTTGTACGGATATTAGCTGCCTCTGAGCAGATCTAGATAAAGCCCTGTTAAGTTTGAGAACATGCGGGCAACTGGATATGTCTGCATAGATGTGATTTAGGTAGGACTACCCTTCCATGACTTTTGTTTCCCAGTACATTTTATGGCAGATGTAAAACATCCTTGGCTAACTTGACGCAAACTGGTCCTTAATTGATGTGCATGTCTTCAGAAATTATCCTGTGCTTTTTGCACATTAACTAAAATGAGAATCACATGGATGCACTGTGTGACCTGATCGACTTTGTGTCATCAGATCCTAACAGTAGTTCTATCCTGGATTGTTGTTCATGCTGTCGACCATTGGTTTGCCAGCCCAGATTTTATTATTTACAAGCATCATGATATAGACGCAATAATGCGGACAATAAATACCATGCTCTCACTAATTATAAATATTGATCATTGGATTGTCTGGTCCACACTTGTTTACAGACTGCCATCATATAGCTGGAATACTGCTAAGTGGTGTTAAACAAGAAAGAAACACTAATCATAATGTCTAGAGCATGACTGGAAGTGGAAATGCTGACTTGACCTAGCTCACCCATTAAATGTACACACCTCTATCACAGGATCTTCAGCATACTGTTTCAGAAGAGGCAGGACACTCTCACATCCAATAGCTCCCAGTGCTTCACCTGATGAAAACAAGCATTTGTCCTCAAGGTTTACCACGATTACCCAGAAACATAATTGTTGTTGGACATGCTGGATGTCTTGAAAAAAGATGTGTTATGAACAACATTAAATTGATCAGCTACTTCTTTCACACAAAAGGATAGCATATTTTTAAGCAGTTGTCAAAAATATGTTCTGTCTCAAACAAAAATACTAAGCCCCTCCCCTACAATAATAAAGCTGGATCCCTAAGCCCAATGAAAAAATAGAGCCACAAGGTTGTGAAGCTTAGCTGAATTTTGAAGCATTAATGGAATCAATCTATAAAATCAGATTGGAAATGTAGAAGCATTTTTTAAAGATGCCATTACTGGAATGATTCATACAATGTTTCAACTCCATAGGCTTTCTAGAGATGTCAAAAATGCAGTAACACTTGTAAAACAGGGAATGTGAAGGTCGAAGGCTGTAATTGATCAGAAATGAAATATATGCGCCCACCCCCACCCAATTATTATATGTTATACCACATACTGCATGCATGCTTGCTGCATATCAAATTTGCATGTCGAAATGGAATCAGTATTACGTGAGCACTGTTTTTAAGACACCAGGGCTGGGATCATTCATACAAAGTTTCTGCATCACAGATGTAAAAAAATACAAAAGTTAAAGAAAAAACCCCCCCCGGATGTATAACCAGCTGGATCATGTGGATGGTGGACAATACGCCACAACTTAAGCTCACTTTGTTTTAGTCGGATGAATTATAAATGGACCAGCATAAGAAGCATTTGGAAATGTTGCTGGTGTAATATCAGCGCTCCTATGTCTGAGCACTCACTGGTTTCCCATTCACTGGAGCCAGGCACGCTTGAATAGTTGGCTAAAAATAGTGACAACACAGCAAACCAGATATATGTGTTCATGGTGATGGAGGATCATTGTATACAAACCCATTAAGTAATGACAATAATCCATCATCAACTTATTTTTCAACATGGTTAATGGAAATTGCTGCATGTTGTGTCATTGTCATTGATTTGGGGTTATCAACTGGTCGTATCTAAACCATGTTATGATGTAATAGCACCATGCCAAACATTGGTAGCAGCATGTTGTGACATTGTCATAGATGTATTGATGTTGGATTGGCAAGCATAACATTAGGAGTTTATCTGTTGGATGATGCTAATCTTTAAGAATACGCTGGGTCAATAAACAATACTTGATAGGTGTTTATTGAGTTGTAAAGTGTAACAAAAGACGCGCATCTAAACGAGCTGTGTACATTACAATAATCCCAGGTGTTGTTGTGAAGGAATGGTTGATATTATGAATGTGAATGCAATGGTTGCATGGTTAAAAGATAAAAATATAATATAAAATCTCAGCGTGTTTTGTACCGTCATCCCTACATGCCAAGTGGACTGGTCCACAAGCGCCAACTACTCGACTGACACTTTTATATTCATGTCTTATGAACGAACTGTTAGAATAAAGAAATAGGACAACGGAGCTTCTTATTAAGGGGGTTATGAAACTACCCGGGGAACGAACTCGTTTGGGTTACGAAATTGCAACGGCCTTAGCCACTACCATGATTACCTAACCAACCTTACCAGCTTCATGTCTGACCATTGGCTCTTGACTTTCATCTTCTAGTACTCTTTTCAGAGTTGGAATCGCATATTTGTCCTGCATCTGTCCTAGACAATACGCCAACTCATGCTTCAGTAAAGCTGATGGGTCGGTAAAACACCGGGCTATACTGTCAATCGCATCCTTACCACCAAGATTTCTTAACGTAAACAGTGCTCGAAATCTGTCATTTAGTGGCTTCCCGCTGTTTTCTAGGATTGATCCGATTTCTGTAACGGATTTGGAATCAACCATTGTATCGCTGATCTTTAAAAAACACAACTGCAACCTCTCGGATAAATTTAACCAGCAGTATTTCACAATTCACATGTGAAAGTCGGCCATGTTAGGGATCAATCATTGTACATGTTCGCCGTTCTAAAATGTTATTTAAAATTCATTGATATTCTATCAAACAACATTTCATAACGTTTAAAGAGATCTATTCACTACATACCAAGCTAATAAAAGGCACGTGTAGTTTGTTCCGCGAGCAGAAATATTTTATATACAACACACATAAACAGTGCCTCCCCCTAAGCTCCTTGCACTGTTAAAAAAACCCAGACGATATCACAAAGTTTATGCTGAACGCTCCGTAGCTGAAAGTACAGTGCTACAACACTGAAAAGAGAATTGCAGTTTCATTTAATTTGTCATTGAAGCGTTCATGTAAATACTAAAGAGTCAGGACACCATCACAATGAGAAAACCCTGCTTATGATATTGGATTGCTAGCTCCCTATATCCGGTTGACCTACACAGTTCATTTCCGCAACGAGCACACGTGTAATATGTGCTGGTGTCATTAGTGCACAACAGAGACTTAGTCACTAGTTTTCACAAAACTAGAGTTAAAGAAGGTGCTGAAAAGTATGTATAATCAAAATGAAAAAGACACCACGGGCTTTGATAATGGCCTGAGAAGCTGTCACCCTGTCTATTCTGTCAGTTGACTCGGCTGATACATTGTAACCCCTGTCACCATGTCATCAACCCATCTCCATAAACACAACTGCGCTATTGTTTCAGTCATAGTGAGAGACCATAATGTCTCTGATAATGATAATGATAAAAATCCAAACAATTTACGAAACACACTTATAGTGTGATCAGAATCAATATTCCAACAGAGTGGCTACATATATTGATATGTGTTAAGCCGAGTGCAACATCCTGTTACACTAGTTCTCCAGCTGTGTCCACAGGGAAGTGTGTCTTGGTCCATGTTCGGAATAACTCGATGAATATGTTTCAGTATCAAATAGTCCTATTTATTTGAGGTGTTTCTGAGGTAGGTTGTTATACAATCAGTTCTAGATCTAATGTTTTAGTTTTAATGATGGATAATAATATTATGATCCCATACTTTGAATAATACATTATTATTATCTAATGAGTGGTATGTAATGTGGATTGCTAACAATATGTTACATTACAATTTCTCAAAGGAAACATGCACATAAGTATGTTCTTGCCAACTTGTTCCAGAGGTTTTATATTATTTGTATGTGACATATATTTGGTATGCATGTGGCCTCTGTTCAAATAATTCTGATCACAGGTTGTTGCCAAATTCTGAAATAATATGCACAGGCCCTCTTCCCATGATATTTGATATGATTCGTTTATAAAGAACGACTCAAACAGACCACTACAAGCCATTGCTGAATTGATTCATGATACATCATGTGGGATGTAACTTCATATAACATTTAGCGATCTATCCATGAATTGATTTGTTGTGTCCATACTAACCAGGGTGGTGGGATAGCTTAGTGGTTAATGCGTTTGATCGTCATGCTGAAAACTCAGGTTTGATTTCCCACATGGGTAGAATGTGTGAAACCCATTTCTGGTGTCCCCCACCGTGGTATTCACGGAATATATGCTAAAAGCGGTGTGAAACCATACTCACTCACCATATTGACCACTGTCTACACAGCTACGATTTCATGCATGTGTTATTCATTTTCACCTCTTTTTTGATGCAGTTGCTATTTCTTGGAGGATCTGGGCATCATGGAAGTGCTGAACGTGGATCCGGTCAAGTCAGCAAATGACAAGAAGAACTACAGGTAGTCACGTGTTCATCTTTTGCCTGATCAACATTTGGCATAGGTTACCATATGAAATTGTTGTCACACTCTCAAGTGTTTGTTTATGTTCATGTTGTACAAGGTTTAACTTGTGGCCCAGTTAACTAAGGCGTTGCAAGTCCCCATGCAGAGTTGAGTCTGTTATACATGCATGGGTTTGAATCCCAGATTCACCATGATTATATTTTTACATTTGTCAGCACCACACCTGTGTATGTGGGTTTCACCGAGGTGGTAAACATACCAGTGCTTGTGGTTTTCACTGAGGTGGTGAACATACATGATGTGGTTGTGGGTTTCATTATCAAAGCGAGTCTGGGATTCTGGTGTGCCTTGCATTGTTACGGAAGCAACTCGGCAAAGGAAATTGACCCATGCTTGCTGTAAAAGGTGACTATGCTGTCATAAGAGGCCACTAACAGGATCTGGTGGTCAGGCTCACTGATTTGGTTGAGGCATGTCATCATATCCCAATTGCGTAGATCGATGCTCATGATGTCAATCACTGGATTGTCTGTTCCAGACTTGATTATTTACAGACCACCGTTATGTAGCTGGAATAATGCTGAGGACAGTGTTAAACAACAAACAAACAAACGTAGGGATATTTGTTATAAATTGCGTATTAACCTGATCATTGGTTCATTTAAATTCTCGTCCCAGGATCTGACTTGAATGTTCTTTTTCAGAATAATCCGTCTCAAGAATGGCTTAAGAGTGTTGTTGGTGTCCCACCCTACACCAGAGGGGTTTTCGATGGACATGGGAGAGTCTAGCAGTGAGAGCGAGAGTGAAGGGGACAGTAGTGACGGCAGTGACGGCAGTGGTGAGGAGGAGGAGATGGAGATTGACATGCCGGACACGAAGAGGAAAGAGGGAAATGAGAAAAAGGTGCATCAATCATGTGTTTTCCTGCATTCACCATTCTCACCCATGTCAAAAAATACTTTTTTCATTTCTGCTTTATATGCTAATCAATTATCTTATGTAGGCCAGAAAAAAGGCTGGTTAGTTTATAAAAGAAGTGAATGCTAATTCTGTTTAAATTATAGTGTAGGATTTACAACATCTTGTACAATGTATATGGTTTACATTTGTTTTAGTTTAAACATATTTTATTCTCATGAAAAGGATTGGGCACAAGTTATCACAACTTAGCACACCCTCTCCCATAGATTTACATGATTGCTTATTTACAGTTAATAAATCAAATGACAGAAAGGAAAGGAAAGAGATAGAGAATGTATGTACATTCACACTGCTCACTCAAACCTTTTTGTTTTCTTTATATACGTATGTACATTCCTAAAAATGCTTTCGTTCACATGATTAGGTAAACTTACATTTGTTATCTATTTACATCTGTCAATTTAGGCTTGTTTGTATTTATAAGGTGTTAGCAGTGGACAGAGACCTTTCACAGAGTGCATTTGATTGCTTAAAACATTATGGGTTACTTGTTAGATTTTGTAGTTGTTATCTAGTCATTTTCCAATCCAACAGACATACCATATACTTAAGTATTTTCCTTATGTTTTCTTGTCACTTTGATTCCCGTCAGTTTAATCCACAAATCAAAAACATATGACAGTGTCGCCGAATAGTTCTGTGATGATTTCTAACTATATAAATGATTGCATTGTCAGATAAGGAATTGTCAAGCTAAGAGTTACAGTGATCACATTTCTGTGTGCAGATAATGAGAATGAATACTAAAGATTTCTGATTGCCTAGCAATGACAACTGACAGACAAATAATGAATGTTGGTTATGTATGTGGTATAATAAACTTGTACATTGAATCTGACTACTTGTCAGAGTGGGTGAGTGTGGTTTTACGCCGCTTTTAGCAATATTCCAGCAATATCACGGCGGGGGGCACCAGTAATGGGCTTCACACATTGTACCCATGTCGGGAATCGACCCGGGTTTTCGGCGTGACGAGGGAACGCTTTAACCACTAGGCTACCCGACCGCCCCCTTGTCAGAGTGGTTCATTGAGAGTGATGCAGTGTTCAAAATGAAGGGAGTCCTTGAGGCCTTCTATGTTATTTGAATCTAGGGGTTCCCTAAATCATGTCTCTTCACATAAGGGTTATGACAAGGACCCATTTTGTTAAAAAACTAGTGATGTCATGTTTTGTGGCACTAAAGTGGTCTGTCTCTCCTGTTCCCAGTCAGCAGCGGCGCTGTGTGTTGGTGCAGGCAGCTTCTGTGATCCTGATGACATTCCAGGCTTTGCTCACTTCCTGGAACACAGTGAGTTAAACCTGATGCATTGTTACACTATGAAATTACAGTGAAACTGACCTGAGCACATTGCTGCTGTTATACTACAGCCTGGAAAGAATGTATATTATTATCCACGGGGGGATATAGCGATCAGCCAGTCTGTCTGTCCGTCTGTCTGTCTGTCTGTCCGTAATCATTTCCTTTTCCGGGGCAGAATTTGAAAACCATTCAGTGTATTTGATCGAAACTGGGCAAATCTATCAGGCACATACTGAAGTGGTGCCTTTTGATATTTTGGGATTTTTCTAATTTTAATTTTTTTAAATTTTTATGGAATGAAGTTGGACATAGACTCAATTGGGGATGGGGGTTCGTTTCTGGGGCAGAATTCGAAAACCATTCAGTGTATTTGATCGAAACTTGGCAAAGCTATCAGGCACATACTGAAGTGGTGCCTTTTGATATTTTGGGATTTTTCTAATTTTTATTTTTTTAAATTTTTATGGAATGAAGTTGGACATAGACTCCATTGGGGAACGGGTTCATTTCCGGGCCAGAATTTGAAAACCATTCAGTAGGTTAAACAATGTATGCTTCTAAAAGAACATTCAACTGTTGACTCATTACATAGAGAATTGCACATTTACTAGTGGTTACTTTACAGACAGCTGCCGGGGGGATATGTCATCTTTCTGATGACTCTTGTTCAAGTGTGTGACAGGGCACTCATTTAGGTGTTTAGGTGTGCCATTTGGAATTTAAGTGAACAAGAACAATACTTTCATTATGAGCTAGCAAATATGCAGGTTTAATTTTGAAAGTTGCAACCTTCCTTTCAATTGAGATTGTTAATTCCCTTTTAAATATCAAAATCCTAAGGTTTGCTTGTGAATCATACAGTGCAATAAGCACATCGACACCAGTTTTCATGTGATTGTCAAGTTTTCTTGGTGACATCTCCTTAGCACTGGCTTTTATGATAAACAGCACTGCAAAGTATTTGATGTAACCACATCATTAAAGTGTTAACTGTGCCATTGGTACTGGTAATACTCACACAAAGAATTTTAGACCATGAAGGCTGTTTACAAGCTGTTTACAAGCTTGATTGACCCGTGAAGATCCGGGGTAGAATAGGTCTTCAGCAACCCATGCTTGCCATAAAAGTCGAATATGCTTGTCGTAAAAGGCGACTAACGGGATCGGGTGGTCAGGCTCGCTGACTTGGTTGATGCATGTCATCGATCCCAATTGCGTGGGTCGATGCTCATGATATCAATCACTGGATTGTCTGGTCCAGACTCCATTATTTTACAGACCGCCGTCATATAGCTGGAATATTGCTGAGTGCGGCGTAAAACAACAAGCCAAACCAAACCAAAATACAAGCTTGACTGCAAATTCATACTGCAGTTTCCTGCAATGTCAAGACAATTTTCTTTACTCATTTCAGTGGTGTTTATGGGCAGCAGTGTCTACCCAGAAGAGAATGATTTTGACGATTACCTCGGCAAACATGGTGGAGACTCGAACGCTTGTACCGACTGTGAAATGGTAACTCTCACTTTTTCAAGTGCCAGGTTCACTGCCAGTCAGGTTCTTACACTGACCCGTGTTTTCTGTAACATTGAACATATTAGGTATGGGATACAGGTTGGGAGTGTCATTAAACCAAATGTTTATACTAGTCTTATAACACTTATGCATGATTTGTTTTAATAATTGTTAACTGAGATGATGAAAGTAATGGATGCCTTGGACTTGTCTGTTTGGCAAACCCATCTCCATTCTCATTAAAATCAGATCTTAGTTCTCCCTGCCCCAAAACAAAGATCTGAGAACACCCCATTACGGATCACGTCAGACGGACCTTGCGCGAACTTTGACCGTCCAATGGAATGACTGACGAAAAGTTGACATTAGCCAATCAGAGGGTAGCTTTCTCATGCTTTATGGCACTAATTTCAAATTGGCAACTACGCTTCGAAATATTTTGAGAAATTCTTGATTATAAATTTGAAACCTGAACAAAAGAACATTCTGGAATGGCTAAAAGATGTTCTGGATTATATGGATTCAGTTGTTAAAACCGTAGCTATTGTTTGGAATACCCCGTTTTTAAGTTTTTGAGGTTGCATGATTAGAAATCACATTCCGACTATCACTTTCATGATCTGGTAAGCGATGCTCTGATTGGTCAGATGAAAGGTTGTTCTGACGTGACTGCTAATGGGATGTCCTCAGATCTTTTTTAGCGCTAGCGAGAACTAAGATCTGATTATAATGAGATTAACCCATCTCAGAATGGGTCTTATTTTTCATGGGAGATTACCCTTCATACTTTGTCAACATTGGCACATAATCCTAACTAAACTACATGAAGCATCATAAAATCCCTTGCCTTGCCCCTGCCATACTTCAGTCATCTTGGAGGGATGCATGTGGTGAGACGGAGAGATGCAGTAGTGTTAAAAAGTGCATTATATGATACAGACCAAGTAGAATTGGGCAAACAAGTAAAACTGGACATTGCAGAAATACAGTGGTATTTGAACTCACATAATATACTTAAGTGTGAAAGAATGAGATTTCTGAAGTTCAGAAAAGTGATCTTTTCACAGCAGTGACAGAAAAGTGATATGTTCATTGCAGTGAAAATAACACTGGTAACGAAGTTAGCCGCCCATGTGCCTGTCACATGCAGCAGATGTGAGATGAGGTGAAATAGGTTTTAATGTTGCATCCAAGATTATTGCACTTATATAGCATCGTGCATGCACGTTTGTGTGTGGCTGCTTGTACTGTTCCGGACTGATGCCGAATTATAGTGCTAGACCACCAAGATACCATGCCCCAGTTTAACATGAATACCCAACTCAGACACAGTATACTGACTCCGACCTGACCAGTCCTTGTTTTATCCGCCTAATGCGGAGCACCAGACAGGGTACCATCTTTTAAGGTCTTTTGGTATGACATGGCCGGGGATCGAACTCCGGACCTTCCACTCTCCGGGTTTGATTTGGCTGATTGCCTGTCATCGTGCCCTGATAGCATGGATTGTTGCTCATGCTATCAACCACTGGTTTGGGGGGCTCAGATTTGATTATTTCCAGGCTGCTTTAATGTAGCTGGAATATTGCTGACAGAGGCTTTGGTCAAATCCCCACCCTGACCCCTATAACAAGGTTACCGAGTGATACAGCATATGGTACTAGTAGTATCAGAAAAACTGCTTTTTACGTTATGGTAAGGCTCCATTGGACAACGCTCTGAATACATGTGGTTTCTTGGTTTCTCTTTCAGACAACATTCTATTTTGAAATTCAGCGTAAATATTTCCGGAAGTGCCTGGACAAACTTGCCCATTTCTTCATCTCGCCACTGCTGAAGAAGGATTGTGTGGACAGAGAGATAGAGGCAGTTGATAGTGGTATGTGGCAGGAAGTAATGCATGTTTGGGGCACAATGGGATAGTAGTATGCCTAGTCATAAGTATAAGTGGGAAATGGTTTTGAGTCTGTTATGTTGGGATCACTTGTTACCATATCATGTTATTGAATTCAATCATTCAGAACAAAATTCACTCTTTTGTGGCTAAAAATACTCTTTGATCTTATTTTTTTTGTATTGTTACCTTGTTCTTTTGATGTAGGTAAATTCATCCTCAATGTGCAACCAGTCAGATAATTTTTATTTATGACATAACATTGTGAAAACTTTTGAAATGCATTTTTGGAAAATAATGATTAAAAAAAGACAACCAATTTATGATTGATGAATGAATTGTTTTTTTTGTTGTTGTTGTTTTTTTTTTAAATTTTTTTATTCCATCACATTTTACATTTCAATATCATACATAGAGTGTGCATGGATTTATTGTGACATTATTGGCATGTATTTAGCATGGACAGAGTGAATGATCTGTTGAAACAAACTACTTTTGACCAATGATTCACGATGAGATCCTGCCTGTTTCCGAGCACTATGACCACCACGAGTGAGTCTAACCTGTTATATACGATTCATACAATTAACCTACTTTAAAGTGTGTTTATCTTCAGAGTTTCAGATGACAACATCCAGTGATAATGACCGAGTGAATGAAATGATATCCAAGACTGCCAAGAAAGGCCATCCGATGTCAAGGTTCATGGGAGGTGAGAAGGATACTTAATATGGTAACCAATGTACAATTAAAAATTCAATGGATCTATGTTTATGAAAACATTTTTGAAACCATTGCTGTTATTGTTATTCTTTGATTATGATTTGAAAGGAAAACAATTGTATATAATCATATCTGCAGGAATATTTGCTAAAATCAATCAAAGGTTGGAGCACAGGTATATTTATCATCCAAAACTGGCTCCCACAGGAGATATCGCTTGGATTAGATCAAGCGATATCTACACTCTAGATATCGCTGCAATGAAATTATATCACAATGCTTTGCAGACAATTGTGACGTCACTGGTTACCATGACATCACAATCAAATGACATCACTAATGGCTCTGCTACTGAAGCTGTTAGCAGTACTTTTTACACTGAAGTCACTGCTAATTACTGTCTACAAATTGAAAAAGTTGAAAGAATGATGTTGGATGATAAATGAAATCTCACCCGAGTGTCTTTTGATATCAAATATATCAACACTCGTTGATAAAAGTGGCAAATATCCTCGGCAAGCCTCAGAATTTTTCCACTTTTATCAACTCGTGTTGATATATTTGATATCAAAAGACACTCGGGTGAGATTCTCTATTTATCTACTTCATATAATTACTATGGGGATACAAAGTTAGAATAGGTCCCAGCAACATATTCTGGTCGAAAGTGGCGGTTTAATGAATCAGGTGATCAGGGTTGGTGAATCGGTTGATTGCGTTCATCGTACCCTGATGCTTATTATATGAATCAGGGCGATCGAATAGCCTAGTGGTTAAAGCATTTGCTCGTCATGCTGAAGAACCGGGTTTGATTCCTGATATGGGTACAATGTATGAAGCCCATTTCTGGTGTACCCCTGCCGTGATATTGCTGGAATATCGCTTAAAGAGGCGTAAAACCATACTCACTCACTCACTCATTATTTGATTCACCGGATTGCCATGCAACTGAAATAGTGCTGAGTGAGCAACACAAGTGGTAGACTTGCTCCAACTTGCTCAACATACTTCAAAGTTTGTATTCAGATGCTCTGTTCGACCTATATCATATTTCCACATGTATACCTTAACAGGTAATGCCAAGTCTTTGAAGACTGACCCTGAAAAGAATGGCCTGAACATCTACGGTCGACTGAGAGACTTCTATGAGAGCATGTACTGTGCCAACTACATGACCCTTGTGCTTCAGTCAATGGGTAGGTGTCCATTGGGGTGGCCCAGTGGGTGAAGCCAAGACCTATGTTAGATTCCCTTTGTGGGTACAATGTCAGAGGCTTTTTTCATTAACCAGTCTTGATATGCTGGTTTTAAGAGGCGGCCAAATGGATAAGGCAGTGAGACTCCAGTGATGTAGCCCATGGTGTGGATAGTTGTTCACAATATTGATCACTGGATTGTCTGGTCCAGACTCAATTATTTACAGAACGCAATCATATAGCTGGAATATTGTTGAACAACAAATAAATGATACGACTGGAATATTAATACAAGTATAAAACTATGTTCACGTACATGCATAGTAAATCAGAAAAAAAAGACAATGCTGTCAAAATAACACTCGTAAATAAGGATGCAAATTGGGGAAATGAAGCTGACAGTGCAAATTCAGTAATATCTGGTATGAACCCCACAGGACATTGTTTCATGTGATTCTGTGGAATGGATACAATGTACTCCACTGTGAAACTGTTGGTAATACATTCAGGCGTCAACTGTTTACTCTGCTGGTTTGGCGTCCGCCCGGAGAGCGGAAGGTCCGTTGAAAGACGTTAAAAGATGGTACTTGTTGTTACCCTGTCTGGCGCTCGACATTAAGGGGCTAAAACAAGGACTGGTCAGCTCGGAGTCAGTATACTGTGTCTGAGTGGGGTATTCATGTTAAACTGCGGCATGGTATTTCAGTGAGCTAGCACTATAAATTGGCATCAGTCCGGACTAGTACAAGCAGCCACACACACACACGTGCATGCACGTCGCTATATAAGTGCAATAATCTTGGACGCGACGTTAAACCCCATTTCACCTCACCTCACCTCTCCTGGTTTGTTCTTGTTGGCAGACAGCCTTGACACATTACAAGAATGGGCGGTAGACATTTTCTCAGACATTCCTTCCAAGTGAGTATTAAGACTTTGAGATGCTTCATGACTTGTGCATAGTATTTTGATAATGATGAGTAAGTCTTCTGGTTGTCCCATGTTAATTTGACCAATATAATAGGTGTAAAGTGAATCAAACTTGAAGATTAAGAATTGCTCATTGTTGCTGCATCTCATAATCAATGTAATAATGTAAAATCTGAAGGTCCATTGTTTCATGAACATATCCATCAAACAATGACAGGCTGGTCCTATTATTACTGAAATGATTAGAAACTACCGGGTACATTGCATGATCTCTTGAACATGACATATAGTATTTATGAAATTTGATATAGATATAGATTTAGATTGATTAAACTTGTGTTATTTTTAAAGTGTGAGTAATAAAGTAATATTTGATCCTAACTGAAGAGAATAAGGTACAATTGCTGGTTCCAGCAGAAGATACTGTAATTGTTTTACCAGCTGCTGTCTGTCTTCTTCAGCAACATACCCCGACCATCATTCAGCCATTTGAAGGTAAGTTAGGTTTAGGATTTGTTTGGTTTATGGTCAAGATATATTTTGCTAATAAATATGGCGACATGAAGTGTTTACACTGTCTGGGGTCACGGGGCACGGATGCCTAAGTTGTCTAAGGTGCCGCAATTTGGCATACAGTTGCTTCCCTTGGTCATGCTAGAAATCTATGATCGTGGGTTCAAATCCTGGTTTGCTCCAATTCTGTTTGTAGGTTTGTCAGCACAATACCTGTTCTCATGGGTTTCACCAAAGCGGTTAATGTCTGAGATCTGCATCATTTTGGGCTTTCCAACTACATGAAGCTGACACGCCTTGATATAACAGAAGACTGTTCAAAGTGCCGTTAAACCAAACTTACTCACTCACTCATTTAATGTCTGTCCTGTTCTGCCCGAAGCAATTCATGAGGAGAAAAGGTCCCTTGTGCCTCAGGCTTGTCATCAGAGCTGACGAAAAATCGGAATGGCGTACTTAAAACTTATGACCTTGATGATTGTGTTTCATTGTACCCAGATGGTTTGGATGACCTACTAGCTTGCCTGGTCCAATCAGAATAAGTGTCATATAACTAATATGTGGAACTGCAGTGTGAAACACCATTCACGCACCTATTGTTTCCTTCTCTGAAACAACCCGTGAAGATTCCGGGGTAGAATAGGTCTTCAGCAACTCATGCTTGCCGTAAAAGGTGACTATGCTTGTTGTAAAAGGCGACTAACTGGATCAGGTGGTCAGGCTAGCTGACTTGGTTGATGAATGTCATAGATCCCAATTGCATGGATCGATGCTCATGATATAAATCACTGGATTGTCTGCTCCAGACTTGATTATTTACAGACTGCCGTCATATAGCTGGAATATTGCTGAGTGCGGTGTTAAACAACAAACCAACCAGCCAACCTTCTCTGAAACTGAGTGTTTTTAGTCTTGTGTCTACATTGTAGTCAGTCGCGTACAGTTTCCTTTGTAGTAAATTATTCTGTTTTTATTACAGGATCCCTTTGATACTGCTGATTTCAAGAGGTTTTACAGAGGTGAGACTACATGGATATGGTAAATGAGACTCCTGAACAAGACACTGTACAATGTAACTTACCTTTAACTTCTCAAATATACAAATGAGGCTTACTAAAGGAATCTGCCAACTCTCTGTACAAGACTGAATGTGAAGGATATCATGAACCAGACCTTTTTAATTATCAAAACATCTTTTATCATGTTGATATAGACTTGACTTAGAAAACAAACAAAGATCATATTGCCTTCCATGTGTGACAAATTTGTACAAAGAACAATCTTGTTTACAAGTCATCTTCATTGCTGGAAATGGTGTCACAGAGAACACATAGTCGATATTGTTCCTTGTCTTTTCACAGCCCTTCCATTAAGTTTGCAGCTTCCTGGGTTAAGTTATGTGCAACCTTGTGGACATTATGGCGCCAAATAGCTGGTGCTCTGTGCCCCGTGCTCACTAATGAGTTGTCCTGCAGCATGACTCTGGAGTAGCTGCTTTTGTTTTTATCAAACCAATCTGTAGACTTTTTGTGTTTCTTTAGTTAAAACAGACATTCATTGCCATACTTATTTAGTATGTTATATGTTAGTCTGACTGATGAGTACAAATAAGGTATAACATAACCAGTCCTATATTTTGAAAATAACCAATTTTCTTCTTTTAAGTTGTACCTATGGAGAACAATCACAAACTGGAGATTTCTTGGTCTTTGCCATCTTTAGTAGACAAATACAGGTGAGTTGATGTCAATAGTAGGTGTCTATTAGTTACCTTTTCTAATATCATTGTCAGATATCAATACATTTCTGATCATAATTGGATCAGTCTAATTTACCAGGTGGAGTTGTTTTGTTTCTTAGGAACGAAGCAGGTTTCTTTCAAATTCGTTGAGTTATAATTCATGTAGTTTTTGGGTAATTTAATGGTAACCTTGTAAATGAGTTTGTCCTCCTCTTTTATGCTCATATTATTAATTTCTTTTACAGGGAGAAGCCACAAGAATATTTGTCAATGTTGATTTTACACGAAGGAAAGGGAAGCATACTGTCATATCTCAAGAACAAGTAGGTAGCCATGAGAATGGTATTTGAAGTGTGTGATCACGTTTGCTATGTGATGTATTTTGGTAACACACAACACACAACACACAACACACAACACACACACACAGAGTGTAATAACTGCAGTGTCTCTGTAGGCCAAAAAACACATGTATTTCAGCCCAGCCCAGGGTAAGGTTTTGCTTTGTTTTTTTGTTTTTTCTTAAAATGACTAGTCATCTGTAGTGAAGCACAACTTGATACTAGTGGCATTCAGTATATACGATAAAAGCGGTAGTTAACTTAAGAAAAACAAAAAATGTTTAGGGTCAGAGGCTCCAGGTTAGGGACCCATGAAGATCCGGGTGAAAAAAGGTCATCAGCAGCCCATGCTTGCCATAAAAGGCGACGTTGCTTGTTGTGAGAGGCAATGAACGGGATCGGGTAGTGGTCAGGCTTGCTGACTTTGTTGATGCATGCCATCATATCCTAATTGCATGGATCGATGCTCATGATGTTGATCACTGGATTGTCTGGTCAAGACTTGATTGTTTACAGACTGCTGTCATAGATGGAATATTGCTGAGTGTGGTTTTAAACAAACAAACAAACAAACAAACAAACAAACAAACAGAGGGTCAGTCAGGAAACAGAAACACACGTGTTGAAATATGTTGAAGCCAAACACAGTTAGTAATACTGGTACACTGTGCTTCAGGTTGTACGCCCTGGCCATGACGGGGGGCAGTGACAGTGATGGGTTCGGCCACAACTCTACCTGGTCTCTCTTCTATGTCAGCATCACACTCACTGCCAAGGGCCTGCAGAATATACTACAGGTGAGATGCAAGTATTGATTCATCATCAGTTTCATCTCGAAAATGTTTTCCCTTCACATTCTCCTTGGTGTTTCTGGGACAGAAGTCCCCAGTACCTCTTGCTTGTAGAAGGTAAGTGACCCGTGAAGATCCGGGGTGGAATAGGTCTTCAGCAACCCATGCTTGCCGTAAAAGGCGATTATGCTTGTCATAAGAGGTGACTAACGGGATCAGGTGGTCAGCCCCGCTGATTTTGTTGATGCATGTCACTGTATACCAATTGTTGAGTGCGGTGTTAAACAACAAACAAACAAAAGAAAGTAAGTGCAAGGAGAAGCAGTGACTGCTGAGTAGTCATATTGGTGGGGATGCACTCCATGCTTGTGATAAGCTCATCTAAAATATGAGCCGAATGATATGTCACCTGACTCATTGTATATCATCCTGCTCTGACGATGTGGATGCTGCTCATGCTATTGGCCAATGGGATGCTTGACCCAGACTTGATAATGACAGGCTGCCATGATAGAACTTGAATAATGCAGTATAAACTTCCACTCATTCACTCCCTTTGTCAGATTAGTGATCCTACCTTTGACAATTCAGAAAACCATAACATGTTCTCCTCATCTGCTAGTTGGCCACTGGCTGTGTCATACCAAAAGACGTTAAAAGATGGTACTTGCTGGTACCCTCTATGGTATTCAGCATTAAGGGGATACAACAAACACTGGTTGGCTCGGTGTTTGTCTACTGTGTTTGAGTGGGATATCCATGTTAAACTGTGGCATGGTATCTATGGTGGCTAGCACTATAAAACCAGCATAAGTTCGGACAAGTACAAGCAGCCACTTGAAGCCCGTTTCACTTCACTTCCAATACTTTGTCTTGCTGCGACATCGCAGACCTATGTGGCCATTAGAAGCACTTTTTACTTGAAGGAACCCAGCCTTCTGGCCAACCATGGAAGGGAACCAGTTGTTTTGTTTATTAACTAATTTAGTAATCATGTAAATCGAGTAGATGTGTATAAAATAAACACAAACTTCCCAAAACCAGATTCGGCATGCATATCCAGGCAACAGTTGTTGACTACAGACACTCATAGTGGTAAAAGTGACTTTGTAATTCAGGAGATCTGGTTATATCGTCTAGTTCTCCAGTCAACTCCACTCTACTCATCTCCACTCTACACTGACTAGAATACTTCCAGAGAATGTTTTCTGCAGCATTTTATAGTTATGTTTGACCTTAAATATGGCAGTGTAATGAGATTCAGTAGATCTAGTTGTATTGTCTCATTCTCCAGTTATATGGATTCAAGATTTTATAGTCACACAGAGTAGGCTGAAGATACTGTATTTGGTTTCAGGTGTGCAATGCTGTCTTTGAGTACATCCTCATGCTGCAGAACCAAGGCCCCCAGCACAGATTGTTCCTGGAGCTGCAGCAGATTGAGGACTGCAAGTTTAGATGGAAGGAAGAGGTATGTGTTTACTGACCACAGGGCCTGGGGTGTTAGGAGCTGAGGGAGGGGAGGCGTTGATTCAGATTGTTCCTGGAGCTGCAGCAGATTGAGGACTGCAAGTTTAGATGGAAGGAAGAGGTGTGTGTTTACTGACCACAGGGCCTGGGGTGTTAGGAGCTGAGGGAGGGGAGGCGTTGATTCAGATTGTTCCTGAGCTGCAGCAGATTGAGGACTGCAAGTTTAGATGGAAGGAAGAGGTGTGTGTTTACTGACCACAGGGCCTGGGGTGTTAGGGGCAGAGGGAGGGGAGGCGTTGATTCAGATTGTTCCTGGAGCTGCAGCAGATTGAGGACTGCAAGTTTAGATGGAAGGAAGAGGTATGTGTTTACTGACCACAGGGCCTGGGGTGTTAGGAGCAGAGGGAGGGGAGGCGTTGATTCAGATTGTTCCCTGAACTTCAGCAGATTGAGGACTGCAAGTTTAGATGGAAGGAAGAGATGTGTGTTTACTGACCACAGGGCCTGGGGTTACGATAAGATGAAGGAACGGGCAGGAGGGGTAACTGTCAGAAAATACAGCCAGTATCTGTGCAGAAACATGGAGTAAAATGTTGCATCATCAGCAAGATTTACTGCTGACATATACTGCTCAAAATAAGTTTAAGTTCATCGATTCTTTCGTATTACTATGGTAATAGTCATGACACAGGTTTACAAGAATCAGGTGTTCTTTAACTTCTTTTGTGTAGAATAGTTGACTCTTATAAAGGAGATTGTCCAGACAGCTACTTTGTCTTGATGAAACTGATACTGGTGCATGTTTGTAGGGGGAACCCATGGAAGATGTTCAGGAGGTAGCTGAGAACATGCAGACATACACCCCACAACACTACCTCACTGGCAGGGACCTGCTGTTTGAGTACAACCCACAGGTGGGTGACATATGACAGTCAGTCGATGGTAGAGGCAGATTTTGTAGGTTGATTTATTGTTTTATGTGTGAAGAAGTTTTTTGTTTGTTTTGTTTGTTGTTTAACACCGCACTCAGCAATATTTCAGCTATATGATGGCGGTCAGTAAATAATCGAGTATGAACCAGACAATCCAGTGATTGACATCATATGCATCGATCTTCACAGGGCGTGTTAAGAAGTAGATTGCTTCAGATGGTATATGGATACCTTTATGAAATGAAATTTATTGGGTAGATACATCGTGAAATTGAAAATGACTGACAGCATTTTCTTTTACTTAAATATATCTTTGTTTCAGTTGATTAGTGACTGCACAAAATATCTTGGACCAGACAAGGCAAACTTTGTTCTGTTGTCTACAGAAAAGTCTGTCATAGGAGAAACAGACCAAGAGGAGGCTTGGTACAACACCAAGTACAATGTAGCAGGTGTGTGTACAATGTAGAAGGTGTATGTACAATGTAGAAGGTGTGTGTACAATGTAGCAGGTGTGTGTACAATGTAGCAGGTGTGTGTACAATGTAGCAGGTGTCTGTAGCAGGTGTATGTACAAAGGAGCAGGTGTATGTAGCTGGTGTGTGTACAATGTAGCGGTGTGTGTACAATGTAGCAGGTGTGTGTACAATGTTGCAGGTGTGTGTACAATGTAGCTGGTGGGTGTACAATGTTGAATGTGTGTGTACAATGTAGCAGGTGTGTGTACAATGTAGCAAGTGTGTGTACAATGTAGAAGGTGTGTGTACAATGTAGCCAGTGTGTGTACAATGTAGCAGGTGTGTGTACAATGTAGCAGGTGTGTGTACAATGTAGCAGGTGTGTACAATGTAGCAGGTGTGTGTACAATGTAGCAGGTGTGTGTACAATATAGAAGGTGTCTGTACAATGTTGAATGTGTGTGTACAATGTAGCAGGTGTGTGTACAATGTAGCATGTAGGTATACAATGTCTGGTTGTGTTTCAAAGGGTCAACAAGAATCTCATATTTATTGTTTTTCCAGATGTTGATGCTGAATGGAGAAAGACTTGGGAAAGTAAGTATTCTCACGGGTAAAGTAACATCTATTTTTAAGCTAAAGAATTTGATGATGTCTGCTCAACCAAAGTGTATATCTAGCTAATTAACATGTGGAGTAGCAAACAATATTTCACAATCTTAAACAGTATCTAGAGATTGTCACCTGTGTGGTTGTATCTTGTTTAAAGGAGGTCATTATGTTTGCAGATCTGAAAGAAAACCCAGATTTGTTTTTCCCTGAACCAAATATTTACATAGGTATGTATTTCTGTGTTTTATGTTATTTACACCACTCATGCTTTATGTCTCAAGTAACCCACATACAGTTGAACCCTGTTCTTGAACCTAGCGGGACCGTGTTGTAACTTCAAATATTAGAGATAACGATGCATGAACATTATATAGTAAGGTCGAGACCAGAGAATAGGTTCGAGATATTGGTACACTCGAGATAACGGGGTTCGAGATAACAAGGTTTGATTGTACATGTGTATTACTTTCAGTGCATAAGAGGGTACATTTTAGTATGGAAGATAGCTGCACAATAAATCCAGAGAACAATGAAAAATGAAGCGTGATTTATTTCATGATAAAACATTGTTCTATCATGATGTCATTTCTTGAGATTCGAACATTCCCTCGCAACTTGATTGATGTCAAAAATTGGACAACGTTATCTTTGAGAGGGAGTTGTCTTGTGAGTTGTTCCCATTAAATGTAACTGGGCATTGCAGATGAACACAATGGGCGAACAATCGTATTCAAAAGATGGGAGAGATATTACAATCGGTACTGGGATAATCAATTTGAAAATAGTGAGAAAATCTGGAAAATACCAGATGTAACCCCCTTGTTCATAAAATCAATTTGTCCAACATTGCAGAGGTCAGTTTGTAATCAGGGAGTCATCATTATTTAATGGCAGGTAAATAGTTTTGAAAGCTTGTACATTTTATTAACATCCTTAAAGAGACTGTACAAAATGTTGATATCTCATATGAGAAATAAACGACTCGTAGGCGTTGTTTATTGTACAATAAAATACTGCCGGAAGAATAAACTACTCGCTACTGCGCCCCGCATGGTTTGTTGTGCCAGCAGGGTTTCACCCTGCAGTGTTTTATTGTTTGATAAACAACACCCAATTGTTTGTTTCTTAAATACAGTTTTGTTCTGAAGATGTATGTGTGTGTCGTATTTATTTGTAGCCACTGACTTCACCCTGCATCCATCAAGTGAAGATACTCCCAAGGTACAGAGATACTGATGTGTAGGGACTAGATGGAATGTATTGTGTTAACGCTCTAAATTGACACTGGAAAATAAGTCATTTGATAAAATATTTGAACTAATTAAAAATTTGAGTTGCAGACTTAATAAATCAGAATGCATCAATACTTAATATTAATACATGTATTAATCATTGTATACTTGAGCAAATTGGGGGGCACAGGAGGCCCAGTCGTCTAAGAGGCTGCAATTTGCTGTGCAGAGTTGCGTCCTTTAGGTACGCCAGAAACCTATGATTGTGGGTTCGAATCCTGGTCACCCCGATTATGTTTCCAAACCCGTTTGTCAGCACCACCGAAGTGGTAAGAGTCTGAGACCTGTATCACTTTGGGCTTTCCTCCCACATTAAGCTGACACGCCGTGATATAACTGGAATACTGTTGAAAGCGGCGTTAAACCCAACTCACTCACTCACTCACTGTATATTTTTAGAAACACTATTTGGAAGACTTTTATTTAAACTATAGGAATCTTTTTCCATAAATCATGTAAGTGAACATACTTGATTGGTTGAATGTATGTTTAGAATATATTTTGTGTGTAGTTATTTACAGATCAAAGAAGTGATTGACCATTTTGTATAAATACGAAGGGAGATAACTCTGTCAGTGTGGCACTGGCAGCCTATGATCTGACAACATTGAAGATTTGGTAAATTAATGAATCCGAATGCATCAATACTTGATATTAATACATGTGTTAATCATTGTAAACTTGAACAAATTATACATTTAGTGACTTAATGAATCAGAATCCACCAATACTTAGTGTTGATTCCTGAGAAGCAGATAGATAATGCCTATATGAGACTACCAGTAAGTCTGTGTGACGATCGTCTGACCGAGAGTTTCATGTCATATACAGCTACCTTACCCTGTAGTGGACAATGAGTTTTGCAAGATGTGGTTCAAGAAAGACAGCAAGTTCAATGTTCCTAAAGGTAAGAATGTGTTGACTCCTGATCTTGTGCATACAGAAAGTTAGGGCGATGTTTGAGTCATGTGGAAGTAAACTGTAATGTACAATCCTATGTTATACCAGAGGGGACATTACACTAAGGAAGATATTTCCAATACATGTGCTGTAGGGGTGTAGTAGGGAAAGTGGTCTAAAGTGCCATAACTCACTGTGCATTGCGTCCCTTAGCCATGCCAGGATCTGCTGATCAAGTGGTTAAATCAAATGTTAGCGCTGATTATGATTCTGGGTCTGTCAGCACCACACCAGTGCATGTGGACAGCCTGATTTGTTTCTTTTTAAGGCTAGTCCCACTTGCACAAAGCGATCCAAGCGCTATGACTATTGTAAGCCTATGTTAAAGTATGGGAGTTTTGATCATCTTAGCGCTAAGATCACTTTGTGCAAGTGGGCCCAGAGGACCTGACACAAAGTCCTCAGAGTCCTCGCGCTTGAAGAAGACAAAAATGTTTACTATGCTTACATTTTCTGTCAGTTTTATTCAGTTCCAATTTGTAGCAAAATTGATTCATTGAGAACTGGTTCAGAATTATAGTCATCAAATGCTACGAGTCAATGAGGACTACCATCATTGGATGTTTGCTAATCCTCAGAACAATTTAGTAGTCCCAAGGTACAGATACTGATGTGTGGGGACTAGATGGAATGTAGTGTGTCAACACTCTAAATTCACACCAGAAAATAAGTCATCATTTAAAATATTTGACCTAATTAAAGATTTAGCGACTTAATGAATTCAACTTAGTAGTCTCAGTCTTGTCAAGGTAGCAAACATCTGTGACAATGGCCACTTTGGGCTTCTTCCCACGTTAGCTGACAGTGACATGACTGAAAGTGTAATTAAAGGAGCGTTTAAGCCACGTCAGTCTGACTCCATATGATGTTTTGTTATAGGCAACACATATCTCCACCTGATGAGTTATGTTTTGTTATAGGCTACACATATCTCCACCTGATGAGTTATGTTTTGTTATAGGCTACACATATCTCCACCTGATGAGTTATGTTTTGTTATAGGCTACACATATCTCCACCTGATGAGTTATGTTTTGTTATAGGCTACACATATCTCCACCTGATGAGTTATGTTTTGTTATAGGCTACACATATCTCCACCTGATGAGTTATGTTTTGTTATAGGCTACACATATCTCCACCTGATGAGTTATGTTTTGTTATAGGCTACACGTATCTCCACCTGATGAGTTATGTTTTGTTATAGGCTACACATATCTCCCCCTGATGAGTTATGTTTTGTTATAGGCTACACATATCTCCACCTGATGAGTTATGTTTTGTTATAGTCTACACATATCTCCACCTGATGAGTCATGTTTTGTTATAGGCTACACATATATCCACCTGATGAGTTATGTTTTGTTATAGGCTACACGTATCTCCACCTGATGAGTTATGTTTTGTTATAGGCTACACATATCTCCACCTGATGAGTTATGTTTTGTTCTAGGCTACACATATCTCCACCTGATGAGTTATGTTTTGTTATTGGCTACACATATCTCCACCTGATGAGTTATGTTTTGTTATAGGCTACACATATCTCCACCTGATGAGTTATGTTTTGTTATAGGCTACACATATCTCCACCTGATGAGTTATGTTTTGTTATAGGCTACACATATCTCCCCCTGATGAGTTATGTTTAGTTATAGGCTACACATATCTCCACCTGATGAGTTATGTTTTGTTATTGGCTACACATATCTCCACCTGATGAGTTATGTTTTGTTATAGGCTACACATATCTCCACCTGATGAGTTATGTTTTGTTATAGGCTACACATATCTCCACCTGATGAGTTATGTTTTGTTATAGGCTACACATATCTCCCCCTGATGAGTTATGTTTTGTTATAGGCTACACATATCTCCACCTGATGAGTTATGTTTTGTTATAGGCTACACATATCTCCACCTGATGAGTTATGTTTTGTTATAGGCTACACGTATCTCCACCTGATGAGTTATGTTTTGTTATAGTCTACACATATCTCCACCTGATGAGTTATGTTTTGTTCTAGGCTACACATATCTCCACCTGATGAGTTATGTTTTGTTATAGTCTACACATATCTCCACCTGATGAGTTATGTTTTGTTATAGGCTACACATATCTCCACCTGATGAGTTATGTTTTGTTATAGGCTACACATATCTCCACCTGATGAGTTATGTTTTGTTATAGGCTACACATATCTCCACCTGATGAGTTATGTTTTGTTATTGGCTACACATATCTACACCTGATGAGTTATGTTTTGTTATAGGCTACACATATCTCCACCTGATGAGTTATGTTTTGTTATAGGCTACACATATCTCCACCTGATGAGTTATGTTTTGTTATAGGCTACACTTATCTCCACCTGATGAGTCCAGCGGTGTCCGAGTCCCCAGAGAAGTAAGTGGCAAAGTACCTCTGTGCTGTTTCCTGTTTATTACATGACAAGGAATTTAACTTTTGTGAACTTTGTTCCTTTTGTGATGAAGTGAACATTGTTGACTTGTTGTAGTTATATTTGTTTTTGATTCTGTATTCTCACAGTTTGATTATAAGGATAATTATCCCCCAACACAAAGTGGAAGGGAGATATAGGAATGGGTGCTTCCATCTTTCTGTCCTGCCGCCCGTCTGCCCATCCATCACGTTTTGTTTCATGAGCAGAACTCAATAACCATGAGAGATATCTCAATCAAACTTGGCACATAGATATGTCTGGTGGTGAACTGGTGCCTTTTGATAGTTAGGAATTTTTGAAAACTTTATTATTTGAGTTACCAAAGCATGACTTTTACATAGACTAAAAATGGCGGTAGTGCTTGTTTCCGAAGGGCTAATGCCTTGCACACAACCGGACATGTCATTTGGGCGGGGGATATGAGTATTTCATGCTTGTTTCACTAGGAATGATATCCTTGGGATTAAAAAGCATGTTTTCAGACAGTGACTATTTTAGAATTGACTTCAATATATTTTTTCAGGTAAAATGTAAAAACCACTGTATAGCGGATTTACACAAAGTGTGCACACCGTTTTTTACAATTATTCCTCAAAACATAAAGATGTATTGCAGCCAATTCTGATAAATAAATATGTCAACAATATGAACTTCACAGACTACTTAATCTATCATTAACACAAAAAGAGATGTTGCCCACCAATCAGTGACATTGTTCAGCTGCCCCTAATTCAACACAAGCCCCACCCATTCTGTTATCAGCCAATTAGAAAACAGTAGTCCATAAGTGGGCGCGGCCCATTTTTTCACCGGCAAAACAAATTGCTTGGTTAGCCAATCAAATGCCATGGAGTCACTTGCAATTTATTTAATTAAATGCAACATTGTGTTTGACTGCGGTGTACAACTCAGTCACACCTTGTTTATATCTGTGTTATGGGTTTTCGGACGGTTGAGAAACATTCATAGTTTTCTCTCTAATCGTATGAACAACTGTAAAACATCACATTCAACTTATATAACACAACTTTCTTTTAAAAACAAGCCATCATCTGAGTATTTACAATGTCTCTGTGACGCTACACACCCTGTTATGGCATGAGTAATATCGATAGACATGGCCGTCTGAAAATGTATGATTCCGAAAACCAATAACCCGACGATACTTGCATTTACTGTTACAGTGCCACCTTGAATGACCTGTTCATCAACATCCTCCTGAACATCCTCACAGAGGCAGCCTACCCCGCCGTCCTGGCTGGATACGAGTAGGTCACCAGGCTTCTCCCAATTACTGACATTGAACACTCCGCACAGAATGCCTCCCTCTCACACATGTACAGTCCTCTACCTTGATCTCCCTGAAGTCAATTGGGGTGGAAACACATTAAATATTTCTGTGAATCATATTCCATGAGTTACTTCCTATCCTGGAGCGGTCGGGTAGCAAAGTGGTTAAAGCGTTCGCTCGTCACGCCGAAGACCCAGGTTCGATTCCTGACATGGGTACAATGTGTGTCACCAACCGTGATATTGCTGGAATAGTGTTAAAAGCGGCGTAAAACCACCTCACTCACTCACTCACACACTCACTCACTCACTCACTCACTCACTCACTCACTCACTCACTCACTCACTCACTCACTCACTCATCCTATATTGATTAACTTTGGTTGTTTAATAGGTTCAGATGTAGGATTTTCTAAACACAATATGTTTGTATTTTCCTATCATATTGTGATAAGTATTCATGAGTATTTCAGATCATGGTGTATTGGTAATACTGGTCACACACCTCTAGTCAGTGACATGCTTTTGTTCTTATGTATTGCAGATACTGGGTGGAGGGCTTTCCTACTGGCATCGTCATCAGCATGGAAGGATTTAGTCACAAGATGCCTGTAGGTGTTAGTTCTCAGGATCTGCATCTATGAATACATGTCTTGCAGTACTCTAGAGGAACTCAATGATTAACTGGAACAATTGGAAGAGTTACTGATCCCAGGACTAAACGTTAATTATACATTGATAAATTTCCCTATGTTTCTGAATTTGACATTGAAACTAATGCTCATGCTACACTTGCAGCTGTTGTTCCGATGCATGGTCGACCATATAGCGGACTTCATGTGTAGCCCAGAACTGTTTGCGGCCATCAAGACGCAGTTACAAAAGGCATTCTACAATGAGATGATCAAGCCTTTTGAATTGGCAAGGTTTGTCAGTGAATTTGAATACAGCTTTACCCCCATCAGACCCGTGAAGACCCGGGGTAGAATAGGTCTTCAGCAACCCATGCTTGCCGTAAAAGGCGACTATGCTTGTCGTAAGAGGCTTACTGGATTAGGTGGTCAGGCTCGCTGACTTGGTTGAATGCATGTCATCGTATCCCAGTTGCATGGATCGATGCTCATGATGTCAATCACTGGATAGACTCGATTATTTACAGACCACCGTAAAAAAGCTGAAATATTGCTGAGTGCGGCGTTAAACAACAAACAAACATAACAAATATACCTAATACCTCTTGTACTTGTACTCATATTTCTGCAGTGATGATTTAAGATTGTAGTTTCATATGATTTAATGGGCTTGGAAAGACAAACATCTTACCAGTTGATGGAATCACAATCTACCCTACTTAATATTTTGATTTCATGCCCCTGCTTTTGAATATAGCACCAGTCACTGATGAATTTCAGAATGTTGCGGTTTGCGATGTTAGATCCCAGTACCCAGGCGCTACCCGACCGGTACCGTCTGATTTCAGGCCTGACTCTCACCCAGCTCACAGACTTCCTCAGCAAATTCAAGAGTCAACTTTTCATTGAAGGATTTGTCATAGGGAATTTCCAACCTGAGGTATTATGGCTGTTTATTCTGACAATCCATATTGGTGTATTTAGATATGAACTTTTACCTACATGTTATAAATTTTGTTTCAATTTCCTCTGACTGAATAATAATACGTTGATATGTTGATAACCCATTGTAATCTGGCTAGGAAATGCTAGATACAGGGATGTAGACGAAGATAGATTTAGCCAAGGCACTGTTCCATAAAGCAACATTAGCGCTGTAACTACCAATGACTACCATAAGTCTATGTTAGGAATGGGAGTTGCTATTAGTTGCTGCGTGACACAGGTCCCAAGTCATTATTTGCAACAGCATTTAAGCATATCTGCAAGCATCAAGTTATAAGATCTACTAACAGATTTTACCTTGACTTACGAAAGTGGGAGTCATAATTAATTTTAAGGGTCCTTGCAGCAATATGAGGGTCCTGTAAAGAAAATGTCTTACACATTGGTACTGATAACAATTTCTTGTCTTGCTTGTCCATGAGATTACCTACATGACAAACTGCTTGATTTGGATGTTTAATTGAATGTTGCATCATTTGACTTCCTTACTTCAGTTTGAATCCATACAAGTCAGGGTCCATTATTGCTTTCTTCTGAATCATCTGTCCCATCATCGTCACACATGGCTGCACACAGTTATTTCTGTGCTTGTTTTCCTCCCTCTGTGCAGGAGGTGACCGAGATGGCCGACTACATTCAGAAGAGACTCTGCTCGCAACCACTTCCACCAGAACGTATCCCGAAGGTCAGTAGCTTACACATCGGCTACAGCCTGCTTTAACTGACTAAACAACTCAGGGGAATGGCTCAGCTTCTCTGAGTAATGTCTGCCAATTATCTTAAGAAAATTTGTCATATAATGGCTGATATTATTGATGCGATACACCAATACGACAATCTGATAAATATGCAAATGAGGTCATCCAGCAGGAACTACTTTTATGCTCTAAAGATTGATGCAATGTCTGCCTGATGAATACATTATTATACCCCCGACAAAATGTCGAGGATATATTGTTATACCAAGGTTCCGTCAGTCCGTCCGTCCGTCCAAAAACTTTGTCCGTGCGATTTCTCTTAAACTATTCAGTGGATTCATCTCAAAGTTAGTACATATAATCTGTGTCATATGGAGGGGTGCAGTCAAAAGAAAAAAATTGTTTTTATGAATTTTCCATTTTTTTATGAATTTTTCAAACCCTAACCCTATCCTAGCTATTTAAGTTGTAACTACTGACACACTAGGCGGGTCGGGGGTATTAGTGAGCCACGCTCACTTTTGCACTTGTTGTTAGATGTTTCCAATGAATTTAGATAGGTGCTTCCTGGTGTTTATTGTGACAAACATGTAAATCGTTTGGCACTATATGATAAATGCTGTGTTTAACTCACACATTGTGTTCATACGCAGTTTCAAAAGTTACTTCCTTGAGTTAACATATCATATAGTTGGAGTAACATTTGTGTATTATGCTCACCAAAGGCTTGCATAATACAATTATTATTCCTAAAATATTATATTTACGTTGCGGGATTAAATAGCCGCTAATGATCCCTCTTTTTTCAAGCTGAGTCTTATGTACATAAGAAAGTTAAACTTTACTTTGAACAACATCTGTAGGTCAGAGGAAATTGGGGGCGGGCCGTAACAAAAACATGACAGTGTTTGTGTGGGAGGGGGGTGGAGTTGGGATTTGGAGTGTCTTTGGGAAGGGTCATGATAAAACTTTACAGTTATTTCTTTATTGAACCTTCTTTTTTCATGAAAATGAACTTATTCTATATGTACAACTCTACAACTTGAAGGTGAGAGTCATGAAACAATGGAAAAGAATTGCAGGTGGGTCTGCAAGCAATGAACCCACTTTGAAGAGGGTAATTAATTGGTGTACATTTCTTCACAAAATATCTCTGGTCCACCCACCAGTAATAAATTACCGGTCACTTAGTATTGTATGTGCCAGTGGGTCTTGAGTCTTTTGTTATTCCTAACAGTTATGTTTGGATGTTTCAGAAACTGCTGCTACAATTACCTACAAGCCAGCTGACCTGTCGTGTGGAGAGCGTCAACAGGGACGACTGCAACTCCTGCATCACTGACTACTACCAGGCTGGGCCAGGCAACATCAGGATGTCCTGTGTCAATGAACTGCTACTGGTTAGTGCTACAGCTGAATGAACTATATCGCTGACTTTGTGTGCTGGCGATTAGGTGCCTCACTCTGTCGTAAAATGCGACTAACAGGATCGGGTGGTCAGGCTCGCTGACTTGGTTGATGCATGTCATCAATCCCAAATGCGTGGATTGATGCTCATGATATTAATCACTGGATTGTCTGGTCCAGCCTCGATTATTTACAGACCGCCATCATATAGCTGGAATATTGCTGAGTGCGGCGTTAAACAACAAACAAACAAACCAATTAGAACCTGTGCTTTACTAAGAGAGTGTTATCCCAAATATAACATTTGTTACATTCGACCACTTTCTAAATGGCATTGTACTGTCGTCATGTAGCTGCAATATTTGCTGAGTGCAGCAGAAAACAACAAACATAATTGGCATTGTGTGTTCATAGCTTTTGGCCATAGGAGCTGTGCCAATTTATGCTTGTTAGAGGGTTATACAAAGTATGTGATCTAGACTACCAGTTGTCGGACTTTCATTTTTGTGAAAGGCTTGGTGGCTGAGTGGGTTAGATTGCTGACTTTGTGTGCTGGCGATTAGGTGCCTCACTCTGGCGGTGTGGGTTTCAATCCAGATGGGACTCAACTCACAACATACTAGAATCTGTACTTTACTAAGAAAGTGTTATCCCAAATATGACATTTGTTACATGTCTTGATAAAGTCTGAATATTGCCGTCTGCAGTGCTTAACCCACTATCACCATTCTGCTTTAGTGCATTTTCTTGGTGGGGATGATTTCAGACACGGATGAAAGAACCCTGTTTTGACTTCCTACGAACCAAGCACCAACTGGGCTACAGTGTCTTCTGCTACTCGATGATGACCAATGGCATTCTGGGATTGTCTGTTACCGTGGAGAGCCAGACCAGCAAACACAGGTGACCGAGGCAGTGAGACAGACCTAGTGGAGGATATTCATCAACACATGTGTTACTTTTGTGTCAGATTTACACATTTATGACCTACTATAGCAATACTATCATCCAGAGGGATGCCAACTGTATATCACGGAGATGGGTAGCTCAGTCGTCAAAACGCTGGAATTTGCCATGTGGTGTTGCTCAGCTTGCTTGCGTCAGGATCTGCTGATCATGGGTTTGAATCCTAGGTTCATACTGTTTCTAATCTTTGGTTTGTCAGCACCATACTCATGGTTTTGCATTTCAGCAAAGAGGTAAACATGTACAAGTAACTTCCTCAAGCATTAAGCTGACGGGGCAGTGGGTAGCCTGATGGTTAAGGTGTTTGCCTGTCATGCCGAAGACCTGGTATCGATTCCCCACATGGGTATAATGTGTAAAGCCCATTTATGGTGTCCCCCGCCGTGATATTGCTGGAATATTGCTAAAAACGGTGTAAAACCATGCTTACTCACTCACTACTTAGCTCACACGCAGTGATACAACTGGAATGCTCTTTGATTTGAGTAGAGTCAAATCCAGCTCACGCATGTTCTGTGTGGTACTTTAATCCCGAGATAGACTTGGATTCATGTGTTAATAAAAAAAATAGTTCAAGATTTACATCAGTTATTTCTTGATTTATTGCAGCATGAATGATGTGCAGAAGTTGATGGCAGACTTTCTGGGGGAGTTCCGAGGAATTCTTCATGCAATGACTGAGGAGGAATTTGACAGCTTGGTGAGGCTTGACCATATATCAATATTAAAGTGGGGTAACTGCTTATCTGCTGGATCGTGTCATGTTCAATGTGGTGTAAGGGGGCCCAGTCGTCTGAGGCATCATAAATCGCTGTTGTCCCTTAGAAATGCTGGATCCTATTATCTGGGTTGGAATCCTCATTCAAGCTGACAGGCTGTGATGTGAATAAAATACTGTTAAACCAACTAAACCCCCTCAAATTATGTTTTTATATGGAAATGCCTGCATATGAAAGTTGATTCCAAAAGATTCTTATGTTGATCTTGCGATGCTGTTATTGATAACACCTGTCATCATTAAGCTGATTTGTAAACCTGACGGAAATAACTCTGATTTTAAACAAGAAACACATTGGAGTCACTGGATAGTTTGGTGTACCAATCTAAGCAGGTGTTTGTGTGTATCAGGTTGATTCCCTCATCACCAACAAGCAGCTGGAGGACACTCATCTCGGGGAGGAGGCATCTCGACTGTGGAGGGAGATCCATGACAACTCATATGTGTTTGATTTGCTGGAGAAGGAGGTAGGTCTGTCAACATGGAAGGCATGGTCTGTAACTGTCCAAACAGTGATTGACCCGTGAAGATTCCGGGGTAGAATAGGTCTTCAGCAACCCATACTTGCCGTAAAAAGGCGACTATGCTTGTCATAAAAGGCGACTAATGGGATCGGGTGGTCAGGCTCACTGACTTGGTTGATCCATGTCATCGATCCCAATTGCGTGGATCGATTCTCATGATATTAATCACTGGATTGTCTCGTCCAGACTCGATTATTTACAGACCGCAATCATATAGCTGGAATATTGCTGAGTGCAGCGTTAAACAACAAACCAACCAACCAACCAACCAAAGAATGATTCATTGATGGTTGTTCCTGAATAAATAAGTTATCTCCCCTTTGAAATGTGTTTAAGGTTACACACTACCAAATGTTTTCCCATAGGCTTCTGTAGTAATGTTATATGTTTTTTTTTAAATAACTAAGCATTCAACAGCTATTACATGTGCATGTGTGCACAGTCTGGCCTTAAAGCAGCAAGAAAAACAAAAGAATTAGAAGAAGTTTAGCCAGCTCCTCTTTTCCGAGTACAGGAAGCTAAACACACCACCCCCAGTTCCACACCAAATGTCTCTTGCTTGAAAATATCTGAAGTCACATTCAGCACAAGTCATGATGTTAAAAAAGACAGCACTAAATATAGAAAAAAACATTGTCAGTTGTAATTTCTGGATGGATGTACATTTAAAAAACATACATATACCCAGTATTACACATAATCATCCAATCATAGCTGCCTGATGATTTAATCTGCACTGAAGGCTCTCAATGAATACTGCTTGTCGAATGACTGATTCTGATTTGGAATAGCAGAACCTTAAGGCTAAGGCGTCATTGCTATAGAATTTTAAGAGAACATTTTCTTACCTATGAGAATCTCACTTTTATCGGAAAATAAATTGGTCAATTCACTGTCTGAGGACCCTTTTCTGCTAGCTGTTTTCTCATAAATAGAAACAAATATCTTTGATGTTTGCACCATGTGTTTCATAATGTGGCCTTGTCCTAAGATGGAACATGAAACAATATCATACCTGCACCCCATCCTAAAGTCAATGTATATCCTGTGTGGTCAATATCTTGTAAAGAATCAAGAAGCATTTGTGGTAAAGAGTAAGCTTGACCATCAGCATCAGGCATTAATAACGCCTCACTGTATGAGATGACCAGAATGTACGACGTCCTTGAGTTGAGCCATGCCGGTATGTTCACAGATTGCGATACTGCAGACTCTGACTATGGATGAACTGAAGGAGTGGTATAATCAGTACATTGACAAGAGACAGAGGAAACTCAGCTTGCAGGTAGGTCATACAGTTTCTGACCTGCGAAGATCCGACTATGCTTGTCGTAAGAGGCGACTAACGGGATCGGGTTGTCAGGCTCGCTGACTTGGTTGATGCATGTCATTGAATCCGAATTGTGTGGATTGATGCTCATGATGTCAATCACTGGATTGCCTGATCCAGACTTGATTATTTACGGACTGCCATCATATAGCTGGAATATTGCTGAGGACAGCGTAAACAACAAACAAACAAATCATGCAGTTTCTCATTCCAAGGTAATATTCACAAGAAAAGGTTCTGGGAATAGGAGAAGAAACCAAATTGTAATAAATGCCAAATCTAGGGATCATGGGAACAGACCTGTGGGAGAGTTACTTTTGGTTTAGAACCACCCAGTTGCTTTAGTGCTGCCATGTAGTGGTCATCTTCCCAAGGAAAGGAGTTAACTGACTATAAAAGTCCAGTTTCCACTCTTGCCGAACTAGGCTGGAATTCCTGGGCTCGATCGTAGCGCCACCAGTGGCTATTTACCAGTTATGTCCCTTCTAAGCTTCTCCTATGGACCAATCAGATTCCACCTCTCGTATCACTTCCGTTTGCTTCAAACAAAATGGTGGCGCCATGTCAGGGCGATCTGATCGATAATCAAGATCTATATTGTGAAAAAATGGGTCTCACATCGCGAAATGCATCAAATCACGGAGCACCTTGATTCAATCTCATTAAAATCAGACCTTAGTTCTCGCTACCACTAAACAAAGATCTGAAGACATCCCATTATGGGTCACGTCAGAACGACCTTTCATCCGACCAATCAGTGCGTCGCTTACCAGATTATGAAAGTGACAGTCGGAATGTGATTTCTAATCATGCAATCTCAAAAACTTTAACATGGTGTATTCCGAACAATAGTTACGGGTTTAACGACTGAATCCTTACAATCTAGACCATCTATTAGCCATTCCACAATGTTTTTTTGTTAGGTTTCAAATTTGTAATCGAGAATTTGTCAAAATGTTTCGAAGCGTAGTCGCCAATTTGAAATTTGTGCCGTAAAGCATGAGAAAGCTGCCTTCTGATTGGTCATTCCATTGGTCGGTCAAAGTTTGCGCAAGGTCGGTCTGACGTGACCCGTAATGGGATGTCCTCAGATCTTTGTTTAGCGGTAGCGAGAACTAAGATCTGGTTTTAATGAGATTGCACCTTGATTAAAAACATGAAAAGATTTGGAAAATATCTGCTGACGAGTTGGTGGTGCACATGCTTGGCAAATCCTGCAATCGACCGAAATTGCATGACAGTTTACGAACTGGATTTCGATTTTGGTGCACGATTTTGATTGGCCTATGAATAGACTATGTTAGTCGAGTCAAACTGTAACTCCATAATACCAGCCTAGTTCGGCAAGGGTGGAAACTGGACTTTTATAGTCAGTTAACTCTCTTGCCTCGGGAAGATGTGTAGTGGTCCGCTAGGGTACATTTCTGAATGAACATGGATGGACACCATCCCCCAGATGTGACATGTCTGCACTAGATGTGACTACCAGTTGCATGTTTGTCTGTCGGGACCGAATCACACACAGACTCATTTCTGTAACTTCAGCCACTAGTCGAAGCCAGAGTCTAGAAATTTTATGTTCAGTCTAATAAGCTCAGTAATAAGATCTATATGATACCACTCAAATGTTGCAAAGGGCCAAGATCAGGCTAGTAGTCTAGAGTGTTGTCAGTACAGCCAGTACTTTGATGCCTTACATTTGCTATAAATGGTTACAAAAGTGCTGATGCAGCAGAAATCACTATTCCTCAATTACTGTTTCAGGTTGAAGGGAAGACGAGCGCAGACAGCAGTGATGTCAACACAGAAAACAAGGGAGGAGAGGGTGAACCGGATGTGCCTGAGAAAGAAGCCCAAGCTCTGGTGTTCCTGCAGCCAGAGGTGAACGGGACCACCTTCATCACAGACATACCTCACGTGAAGCAGGGACTGGCTCAGTTCCCCTACACAACAATCTCTTTGTGACAGAACGTGTCATGTAGGCCGTTTTAAAGCATCTGTGATCCTATTTTACCTTTTAACTGTCAAGAATTATAGAGATCTCTACATTAGGAAGAGGGAATATTTTTCACTTGACATGAAACTGAACAACTGCATGGTCACATGATCGTTATATTTCAAGATGGAAGTAAAGAATATTTGCAGTTTCATCATGCTTCAGTATCACCCACTTGTTGAGATTTACACTTGTTGGAGAGGCTCTGGGGTAGCCCAGTGGTTAAGGTTTTGGCTTTGCATGTCCCAGGGTTCAATTCCCCACTATGTTCATTGCCATTCTTGGTTTCCCAAGTAGTGATATGGGTATAATAGTGCTAAAAGTGGTCCAAATCTCCCACACCGTGCTCACTACATGGGTTGGACCTGGTGCTGGGTTCTTACAACATTCCCCCTTATGATGGTGGTGAAGCAGTGATACGGTGTCACTGTGAGGTGATGTAGTTCTAACCCCCCTCAGACCCCCAACCCCCACCCGTCACTGTTATCCAGTGTATTTTATTTATCTTCATTCTATTATGATAAATGCCAATCTCATTTAAATCAGATCTTAGATCAAAGATCTGAGGACATCCCATTATGGGTCATGTCAGAATAACCTTTCGTGAACTTTGACCTACCAAGGAAATGAGTGACAAGAAATCGACATTAGCCAGCCAGAAGGCAGCTTTCTCGAGCTCTACGACACTAGTTTCAAACGTATCTTGATTAGAAAATTTAAAACTGAACAAAAGAACATTCTGGAATGGCTTATAGATGGCCTAGATTGTATGGATATAATCATAATACCCGTTACTCTCGTTTCGGGCTACCCTCTGTTCTATATTTCGAGGTTGCGTAATTAGAAAACACATTCCGACTGTCACTTTCATGATCTGGTAAGTGACGCTCTGATTGGTTGGATAAAAGGTCGTTCTGTTGTGACCCATAATGGGATGCCCTCAGATCTTTGTTTAGCGGTAGCGAGAACTAAGAGATTTGATTTTAATGAGATTGGATAAATACTGGACTCATTTTCAACCATAGCTTCAGTTTGTGTGTGGTTTGAATGACACAATGCTGAGAATAAACATTGAATAGAATTACACTTTTCTTTCATGATTGAACAAATGGCGATACGGAAAGTACGGGCCTCGCCTTACTGTGTGTAAGTACAGCTGGAACGATCCAGTGGCATGAAACTGTTGTCCCTGTGTCTCACCATCATATACAGGAAAACATCATCTGTTTGTCAGTCTTTTGGATTTGACTAAATGTGTCGGGGGTTGGCTCACCTTTTAATGTAGTTCTCTGCCAGAAGAATCATTTTGATTGGTTGCTGATTTCGTATTGATAAGCAAGAGATTCTGTTTTGGGTTCGTGATAATATATGTGGAGGTCATGCAAAATGCAGTTATGGTGGCAAATGGGTTCAGGGTATTTATCGTAACTGAATTAAACACACTTTATAATGTGGGACAGATTTTACTTTGTCTGTCAACCATTAATGCAGGATGCTTGTTTTGATTTTTCAATATTTAGGAATAAGTTCAGAATGAAAATTCAGAAGGCTTACTACAAGAAACATTAATGTGTACTGAAGAGAAAATATTTGTTTCCATCAACATGTGTCCATCCTCAGGGTGAGATCTGCAGCTGTAACTAGGCATTGATCTCTGTCAGGCACTCCTCAGGGTGCGATCTGCAGCTGTAACTAGGCATTGATCTCTGTCAGGCACTCATCAGGGTGAGACCTGCAGCTGTAACTAGGCATTGATCTCTGTCAGGCACTCCTCAGGTCGAGATCTGCAGCTGTACACTAGGCATTGATCTCTGTCAGGCACTCCTCAGGGTGCGATCTGCAGCTGTAACTAGGCATTGATCTCTGTCAGGCACTCATCAGGGTGCGATCTGCAGCTGTAACTAGGCATTGATCTCTGTCAAGCACTCCTCAGGGTGCGATCTGCAGCTGTAACTAGGCATTGATCTCTGTCAGGCACTCATCAGGGTGAGACCTGCAGCTGTAACTAGGCATTGATCTCTGTCAGGCACTCCTCAGGGTGAGATCTGCAGCTGTAACTAGGCATTGATCTCTGTCAGGCACTCCTCAGGGTGAGATCTCCAGCTGTAACCAGACATTGATCTCCATCTTCTTTATACAAACTGAACAAAGTTTATGTTGTTGACCACAAAAGGGAAGTCAGTTGCAGAAAATAAACACCCATTTTATGATAAAACATACAAAAGAAGAAATGAAATGAAGTAGTTTTACATTAAAGCTCTCCTCCACACCATGTTTGTGGCAACATTATTTCATTTTCTTAAATTAAAACAAAGTAAGAGCTCACTTAATTCAACTTTCAGAGTGTCAGTGTTTGACATGACAGTTGATGAGTAGTGCCACTGTGGTAAGGCAACTGCTTGGGTCTAGTCAAGCAACACCAGATCAAATATGGGGTCTACAGTTCCATGAGTTGGCATCTGAAGTTGGTCAGGATCTATTAAAACCAGTCAGTTTTCAAGCAGTGAATTAATCTCTTTATGTAATGAAATGAATACTCAAATTATTGGTGCCTTCTGTTGAGACTTATCTTGCTTCATCTTGGAAGGAAAGAATGCTTACATGTGAAACACTATTTTATTTTGTTATTGTTCAATCCATACACATGATGAATTAAAGCAATAAATACTTACCTTGTTTTGTAGTTCTTCACACCGTGCAAGACACTCTCCTTGTTGCACACATACAGTGCATCGCAGTGAATTAGGTCAACGTCGTTTCTCACACTTTTTTAGTGGACACATAGGGTGCACTTTGTCATCACTGATCCATTACCCACCTTGCATGGTCGTAGGTCAATAGTAGGGCATTACACACCTTGCATAATTGCCATACTAACGAGCACCTCAATTTGATTGAGAAACAAAATCTGATTCAAAGCCTGGAAATCTTGACTTTCCACTGCAACCAAACACCTGTCTGGGGATGCATCGTGTCACAAATGAAATAACCTGGCATTCAACATGGCAACACGAATATTGCATTATATTGCATTTGATAATTTATAGAGTATTTATCAGAAACATTCGTTGTTTTTTCTCTGCATTTTTTCACCAGGCAGCATCCATTGTACCATGACATCACATCATTCAAGAGCGACGTCATGTATGTCTCGCACGTAGAAAGCAAGTGTTCCTGTAAATTACTGACAACCTTTTTGTCGATATACAAAGTGATGTACAATGCATGGAAATTATTGACGTTTGAAGCCTCTAGATGAGGCAATCTGTACCCAATGTCTGGCCACCAGATACCCAACAACTTCCCCAAATCAGAACACTACCTCACAATATGTTTATCTCCCATACAGGAATGTGTTTGTTGTTTAACGCTGCAGCTATATGACAGCGGTCTGTAAATAATCGAGACTGGACCCTGACAATCCAATGATTGATTGTTGTTTGACGCCGCACTGTGCATTATTCCAGCTATATGACGGCGGTCTGTAAATAATCGAGGCTGGAACAGACAATACAGTGATTGACATCATGAGCATCAATCCACACAATTGGGACACAATGACATGCATCAACCAATTCAGCGAGTCTGACCACCTGATCCCGTTAATCGCCGTAAAACGACAAGCATAGTCCCCTTTTACAGCAAGCATGTGTTGCTGAAGACCTATTCTAACCCGACAATCCCTGGGTTCGATTGAATGTTGATCCACACAATCGGGGTATTATGATACACCATCAACTTAGTAGCCAAGCCTGACCATCAGGTTCATTAAGTCACCTCTTACGACCAGCAGAGGGCCTCATCTGACCCGGAATCCCCTCAGGGAATATCCATGAAGCAAAACACAAGCCAGGTTTGTATGTTATAAAACAGGTTTACTGACATTTGTAAAACCAACCCCTACACAGGTCAAGAGAAGCTTGTCGGCCCCCTCCTGCAGCCCCTCCCCCTCCCCCTCCTCCACGCCATGCTTCTGAACATCTACCTTGAACTGAACCTGGAAGAAGTCACGGATGTCTCGCAGAAACTGGATCCTGAAACACGCATAACTACTTGTTAATCCTCGGTTATCATATGGTATCTCCATTCAGTACTACTCAAAGAAGTTAAAGATCACCAAGTTCTTTCAAATTACTATAGTTAATCTGTCATGGAATGACATTTGTAGTAACATGAAAGAATCGGTGATCCTTAATTTTTTTAAAGTGATATTACGATAAAAATCGTGGCTCTGATGGCGAACATACATCTTCTAAGCTTTTGTAGCGACTCCATCTCCCTGTCTCGCACACAAGGGTAATTTATCTGGAGGACTATTTTTGGTGTTGTGTCATTCAAATCAGATTCCTAATGAATTCCTTAAGCTATGGTAGTAAGGTCACATCCAATACACTTGATGTAGTCTTTGATAGGCATTAGAAATTGAACATGAAGTTGGTTGGTTGGTTGTTGTTTAACGCCGCACTCAGCAATATTCCAGCTGTATGACGGCGGTCTGTAAATAATCGAGTCTGGACCAGACAATCCAGTGATTGACATCATGCGCATCAATCCACGCAATTGGGACCAAAGACATGCATCAACCAAGTCAGTGAGCCTGACCACCTGATCCCGTTAGTCACCTTTTACGACAAGCATAGTCGCCTTTTACGGCAAGCATGGGTTGCTGAAGACCTATTCTACCCCGGATCTTCATGGGTCCTGACATGAAGACATGAAAGGATAACGTCCTTGTAACAACTTGTCAGACTACTTTCCCCTTCATCAGGTGAATACTAAGTAGATGAGTGTAACAATGATTAACATTAATCAACATAATTACAGTAAGGAAGAGAATTTATGGAAGTCGACTTCTTTATCATGAGGAACACAATGTGTTCCTCATAATAAGGAAGTTGACATCCATAAAGTTTTAATCTGACTTCCATAAATTCTCTTCCTCATGGGTATCACTTCTAAATGCCTTTCAAAGACAATAATTACATTGTTTATAAAGAATAAAGAAGTTATCCACAAAATGTATCTTGTCTTAATATCCTGGGTATCTGTGAATGCATAAAGCTATGCCGTTAGTGGAAAAACGAGTTTAAGCATATGGAAGACTGCAAATGTATAAATGCTCCCCAGTCTGGACATAATCTCCATAAAGCCCTAGATGAATACATATTCTTGAGTTTATTACAATCATGATGCAATCAGTTAAAGTACAGGGCTGCAAAGATGTAACTGTAACAGAATGTAGCTGTATCTTGGTAATGTTGACGAAGTGTTTACATACGTGTAAGACGAGAGGGTTCCGGTCTGTATCTTGGAGACATCCTGCTGTCCCAGCACCATGAAGAGGGCCGCCATACTCTGATTACTGGAGTCAACACAGCCGCCCTGAAACAGTCAGGAGTAGCAGAACACTGCACAGGTGTTGTGTGACGCCACACTCAGCAATATTCCACCTACATGATGGATGTCTGTAAATAATTGAGTCTGAACCAGACAATGATTGATATTGTGTACAACTATCCAATGAGTGAGTGGTTTAATGCCGTTTTTAGCAATATTCCAGCAATATCACGAGTGAG